TTTTTCTTCTGTTTTCGCCACAACCCAAGCCCAGTCCAACCCAAGCCCAGCCCAACTCGGATGTGTCTTTTCCCCTGCGAAAAATGTGGGGGAAGGAGGAGGGCTGACAGCTGCTGCTTGCTGCTTGCTGGGAGCCTGCGAGCCCGGGACAGAGCCGGAGTTTTCGTATGCTGGAGTTGCATAGCCACGAGTAGCCACTTCTGTGGGTGGGTGAGAATGCCGGAGTTCCCTGCGCGCGCGACGACGCAAGGCACCACCTCCACCACCTCCACCGCCGAGACGCAGACGCAGAGACGCAGATGCTACGGAAGGAAGGAAAGAAAGAAAGAAACGCCATGCTTGTGTAGCGCTTACCTCACCTTCCTTGCTTTGCCGTCTTCACCGTCTTGACCTTCCCCAATTCCCAGCGTTCGATTGACCGATTGACCGATTGACCGACAGACCGACAGGCCCGAGGAAGCTCTCGTTTCTGTCTGTCTGTTTGTATGTCGTCTGTCGCACACATGGCAGCAGCAGCAGAAGAATTTCACTGTTCCAGGGCTTGACATTCCCATTGGGCGGCTCCGTTATCGTCGACTGTTATGTAGCTAGAAGTTAATCCCTGGCCTCAACCGTTCCAACGATCTCGCTCCTTGCCCGCTCCTTGCTCGCATGATGTGATGTGATGTGATATGATGTGGGGACGTGGTACGGCCATATGTACGGTATGTAGGGTAGGTATCTGGGGGACATATGCTGCCTATGCTACCTATGCTATGTATGCTACCTATCTGCAGGGCCTACCGCCACCACGCCGGGTCTTGCGGAAACGCTCCGGTCAGTTCCTAACTTCCTACTACATATTACCCGCTGGCTGGCTGAGGGAGCTGGTTGGAGGAGAGCTGGAGTAGTGGGAGTGGTGGGAGATACACAACCACAACCACCTCCACCACCACTACACGCGCCCCGCAATCATCACTTCATTCTTCCTTCATTCGCCGTCGTCGTCCTCGTCGTTCGTCGTCGTCATCCTGGTTGTCGTCCTGGTCGTTGTCGTCGTCGTCGTTTATGAAAAATGAAAGGGCCACGGACACCCCGCCCCCGCGTCCGTCGCAGCCGGCCCTACCCCCCAAGGTCAAGAAGTCGAGAATTCGTCAACGGAGCGGGCGAGCGTAATCTAGAGTACCACCACTAGGTACTACTACTAGTAGTGCTGGGGCCGAAGGAGCCCAACTAAATACCATGCCCTTCCCATGCGCTTCCGTCCCCCCCCCGGCCCCGCCGGCAGGGCCAGACTCCTTCCCTCCCTCCCTACTCCATCCTTCCGACTCCCGACCGACACCTAGGCGCGGCTGCGGAGACAACGCCGGAGACAACGCCGGAATCAGAATCGACTCTAGACGTCAATGAAAAGAAGCGCCCCCACCGCCCCACCAGCGCCCCACCACGGTCCGAAGTTCGACGGTCGAAAGTCGAAATTCTACGCAGTGCACGTTGCCTAGCGTATGACGAATGACGAACAGGAAAAGGAAACGCACGTGCGCGGGTGACTACCTGCCAGACTATCATAACCTACAGACCTGCAGACCTACCAGGCGCCTACCAGGTACGTAGCTAACTGCGGAGTGAGTCGAACCGTTGGACTCGAACGAGAGGTTTGCGGGGACTGGGACGGGGAGGGGAGGCGGGGATGGAGGCGGGGGAGAACGTGGAAGGGAGGCGGGGATGGAGGCGGGGGAGAACGTGGAAGGGAGGCGGGGGGGCGGGGTGGAACGGAGGCGGGGCGGGGGGAAGCTTCAAGGGGTGGGAAGCTTTTTTTGGCTCCGAGAACACATAATCAATGAAGTCTTGGTCCGTGGCACCAAAGTTTGAAGTCTGAAGTCTCGGGGTGAAAGTTAAAGTTAAATTGAATGTGAAAGTAAATGTGGTAGGAATGGCCGAGAAACGTGGCGGGGTGTGGCGTGGCGGGGCAGGGCGTGGCGGGGCCGGGCAATTGAGAGCCGCACGGCCGGCCGGCCAGCGAGAGGTCGGAGGTCAGAGGTATCCACCGGTGTACTCCCGAAACACGCATTAACGGTTGACTAACCGTCGTATAGCGTATCTATAGAGTATCGCGGGGCAGTTGCATGATAGGCTGCAAGCTGTCTGTGGAAGCGCTTCGTCTCCTCGAAGAGTCGCAGTCCGTACCGTATGATTCGCTCCGAAACGGCCAGGCCAGGCGACACCCACCACACACCAGACACCACACACACCAGACACCACGCAGTGCAAGCACGAGCTCGGTAGGTACGTATCTTGGGCGAATCAACGAGTTGCGCCCGCCCTGCAGCTGTTCTAACAGGAGCATGTAGGGAGGAGATGCCGGCTGTATGTATGTATATTATGGTTTCGGCGGGCCATCGGAGATCGAAAAACTCACCTCAACTTCAACTCCAACCCAATGGAGTGCATTGCTCGCAAAAGCAAGCACGCCATGTGCCAATGTACCATACGTAGAGTGTGTAGTGGTAGCATGTGGGATGTATGTAGCAGTAGAGTATGCGCCGCACCCAATGGCTCGGGGTATGTACCGAGTACATACAGTACATGCTCCACCTATGTACCTATATACTCCAGGGACCTCCATAGGCAGATAGATACATGGAGGTTAACTATGCACCTGCGCGGATAGGGAGGTACCTACTACCGTTAGGTACTTGGGTACATAACTGCTCGTTGGGCATACCCGCACCCGCACCCACTCCGATCCTTCCGTCCTCACTCGTACCATAGTCACGCACAGTCAGAATCTACCGGCTGCGTGCCGAGGGATCACGACCAGAGCAGTTGGGAGGTTAATCCGGGCCAGCCGTGACTCATGAGGCTAGTTTCCCCGTCCCCGTCCCCGTCCCTCCCCGCGCCACAAACGGTAACTAAGGCTCGTCCGAGCTCCGGACACGACCAAGGCTATCATAGCATATCCGATGGTACCTGAGCAAGCAAGCAAGCAAGCAAGCAAGCAAGCAGGTAGGTTCAGAGCTCCAGCCTGGCTAACCTACCTACCCGACAATTTCCTTCTCGTTCGTCCAAGCTGGGCTGACTGGCTGACTGGCTGGCTGGCAAAGTCAATTCGAACCGTGGAAGTTTGAGCGAAATCGTCGCAGGCAGTTTTGGGCGACATGTAAATCCTCTGCTTTCCCCTTCCCCTAGCCAACATATATTTGGTAGCAACTTGCCTTGCAGCCTTGTTTGCATCAACGACAACGGCAACAGCCAAAACGACGACGACAACCACAACCTCAACCACACGATAACAGCCGCCCTCGCGTCCGTCCGCCCGCCCGTTCACCCGCCGATTTCCTCGCAGCAAATCTTGGTCCGTGCGTGCGTGTGCCCCACGATCGGTGTCAACGGCAAACAGGCTGAATTCGTATAGACACAAGTACTCTCACGAAATAATTTTTATTTCCGCATCCGGTAAGCAGGCAAAAAGTTCATCGGCTATCCTGCACGAATCACCGCCGACAGGCGAAAAGGCGGGAGAAGTTGAAAAGAGCAAGGGAAAAAGAAGAAGAAGAAGAAAGAAGGCTGACCGGGTATGCTGTGGCAGTGTGGCTTCTTTGTTCGCCGTAGAGGAACGTGCTCTCCACCCCCCCTCCGGCCCCAGACCCCAACATCCGCACTTTTGCAGCAGCCACTGGAAAGGAAAGGAATCCCCAAGTCGCAGTCGCAAGCCCAGCGGTTTCAAAAAAGTCAGGGCCACCGCCGGCAGCAACAGCAGTATTCGCAAGGAAGGGCACGGAGCCTTTTTTTCTTTTATTTTTCTTTTCTTTCTTTCTTTTCTGGCCAGCCAGCCAGCCAGCACACACGCCAGCACCAGCACCAGCAGAAGCAGAAGCAGAAGCAGAAGCAGTGCAGCCGTCTCCTTCGCTTTCTCTGCCCCCCGGATTCCCCATTTCCCCATCCAGCGATCTCGGATCAGAAACTGTTGTTTCGGTGAGCCGTGTTGTGGGTTTCACCTAGCCGCGTCACGTACCGGAGTTTTCGACAGCCAGCAGCAGCAAATTTTTCGTGGCAGCGAGATCGAGTCCCCCAACGAGCGAGCGCCGCAGCCACTCTAGGTACTCTACTCTACCGAACGTCCGCTCCCACGCTCTCTCCCACGGTCCCACCCTCACCACCGTTCTCCTCAGCTTTCTCTTCCTCTTTCACTCCCTCTCTCCCCGGACCGGTGTTCCAGCTGTCTATGGTGCAAGCGCACGATCAAGATCGGAGCAAAGGGATCTGACGCCAAGCGCCCCATTTGTGTTTTTCTACGGGACAGCCCGCAGCAGCTACTCCATCCATACAACCACCCATACAGACCCATACAACCCTTACAACCCACCCACACTCCCCCCCCTCCCCCCCTCCCTACGGACCAACCCACCCACCATCCCACACGGCCACCAACTACCCATTCCGAACGGCCAGCGATAACACACCAGGTCTAAAAGTGTGTGCTCCCACCACCACCTAATCAACCACCGCCGACTCTTCCACCACCATCACATCCTCCTCCACTACCACCGCATTTCACATTCCCAGAAGCCAGAAACTCGAGATCGAGAAATACGCAATCTATTCTGCATTATCCGAACGTCGACATCAAAACTCACCACACAACAGCCGCACAACCATCTCCGTCTCCACCACTCCACCAACTCGGCCAACAACTTTCGCGGCCACCACCACCATCACATCCTCCTCCTCCTCCTCCATCACACACACCCGCCCTCTCGCGTTGGCAATCTCACCGTCACCAATCTGCCGCCTCCCCACCCCCTCACAGAGAAATAAAACGCCGCCGCTCCCCCCGCAGAGATCTTCCCCAAACATCACTCCTCGTCACTGTCAGAATCCTGTGCCGCCCGCCTCTCCACAGCCGTCTACTCAGCTAGTCTCTCAGATTGCCGACACAGCCCAGCGTCTTGCATCAGCTCTCGTGTCACCACCGCCCCGACACAACCCTCCACTACCAACCCAACCCAACCCACCCCCCCCCCCCCCCCCCCCTACAGTCCGCCATCTCGCCCTCCCGCGCGTCACGGCCCCCTTTTGTTTGGTGCACCCCCACGCACACCTAGACTATAAGACACCCCGCCTCCTCCACACTACCACCTTCTCCACATCAGCCCTTATTACGTCGTGTGGTCCCCCTCAAAAAAAAATCCAACGCTGCCAACTTGTTTATTCACTCCGAATCCCCAACAATTTCACCACCCATCGCCTAGCCGTTCATGCAACGGTCAACCTCGTCGACGAGTATTCCCTCTCTGACACTGTCACCGCAACTGCAATCACAGCATCCTTATCATCAACAACAACATCAACAACAGCAGCCGCAACCACCGCAGTCGGGATTTTCGCCTGCTTTTCACTGGCCAATGTCTTTCCAAGATCACGAACGACTTGCAGTCATGAACCACAGTAACCTGACAGCCATGATGGCCCCAATGTCGATGCAGCACGATCACATGCAGGATCAGCGGACAGAGCTGCCTCGTCCGTACAAATGTCCCCTCTGCGATAAGGCTTTCCACCGCCTCGAGCACCAGACTCGTCACATCCGAACGCATACCGGCGAGAAGCCTCACGCTTGTGCCTTCCACGGTTGCTCAAAACGATTCAGCAGGTCGGATGAGTTGACTCGCCATTCTCGCATCCACACGAATCCCAATTCCCGAAGGAGCAATAAGAACCAACAGGCCGCCGCCCTGGCTGCAGCCGGGCACGCCGTGCCTCACCACATGGAACACTCTTCCGCCCGGATGATGCCTCCTCCACCGAAGATCATCTCTAAATCGGCTCCGGCCTCGCACGTCGGCTCGCCCAACGTCTCTCCTCCTCACTCCTTCCACGCGATGCATGCGCCGTCGATACATTCGGCTCTCTCGCCGTTCGCGAGGGCAATGAGCAGCCCGGCCTTGGCCAGTGGCCACCAGAGCCAACTGGATCTGAACCTGCTTGCCCAGACGGCTTCGCAGCAGCTCGAGCGAGAAAACGGTTCTCGGTATCCCTCCTACTACAACAACAATAACGGAAACCGCTTCCATCAGCTCCCTCCCCTCTCGCACACACAGCCAATGTCGCGGTCGCATTCCCACGAGGACGACGATCCCTACGTCTCGCACCGGGCAGCCAAGAAGTCGCGCCCCAGCTCTCCCGTCTCAACGGCACCATCGTCGCCGACCTTCTCGCACGATTCGTGTTCGCCGACCCCTGAGAGCACTCCTCTCGCGACGCCGGCTCACTCGCCGAGGCTGTACCCACGGGATATGGACTTTAGCCTCCAGCTGCCCAGCATCAGACAGCTCTCGCTGCGACACATGCCCGCTCTGGCTCCCATGGAGATTGCCGATCCCTACAACGCCGGCCAGAACAACCACAACACCATCCAGGTCTCGCACGGCATGCGGCTCGGTGACATCATCAACCGAACGGACGGCGCGCAGAGGAAACTGCCGGTTCCTTCGGTGCCGCGAGTAGCGGTGCACGATCTATTGAACGGAGGATATTCCAACACGTCGTCTTCGAGTAATAGCATCGCTGGAGGCGATCTAGCGGAGCGGATATGAGATTTCCATTTCATTTGCCTTAATTAATTATGGTTCTTTCTCCTCTTACTATTTTTTTGTTCAAGCGAGTCTCTTCTGGGTTTTCGTTTTTTTTTTGTATCTCTTTTTTTTGTTCTCTTTTTCTTTCAGGCAAGGTCTGGTCTGGTCTGGGGTTGGCGAAACACTTTGTTTATAGACGGTTCTGCTTCTTTGGCTCTGGCAATATTTTTCTTATTTTTCTACGATGGGCGTTTTATCCTGTTCTTTTGGGGCGGGCGGCGGGTGGGTTAGCTGGGCGGCGGGGGGCGGTGTTCGACATCATTATATTTGATTTCATTTCATGTTCCTCCACCTCTTCTCCAATCAGTTTCTTCATCTTCATGTAGGCATCTTTGGGTGTGAGATGGAGCTTCCTCCTATTATTATTATTTTACTCGAAAGAGGAAGATGTTTTTTGTATCCCCCCCCCCCCAACGATCTCCCCTTTTTTGTTTGTTTGTGGCTTGTGGCTTGTTATATAGATGGCGCGGGAAGGGGCATAGGGCTGGGATGTATTCGATTTCTATTCCGCTACCAGTGTCTCCTCTGCTTTCGTTTCGTTTCGGTTCCTTGGGCTATCGGGAGTTGTCCGGTATATTCGTTTTGTGGGTTATCCATCATGTAAGAGTAGGAGGGAGATGTTCCACTCACCACGGCGGCGATTGTTAGTTACGGGGTCGGGATCAGGGTCGGAGCAGACGGAGCAGACGGAGCAGACGGACGGAGAAGATGGTCAAGGCAGACGGTCATCATAGTCTAGTCTATGATAGTAATAACAAACAAACAAACACGACTCACTTCTCACTGTACAATTACTTGTGTTGCAGTCACTTGTGTTCAGTTATATCAGTCATATCCGGGGGAGGATGTGGGGAGTGGAGGAGTCTAGGAGGGGAGGAGGGCAGGATAAGGAGGGAGGCGAGTGGGAGGAGGGGCGGAGGGAGTCAGTTAATCTCCTGAGCCTGAGCCCGGCTGCCCGGATGTTGTTCGCAAGCCCGCTGGTTGGTTGGTTGGATGGATGGTGGTTGTTGGGAGGCTGGTTGGGAGGCAGGTGGGAGGCTGGCTGGTTGGGAGAATGGGTGGGATGGAGGAACGGGCTGTGTGGCATGATGAAACGGAACGGACCTTGGCCGCCGGAGTTTGGCCGCCGGGGCGGGTGGAGTCATGGAGTCATGGAGTCATGGAGACGGGCGGTACCGTAGGTGGAGTGTTGGTAGAGTACGTACGTGCGGGGGTGGAGAGGGATGGGATGGGGAGCGAGGAGAGGGGGGTGACTGCGGGCTGTATATTGCTATGTTCCTACAGTTCTACAGTTTTATATCTCCATGTTTCGGCATTACGGCATTACAGAACTATGGCATTATGGCATTACCTAAGGACTTAGCCATCATACTTCTTGCTTCTTGCCTACACTCACCACGGCGATCGGTTTCCTCCTCCTCCTCCCCCTCCATATACCTTTCCGACTCAATCCACCCTCAGAGCCACTCCACCCTCAACCCCCGAAGCGACGGAGGAAGGTTGAACGAGGAGGGAGGAAGCAGGAAGGAGGAACGAGCAACGAGCAACGAGGAATGAGTATGGAGTATAGGAACGATGAACGCTGAACGAGACAAAAATTGTGGGGAAGTATTGACTTGCTTGCTTGCGTAGGCAGAACCGTAGGCAGGCGGCAGATAGGTAGGTAAGCAGGCGGCAGTCGAGCAGGCAACCAGGCAGGCAAAGGGTAAGTGGTCCGCAAGGCAGGTGAGCAGGTGAGCAGGGCAGATATGGTATGATATGCACATGGGCAAGCAACGCACACTGCACAGGCCGACGGTATCGGTATGTACATGTAGTACGATCATGGCGTTTAGCCGGCGGTCAGGCGGGGGGGGGGGGGGGGGGGAGCAGGCGGGCGGGATAGGCGGGCGGGTGGACGGTAAGCTCTTGCTATGGACACTCTCACACTCTCACCTCTCACATACAGACACGGACAGTCAAACACTGACTTGCACGTAGAGTACACATCCACATCCACACATACATCCCCCATCCCGACCATACACATGCACTTGCATCTTCACTTCTTACACTTCTTACAGTTGCACATGCATTTACACATGCTGCAAGTTGGCAACATATATCTACACAAACCTATACATAAACTTATACACATAAGAATCACGATCAGATACCGGTTATCTGATGGACCGACAAACTTCTTCATGGATAGATTTCTTCATGGATAGATTTCTGCATTTCTGCATAGACTCCTAGCTGTACGGATAGATTTCCGTACGGATATACATATGGTGGTTGGTGGTTGGAGGGGAGTGAGCAGTAGTAGTTAAGTGCAGCATATGTGGCATCGATCTGTCCAAACATCGATCTCGAACAGCATGGCGTAGCTTACACCACCACTCTACTCTACCTACATAGGCACATCATCACATCACATCACATCGCATCGCCGCATCCCCGGAATCTATCTACTTTCTTATAAGTGTGTGTGGGCCGCGTTTGGTTTGGTTGCGTTGCGTGAGACTTCAGTGTGTGAGTGTGTGAGTGTAGAGTATATAGGTGAGAGGGTGTGTGGTTGTTTCCCTCCCTTCATCCCCGCCTCCCCTCCCCTCTATTCCCCCTCCTCCCCCTCCCCTCTATTCCCCCTCCTCCCCCTCCCCCTCCCCCGCTATGTATCTGCCGGTGGGAGCAAACACGATGATGGAGGGATGGATGGATGGGATGGTGCTTTTGTTTTGTGGGATGGTTTGGTTTGGTTTGGTTGGAGGTTGGGGTACTCTATGTACTCTAGGTACTCTAGGTACTAGTAGGTGGGTGGGTGGGTTTGTACGATGACGATGACGACGATGGACGATAGACAGATAGATTATGTACCGTTGTAGATAGGCAGAGTAGGTATGTAGGCAGATAGATAGAGTGAGTGGGTACAGTGGGTACAGTGGGTAACTTGGGTAGTACCGTGATGATGACGGTGATGCTGACGGACGATGACGATGACGGTGATGCGTGCGAGACAGACAGACAGACAGACAGACACACACCAGAGTAGACACATAGATAGGGCTCAGCGTCCGGCGGGCGCGCGGACAGTCGAGCGAGGTGGCTGCGAGCGAGCTTGCGAGCTTGCGTCCGCCGAGAGTGCCCTCCTCACCGCTGCCCACCACCACCACCAACACCACACCACTCTACAAACCTTCAAGTGTGGCTGGACGGAGAATTTAAACACCAAATATGATGTCGCTTTTTTTCATCGAGAAAGAAAAAAAAAGGTGGGGTAATTTGCGATTTACGGACATGGTCGCGAAGGGGGGTGGGGAGCAGAGAAAGCAGACAGACAGACAGACAGATCGCTGCTGCTGCTTCTGATGGTGACGACGATGATGGTGTGGAGACGTAGGTGTGGAGACGTAGGTGTGGAGACGTAGGTGTGGAGACGTAGGCGGGAGTATGACGTCGCTTTCCTTTCCTTTTCTCTTCCTTTTCTCTTTCCTTTTGCCTTTTCCTTTTCCTTCTTCCTTCTTCGCGAGCGAGAGAGCGAGCGAAAGAGCTGGCGCCATATTTTCGTTATCTTGCACCTTGCACCATGCTCTCTCTCTCTCTCTCTCTCTCTCTCTCTCTCTCTCTCTCTCTCTCTCTCCCCCCGCCTCTCTCTCTTTTGAGGAAAGCATGTGTTAGTAGTTATGCGCCGCGGACGCACGACGGCGTTTTTCTGACTCCAATCTGGTGGTACACACATGGACTCATGGAGTACATACCAGGGTAGGGACACGACCGAACGCCCCGGAACGCCTCAGAAGGCCCAGAGAAGCCCCGTGGAAGCCACCAGTGGACGGTGGACCCTGGTTGGTTGACTGGGGAAGGGAGGGGGGGGATGATAGGGATAGGGATAGGGATAGGTAGGGTGGAGGGGAGGGGGCGAAACGCACGCCGGGGAAAGGAATGATGGATGGATGGGGTTGGACGGGGTTGGATGGGGCTGGATGGAGGATGGATGGGGCTGGATGGAGGATGGATGGATGGATGGATGGATGGATGGATGGATGAGATGTTCTGTGCTTGCGCCGTGCTTGCTTGCGCACTGCGCTGCACTCACTGCTTGCAGTTGCCCGAAGCGGGGCGAAGTGGGTGAGCGTGGGTGAGCGTGAGGCGAGGGAGCGTGAGCGTGAGGGAGTGGGTGTTGCGGGGGCGAAAGGGCGGTGCGGGTGTGTGGGTGGGGATGCGGATGTCCTGTTCGTCGATGTCATGGTCTGGCTGGTCTGGCCGGGCGGTGGTGGTGGTGATGTGCTGGTTGGTTGGTCCTAAGCTTTTGCTTTTTTTTCTGCTTTTCTTTTCTTCTTTTCTTCTCGCTCCTTCGGCCTTTCCCCACCACTGGCTGGCTGGCTGACTGGCTGGCCTTCCCGCACGTATTCTCCTACCCCATCCCCAACTCCGCGCGTATGTGGCTGTTCAAACTTCACGCACGCTTCCCGTTCGCTCTTCGCTCGCTCGCCCGACTTTTGCGCGTCCCGTCCCGGCCCCTCCCCTCTCCCCCGTCCTCCCCGCAACGAGCTGCCCGCACAGCCCTCGTCCACGCCCCGGCACGAAGAGTGGAACGGAATGAAGCCTGTACTACTTACATGCTTCTTACTCACACTTACCTAGCACGGCCTGTAGCACCACGTCCCTTCCCCCCTTCCCATCTTTCTCCCCGCCCGCCCCCGCCTGTTCCCGAACGAAACCCTCCCCCCGTCGTCGCTGCCGGGAACCGATGCGTGCTCGCTCTGTCGTCCGTGCTCCACATGTAGCGGAGACTTGGTGGGTGCTCACGTTGTGGCTAAAACAATCGGTACTAGTGAGATGTGAACCATGAAGGCCACCCCACCGGCCTCGTGTGGACCCAGCCTCGGCCAGGCGCCCCGAGTTCGCCGCCGCCGCCAAGGGTGGGTGCTAGGTGGGCCTGTGGGGCAATCGTTCGTTCCTTCCGGCCTTGCTTACTAACCGGCTAGGTACTCTACTCTACGGTACTCTGGCACTCCGCAAATCTCCACCAACCAGAGTCCTATGTACTCTAGCATGGCATGTGAAAGAACGCCCGTGCTCCCCGTTCTTTCCCCCGCAGCGGAGGAAAGCGGAGAGGCCCGGATGGAGAGTGCTGACATAGAGTACCACTCCAGAGTACTCCAGAGTATCTACTCTAGAGCATCCGGTTACTCTAGCCAGGCAGCGGGAGTGGGAAACAGACCCCCTCGTTTCGTTTCGTTTGCTGTGTCTAGGTAGTTAACGTACACATGTCTATCAACTGTCGACTGCTGCTGTCGACTGCTGCTGCTGCTGCTGTCGTTGTCATTGTTGTTGTGGGTAGTATGTCTGTGTCTTTCCTACCCTGTCGGTCCGAAATTCTCTGCTCTCTACTCTCTCTGTTCTCCATTCTCTCCCTTACTTCTCCGCCCGTCTTCTGGGAGGAGATAAGGCACAGGATCGAGAAATCGATTATCGATCGCGGAGGTTTAACAGGGAGGGAGGGAGGGAAGCCGGCGCCGGGCGCATCGATGCAGGTAGCAAATCTCGATTCGATTCCTTTCCCGGCCTTTGATGCAGAGAATGGGAAAGAGAATGGGCGAGGGAGGGATGCGTGGTGGTTTCTCATGCGAGCGGATCTGTCTCTGTGGATGTCTGTCTCTCGCAACTTATCTTATGGCACCATTGTAACTTGTCATACTGTCATCTTGTCATCGCTGACAACGCCGACAACAATAACAACGTCAACAACGGCAGCGGCAACGTCAACAACAGTAACACCCACACCGAATAAGGTCTCTGCCACTCGTGGACGAGGAGGAGACGACAACGATGATGACAACAATATTACCAACAACCCACAATAACGACAACAATAATATTACCAATAATAACAGCCACAACAACCCACAACAACAACCCACAACAACAACTCACAACAACCCACAGCAACAACAACTCACAACAGCAACCCACAACAACAACGCTACACACACCTCCATACACTTACATAAATAACAACAGCAACCTCCAACACGGCTGCACCGATCAAGGCTTCCGATTGTTTTTCTCACATTTTTTTAATCCCATATTCCCGTAACTATTCCCGTATTCCCGTCTTCTCTTATCCGATTTCTTTCCCGTCGCTAGGCCCGTCCGGGCGGGCACCACTGAATCACTGACCTGGCCGGAAAATATGCCCTTTTCCTTTCCGGCCGCCTTTGCAGCGCATCAACCAGGCTGCTGTTGGCCCGTGTCAGAGTCGTCGTCAATGGCTTTTCGCTTTGCTTTTGCCTCTCGTATCTGCTCCTTTGCCTCTCGTATCTGCTGTCTGCCAGCTATATATGTATGTCAAGTTGTCGCTAGGTCCACCACTCACGTAACGTTCGCGAACTTGACCCTACATGTGTGAAAGTGTAACGGCTTTTCTTTTACGGCATCGGAATCGTGAAGCGTGAATCGTGTTGTTCCTCCTCCTCCAACTCAAGCAAGCAACTCAAGCAAGGGGCGGATATCATATATGCACAATTGCACAACTGTAAACTGCAAAAGTCCCTTCTTCCCCGGGTCCAATGCCCATGCTATTTAGACATCAATCGAGCCCCAATGTTTTCCTTTTTCATAGGTGCGTACCTGGAAAAGCTACGAGTACTGTAGTTACTGTAGCTGTGAGCATGTGTGACTCGAATTCGAAGGGTTTGCAAAGTCGGCATGTGCTGGTGCGTGGAGGCTGTTGATGGTCTATGGATAGGAAGCAAGCCTGAAGCTTGGAGCGTGCCAGCTGTGAGTGAAGCATAGCAGTTGGCCCTGAGCTTATACCAGCCCTGGACACGGACACGTATCACCCTTTGTGCTGGCGGTGGGAGGTGTAATCACCGAGTCTCACTCACTCGCCTCGTTCACTCGTCTCGTTCACACTTCTCACTCATCCCCCCTCGCCCCATCTATAGTAGAGTACATTATGTCGATTAAACAAAACAAAACAAAAAACCACCCCCCCCCCCCCCCGCCGATCCTAGGTACTCTAAAGGTTCAGCCCCAACCGGCCAGCCAGCCAGCCTTCCCCCAGCGCCGAGCGGTGAGTCGGTGAGTCGGTGAACATGCACTGTGCAGCCTTCCTAATGCTCCCTCCCTCCCGTACTTCGAAGTTCGGCCAAGTCCAAGTCCAACCCCAAGCCCAAGGCGACCTGATGATAGCAGTAAGAAGCCAGAAATATGTATGTAAGTACGGCATATATCTCCCTGCTACGCACCGCTACGCACCGCGGCACCCCGCACACTACTAGTAGTCACGCATGTGTTTATGTAGCCCATGCACGGCGACCCCACCCAATCCGGGGTAATCACCACCACCACCACCACTTGCCTGCCTACATACATAACTACGAACTTATGCACCACCGCCGCAAAACACCTTCAACTCTTTTTTTTCGTGCGCTTTCTTTGCTTTTTCTTAAAGCTCTTTCTATGTACTATGTACTTCTTTCCTTCCGCCGTCTGCTGGCCGCTACTAGATAGATCGGGTAGACTCGATAGATGGACTACGGTAGATATGTAGACTGGGTACATAGATAGGTGGTTAGGTGGTTAGGTGGTTAGGTGGTTAGGTGGTTAGGTGGATAGGTACCCCGCAAAATATGCTTCCGGTCTGGTCTGGTTTGCTTGCTTGTCTTGCTTGTTTCGTCTGCCGTCCTCTACTCTCGACACGAGACGTACTCTACTTACCTACGTAGTAGCCACGCGGGGGGCCCTCGTTACTTTTTTTCCTCTTCTTTTTTCTTCACGAGTTCTCTAGTGGGTGCTGTGTGGGGTGGATAGGGATTGATAGGATAGGGCAGATCGAGAGATCGGGAACCGAACCTTCTCTCGCGCACTCGCGCCACATGGAGGCGATGCCTGGCTGGGCGGGGTGGACCTCGTGTACATACATCGCTCGTGCAGTGCGGGGGGAAACGAAGCTGTGCTGATGATGCTTGATGGTGCCTAATGGATGATCGGGATCGGCCCTGGCATGATGGGCAGCGCTGGCAAACAGTACAGTGGAAAAACAAATAATTATGTATCTAGGTTCTAACCTCCCACCTCGCAGCCTCCCAGCCTCCACATGCAAACGTCCCCCCGCCGGTGGTGGTGGTGGTGGTGGTGGTGGTGATGGGCTACGGGTTGCGGGTTGTGGGTTGTGGGTTTTTGTATGGTAAGAGTAATTGAGTCCTGCTGGCTGCGTCCGGCTGACGTTAATGTTGGCATTCACGTTGACGTTGTGAGACGGTGGTTACACACATACCGGTACATACTGGTAACAACCTAGGCGGGGTACAGACGGACGGGTGGGTGGTGACGATGAGCTGGCTGCCGTGTGGGGACCCACGTACTGTACTCTATCTACCCGCGCCAGCTGCGGTGCTAGCTGCGGTGCCAGATGGTACCGCGTTTGTGGACCGCCTACGGTACCTACTCCATCGGCGACTCGACGTCCAGGCCCGAGCTGAAGTGAAGGAGCGGCCCCTCCCCTCCCCTCCCGTCGTCCCGTCCCGGCCAGACGTTGCTCCGGCTCGGACGGACGGACGGACGGACGGACGGGACAGGACGGACGGGACAGGACGGGGACGGGACAGGACGGGACGGCGCTTCCATCCCCTCCGCGCTGCCGTCGCCGCGGCTATTACGTGGCAGGCGTGGCAGACGGGGGCAGATGCGGACCAAAGCTTCCGTGTACTTACATAATCTATCTACTTACTCCATCCACTCTATCTACTAGTAGATCCAGCGACAGTGCAGCACCGCAGGACCGGGGGCGGCAAGATCTCGCCGAGTCGCCGGTGCGTTGTTGCCGCGCTTAACTTATCTAACTTAACGTCAATCTCAATCTCAATCTCCATCGCAACATCGAGGCTCGACTCCCGAGCTTAGAGTTTATGTAGAGTCCAGACTGCAGGCCGTAGATCAGTAGAGTTGAGTAGAGTTGATAGACGTTTGCGGCGGTCAGCCAGTCACATGCGCACCCCCAAGCTCCAACCCCACACCAGCCCCGCCCGTCCATTTCCCTGCATCTTTTTTACTTTTTTTGCTTTTTTGGCGGAGAAAGTCTAGATGTATGATAGTACTCGTACATATGTGGGGGTGGGGGACCATGGGGGGATCATGGGGGGACTACATATGGGATATGGGCTCACGTGCCCATGCTCTGCTCGAGAGTCGAGAGTCGGGAGGCTCCACTCGTTGACTCAAGCCTTTTTCCTTTTTCCTCCATGAGGATACGGTAGTTATCTCTCTGCCAGTGTCTATAGGTACTGTAGGATGTACCCATGACCGACCGGCCGCCAGATCGCCCCGATGGCATGGGTGCGTGTGCGTGTGCAAGGCAAAAGAAAAACAAAAAGAAAAGAAAAGCAAATGGCAGCCTACGCATCCACGCATCCATCCATAATCGCCCTCTGGCAGAATTCCCACATCATCGAAGTTCCATATTTTGCCCTTTTACCGCCAGAAACGCGGGGGCGGGGCGGGGGCACGCAGGTTTCGTTTGCTACGGCGGACTCGGGAGGAGTGGGAGTGGGAGCGGGACCAGGTAACCACACATGTACACATGTACGTACGTTCCTACCTGGGTAGTCAGTAGGTGGGAGGCTAGGAGGTATATAACCCGAGCATCGAACCTTCCGCTGCGATCGATATCTGGCAATTCCCATGCCCAAGTCCAACGGGTCCGTTTGTTTGATTGCCCTAGCCGCTGGCTCACCCCCAGGATGTCGCTTTCGCCGGTGTGGGGTGGAATGGGGTGAAATGGCCCATGGGGTGGGGGGAAGATGGGGGAGGATGGGGAGGATGGGGTTCCGATACCGATGCCGATGCTTCCTTTGTTTTTCGGCACCAAGGGGCTCGTCTGCCTGCCTACCTAATTATCTGCCTGCCTCCCGTTCACCGCCCGTAACTAGGTGCGTGGAAAACCCACGCTCTCACCCACCCAGTCGCCATCTTAGCAACGCGAGGGGATTATACATGCATCATACAAAAGTATATACATGCATACACACATAGAGTACGTACCTACGTGCCTAAGTGATGACCGCACGGGATAGTTTTTTCTTCATTTTTCCTTCTTCTTCCTTCTTTCTTTTCTTTCGTGTCGTGCCGTCCGGAGCCGAGTGGAGTCGAGTGCGTTGTACCTGAACGTTTTTTTCCTTTATGTATTTTTCTTTTCCTTTTCCTTTTCCTTTTTTCCCCACCGGTTTTGTATGCGTGGGAGATGGCCGATGAACGATGGCAGCTGGGAGATGGGGGGCACGAGGCGGCCGCGGCGGCGGTCTTCGCTCCGGTGCAGTGCGTGGGCGCGCGACCACCTGGCCATCCCGCCGTCATCGCTCTGCTGCTGCCAAAAGAAACGGTACTGATTGAATGCGGAATGGTGGTGAGAACTCAAACACCAGGTGTATGTGCATGTGCGCCGTATGTAGGCTGTAGGCTGTAGCCTCGTGGGGGGAGGTTAACGTTCTCGGTATATGTAGTACGTACGTACAAGGCTGGCGACTGCGAAACTGCGAAACTGAGGAATTGGGTGGTTGGGGATGGGGGGGTACGGTGGTGGCACAGCATTTGGCCACCAACAGCCTCATGTCGCTCTTGCGAAGTAACGATAGCACGTCGGTCCACTTGGAAGGCCGAGGCCAGAGTATGGGCCGATTGATACTCTGTGCTTGTATCTCCAGGCTTCCGTCACGTGAGAACACACCTTCACAGTTTATCACTCGCTTGGACGTGTGGCGTGTCTTAGGTTTGGAATTTTGGATGGATGTCTGCGTCTCCCCGGCCAGTCGGATAACTACTAGTAGTACGTAGTCAACCCACAGTTGAAAGTGGCGGTCGAAGCCTCGAGACTAGGTGACGTTGTCTCGTCCTCACAGAGCATAGTGTCCGGGCTCTCCTAATGATCGATTCCCCTTACCCAGAGTTGTGAATAGGTTTCCCCGTAGACAGTACAAGCTAGTCACTAGACACTGCCGTGCCACGTTGGGTCTCATCCACGATGCTGCATTTCCAGACCGGATGCTGCGGTCGATATCGGTGCTTCAATGTACGAAGCTCTTGCTGTGAGTGGTTGCATAGTTTAACCACGTACTAGGTATATCATGGCGATTTCCCGGCTGGCTTCGTCGTCTTCTGGTTTCTGCATGAAAGAAAAAGTATTGAGCTGGGCTGGATGGTCGATCCAACGCGATAGTCAGGACCCAACGCGGAGGTGGTGCGTCATAGATTCGCACTGCGTGGATTGTCGCTTGTTCCCAGAGTCTCCTCAGGTAGGCCTCGTTTGTTAGTAAGGGCTTCGTTCGGTGTCAGAAGTTTCATTTACTCTTACGGATTCCATTCGTTGTCATTAGTCTCATTCAATCCTCCTACCTCTATTCACTCTTTCGGGCTTCATTCAACTTCGCAGCTCCATTCACGTTTCCGGGCTTCATTCATTCCCAAAAGTTTTATTCACTCTTCATAGGTCTATTCACTCTTTCGGGCTTCATTCATTATCAAAAAGTCTCATTCACTCTTACCAGCTTTATTCACCCTTCCAGACCCCACTCAACCTCCCAACTCCAATTCACTCTCCTAGAGCACATTCGCATTCACAGGCTGTATTGGCGCTTCCGAAGCCATACCCATTCCCCCTTGCCTATAATTGTGAATTGATTTCCCCGTAGACTATGCATACAGTAGCAAAAAAGTGGGGTGCGATTAATGCCGACGGTATCCAGTAGTACTACCGCTCGAATTTAAATCCAGCAGTGTCAGAGAATACAGATTTACTCTGGTATTTTTTCCCCTATGTTCTCAATTCTACAGTAACGCAAAATTCATACGCAGTGTTGTAAAGATAAGCTTACTAAAAAGCCGGAAGAACTATTGCAGTTCTTTCGGATGCAAAACATTACGCACTGTCCATATTACCAGAGAACTACCAGAGAACCACCTTATTCCCACAATTATGTAGTGTAGGGAAGACGTTGTCATGCTAGTCGGGTAGTTCCTAGACTGTAAAAATACTATGACGACAAGAGTCCTGCGAGAAAAATGCCGCGCTGAGCGAATCCGGTATGCATGCAGTAGAAACCCTCAAGTTTTACGAATACGTACTGTGAGTAAGACGTGTTGTACGCAAGCAAACATTTATGACATTCTTGCAGGGCAGGAAGTGCCGTAGGCCTACGGAATAAATGCTGTAGAGGAAACTATACGGATTGAGCTGAATACAGTAGAGCTGCCGAGTCCCTACGCAATTGAGAAGTATATTTGACAGTGCCTACACTACGCAAAGTTTACGCAGCTGTAGCTCTACAGGATTTCTTTAGTAGCCCTTCAAGATGACTTCTTTGGCAAAAGTCTTTACGTATTTGGAAATTCCAGGTTGTTGTCACAATATGCACCATGTGAGGCTTCAAGTATTCGTCTCATTTGAGATATTACTACTACCACCACTGACTACTGTAGGCAACTCATGCTTCCGTTCCAAGCACCTGCCAACCACCGATGCCCTTTCCACACCATCCATGGGCTCATTGCTCTAGATACCGCACTGGACTCACCGCAGATAGCCCACCGTTTTCGCTGTGATTAGTACACTGTCTTCGCTGCGATTAACCCACTCGAATTTCTGTCCTTTGCTATCTGACAGCCCCTGTATGGCGGAGTGAAGGAGGAGCTGTCAGCGAGAGGAGGAACTGTCAGTGAGAGGAGGAGCTGTCAGCGAGAGGAGGAGTTGTGGCGAGAGGAGGACGGCCGTCCAAGTCACGTGAATATGATTCGGCTGATTGATGATTTCTTAGCACCGATATCCTACGCACCATATCTCACTCGGACACCCAAGGTCCACGCCCGAAATCAGTTTTTTGCCCAAGGCTTAGCGGACGGCCGTCCTGCGCCGTCCGTCTCGTCCGTCCATCCTCATCCGAGGCCCAGAACGGACGGACCGGACGATGGAGAACACTGGGTGTTGGTAAAGGAGCCGTCTGCAAATCCGTTGTGCTACTGCATCTACCAAACCCCGTGATACTCCAAAAGATTGCATTGTACGGACCCCAAAGTACTGGCGAGCACCGATTTCTGCAAGCACGGAAGTCTTTCAGTAGTGATACCACAGCCATCCAGTCACAGATCACGTAGCACTACCAAATTTGACCAAATGTGCAGTCTTATATAGGACGAATCTGCAACTACAGCTTGATATAATTACGCAGTGCTTACAACACTGTAAAACTCTCGCTGTCTGTAGACGACGTATTTCCTTTCGATAAGTGATGAGAGAAATACGGTACGGCTTCTATATTTATAGAAATACGTGTTCTTTAGACTTTTTTAAAAGTAGGAATAAGTATTAAACAAACATCTGGTAGTCCTTCGGTATTCAAACGATCGCGGTATTCTTCCCGTATCAATCGCACCCCACTTTTCCCTACTATAGATATGCTCTTGCTGTGGGTAGTCGGATGGTTCAGCCACGTATCGGGGCGATTGAAGATTCCCGCGGATAGCCTTGTCGTCTTCCGGTTGAAGGCGTGGAAAAGGTATCGAGCTGGGCCTGCCGCTTGCTCCAACGCGATCGTTAGGACTCGGCGCGGAGGTGGTTGCGTCACATGTTCGCACTGCGGATTGCCGCTCGTTCTTGGAGTCTCCTGGGCCTCATTCACTCTTCCGGGCTTCATTGATTATCAAAAGTCTCATTCGCTCTTACGGATGTCATTCGTTGTCATTAGTCTCATTCGATCTTCCGAGCTCTCTTCACTCTTTCAGGCTTCATTCAACCTCGCAGTTCTATTCACTTTTTCAGGCTTCAAATCGTTCCCAAAAGTCTCATTCACTCTTCTCGGCTCTATTCGTTCCCAAAAGTTTCACTCTTCCTAAGTCTATTCACCCTTCCAGGCTCCATTCAACTCCCACCTCTATTCGCTCTTCCAAGCCACTCAAACTCCCAAATACCATTCACTCCTCGAGGGCACATTCGCCTCCACAGGCTGTATTGACGCTTCCAAAAAAAAAGTCATCCACTTCCCTTAGTCTCGCCCACTTTGAATGCCCCAACCAGGCTCCGCCCAGCGCAGTCTCGACTGCATTCTCTCACTGTCCGAGCCATCATAGCCAATACGTACGCCACGCAGGCTACTCTCGACTGGCACCGTGGTTTTCCGGTCTCGGCGTGGAAAAACTTATCGAGCTAGGCTGAATGGTTGCTCTATAGTGATTGTTAGGACTCGACGCGGTTGTGGCTGCGTCACTTGTTCGCACTGCGGATTGTCGCTCGTTCGCAGAGTCGTGTGTGCTTCGAAGTTCTTGAGAGCTGAATTCGTTGGCAAAAGTCTCATTCACTCTTCCCAACTCTATTCACTCTTCCGGGCTTCATTCGTTACGGAAAGTCTCATTGTGGGAACGAGTGTGTTCCTGTGAGTAGTCCACTAGCCGCCCGGAGGACCGGTGGTGGGTGCTTGGAACATTCGGTGCGGTAGCGGGTCCAAGTTTGGTTTCTTTCTCTCTCTGTGTCTCTCTCTCTTGTACCGGTAGCTCCTAGACACGAACATCACTTTTTCCCATCTCCATCGTCCCAGTGATCTCCACCCCGAGCCCTTCCAACAGGAGGTATTCAATGTGGTGGATTTTTCTTTGGAGGAGGAGAATTGCACGAGATATCACTCGCCAATGATCGTACCTAGTGCGTTGGACTCCGTCCCGCATTGTTTCCGTCGTTCCGTCTGTCATTATGTTATGTACGAGTGCGTAAGCTCTCTCCGGGAGGGGAGAGTTATATTCACCACCTCCTCGTCGATACTCCGCCCCCCACTCCGCCCCGCCCGGACCTCAGCGGGCAGTATTCCCGCCGGGAGCGCACAAACATATCCCCTCCTCGAGAGGGGAGACGGGGGGGCGCTTTCGCTTCGGGCCGCACATACACAGGCCGCACACACACGGGCCGCACTACCTAGTACGGCAACGGCACAGGCACGGCACAGGCACGGCACAGGCACGGCACAGGCACAGACATACGGTAGGTACAGCAGAGGTACGAACACCGATGACGCAAGAATCAAGATACGCAAGATACTCTACGCAACCCCACGCCCCGCCCCGCACTGCCATCCGGCTGGCGAGTCCATTACGTACCTGATGTATAGAGTATATACTCTACTCTACCCAGCCAGCCAGCGGGGTCGTCACTGCTCTACTCTTTTACATAGGTACATCTATCCATCCATCCATCCCCCACCGCCATCGGTCCTAGCCCCTCCCTAAGCCTATGCGCGGTCGATGTCGGCCTCCCCCCTCCCCCCTCCCCCCTCCCCCCGCCACCCCCACCCAGCCCCTGGACGATGGACCGGACGATGGACCGGACGATGACCCGGCCGATGGACCGATCAACGCCACCGTCGCCGATCACCGCGGCGATCCCACGTAGTTAGATCATGTAGGTACCGGCGACTGTCTTTTTGCCCAGCTGGAGCGAGCGAGCGAGCACATATCAGGGTCCTGTGTATGATAGTGTGGAAGCCGACTTCCCCCTCCCTCCCGCCTTCTCACCTCTCCCACCCCCCCCGCCTTGCCCTTCCCGCACCGGGCTATGCACTACTCTGTACACACTCAGGTTTTCGTTTCCGTTTCGCCTGGAACTGGTGCTGGTGCTGGAGCTGCCCTGGTCCCTGGCCCTGGCCGCTGGGTCTGGCTGCTGGGTCTGGCTGCTGGGTCTAGGTGTGACATCACAGACATCACAGACATGACAATGCTGGCCCCGACATCACAGACTGGCCCCCAAATCTCGAATCTCGAATCCCGAGTCCCGAGTCCTGGCGATCAAGTCCCGAGTTTCCCCACCTTGGTTCCAAGTTTGATTTCAGTTTCGATTTGATTTCAATTCCATTTGATTTCGATTCCATTCCATTTCTCAATTTTGCATTTCGATTCCCTTTTCCCTTTTCCCTTTTCCATGCTACCTACCTACCCAGTTTCCCATGTCCCAACCCCTCCCAAAATCCGCGAATTGCATCCTTCAATCTTTCAATCTTTCAATCAAGAAAGAAAGAACCCAGAAAGAAATGGAGAAGAAACCGAAAAAGAAACGAAAAAACCCCGCCTCCAAAAAAAAAAAAAAAAAAAAAAAAAAAAAAAAAAAAATCCTCCTGGCCCCGCCCCACCCATCCTGACCATTCGAGTCTGAGCTATGTCGAAGCTATACTGACAGCCCCACTATCCATCCCTCCATCCATCCATCCATCCATCAATATCCCATCCCATCCCTTCAAACTTCATTCAGAAGATCCTAAACAAAAAACCACCCGCGTTCTAGAGTATGTAAAGCCGAGTTAAGTTGTGTCCAGCAGCCAGCCAGAAGGCATCAAAAAAGTAAAAAAAATCGAACGAAACTGAACAAAACTAAACGAAACCGAAAACAAAAGCGAAAACAAAAAGCAGATGAACCACCGACCGACCAGAAACACATGAACCCCCCCTCCCCCTCCTCCTCCTCCTCCGCCGCACATACCCAGGCGGGCCAGTCGCAAACACAGTCGCAAACATAACGGGAATGACGCCCAAGAGAAGAAAGAAAGAAAGAGAAGAAAAGAAAAGAACGTAAAACGATGGCGAACGATGATGATGACGAGGTTGAAAACTTTTGAATAACGTATGTGCTTGTGTGTGTGAACGATGATACTTTGTTGAACAAAAACTGAAACTGAGACTGAGTTTCTCATCAGTACGAAGTAGCATACCGACACACCGACACATCCAACGCCATCAACCAAACCACCACCCCATATCCATCTCCACCGACCGACAGACCCCTCCCCATTAAAGGAAAGATACATAAAACAGAAAACACCGTGTCGAAGAAAGAAAGAAAGAAAGAAAAAAAAGAAGATGGAACAAAGAATGAACAGAGGTAAAAGCACAGAAACAAAAAACACCCCAAACCCAGTTAACCCATCATGATCATGAACAAAAACGGCTACCAAACTTAATCAACAATCTCCCAAGAACAGAAAGGAAAAAAATAGTAAAGAAAACCTCCGCAGAAAAGGGGAGGGGAAAAAAGCAGCGCACATTGCTGGTATAGGTCAGAATTACAAGAAACGAAGAGCAAAACCCCGCCCTCTAGACATGAACAGTAAGAAGTACACCGTGGTAAACAAAGGAAAGCAGAAAGAAAAACCCCGCCTTTATAAGGTGACGGCAAATAACCGAGGCGCAACACAAAAAGGGAACTGAACAAGGCAAAAGCACGCATCGGCGCTGCCAATAGAGAACAAAACTCAAACTCGGCCTTACTGTTTTCCTTATCCAACGAAGGGGTTGGATACTCGCTGCCGTGTTTCTGCCGCATGTAGCCAATGCTTTTCCGATACCGAGAGCCCAAATTTCCCTACCAAATGACAAAACCTAAAAAATGGATCAGAAGAAAAAGAAAGAAACAAAGAAGTGTAGACAAGAAGAAAAGAAAAAAGAAGAGAAGAGAAGAGAAAGCAAAAAACGTCCGAATGAAAACCGAGAAACCGATCCGAAAGAAATGACGATGTCGCAAAAAATCCGGACTCGAAGGAAGTGAGGAACGATGCATCTCAAACTTTTATGATGGCCAAATTTTATGGGATGTGCCGAGGAAAAAAATGCGCCGGGGGAAATCTTGGAACAGTAACAGCAATCCTGTATTACTCAGGCCGTGATGGGTTGGCCGTAATTAGCGTTGGCAAAGAAATTTTCGGTAGTCTGCTGTCGGCACTGGAAGCAGCCGGCAGCAGTGTGGCCGTGGTGGCTGTGCCACGCGTGAGGGTGATAGTTCGCGATCGGCGGAAGCCTCGAGAAGGTGGGGGCAGGCTGTGGGGGGTTTCCGTACGGGACCGCCGCCCATCCAAAGTGGTGGTTCTCCGGTGTGGTGGGTCCGGTCTCGGGAGCTGAAGGGGGTGAGTAGTCGGCCGGGTTCCAACCCCAGTATCCATCGGAGGGCTGTGTGGGCCGCACCGGAGGCAGGTGGATCGACCGGTCGGTCATGATGGTCGAGTGCGGAGGTGTGTACATCGACTGCTGCTGCTGTTGCTGCTGAACAGGGTAGGGCTGGACCGGTGAGAAGGTGCTGTGCGACCGAGCCCGGATGTTCGTATCGATGGGGGCAAGGGCGAGGGCCGGCGCAGCGGCAACAGCCTTCCTTTTGACCCAAGCCTCCCACGTGTTCTTGTACTGGCTGAATCCCTTGGTGCCTTCAGGGTCGATGTGGAGGTTCCACCGCATCTCCTTCAGCCACTCCTTCTCCAACGCGTTGAGCTCCTGCACGGGAATGTTGGTGACTTCGGACCATGATTTATTCTGGAAAGTATTATCGTCCAAGAATTTTGAGGCGAGAAGCAGCGAGATCGTCAAGAGACGATACACGTTGTTGTCCTGTCGGGTCATCCCGGGCATCTGTGGCTGTGCCATCCGCTCTCGCAGATAGCAGAGACCGAGGAGAATGGTGGAGCTCGGCAGCCTGGTTGACGACAGGATCTGGTAGACAAACTTCCTGTAACTTGGCAGCAGCTTGTCGTGAGTCATCTGGCCGAGGACCAGTCTCTGCGCCATGGTGCCGACGAAATCCGTCATCTCCTCCATGTCGTAGTCGAGGTGAGCCGAAACACCACCGGTCGGCTTCTCCTCCGCTTGCTGAGCCTGCTGCTGCTCCTGCAGTCGTCGCGCCTCCTGGCGCGCGTGGAGTTCGGCTGCGTAGCTCTTGCCGCCCGGTATCGTCGCTTCGATGCGTTGCTGGGGGGCGTAGTACTGGCTACCCGGGTGAGTGATCCCGGGAGGCGGAAGACCAGCGTAACCGGACTGCTGCTGCTGCTGCTGTTGAGGGTGGTGGTATCCTGCCTGGGGAACCCGCACGAACGAAGGCATGATCTTGCGCCCGTATGCGTCGACATTGATCTCGTAGAGTCCCTTTTCAGGCACCGGAAGACCATGGGCTCCAACGGGGTACTGGTGCTGGATCTGCATCCCACATCCCGCATACTGCTGCAAGTATTCTGGGGGGGTCAGGGGGTGGCCGGGGTGGGGAGGATACATGCACGGCATGTTGTCGGAGATGTCGGTTCTGGGGGATAAGATGACCGTGTGATATGACGCCACTCTACCAGTGAGAAGATCGACCTCATTAGCCATGGTATGCTCAAAGTTGGCCACAGAAGAAGCCATGATCGAGAAGTTCCTCAGCTGACGGAACTCACCAACAGTCCTTTTCTACCCTCCGAAAAAGCGTTCTACGGCGAGCGTAGAAAGCGCTTCTTTAAAAGTCGCGGATTATCCTTTCGTTTATTGCCGACTGTCCATTCAACGATGTCGATTTACGAGGAGAGGGATAATCGGGAGGATGGATGGGAAAGGTTGCGACGATGGAGCGGAGGCGATCCGAGAGGAGTGGGAGGAGGAGAAGGAGTGGGAGGAGGAGTGGGAGGAGGAGTGTGATTTGTGGTGGGTGGAGGTGGTGGTTGAGGTTTGGTGTGAGGTGGTGTTTAGGTAAGGAACAATGAATTCGTTAAACGGGAGGAGACGTTGATTCGCGGGTGGATGTGTTCGAAGGATATCCGATCAGACCGGAAAGCGGAGAAAAATGCGTGAGTGTGAGTGAGAAAGAGAGCGCTAAAAAGAAGGGATTTTGCTTGTCGAAGCGGTGGGGTGCGATTTCGATGATGCTGTTGGGGGATGTGGGATTTTTTCTTCCCTGCGGCGTAATGTGTCGAGTTTCTAAATTAATAGGTCGACAACTCGTAGCTGCAGAAGGTGGATCGAAAGTTCCGAGAAGAACTTCTGAGTGATGTTTTTTTTTTCGTTAAACGGACTATTGAAAGCCAATTGCAACAGCGAGGGGGAGAAGATGTTGGTCGTAACGATGATTATCAAAACCAGCGAGCAGGCAGTAGGGGAGAGAGGGGAAGGGGGATAGGAGAGTAGGAAGATGAAGATCGAAGTGGGAGGGTTCGGTGGTGGAGGAGGTAGGAGGAGTGGTGGTGGTGGAGGAGGTGGTGGGTGGTGGTGGAGGAGGTGGTGGGTGGTGGGTGGAGGGAGAGGAGGAGGATGATGAGGGAGATGGTGGCGGCGGTGATGTAGGGGACGGACGGGGGTTGCGAAGAGAAGTCGTCCGTTGGGGTTGGGTCCGCGGACTGGGGGGGGGGGGCTGTGGGTTGGGTTGGGTTTTGTGGGAATTGGTTGGTCGGGACCAGGAAGAGGGAGGTACGTCAAGACAGGATATTGGATTCGAGTCTGAGAGGCTGATTTTCAGTCTCGGTCGGTCCTTCTCGTTTCTTCTTCTCGTCTTCTTCCACTTCTCGTCTCGAGTATTTGTTCCTTGCCAACTGACTACCACCACACAATTTCGCTGCCAGAGGCCGAACCGAACCGTTGAAGATCGGAAGTGCCGGTTACTGCTGCAGTCGCTGTTGGTGCTTTTTTTTCTGCTGCTGGGCTGGAAAGTTTCTACGTTTTTACTTTATATATTTAATTTTGCGCGCGATGGTTCGGAGTGGTTCTCTTCTCGATTCCCAGGCGGTACGTGCTTCGATGTGCAAATGGAAATGAATATAAAAAAAGAAAGCGAAAGCGAAAAAGAAAACCCAACCCAGAGAACACGGAAGAGAGGAAATGCGGCTTTGGTTTGAGGAGCGGAGGTGTCTCTCTTGCACTCGACCCGGGAGACGAGTAGGCAGGGAGAACGGGCGAAATGGGAGGAGAGTGAGTGGGGGAGGAGGAGGCGAGGAAAGTGAGTGAGGGAAAAGAGATGACGGAGGGTCGAAAGAGGGAAAGGAAGGAGGACCCTGTTCGTCAGCGGGCGGCGGGTACGAAGCTGGTGGAGGGTGGGGGGGAGTCAACTGGGGGGAGGGGAAGGAGAACAAGGTGATGGGTGGTGGTGGATGGAAAGGGAAACGCTCGGTTCGGGGAGCAAAGAAAGCACCACGATGAGGACCAAAGGTAAGTGGGTAAAGATATACTTGGTTACATATCCCATCGACGAAGGCTCCGAAGCGCGAAGGCACGTTGACGACGAGCAGGCCCAGGCAAAGGGCAAATGACAGGCACCAACGCGAAGCCCCCGACGACCTCCGACGACCAAACGGTCAAGACAGCCAGACGCACAAGCCGTAGCAGGAGTAGCGGCAGGAGTGGCAGGAGCAGCAGCAGGAGCAACTCACCACCACTACCCACCAACCCCAGCCCCAGCGACAACCAAGCAAGACGCACGCAGCACCACCGCAGGACCGCAGCACCACCACCTCCACCACCACCACCGCAGCACTCCCCCTCTCCAAGCCATCCTAATCCACACCGTGCCATACCAGACCAACCCAAGACGAGACGACTTTACTTTCGACTAGGGGGAGATGTGGGTGGTAATCATATGTAGTGGTGGTGGTGGGCGGGCGGAAACTGGTAGGGGTGGTGTGTATTTTGGTTGTGAGTGATCGATTGAACGTAAGGAGGGCAAAGCAGAGGTACCGGAAGCTTCGCTGAGGGCATTCGCCTCACCGCGAACGCGTAAGTCGAAAGCATACGGCAGGTAGCTCGAGGACGAAAGACTCAGGCCAGAGCCAGAGCCGAGCCAAAGCCAGAGCCAGAGTAAAGACAAAGCCAGAGATGGAGTCAGCGAGATGCATCGCGACAAGCCAGAGTGCTCGGTCGAATACGTGGCTTTTGATATTTCCACGCCACAGAATGGAAGTATGAGGGCCGACAAAGTTACACACGGACAGTCGATAGCCACCACCACCATCATCATCATCACCATCACCGATAGATGGAAGGTATCTAAACGACGCTTGTGAGTGAAAAGCGCGAAGAGAAAGAAAAAAAAAGGCAAAAGATCGAAGACCTTTACCTTCTGCGGAGCACCCTACTCGAGAGCACTCTGCTATTCTAGTAAAGTAGAGTCCACCTCCCGAACTCGGTCCTCCGCTAACCCGCAGAAACAAATCCGAGAGAGTATTTTCCGACCACCCTGCGAGCTTTGCGTCTGTCTGTCTTCCTTAGCTGCCGTTGCTGTGCTGCTGACTGGCGCCTGTTAGTTGCGCTCGTCAACCTCCCACCCCCTCCCTCCCTCATCTTGTTTGGGTGACGGCTCTTGCATGCGATCCTAAAAAAAAAACTGTGACTCCTGTCACCCCCCCTCCCCTCTCCCCCTCCTTCGTCGAGAGCTGCCACCCATCACCCTACCTACCGTCCACCCACCCACTCCAGATACGGATGTCTGGAACCTGGCCTGGCTGCTCTCATTTGTCCGAGCGTCTTGTCTGGAAGGATGGGTGGATGGATAGATGGGTGGATGGGTGGATGGGGGTGGATGGGTGGATGGGGGGTGGATGGCACTGCAGGACCCGCGCCCGTGAATGGTGGAGCGAAATATGTATTCATGGCGGCACAAAACAGAACGATGGCTGCCGGGAGCGAGCGAGAGGGGAAGCACTTGAAGCAGACACCCAAGACCGACCCCTTCGAGGCGGTGTGCGCTGCGAATGGGAGCGGCTGGGTCGGCGGCTTGCTTGCCTGCCTGCTGGGTTGCTTGCTTGCTTGCTTGGTTGCTTGCTTACTCCCCGAACGTCGAGCAATCACATCGAGCCGTGCGACGAATACCGGTAGTGCGCGCCTTCCTCTTCTTCTTTGCTCTTCCTCTTCCGCTTCGGGATGTATGTAGAGCACTCTACCACTTCCCACTCATCGCCGTCATCACCAGAAAGCGTGCGGAAAACGTTTATTACCCTTCCTTCCATGTTTTTTCTTCTTTCTTTTCGGGTTTGCCATCGATCCATCTCTGCAGCGCGGATAGAGTAACCACGCGCTGTTCTGGTTGGCCGGTTGGCCGGTTGGCTGAGTGACCGACTGGACCATGGGTAGATGTGTAGGGAAGTGGAGTAGAACGGTGCAACATAGAGTGCTCTGTGATGCCCAGATCGCCGCCGCCGCCGCCCCACCACCTCTACTACCACCGCTATCACAACCACCACCAGCAGCAGCACCAACCATCACTACCACCATCGCCGCCACCACCACCACCGCTTTTCTTCCGCACCTCTTCCGTCACTCCGTTCACCCTCCTCCAGCGAAGCGAGCGAGCGAGCGAGCCAGCAAGGAAGATTTGGATTCGCTGATGATATTTTCCTGATGAAGAGAAAAATGCGGATTGATATCTAATCGAGGAGGAGAGAGCTATCGGAGCTTTTGGAGACTGATTTTTTTCCACGCTCTAACCAACTACCTAGCCGAGAGTGGAGTAGCGTGCGTATGCGCAAAGGATGAAGAAAAAGGTGGAGGTGGTGGAGGTGGAGGTGGAGTGGAGTTGGAGGTGTGATGATGCTGCTGCTGCTGATGCTGATGCTGATGCTGATGCACCGCCCCTCCCTCCCCACCGCGCGCGCACGTCCACCACTAGGTAGAGCACCTACGTCCGCCTACCGCCGCACGCCCTGTCCTGTCCTGTCTTGTCCTGTCCGGTCCTGTGGACATCGGATGTGGCAAAGAAAGCATGAAGAAAAAAATGCGGACATCGATGGATGACTCGATCGAACCTGATTTCGAGGATACATACCGGCAACGCGGCCACTACGGACGATGGACGACGAATGACGGACGACGAAGGACTCATGACTTGACTCGGACGTCTTGATCTGTTTATAGTGATCGGAGGAGCGACGGAGAACGCGTATGAACACACTGCGCACAGCTTGCCTGTACTCTACGTGTGTATCGTAGGCCTTCACGCCCGGCGAGTTCCACGCACAAGTTTGTGGCTCCCCTCCCCCCATCCTCATCCATCCCAATCCATTCGTGTGGCCGATAACCCGGACGGTATCTATCTATCGTGGCTTTCTGTGTGCTTCTTTAGGTGCTCTACATACTCTACAATTCTACTCTGCGCAGCTCTGGATCCCCACGAAAACGAATCCTATCCTAGCGGCTACTGCACACTAACCATGGCTTGGAGCGGAGTACCCAGGGAGACATACATATCATACATATCATACATCCATACATGAAGAAAATGCTCGCTCGCAGAGTCATGGAAAAAATGATCTCCGGGTGTCGGCGGTCACATCACATCAATCATCGTGCATGGCAAGTAGGCAGGCCGGTATGTAGGCAGGCAGGCAGGCAGGCAGGCAGGCAGGTAGGTAGGTAGGCAGGCAGGTAGGTAGGTAGGCAGGCAGGTAGGTAGGTAGGCAGGCAAGTTGCCATCCATCACGATTCACCACCACCACCACCACCATTAACACCACCCAGTACCACCCAGCACCACCACATATAGCCGAGGAATGGAGCTGTGCCGGCGCGCGCGCAAGGAGAGGAAGGGAGGTCGAAAGAACGTGCCCTCTCCTCTCCGGCAGTGTCACCAGGTGCGGTCCCCATATGTACCCATAATATGGCGATAAATTACGCACATGAATCCATACATTACCATACATTACCAAACATAACCCCATTTTGCGGGGAAAGAAAGAACCGACGAGAAGGAAAGAAAGAGAGAGACACACGAAGCGGAAGTTGGAACAAGAGCGCGGTACTTGCGGGTTCAGAAGAATTCGGAAATATAAACAAATGTTGGATTATTAGATGGTAGCAGGTAGCAGGTTGAAGGGTCGGATCGAGGAAACAAAACAAAACAAAACAACATCTGCTATGTATTATAGCTATGCCCCCCCCCCCCCTCCCCACCACCACCACCACCACCACCACCACCTCCCCACCTCACCCCCTTGCATTGCTCTATGCTCTATGCTCTAGATATGCTCTATGCTCTATTCTCTATGCTTGACGCTCTATGCTTAAAGCTCCTTCGATCTTCCGGCCGCGCGATGTGATGTGATATGGTGATGGATGGATGGAGCACGGTGGAGTATCATGGATGGGTGGTAGATGGGTGGTGGATGGGACAGGTGACTTCCGCGTCGTTCATTCTTCGCCCCCCCCCCCCTTCCCCTTCGAGGGGAAAACACTCAACTCAACTCAACTCAACGTCCGGGACGAAAGTCGAGAACTTCCGATAGTCAGCCAGGCGGGGAAACTGACTTCTCGATGCCACTAGAGTACTACTGACTAGTACTCTACCTACTACTCCTGCACTTGGGTCGTCCATCACACACACACCCACACACACATATATCTACACACACACATACAGCATCGGCTCCGCGGCTGATGAGGAAATGCAGAGGATATCTAGAAAGACAGAGAGAGAACATGGTGGAGAAAGAACATGGTGGTAGTGGTGGCGGGCGGGGGCTTCCGTTCCGCTCGCGCTCGTTTCCCCTTGCCCTGCTTCTGCTTCTGCTCCTGCTTCTGCTTCTGCTTCTGCTACTGCTTCTGCTGGTCAGCGCGCGCCCTGGCCAGAGGCCCTGAAAACACGCACCGCACCGCACCGCACCCACCGCGCTGCACCCCAGTGGGGTACGGTACCGGTAGTATGTATGCCAAACCTCCCACTCTAGATACTCTATCTAAAGTATCTTGTTCTTGTTCTTGTTCTCTCGTCGCCGTTTACTCTAGATCCCTGGACCTCCAGAACGCGGAAGGGAAGGAAAGGAAAGGAAAGGGCTCGAAATACTCCCCACTGCACCACCCTCCACACTCCCACCCTACGGTACTCTACTCTACGACGTAGAGTTCCCCTCCCGTAACTACTTACTTACGACGCAGGAACGAACTGCTCCCTTTGTTTTAGCGTTCGTCACTCTACTCACTCCACACATCACCTACATACCCAAGGTAGAGTATGTAGAATATGTATTTGCAAACTGAGCATCCGCAGCACCAGCAGCAGCAGCCCCGCACCCGCACCCAAACCCGCCTGTGGTTTCTGGATTCAACGACGCCTACATGTACACGGAAAGTATATGTCATGTCGTGCTGGTGCTGGCCGGTGCTGGGCGGGTCGTGTGTGTCGTGGGTGTCGTGGGGAGGGGGGAGGGGGGAGGGGGTGGCGAAATACATATCGTACATATCATATCTAGAGTAGGTAGAGTATCTAGAGTAGATACATACTCGGATTTTGGATCGTCCTCCGCGGGCTCCGCGTACTCCGCGTAGATAGTTACTCGGCCTACGCGTAGAGGCGTGGAGGGAGGACGATGATAGTATGTAAGCCGTGGACTGGACTGGGACGGACACATACACACATACATACGGTACATACATATACAGGTACATACATATCTACATACTTCTTAGGACTGGAGGGGACAGATGTAAGAATGAGTAGGTATCTATGTAAAGATGTAGATATGAGATAGCCGCCGCGCGATTTTCTACGAGCTTGCGAGCGAGCGAACGAAAGAACGAACGATAGCCATGCCTGCGCTGCAGACCCCGGGAAAGTTCAAGCATGAACGAAGGGGCCTGCGATCGACTGGCTGGCTTGTTAGTGGTTGGTTGGTTACTTGGTTGGTTACTTGGTATGTACCAGCACCCGGGCGGCTGGCTGTAATCTGGTCGGATAGAGTATCTACTTGGTACATAGAAAATATATACGGTACCATCTACATAGGACCTGTCTTTGCTCCCGTGGCCCGCCTGGAGAAGATCAATAAAACAAAACAATAGACATATGTATACAGTACGGACTGGAAGAGGACTGGAAGATGAGGCGCCGGGTGGGCCGCTGTGCTGTTAGAGTACTTGCTTGCTTAGGTACCGGTATGTATGTGGCTGTTGTTGTTACAGTGGATTATGTACTCACGTGGCTGGGGTGTGGACGTGGTGGTGGTTGTGGTGATTGTAGTAGATGTAGTGGTGGTACTGCATGAGATATCACTCATTTTACAGAGTCGGTTTGCATAACTACATATATGCAGGCGACCGTCAAAAGACAGGTACACGCTTTCGGATTCCTGCGTATATGATCAATATGTGCATACGTGCGGACGATGACATGCACAGTTGCGCCGATTGGTCTCGCTCGCTCGTTCGCTCGTTCGCTGTGGGTTCGCTGCGGGTAGAGTACTCTGGGTACCTAGACTAGGTAGACGAGACGAGACGAAGAGCGAGCTCGACTCACGAGTTCGCGTAACTCGGTAGGCCTGAGTTTCTTTCGATTGCAGGCCAGTTGATATCGCAAGGGGAGACGTGTACTGTTCTCTCTCCAATGTTCATGTGCACTACATACGATACGGTCACATATAGTACTATATACATAGCAAGCCTCACAGCACAGCACAGCACAGCCTCGAGCTTTGCGATTGCAGGACCAACACACTCACGCATATCCCATGTCCGGCGTCGGAGATGTGGTGCCTTATGAAATTATTAACCAAACGGTGCCTGCACGGGTGCTTTGACCGCTTTGCGGGTGATATGCTGTGAAGAAACTGGGGGGTGGTGTTACCCGGTTTTCAATCGCTCCAACGCGACTCCACACCGTGCACCTCATCAAGGGCAAGGCTTCGCGTCTCCCGGTGACGAACGAACGAACGAGCAGCACGCATCAACAACAACTACGACAAAAGCGACAAACGCCTGTATACAGCACAACCACTACCACCGCAACCACCCCGCCACCACCGCAACCACCGCAACCACCGCCACATACAACGCGCCCAACCTAATAACTCGCAACGACAACTGCGCCACCCTAGTAATCTCTCGGACCAAAAAGTAGGGTTATTATACCCACCCCAAAAGCCATCTGCAATGCCTCGTCGAAAATCCCAAGGTACAGTTAACCCCGATGCGCATCCCGCAATCTTGACATCACCCCTCCTCCCCGCCACCCCATGCGCACACACGAACAACGCAGACTAAAGAGTGATCTACCAACCGACGCAAACAGCCGCCTCCGACGCCCCTCCTCCAGACTTTGCAGGTTCGCGCTCGCCGACCCCGGGCTCGACCATCGGCACCGGCGCATCCACTCCCGCCGCAGATGACACGCTTGCGTCGAACCCCCCGTCGCCGCCCTCCTACACCCCTGCGCCTGTTAAGCGCAAGCGTGGGCGTCCGTCGCGGGCCGCCATAGAGGAGCGCAATCGCCTCTCGACACCGCGCGGCGGTAGCAATGCCGATGGCGGGGACCTCGACGATACCGGCTCGGACGCGGGCAATCACCATCCGACGCCGTCGTACAGCACTCGCGGGAAGCGGCGGGGGCGTCCGCCGGCGCCCGGGAAGGGGAGGATCAGTAGGGGCGGGCCGAGCCACTACACGCAGGTGCCGCTGGACAAGGATGGGAATGCGCAGAGCGTGTTTAACGACGAGATCGTGCTCGACGAGGACCCGCTGGGGCAGCAGAAGGTCGACGAGAACGGGTACCTCCAGGGCGGCCGCGAGTACCGCTGCAGGACCTTCACCATCACGGGTCGCGGCGACAGACTGTACATGTTGTCGACGGAGCCGGCGCGCTGCATCGGCTTCCGCGACTCCTACCTCTTCTTCCAGAAGCACAAGCAGCTCTTCAAGATCATCACCGAGCCGAACGAGAAGTACGACCTGATCGGCCGGAACTTGATCCCGCACTCGTACAAGGGCCGCGCGATCGGCGTGGTCACCGCGCGCTCCGTGTTCCGCGAGTTCGGCGCGCGCATCATCGTCGGCGGCCAGCGGATCATCGACGACTTTTGGGAAACGCGAGCGCGGGAGGAAGGCGCGATCGAGGGGGAGATCGCCGATCCGGAGGACAAGCTCCCCGGCCCGGGCGAGGAATACAACCGCAACCAGTACGTGGCGTGGCACGGCGCATCGAGCGTCTACCACACGGGCCAGCCCAGCGTTCCCACCCAGAGCGCTGCCCAGCAGCAGCAGAAACGAAAGAAGATCATCATCACAGATATCAACTGGATGGCGGCGCACGCGCAGGCCTCGCAAACGTTCAACCACACCCTTCGCGTCTTCCGCCACAATAATGTCCCCGAGTTTGGCGTCTACGAACCACACTCGAACCAGATGCACTTCCCGCGGGACACGCAGCCGACCCTGGTCCGCTGGGCGCGCGTCGTCGACACTAAGGTCACCCCCGACACTATCGTCGTCGACGAGGTGCTCGAGACCAGGCCGTGGGTCGGACACGGTCTCGGCGCTACTGTCGGTGAGCTCACGGACGGCTTCGGGGACTGGGATGACAGCTTCATTGATGCGCTCGAGACGGAGGAGGAGAAGGAGGCCGTCAGAGCGCAGATGGCTATGGAGGTGAAGTGGGCGCAGGTCTGGGGTTGATTCCGATTCCGATTTTTCATTGTATGATTTTACGGGGTGGGGGATGTGTGTTGTGTGTATGTCTATGTCTCTATGTGTGTGGGATGGTGTGGGATGGTGTGGGATGGTGTACCTAGACTACGCTTTTCACTGCAGCTTTTTTTCTCTTTTTACTTATCTAGTACTTGCTCACCACTTTGCTTATGCCTTCCAATTCCAATTTCTCTATTTCCATTTCCATTCCCCCCTCCGGGGCCTCGTTCGCTGGTGAGGTTCACCGTACCTATGTGAGCTTCAAGGTTGACATGCTGAGCCACGCCAGACTGTCTACCTAGGTCCTATAGTATTGCAATAGATGACTGCGCCCATTCCATTCACATTAGATACTCTACATCAAACCCCCTACGTGTCGGTCCGTCCAATTACTTTTTCTTTTTTTCCGAGGCCTGAGGAGGCGCGAAGGGGTCTCCCAGTATGATAGAGAATGCGAATGCGGGGTTCTATCTCTGCCCCCTGAAACGTCTTCTGGATGGTAGGTACTGTCCCGAGCAAACTACCGGTTCACCTCCCACTATGTACATACAGCGAGTGAGCAGACGTGAGCAATCCTGAGCAGGCGTGGTAGTATTCCGTGGTAGTGGGTAGTTGGCGACGAATATTGGTCCGGGCCACGGCAGATCACTCGCAACCAACTACCGGGAGCTGGTGGTGCCGACCTCGTATCCTCGAATGCGGAAAGTTGCTGCCCCCCTCCCACTTGAGACTGCGCTGGGCTGGGCCTGGATGGGGCATGCGAAGTTGGACGGGGCTAGGGGAGTTGGTATGGCGGGATGGCTAGGAAACGTCAATATAGCTCGTGAAAGCGAATGTGACCGAGGTGGGTGAATGGGAGTTGGGGGGTTGAGGGGGGGTGGAAGAGTGAATGAGACGTTTTGGAATGAATGTACCTGGGAGAGTGGATAGCTGGGAGGTTGAGTGGGGCCTGGAAGAGTGCATAGTGCTGGAGAGAGTGAATAGACCTAGGGAGAGTGAATGAGACTTTTGACAACGAATGAAGCCTGAAAGAGTGGATTGAACTGGGAGGTTGAGCGGGGCCTGGGAGAATGAATAGACTTGGAGGGTTGAGTGGGCTCGGAAGAGTGAATAGAGCTGTGAGGTTGAGTGGGGCCTGAAAGAGTGAATAGACCTTGGAAGAGTGAATAGAACTAGAAGAATGAATGCAACTTATGATAATGAATGAAGCCCTTAAGAATAAACAAGGCCCATACAACTCTAATAACGATCGGCAATCTACACAGTGGGAGGATATTCCCCAACCACCTCCCCTCCGCGTCGAGCCCTGAAGATCGTGTTGGAGAAACCTTCCAACCCAGCTCGATACCTTTTCCACGCCTTCGACCGGAAGACGACGAGGCCAGCCGAAGATAGCCTACATGGCGTCCGTATCCGGCTGCGATGGGTTCGGAGACAGCGTGTGAGTGAAGTCGAGACTGCGCTGGGCTGCGCCTGGGTGAGGCTAGAGGAGTGGGCATGGCTAGGAAGCGTCAATACAGCCTGGGAAAACGAATGTGCCCTGGGTGAATGAATGAGTTGGGAGGTTAAGTGGGGCCTGGAAGCGTGAATGGACTGGGAGGTTGAGTGGGCCAGAGTAGAGAATAGAGTTGGAAGGCTGAATAGAGCTCGGAAGAATTAATAGAGCTGGATGGTTGAGAGTGAATAGAGCTGGTGTAGGAACGAGTGTGTTCCTGTAAGTAGTCCACTAGCCGTTTGGAGGGCTGGTGGTGGGTGCTTGGAACATTGGGTGCTTGGAACATTCGGTGCGGTAGCGGGTTCAAGTTTCCTTCTCTTTCTCTTTCTCTTGTACCGGTAGCTCCTAGACACGAACATACCGCTTCACTTCTCTCCATCTCGATCGTTCTAGTGATCACCTCCACGAGTCCTTCTAACAGCCAGGAGGTTGAGTAAAGCCTGGAAAAGTGAATGGGGCTAGGAGTTCGAATGAAACTCGGAAGAGTGAATGGAGCTGGGAGGAATGAATGAAACTAATAACAACGAATGGCATCTAAAAGAGTAAATAGACCCAGACAGAGTGAATGAGACTTTTGATAACGAATGAAGTCCGAAAGAGTGAATAGAGCTGAGAGATTGAGTGAGGCCTGGAAGAGTGAATAGATGCGGGAGGTTAAGTGAGGCCTGGAAGAGTGAATAGACCTAGGAAGAGTGAATGAGACTTTTGGAACGAATGAGGCTTGTAAGAGTGAATAGATCGGGGCGGTTGAGTAATCCCGGAACAGTGAATAGACCTGGGAAGAGTGAATAAACCTAGCAAGAATGAATGAGACTTTTGATCATGAACGACACCTGAACCGTAGTAGATCTCGAGTTCCATCGAACTCCGACATCCCGTTCACGACGCAACCACCATGCCTCCTACCCGCCCGCCCACTCGACTCGGAATCCCTCGAAGACCGAAAGTCCTCCGGTGGCTTTGGGTTCGGGTACCTATGCCACCTATCACTTGATCACTTGATCACTCAATCACTCGGATGCGAGGAATAGCGAGAGTCGGGACTAAACCAGCCTTCGAGCACTCGCTGCCACAAGAGAAAGAGAGAGAGAGAGAGAGAGAGCATCGATTTATTTCGCATGCAGACGATCTAAACTACCTACCGCACGGCAGACTCATACCCGTCGGTGAGCCAGCCAGCTGCTTATGTAGGTATACAGATATACAGATAATCCGGGGAGCTCATCACGGATCACCATCTGGCCGAGAAGAATAAGGCTAGGTAGGGATAGGTAAATGGTATTATGGGATGGTGATCAAAATGCTCATTGGGATGTTGGTGTGGATCATCCAAGAAACCACATATGGAGTCTAGAGATACCTTGTAGTCACGATTTCGAGTTTGGAGGAGGCTGGCTGGCTTATGTCGTATTTGGGAATACAGTTTACTGAAGTTGGCGGATGAGCCACTGTAACCCATTGTACCCCACCGAGAAAAAGGGGGTTTGGGGATGTAACTTCATTCTCTGGGAAAGTTCACGCATGTGCTCGCTTGAATGGCTGGTGGTTCGAAATATGGAAGTCATGACACTCTGGTTTCTGGTGGAAGAGGGGAACAAAACTACGCTGACATGCCCTAGTTACTGGTGCTCCTGGTTTTGAGTGTCTCGTGAATTGGCTACGAGCCGTGAAGCCGTGAAGCCGTGAAGGGGTAGGTCGGTTTGGGTGGGGTCTGGAAGACAGAATGAGAACGAGTGAGAGTGAGAGTGAGGGTTGGGGAGCGAGTGATGCGGCCCCGTGAGAGTCGAGCCTGCAGGATTCATTGAGGCTGGGGAGAGCGAGCGAATGAGACGCCGAGGTTGGGTAAGGAACGAATGAGTGTGGTCTGGGGGAACGGGCGAGGTTTTGGGGAGCGGGTGGTGAGGTCTTGGAAGATTCGAGCCTGCAGGATTCATTGACGCTCGTGCTCGAGAGCGAATGAGACGCTGAGGCTGAGTAGAGCGGGGAGTGTGGCCCGGAATATGCAGCCACTTAGGAGAGTGCGGGACGATGCATGTACCATCATACCAACCACTGGGGCCCATTGGCCGGTCATCCTCCCGTCCTCCCATCCTCCCATCCTCAAATCCACCCGTCCCCCATCCACCCGTCCACCCACTTCAGCTGACATCCGACATCTGCAGCGGCTGGACTACCGCTCCTACGTCCGGGCAAACAACTCTCCGGTCCTCTCTCGTACGGGCCGGGATATCGACTCACCCGTGCTCGAGCTTCAGCCTCCACATGCTCCAGCTGTGAATGGATGGATGGAGTATCAGCATCAGCAATCGGACCTACATACCTACCGCGTAGTGTACAGTGAGAGGAGGGCGGGCGGTGCTCATGGGCTGTCACCATGTTGCCAGCCCGGCCCACCCACCATCCGGAGCACGGCTTGGGCGCAGCCGAGCAGAGCCGTCTCATGGGTAAATATTCTCCCGCTCCCACTCCCGGTCTCGGTCCCGGTCCCGCCCCCCCTCCGCTTCCGAGCCGAGTGGACTATTTATGTAGAGCACGTTCTCCTCGTATGTACAATACATATCGGCATCCGAGCGTATCCACGCCGCACGGCCGTACAAAAGTAAGTAGGCGTATCAGAGCCGCGCGGCCGTGGGTTATTTTTTGTTATTTTTGTTATTTTTGTTTCATCATCATCATAGCATTCGACCTTATCAGATCATGGCTGTTTACACTGCGGCCGCCGGCCGTGGGTTATCGGTCTCACCGTCCCAACGTCCCACGGGCCACTAATAGCACGTGCGAATAATTCGAGACTTCTGATTTATGTAGCTCTGATTTATGTAGGTAGGTCTGGAAATTAGAGGATGGACACTGGAGGGTGGAGCGCGGTTGATATCTAGCTCGGGAGCTCGGGAGCTCGGGAGCTGAGGAAGCTGAAGAGGCGGGAAGATGAAGATGAGCCCGCACTACCTAACATACCGTTCGTGACGACTGTCGAACAGCCAGAGCTCAACATACAGCAGCCCTTGCGTCACCAGCCCAAAATGTAACTCAATACCTAAAGCTTGATTAACATCGGTAGAATAGTCTATCTATCGAAGGTATGTCTATGTTGAGTACATAAAGGATATCTTACCAACCCAGCCCAACAACAAATTACAACCTCCCGCGTGCCTACTCTACCTTCGTGCCTTCGTGCCTGAGTGTAACCATAACCATAACCACACCATGGATGTTTATTTAGGTAGGATGTAGTGAAGATTAAAGATAGAAGAAGTTTGAAGCCCTCACCTACCCAGTTTCGGACCTTCCCTCTTTACCCCCCGTTTCGGTCATCATCCCGCACTGCCCCCCCCCTCAAATCGCGAGATCGAGTTCCGCGTCGTCCTCGTTTTCGTCCTCGTCCTCGTTTTCGTCCTCGTCCTCGTTTTCGTCCTCGTCCTCGTTTTCGTCCTCGTCCTCGTTTTCGTCCTCGTCCTCGTTTTCGTCCTCGTCCTCGTCCTCGTTTTCGTCCTCGTCCTCGTTTTCGTCCTCGTCCTCGTCCTCGTTTTCGTCCTCGTCCTCGTTTTCGTCCTCGTCCTCGGCTTACTTCATGTCCTCCCTCGATACCTCCTCCGTCCCTTCCGACGGCCTCTGTGCTTCCTCTAGAGTCTAGATGGCAGAGGGCAGAGGGCAGAGGGGCAGCATACCGAGGCATACCTGGCCAAGGTAGCAACAAGTTACAACCATAATCGAAGATTCGAGGCCCAGCCTGATCCAGCTCCAGCTCCATCAGCACCGAGGCACGAGCCAGGCACGAGACAGATACCACGAACTTCGAAGCGTCTGTACAGTGTAACTTAGCACATACGTTCTGTGTGTAGAGGATATGTATCTGTACCAGCTGTAGCCTGTATCCATCCCGCGCGCGCACAGTACTATCATACAAGTTCAGCGGCCCTCGGCTTCCAGAAGTTCGGCTCAGCGCCCGCGCAAGGCAGGTACCGTGATATCACCGTCCTCCTCATCACTCGCCCGCCAGCCCGCCTGGGTGCATACAAGATGCAATCAGCCAGTTCCTTGTCATCTCCTTGCCATCTCCTTACCGCCCCCTCCCCCCTCATAGAGTGAACGTGAATACGATGAAACGAATAAACAATAATAAATCTCACCGTTCCGCCGCCATCATCATCAATGATCCCCATCCATAGAGTGAACGCGAATACGCTGAAACCAATGATACACCTCACCGTTCCATCCCGCAGATTTTATGCCGTGCCATTTGACGTTCACATCATCTCAGTTTCACGGTCAGATTCGAAATCACTGCATGTTCTCACATTCACGTTCACGATCATCCTCAAGTCCTCAAAAACCATAATGATATTCCTCTTCTCAAAGACCCATTATGCCACTCAGCCCCCTTACACTCTCACTTCTCTCACGCACTCCCATCTCAGCACGCACTCCCATCTCAGCACGCACTCCCATCCCGCGTCTCACGTCCCCTCTATCAATCTACCGCCCCATCGAGTGAAGAGCAAAGGAAGAAAGAAGAAAAAGAAAAAGAAAAAAAAGAAAGAAAAAGTAGAAACCCATAAGTAAGTAGAAAAAGCAACAGTTTTTTTTTCCCCACAAGACCACAAAGACACATTCGCGAAACGCCAAACCCATATGAAAAACGCACCGCACCGGAAGCACAAACTGTACACACACTCCCAACCCCAATCCCGCTTCTTCTTCCCTTCCCTTTGAAGTTCGTAAAAATCATGATTGTACAAAAGTATCAAAGAGAGGAGGGAGAGAGAAAGAGAGAGAGAGAGAGAGAGAGAGAGAATCGGCCTACGAAGCGGGCGCGGCAACCAGAGGCTCAGCCATCCTTGTCACCTGCTGACCAGCGCGGACGATGCGCTGGCCCGAAGAGTCGATGGCGGAAACTGCCTCCTTGTTCTCCTTGGTAGCCTGCTTCCAGATCTCTACCTCGCAACCGCCGCGAACGACGGCGACACGGAAGTTGGAGAGGAGGTTGTGGGCGGCGTTCGAGTGCTCGTAGACACCTCCGTTGAAGATGGCGGTCGCGTCCTTGCCGATTCCAGAGTTGATCATGGCCTTTCCTCCGGGGTGCTCCTTGACGAAGGGGGAGACATCGTGGACGACACCGGCGATCAGGACGAGGGCACGGCCGTTGCGGCACTCCTCCTTGAAGTCCTCGAATTCCATGACGGGGAGCTGCTCGAGGGGAACACCCCAGTCGAGGGTGGCGCGCTTGCGGTCAATCTTCTTCTGGAGCTGCTGGATGCGACCCTTCTCGATCTCGTTGGAACGGAACTGCTTCAGGTCATAGGCGAAGCCGAGCTGCTTCCAGGTCCAGATGCACCACTTGGTGGGGTCGTACTGGAACCACTCGATGGCGTTACGGTAGTCGCTGGGGAACTCGTGGTGGAAGTTGTGGTATCCCTCTCCGAGAGTGACGAGAGCGGTGATGACGTGGTCACGGGGCGAGTTGCGGTCATCGAAAGGCTGGTCACCGAGCCAGTGAGCGAGCGAGTTGACGCAGAAGGTGGCCTGCTGGACGAAGAAGATGCGGAGGATTCCGGCGTAGATGAAGCCACCGATCCAGTCACCCCATCCGAAACCAGCGACGAGAGTGGGGAAGACGAGGCCCATGAAGACGACGACCCAGAGGTAGTGCTTGTGCTGCCAGACGACGACGGGATCAGTGTTCAGGTCCGAGATGTCGGTACGTCCGACCTTCTTGGGGTTCTGCTTCATGACCATCCATCCGATGTGCGAGTACAGGAGACCCTTGCGGACCGAGTAGGGGTCCTTCTCGGTGTCGGTGTATCTGTGGTGGGCACGGTGGTCCCGGGACCACCAGCGGATAGAACCCTCGACGGCACCTCCTCCAACGGCAGCCAAATAGATCTTCAGGGGCAACGAAGCCGAGTACGAAGAGTGAGCCCAGAGACGATGGTATCCCGCCGTGATTCCGAGACCGGTGTTGTAGTAGTAGACGATCGACCAGATCAGGGTAGGCCACGAGAGCGGGGTGTAGTATGCACCCCAGAGACCGAGCATCGGGACGAAGATGATCAGGTAGGTGTTGAGAAGGTTGAGGTGCTTCCACCAGTTCTTCATCGTCATGGGCTGCAACAAACCGGAGTCAGCAAACTGATTCTTCAACTTTCTACGCAACAAGGAGACATACCTGATCAGTGATGTGGGGGCGGTTGGCACGCGCAATTGCGTTCGCCTTCCGCTGTTCGTAGTCTGCCATTGCTTCTGTAGACATTCCCGCTTGCATATCGGTTTGAAGGTTGAAATCAAACTGGTGTTGGGGGTCAAAGGCGGATAGTGATAGTGGTGGGTGCCTCTGGGAAGAGGGGGTGTGTTGTGGTGTGTGTTCGAAGGAAGGAGGTAAAGTAGGCGGAAAGCGAGTGGTGGTTATAGTTTTTTTGTGGAGTGCGGGTGGAAGGTTGTTGTTGCCTTGCCGTTTAGAGAAGGGCGTCTCCTGCAGCGAGCGAGCGAGATATCCGATATCGATCGAACGGTGTCCGAGTGTTGGAGTGTGATGGTGTGTTTCGCTTCTCTTTCTCTTTCTCTTCCTCTCTCTCTCTCTTCCTCTCTCTCTTCGCTGTCGGATGGATTGAAGCAAGAGGAGATTGGGAGCAGAAGACAGCACGAATATAAAGAATGGCGAGAAGGGGGTTCGGGAGATTAAGGGACAGTGCGGGAGTCGAAGCTGCGCAGCTGCCAGAGTTGCATTGAGAGACCGACCTGGCACTCACTCCGCCGCGGTTCTTGCCTCCCTCCCTCCCTCCTCCTCTCCAAGTTCCAACATTCGAGCGCGGTCGCAACTGGATTTCCGTTCGATTTGTCGATCTAAGCTGTATGGAGAGTGGCTTGACGTTGGACCCGGTCGCTCAGCGTTCCAACAACTTTTGCTGAAGGTTGCGGCCACCTGTGCCAAGCGGCGAAGGTTACGCACATCGCTGCCCCGACACGGTCTAGTGGCTGTCCCAACAACTCCCCAACAAAACGGCAAGGAAAAAGGCGAATGCAGCCCAAAAAAAAGACCGACTGTCAGCGAACGAGCGAACGGAGCGTGCGGGTGTGTGCTGCGTGGGTTTTGGCCCCTTGCATGCAGAGATACACACCCCAGACTTGCAAGACAAGACTTGCGGGTCTGTCTGGTTGTGCTAAACACCACCCATGCGGCTACCAGTACCACCAGTACTGCTGCTAGCAGTAGCATCTGGACGTGGCGAGTGGAAGAGTGGGGCTCGCTTGGATTGGTTTGCAGGAACGAAGAAAACGCGCCGTCCCTCGGCCCTGGTTTGTAGGTGCTGGTATCTATCGTGTGTAGCGTGGTGGCAGTGGGCGCAGAACCTGCCTCAGCAGCGCGAACAACACCTCGCCTCCACCTCCACCGCGGCGGAAGAAATAATCCCCGGATCGAATAGCAATCCCCAGTCCTCAATCCTAATGCTCATGACAGCCCACCGCCGGCCGCCCCTCGCACCGCCGGCCGCCCCTCGCACCGCGTCGTCTCATCGCACCAGAACATCGTCCGGTTCGGCCCTCTCCTCTGTCCACTTGTGCATCTCAACCGTCTTCCCCCCCAGCACCGCCGGTGTGTCGCTGTCGCTCACGTTCAAATCTCCTTCCCGAGCCTTCCTTCCTTCCTTCCTTCCCCTTTCTCCCATCTAAGACACTCGCCCCCAGAGTAAAGCAACCACTCAACTCAGCCGCCATCCCAACATCCAGATCGGTGACAACAAACAGTATCCAAGTGGCGCCTATGTGGCACTCTATTCTTCATAGAGCACCTACTCCACGCAACGCAACGAATGCACGGTCCCTGGCTATCCCCACCCGACTTGGCCCACCCATCCCCACCCATCCCACCCACCCATCCCATCCTCCCCACTCCCGGCACCCTTCTAGAATCTTGGCCTTGCTCCACCCACCCGGCCCCATGCTCTCCACCATCCCATGCCATGCCACGCCCCCACAAAATCAAGAATGCGATACACGCGAAACGCAACGACCTTCTCTACTATGTGTGGTTCACTCTACCTGGGATACCTGGTGCCTGAATTCGAAATCATGGCCGTGTTACATCCATACATAGAGCACTCTACATACACCTCATACCGGTATCATACCGGTATCATGGGTAGCGCATCGTATGTACCGGTATCGTATCGACCGGGCTTGACTTGGCTCCAGCTTGACTCCAGCTTGGCTTCATCAGCCTGATGGACATGACTACGGTATCATCATCCCGTCACGATCCACGAACATCAAGTCAAGTTATCAAGATATCAAGTTGCAAGTTATCAACCGCCCTCCCGGCCGCCGTGACTATGGATGTTGAGTGGATCCCTATGTTTGCCTCCCGAGCAGATCCATCAATCTTTCCACCCATCCATCCGTCCGACCGACCGCGCCCGACCGCGCCCGGCCCGACCCAGCGCTCCGAGCCCGAGAGTCGCAAGTCTCGAGTGTCGCGTCTCGAATCGAGTTCAACAGAAAAAACCCACTAAAAAGCTAGCAAAAAAAACTTTGTGGCTGGTGCCGCTTGATTGGCCAGGGGGGCAAATGCAGGAGGAAAACTAGTAGAGCAGAGTAAGCTTATCGATACGCTGGCCACTGCAGGGATTTACAGCGGGTGGGAACTGGCGTGGGTGGGGGGGAGAAGGGGAGGGAAGGGGAAGGGAAGGGGAAGGGAAGGGGAAGGGGTGAGCCGAAAACACGAACTCAAGCCAGGGCCAGGCTCCCCAATCACCGATGGTCTTTTACTCTACATATGATACCTACCAGCGGCACCTCCACCACCACCACCACCACCACCACCACCACCACCATCACGGGGAGTGGTGATGGTGGTGGTGGTGATGGTGAGGGTAGACATGAAGGAACACATGCCAGTGCTTGGATACCGTAGGTAACGGTATCGTTTGTGTCCGCCCGGCCGAGTATCTATCATACATACCAGTATTCGGCAGGAGCTGCTATGTCCCGTACATGTCCCGTCGACGGCTGATCATTCACCAGCATCCATCTACTATGCGAAGTGTTGACACTCGATTGGCACTCGATACCTACATCCCAACAAACATGTATACTCTATGATATACATACCGGTACCCTACCTTCCAATTATCCACCTATCTCGATTGTCGCTCAACGTCAGCGCCGCGTCGACGTGCAGTTTGAACATATGTAGAGTATATAGATATCTCGATGTGCTTTCATATGTGCCCTCAACGGTTGGACGATCACCCCATCCAAGATCCCTCACCAGGGCCCAGGCATCGTCGGGCCCAGGCTCGGGACTCAAAGCGCCCCGGATCCCGAGTTCTGCTCTAGAGAATTCTAGAGGCGAGCCGCACACGCTCCACGTGGGGCGATAGGATAGCTATCAGCTATCTGTCTAGTATCAACATACCCCGCTTTTCTTTGCGCAGAGCTTGCTTGCTTGCGAACTGCCGCTGCCACTGCGACGGACCCATCTGATAGAGGGCACTTGGGTACCGTTAGCCGTTCGGGCTAACTACCTAGCCGGAGCACTTGGGGGCGGAAAGGGGAAGAAAACCGAGTGATAACGCATGCGTGAAACTGCAATTGAGGCGGTGCTTGGGCCATCATGGACCATCAAGTCGCCTTACAGCTTCCTTGAGAGAGTGTGTGTCTGCTACCGGGGTAAATAGTCCCAGCTATGCATGCTTCTCTGGGTTCTAGCTCTACTATGTATGGTACCGGTTGGCTCGCCTGGTGGGTTTCCCTGCCGCACGTCTCGAGCTCGAACGAGGGCGTGTTGGGCTTGGGTGGTAGGCTACACAGTACCGAGTGCTGCTCGCAATCACGCGAGCTCGTTGATGGAACGAGAATAGCACCCACCCAACGTCAATCCCAACAGCACTCCCAACGGAAAGTTCTAAGGCCCAACATCGAGCTCGAAGCTCCAAGCTCCGGGCCCCGGGCTCCTCCACTGGCCGTATCCGCAACTCGCACGGACTGGTCTGCTCGGCCCCCCTCCCCCCGATGGCCCAGTCCCAGTCCCAGTCCCAGTCCCTGCAGCGATATTCCAACACTACCTATCCGCCCCACCCATCCATGCTGTACAGATCCCAACATGTCGGACACACACTATCACTCCGTCGTCATCCCACTTTGTCGATTTGTCGATCCACTTCTCCACCCCCCCGTCCCCGTCCCCTTCCCCTTCCCTCCCCCTCTCCCTCCCCCGCCGGCAGTACAGTCTCTATCTCCGATGGTCTATCTCTAATGGCCATGCCTCGAGTGGGCCAGACGAAGCGTCAACAGAAGTGTTGAGCTTCAACCCTTCAACCCTTCAACCCTTCAACCCTTCTTCAACGATTCGTATCGATTCGTATCGCCATGCAAGTAAGAATACACGCATGTACGTATCTTCCAACTTCTAGCTTCTGGCTTAGATGGGTATCCCCACGCCAGCCAGCTCATCCATCCATCCATCCATCCATCCATCCATCCATCCATCCATCCATCCATCCATCCATCCATCCATCCATCCATCCATCCATCCATCCATCCATCCATCCAGCCAGCCAGCCAGCCAGCCAGCCAGCCAGCCAGCCAGCCAGCCAGACAAATATTCACTCACCAGCAGCAGCAGCAGCAGCAGCACCACCACCACCACCACCACCACCACCACCACCACCACCACCAGCAGCATCCCATCCCGTATGCCGCGGAGATTGCTCATAAGAATGTACTTCGCATGTACTCTGTATGTACTTTGTACTCTGTATGTACAATAGAGTATGTAACAGAAAGTCCGGGCCCCACAGAACGAAATCCCAACAAAAGAGAAGAAAACAGGTAACAGGTAACACCGTAAAATCAAAGAAGACATGTATGATAAAAGAAGAAGACAACCACACGTAGGTCGGTAGGTAGGTATCAGCGTCCCAACACCAACATATCCCCGTAGCAAGTATATTGATACAGCCTCCAATCACCGCCCTCCTCACCCTCCTCCTCAACGTCGTCGTCGTATTCACCGTCGTATTCACGACCACCCCCAATCACTGTGTCCCTGCACGCCCCAACGCTGCACCATCCCCTGGTCCGTCCATTTCTACTGAACAGCAGTAGTGGTAGGATCCTGCTGCTCCGCAAACGCAATGCCATCCATCAGATCGTCGTCGACACTTTGCTGTCTAGCGTTGCAGCGATGCGAGAACGCTATCGTATCGTAATCGACGAGGAGATAGGCTGCGCCGAGCATTTCCGTTTCGAGCGGAAGCTTTATTCCGGAGCCGGGGGCGAGCATGCCGGGCGGTTTCGGCGTGAGCGGCGCGGAGAAGGAGGGGTTGATACGGTAGGAGTGGCCATCCCGTAGCAGACGACCTTTGCGAAGCGCGCTTTGTAATGACGGTTGCGCTTCGAGGCGGATGTCGCGGCCGGTGAGCGCGGGGAAGTTGCTGGGGGTTTGTTAGTGGAATATAGAAGAGCAGAGCAGAGCGGGATGGGCGGGATGGGTGATGTACGTGGATATCCAGTCAAAGATGTTTTTTGGCTGTGCTCCCTTGCCGACGTCCAGAGCGGTGATGGCGCGGATTATCATCTCCTCCCAGTTTGGTCCGCCTGTGTCTTCCATCTCTGTGATTCCATCTTCGCCAACGACACCGGGAGTGCCATCGTCCAGCTTCACCGCATGGTTGGCTTTGAATGCCGCTGCAAGCTCTTTCGCCCTTGGATCGTATATCGGCAGGTCGGGATGGGTCTTCTCAGCAAAGAGGATAATCTCCATCAAGCTCGCCATCGGCAAACTAGCCAGATACAACTTCTTCTCCTCCTCCGTCAAGCCCGTCCCCGGGAGCCCCATCTGCAGCGGCTTCTGCTCTCTACTCTTTGCGCACGCAGCACAGTACCACTCGGCGGACTCGACCTGGATGACGAGGTCGTCAATCGGCGGATCATGGCAGAGCTGATGAAACGGCCCATTGCAGCCGTCGCAGAACACGATCATATTCGACTGTGGGGAATGTCCACGCTGGCACACCTTGCAGATGCGGGCATCGTGGCTGCGTCTGTAGGGACCGCGCCGCCGCGACGGCGTCTTCTGTGCGGGGTTGAAGTGTGCGGGCCGGTGCACTTTGCGCCCCGATTTGGTCTTCACCCCCTCCATCGTAAACTCCTCTTCGCTGATCGACCCATCGCTCTCGTCCTTGGCCACGATGCTGGCTTTGCGCCGCCGCGTGGTCGTGCGCGCTGTGGGTTTGGCTGCCGCCGCTACGGGGTGTCAGTACATATAAGGCGTGCGAGTGCTGTGTGGAGTGTGCTGTACCTTTCGCGCGGGTGCTTCGGGCTACTGGCTTCGGTGCCGCGGCCTCCGGTACGTACACTGGCTGTGATCGCTGTGATTGCGGCTGTGGCTGTGCGGGAGGAGGAGCGGGCGGCGGTGGCATGAACTGCTGGGTGTGCTGTTTGTATGTCCATTAGCAATCGGAATCCAAAGCGCGGTAATAGACATATCCACCCATTGTTGTAGTGCAAGCTCCGGCGCAAGCCGCTGGCGGATCAGCAGGTCCGCCTCGGTGAGTCCTGCATCGGAAGTCTGGTCGCCGGTGTGCTCGTCGTATGGGCTGAGCGGTATGTGGCTGGACATGTTGTAGAGGAGGAATTGAGTGGCCCGGTGCCTTGTGGACAATTGGTGAAGTCGTTGGGTGTCGCGGAGGATTGGTGTAAGTCACGATTCGCGATCAACAGGCACGGGCTGCATGTCGCGGCTAGCAACTTGGCAGGCATCATTGCCCATCACCCATGTTTGCCGGGTAAACCAAGCTCATCTAGAACTGTAGCTTATCTGTCTTCAGAAGAGCATCAGCGGTAGCAGCAGTACATCATCACCAAACAAGCAGAGACATACATAGCACACGCGATCAGCACACACGCAATGGAGTCCACAACGGCTCCACCAACCACGTCCCCGCGTCTCCCCTCACCCCCACCATTCGCCGAAGTCCAAATTCCACCGTCGGATCCAGCCACCTCATCAAGCACAGGAAAACCGCCTACACCCTCCGCAGCAACCCGCCGGATCCGCCCAGGCACCAAATCGCGCAACGTCATCGCCGGCGCACCCCTAACCTCCCTGGCCGAACTCGATAGCGCCTTCCAGCTGCAAGAGCACCTCGCCTCGCTCCTCAGCAACATCACGAATCCTCCCGGCTCCGACCAAACCTTCCCATTGACGCGCGCGGACTGCACGCGGCTGGCCACCCCCCCGGAGGGCGTCGAAGAAACCCTTTGGTGCTACGAACTCACGCGGCGTCTCACGCGCGACCTGAACGTCCTCATCGTCGCCCTCCTAAACGACGGATGCACCGCCGCGACATGTCCGGAGATGCGCGCCAGCGAGTGGCAGTACCTATGCGCGGTTCATGACTCGCCACAAAGCTGCTGCGCCATCGACTACTCCACGCACACGCTCGACCATGCGGCGACCATGCTCACCAGCACCAAATTTTTCCCCAGCAGACTGTCGCTGCAGCATAATAGTGTTAAGCACCTGGCTAGCATCTTCAGGCGGCTCTACAGGATCTTTGCGCATGCGTGGTTCCAACATCGCCCGGTGTTTTGGGAGGTCGAGGGAGAGTATGGGCTCTACCTGTTCTTCAAGACCGTGTCCGATAGGTACCGGTTGATTCCACAGGACAGCTTGATGCTGCCTCCTGAGGTGGAGGGGTTGAAGCCGGGGAAGAATGGAGAGCTGCTGGCAGACGATGAAGAGGAAGAGGAAGAGGAGTTTGAGGAGTGGGACCGGGGGACCGGGGCGAGAGGGCACCTGGAGCCGGTGGACGGTGGCGAAGAGAAAGAGGACTCGGATGAGGAGATTGAGGGGGAGTATAGCGACGAGAGTGATAGCGATGAGGAGATGATCGAAGGTGAGGATGATGATGTTGACATCATCGAGGACGAGGACGAGATACAGGATGAGGAACAGGAGGACTTGGAGGGGGCAGAGTCGCAGGTCGAGAAGGATGCAACCGACAAAGAGGAAACACCGATGGAGGGAACAAAATCGCCGGCTGATCCGGAGGACGATGAACAGAAGGAAGTCACCGATGAGGGTGAGGGGAGTGGAGCAGAGGAGAATGAGAAGGAGGAGAAAGAGAAGGAGGAGGAGAAAGAGAAGGAGGAGGAGAAAGAGCAGGATAATGGGAAGGAGGTGCAGGAGAAAGAGAAAGAGGGGGAGGAGAAGGTGGGGGAGAAGGATAACGAAGACGAGCCTACGGGAGAGGAGAAGGCAGAACCGAAAGCTATTACAGAGTCGGAAAGTGAAGAATCACCAGCAGCAGCGGCGGCGAGCGATGAGATGGAGAAGAATCACGCGGAAGCCAGCTCTGATGCTGCGGCAAGGCAAGATGACGCGGAGAAGGTTGACCCTGAATCGAAGCCGGAGGCCAAGGAGGAAGTGAAAGAGGAAGAACAAAAGAAGGAGGAGAAGTGATCAAGCTTTTGGGCGTGATGGCGTAACGGTTTTTTTCCTGTATAGTTGTTTGCTCAAGAATACCCGGTGTTGCTCAATAGTTGGTGGTTGTAGTATTGACGGGTTGGGTACTGTAATTTTACGTGTCCCTGTATTACTAGAATCGATGGAGTTTTGTTTAAGTATATGGTCATGTCCGTTCACACTTCAAGAAACACATTTGATGGTGTCATTCTTTGCGTTCGCCATCTCTATCTTGAAAAGTGGTTTCGATAGCATCCGTAAATCATGCATTTCCGAGCCTGGCAACGACGGCAGCCATCTCCTCGTCGGGATAGATCCTGAAGCCCTTCTCTTTCGTCACCGAAGCCAGCTGCACATTCTTGGAATCCAGCTTCTCTTCCATCACCTGCTTCAGGGTCTTCAGCACTAACGTCTCGGCCTCCTCGAGTGTCAATGACTAGTGGCAGTGTTAGGTGTACTGTCGAAGAGGAGCGTGATGGGGGGCAATATAAACCTTGTGGTACTCGTTCTGCAGTTCGGCCTGAGCTCCCTCACTTCCAGATCCGATCGCCTTTGCATCGTACCTGTAGAACGTACCGGAGGGCTCGGCGTGGTAGCTACAACTCATTAGTTTCCGAGCTCCTCAACACATCTCGCAGCCACTCACAGCTGTGGGCCATCGTCGTCGTAGCCGGCAATCAACAGCGCAACACCGAAAGGCCGCGACATGATGCTCTCCTCGCCATCCGCACCTTCGCCGAACCTCAACGCCAAATCACAGATAGCCTGGGTGCAGGACTCGACACGTAGCGGCTCGTTGTAGTGGAAGCTGTGGTTCTGCGACTCGACTCTCGCATGCTCGATCATCGACCGCGCATCCGCTTGTAAGCCGGACATGGCGCAGCCAATGTGCTTGTCGATTTCCACAATCTTCTCGACTGAGGACGCTTCCAGAAGCGGTGAGGTGACTCGTTTCTCCACGCCGATGATTACTCCGTAGCCGGTCGCAACCTAGAGATGCGAATTAGAGGTTCGACGCGGGCATGGCGGGGTAGGTAGGAGTGCTGGGTTTCGTACCCCGATGGCAGTGGAACCAAGCTTGATGGCCTCCAGAGAGTACTCGACCTGGAACAGACGTCCCTCGGGAGAGAAAGTGCTTCGGACATATCAGCGGGGATGGTTTGAGAGCTCCGGAAGATGGAAAGCGTTTACTTGATACCACGATCTAGGATTCATTAGCTATGGTAACGACGGCGGGACAGTGGGGGAGTTGGCGAGGCAACCTACCATATTCGGAACGAGCAATGAACATATTGGCGATGTGAAGCTGCAGATGGCGATGGAGATGTAGAAGGAATCGGAGTTGGTAGTGAGTGGGATAGAGGTGATGATGATGTTGTTGTCTGCTTAGTTGGGTAGCAATTGGAGTTCTCTCGTGAAGATGCGGCTCTTGATGATCCATATAAGCTAGTTCTGATGCGGAAAAGGACCCCCGTACGCGAGCAACCATTGATTTGATTGCAGCGATGCGGACATCAACAAATATCTGACATCGCGTCTACTTGCACGAACGGAAAAAGAGATTCACCACAACCGCGAAACAACAGCTACGGAAGAATGGCCTCTTCTTCGTCATCGCGCGCCGCGCCGGAGACACTCAGGCGAGGCTCGAATAGAGAGTCGGTCGCTACGTCGAACTCGCGAAACAGATCTTATTCTGTGAGAGGCACAAACTCTCCTCCTTTGCGAAAGCCAACTACGAGGGGTACAACGAGGACTGCTGCCACTCCGACGACGACGGAAGTACGACGAAGTGAGCGCACTCATATTAGCACTACATACACTTCGACGAGGAGGACGCCCCTCAAGGAGGAGAAGTACAGACCACCGTCGCTGCCAGCCCGAACCTCCGGAAGCTTCAATAGGCCAGGCACAGCTGCTTCGCAACCGACCCCTCCTCGTAAATTCTCCCTTAAGAATATATTACCTTCATATCATGGCTATCTTATTGACTGTAAACAGCTTTACCACCATGGAATCCGGAAGCCTCTTTGGTACCCCACACAACGGCGCCGTTGGGTTCGCGCATGTCGGTTCCGCCGCTGTCGTCCGTACTGCCGCCGTCGAGAGCACCGGTCCCATTGGAGGGTATGTCGACCGACATGCAAGAAGCTTCGATAATTGAGGATATATTGTTTGTCTTTATGGTTTGTAAGCAGCGGTTCCCGCGTAAATGAGCTGTTGACTGACCGGTGGATGCGCTACAGGGCTTTGAAGGACAATATATCCGCTTCAAAGATGAATACAACCCCGCCAACGAAACCGACCGCCTTCTAGGACCCCAATATAAGCTAGCGCCAGGGCTGGACCCGTCGTTGCGAGATCTCACCATGACCATGTTGAAGATGGCCACGTTCTATGGTGGCGTGGATGCGTTTGTGGAGGTGCAATCGAGAGAGGAGTTTGGAGTTGTCAACCACGCGCTTAGTGCCGCGATACGGAAACTGTTGAATGAGTACCTTGTGCTGATAGGCCAATTCGAACACCAATTCCTCACCAATCCCTCGTTTACTCTGCACATGTTGCATCTGCACACCATGCCGACATCACACATGCTTGCACAGTTGTACTCACTAGCCAATGAGATACTGAAAAAGAACTCAATGCTCGAGGATGATGAGGACGACTCGATGGATGATTTCGACGATGTCGATAATATTATTGAGGCGCTGAGGGAGGGCAACGACGGGGCTGCACTGCCGGGTTCGAAAATATGTAGGGGTGGTTCTGTGCTGGCGCTGCTGACGGAAAGGTTGAAGGCCATGGCTGGAGACCCGGCGGCGAAGACACTGCTGAGCTTATTGTTACGAGAAGCATCACGCCCGTACATGAGCATGTTGAACGAGTGGCTTCACAAGGGGATGATACACGATCCGCACTCGGAATTCCTCGTTAAGGAAGCAAAGAGCATCCGGCGAGAAAGATTGGAGGAGGACTATACGGATGAATACTGGGAGAAGAGATATACCGTGAGACTGGACGATGTCCCACCGCAGCTCGAGAATGTCAAAGACAAAGTTCTGCTGGCCGGGAAGTACTTGAATGTTGTGAGGGAGTGTGGTGGTGTGGATGTAAGCAAAGAGATGACCGATGTTCCTAGAACATTTGAGGATATCAAGTATGTTTTACATGCCTTCGTGAGTTTGGCGGAGGTGCTAATCGGTATAGGTTCTTGGAAAACGTCAATTCTGCCTACGCTCATGCAAATGCATCACTACTGGACCTGCTCTTGACCACCCACGCCTTGCCCGCACGCCTCAGGTCGCTGAAGCACTACTTCTTCCTCGACCGTGCGGATTTCTTCCATCACTTTCTCGAGATGGGCCATACGGAGCTTCAAAAGCAAGCAAAGAAGGTCAACGTCTCGAAGTTGCAATCTCTGTTCGACTTGGCGCTCCGTCAACCTGGATCCATTGCAGCGTCAGATCCGTTCAAGGAGGATGTCAAAGTCAGTATGAACGAAGTAGACCTGACGAAATGGCTGATGCGGGTTGTCAACGTGTCGGGTGTTGAAGAAGGAGCCATGTCGTTGGATGCTACCTCACATGTCGCTTCCACTAGCGCCGATGACAGACCTATCACTGGACACAATGCGTTGGAGTTGGATTATAGAGTACCGTTTCCTCTATCACTTGTCATCTCTCGGAAAACAGTACTACGATACCAGTTATTGTTCCGACATCTGTTGTCACTGCGGCATTTGGAAAGCCAGTTATGCTCGGCTTGGAGGGACCACACGTCCGTCTATACATGGAAGCATAGATCGAAATATCCCGAGGTCGAGAGCTGGAAACGTAGAGCATGGACATTGCGAGCGCGGATGCTGGTATTTGTGCAACAGCTCTTGTACTTTTGCACTATGGAGGTAGTGGAACCAAATTGGTCGAAGCTGATGAAGCGACTGGACGAGGTCAAGACGGTGGATGAGCTCATGCAACACCACGTTGATTTCTTGGATACCTGTCTCAAGGAGTGCATGTTAACGAACGCGAAGCTGCTGAAGGTATGCATTCCCTAATCCCGGCTGTACGCTAGATAGAAACTGACCGCCCCGCCTAGATCCACGCGAAGCTCACCACAACATGTGCTATGTTCTCCTCGTACACCGCATCCCTCTCCCGCTCCCTCATCACTGCCGACCCGGAACTAGCCTCGCCATCCGCGCGGTTCGAGGAGGGCGCGAAGGATGTCCCCTTTGATCCCGAGAACATGGTCAAGCTCAACGAGAACCTTGGGAAGTACGAACACAACTTCAGCCGGCACTTGAAGATCTTATTGGATGCTCTCAACTACTTTGCTGCTACTGAGACGGTCGTGTTGTTGAGTCTCTGTGCTCGGCTGCAGATGGCGCAGACCAGTAACGAGACGGCGGCGCAGGGGTTTGTTGCTGTTGCACGATAAAGTGTAGTGGAAGTAATGTTGTTTCTTTCTTGTTCCCTTATGGAAGGACATGGATTGCTTCTGCAATTCGACTTTCGACTCTTTTTCCGATGTGTACAGTGCTTGGTTTACTTTACGGGGCGTGTGGCTACTTCGTTTGGGCGTTTTGAGTTGTCTTCTGTCTGTTTTGATTCTGGCGGGAGTTGAGTTATGTTGATTAAGAAAGAAAGCCTTATGCAGAGAGGGAACATCAATTGAGTGTCGTATACGGCCTGTCTAGACCATGGCGACCAAAAGCCTTTTGCCGTTGCCATGACTGCACGCCTGTTGAGTGATCTATGATGACGAAGGCTAAGGCTTGATCATATGCCTCTCGTCATGCGCACGTGACCCTGCTTGCCAAGTGTTCTAATCTCAGCTATCCACCGGTCGCCGCGCTGCCCCACCAAAGCCTCCACGCAAAGCACTCCCAGAGGAACTTGCAATTGATGCGGCGACAACCGGCATAACTGCTCTGAATGTGCGTGTGATGTTCTATTCCACTTTGCCTTACTTTGCTCTACAAACAGCGTGCTTCGTGCAGGGGAGAGATTGACTGAAACAGACTGAACCCTTCCTTCCAACCAAGCAAAGCAAGCAAAGCAAGCAAGGACACACACACACCACACACCAACGCCGCCTACAACTCGACTCCCACGCGACGAACGAACGTCTACGATAGCAACACCTTTCTTCTCCACCACAATCACTACACCTACAACCCTCGCCAGTATGAATCGTCAAGGTACGCCAGTGCTACCCACCACCACCACCGTACCACCGCCCCCACCAGCAACAGCTAACCTGTCCCCCGCGCTTACAGGACCAGGTCACCGACCGATGGGACTGTCATTCCCGCAAGCATCACCAGCGCTACCCGCAGGCCGCGGCATTCCTAATGGCAAACCCGGTTTGTCGTTCCGGCGGGGGAGGCGAAGGAGGGGGGAGGGGCTGTTTGCTGATCGACTGGTGTATAGGAGTAGGAGGTTGGTCCGGCGCTCCTCCACCTGGTGTGCCCACGCCCGGTGGTGGGAGGGGGCTCACATTTAGTCAGAGCGTGGGCGGACCGAGTCAGCCGAGTACGCCACTGGACATGAAGTGAGTGGACCCTCTGTGTGTGGGGTCCTGGAGTGCTAATAGGTGTGCGGCGGGAAGTGAGTTTCCAGCGCTAGGTGGCCAGCCGCAGTCGAATCCCGCGCAGGTGTGGAGTCGGATAAATACGCAGAGCCCTCGACCGACACAGCAGCAGCAGTCGCAACAGCAGCAGCAGCACGATGGAGCGTTCGGCGGTGGTACGGTTCAGAAGGACTTGTTCCCTAGCATGGAGGACTACAGGACTGGTGGCGCGAGCGGCGGGCCGGTCGAGGACTTTCCCGCGTTGCCGAGGACACAGACCGGGTTAGGGGATATGGGTGCGCTTTCAGCAAGGGGAATGACGAGTAGGCTTCTGCCGCAGCTGGATGGGATATTGGGACAGCCGCAGGGCGTTCTACCGCTGGGCGAGGTTGAGAAGAAGGTTGGACTGTGATGCTCTAGTGGGGCTGGGGGGATTGTTAGCTGACAGCTCTGAAGAACATATTGAAACCGGGAACACTCAACGGAGCTCCTGGCTTGACCGGCGCACCGGGTATCCCTCTGGGAGTGCAGCAACAACTGCAACCGCAACAGCAACCATCACGGCCGTCTCCAGCGCCTGGACTCGTCCACCCCAGCCAGCAACAGCAGCCGCCGCAACAGCCGCCGCTGCAACCTCAACAGACACTGCAAAAACCCGGCGCGGTCATGAACGGCGATATTCCTTCCTCCTCTCCAAGTCCGTACTCTCCACAATCGACCCGAGTTACAGAAAACGAGCGATTCAGCTTAAGCGGGCTTTTCTCGGCGATGAGAAGCGATACCGGTGAAGGCTCGTCGTTGGCAAAGGGACAGGATCTGATGATGCTGGGCTTGGATATCAATTCGCCGGAGTGAGCATTCCAGTTTCCATTGGGTTGTCATTGATTGATAGGTATTTGACTGATACACTAGCGGTGCGCTGTGGCCGTCATTTTCATCGCCGTTCGCGGAACTGGAGAGCACTGCCGTGGAACCGGATTTCCAGTTACCACAGTGCTACACCGTGATTAATACCCAACCGGTGCACTCCAAGATTGGTAGCTTCTCGGACGAGACGCTATTCTACATCTTCTACACGATGCCTCGGGATATCATGCAAGAGATTGTAGTTGCTGAGCTGTAAGTTGTTACCTACTCGAGCTTCCAGGTGCGCGGGTAGGTGTTGACCCTGCGGGACTCTAGGGCGGCCAGGAATTGGAGATATCACATGTTGCATAGACTTTGGATGACGAAAGATCCGACGGCCCAAGTCGAGCAGTTCTCTGAAACGGCGGAGAAGGGAGTCTACGTCTTCTTTGATCCGATGACGTGGGAGAGAATGAAGGTAAGTTTGCAGATCACATCGCTCATTAGCAATTTGGACAGCTTTACTAAGCAATCGTTGTAGAAGGAGATAGTACTCGAATACTCGCATCTCGACCCTAGGACGACGGGAACATACCTCGGTCTCCAGTCTGGCGTTGGGCCTCTCGCGGGCTTGAGCGCATAGGTACTCGGCAGTATTTGATGCTCCATCCGTACATTTGAAATTACTCTTCTATCTTACCGGGCGTTCACCACGTTGATTGTCGAGCGGGCGGTTGTCTAGACAATGGGAGGTGTGGGCGTTGATACATTTTCTTCGCGTTTGTTTCTCGTTTAACTTTTATTGTGGTTAGTTGATGGTGTCTGGCTGGTCATCGCTAGTGTTTTTACGGTGTGAATGCAAATGCAAACAGGCGGGCGTTGTGAATCGTGACTCGTGAGATGAGATGGTGATGCTGATGACTGATGACTGTGGGGAAAGTCCGATGGTGCATACGAGCCGGGGTGGTGATAGGTCTACACTCGACCGAGATGTCTATCTATACGGTAGAGAAGATGCTCTAAGATACGGCCATGTTCAATTGAGGACCCTGAGTTGTGCTCTAACCGATGCTTCTCGCACTGATACTCCGAGAGCTCGATCCTTTTTCGCCCGGTTGTCTATCTATCCGTTCTCACGACCGCGGTTTATAAGGAGATGGCTGCATCGTACCATCTCTTCTGCCCGATGTTGTCACCAACAAAACTAGCTGCTGGTCCGTGCGTTCGTTATTTCTTTTTAGTTCCGCTTCCCATTTCTGACTCGACTTCGATTTCCAATTCCCCACACAACAGACCTCCACAACACAACCAGCCCACATGTCGAAACCATTTCCCTTCATAGACGCTGCTGGTAGCACGCCGTCGCCGCCAAAGACTGCACCGCCAGCTCCTGTCGTCGGTTGCGAGAAATTGCTGCAGCGCATCACCGCCGATATCGCCAGTGCAGGTGCCGCGACGATGATTATCGCGCCTCGTAGGGTCCCCTAGCTGTCAATTACGAGTGGAAAAAGTGGAAGCTGATGGAGCGGACAGTCATATGCCTCATAGACCGCAGTATAATGGAGAACGCATCGGGGAAGACCAGTTCGGTGCTCGAGAGTGCGAAACTGCAGTTCAAGACCATCGTCACCAAGCCGCATAGGTTCATCTTTTCAAAACCATTTGCGCTCATATACGTGAGTTCTTCCTCGGCGAAGAAAGGAACGCCGGAACGCCGGAAGGAAGGCAGCGGGTGAGATTTAGGACTAATGGGAAGCGACGGAACAGATGACCTACTTTGGAACGTATATGACCGCGAACACAATCGATACCGTCTCTGCAGTGCGAACGGGTGGCGATATCAAAGTAGTCACATCAGGCACGGAGAAGTTTCTTGCGACATCTACGTATGGCTTTCCCTCTCCTCTCCCGGCTTATGGTGGTGCTGATTCCGTCACAGAGCAAACATGTCCTTGGGCCTAATCAAAGACCGCAACTTCGCCCGCCTCTTCGGCACTGGCACGCCTCGACCCGTTCCCTTACCATCCTTCGTCCTCTTCTCCATCCGCGATGCCATGACCATCATGTTCAGCTTCAACGTGCCGTCCCGGGTCTCGCATCTGATGCCGAACGCTTCGCCCTTCATGTCCTCGGAGTCCATCGCGCAGTTCGTGTCGCCCGTGAGCTGCCAGGTGCTATCCACACCGCTGCACTTGTTCGGCCTCGACCTCTACAATCGAGGCAGGAACGTCACCTGGAGGGAGCGGCTCCAGATGATAAAAGTGAATTATTCCCAGAGTACGCTGGCGAGGATGTGTAGGATTGTCCCTGCGTTTGGCTTTGGAGGCGTGACGAACACGAAGGTTAGGAGGAGTCTGTTGGAGAAGATTGAGGATAGCGCGTAGGAGAAGGTTTGGCATGCATACACGGTGGGTTGAAAAGTCGCTGTTACGATTTCGTTCGTTCGTTCGGACGGGCATGGGATGGGATAGATGGGCGTTTTTGCTGCTGCTGCTGGTGTTTTGATGATTGCCTTCTTGTTCGCCTCAAATTCTTCTTCTGATACCGACGCTGATATTGGCTGGCTGGTTGATACCACGATGATTTTCCTTCTTCGGCTTCTTTTTGTTTGATAGATAGACCTTTCCTTTTCTTTTGCAGATCCGCGCTGGATCGCTGTAAATAAAAGTTGGCCATTGCGTTGAGCATTACCGCACACATGCACCCTAACCTCATCCCATAGGGCCATCGGCCCATCGCTAGGGTCCACCCACCCGTAGTGACTAGAGTATCGTTAAACGCGTCGCGTCCCCTCTCCCCACCACCGCCCACACCCACGACCACCATGCCGACCGCACCCCCGCCCAACAGCACCACGACCGCGACCACCGCGCCCCCGGCCCCCTCTACGAATGAAAAGCGGCGGCCCGCCACACACGCGCCCCCGGCGCTCGAAGCGCAGACCTCGACGGGCTCCGTCAACTCCAACGGCCTGCACGCGCACGAGGGGATCGAGGGCATGGGCTGGGACACACTACCGCTCTCGGTTCTGCACAGCTACCGCACCGCATACCACCTGTCCGTCCCGTCCGCGTCGGAACCCTACCGGAACATGGTGCTCAACGCCGGCGTGGGCCGGCGGAGTCCGGCGGGACGGGGGGGCGGCGGCCGCGGAAGGGTCGCGAGGGAGGTGCTCGCTACCGCCGTGAGGAAGAATTTTAATGCGCAGCCGATCGTCGAGAACGAGGTCATCGTTAATTTTCTGTACTCGGTCAAAAACCAAGGTGAGTCCGGATCGTTTTGCGGGGAGAGGGGGGCGGGGAGCTGCGCACGGCTGGGGCTGATAGGTGGACTACCGGCAGATAAGAAGTTTCGATTGAGGTTCCCGCCGCAGAAATAGCGGAGGGATGGGAGTTTGGAGTTTGGAGTTTCGTTTCGTTTCTTCTGTGGATGTCTGAGAGCAGTGGAATTACCCGTGTTGATGGGGCCCGAGTGTATGGTGTATATATGAGGATGTGAATTGTATTGATATCCTTCCTGCTTGCTGCTTCTAAGGCTTGGACTGAGGGGGTTTTCGCGAAGGCATGTTTGAGCTATGCTAGAGCTCATAGATAGGCCGCGTGAGGGTGAATAGTTCATCGGATCTCACACTATCCGTAGCCGGTTGTCGAGTGATCATGACAGTATATCTGGGTCGGCAATCACCCCAGGCTCATCCGTAACCGTTTCAGCAATGTTTCTCAGGCTTAAAAGTACACCCTTCTACAGTCCTTCTTTACTGCGAAGGGGCTTGGTTGCTTCACACAGTCAATTATAGATATTTGGTACAGATGGTGGCAGTGGGTACGTGCCCGAGGCGGCTGGGTATGAGGAGACGGGAACGAGGTGGAAGTCAGGAGTGAGTGAGTGGATAAGCGGAAGGGAGGTATAGCAGACGCTACGAGGTAGGGGGCAGGGGCCGGAACAGGAGGGTATGGTACCTGCGGTCAAGAAAGGCCATCTTTTTACGGTTCTAATTTCAAGCCAGCTAGCAGCCGGCAGTAGATGTGAAATCCGTGGAGTGGAAAGGGCACGGGCATTGTACCTCCCTATAGATTTAGATTCCTGGTCCAATTTTGGTGTGAAGTTCTTTTACAAGAAGAAATACCGGGTTTTGTATGGAATTCATGCTCGAGTGCACCAAACTCTCGCGAGATGGTGACTGATTTTTACTCTAGAGTTAAAATGTAGTGGTCTCATGTACTCGGTCGGAGCATGAACTTAAGAGTGAGAACTTTTCGGACCTGGAACTCAGCTGTTCAGCTAGGTACGATTCGAAATACGGGCCTCCGGACCGAACTCCACCAGCAGATAGCGTGTCCCACCGGGATATCTCCTGCGCCATGCGCCTTGGAAACTGACGGGTGGAAGAATCCATGGTCAGTAGGTAAGAGATGTAGTGGTACAATGAGACACATGTCGTCACTCACCGTCTAAAACCTCACTCGCTCTTGCAGTTCTCATTCACTTTTGGAAGCCATGCACTTCCAAGCCTCCTGGCTGCTCCAGTGCTCCTTGACTCTTCTAAGCCTCACAGTATGTACTCATTTACGTTTGCAGCCCCAGGCCCTACTTACTCTCTTAAGCCCCATTCCTACTGGCCCAGAAATCTTGCCGAGCAAAGGGACCGTAAATCTCTATCGACACGTCGCATTCAAGACGGTACACCCACATGTGTGAAAAGGAGGGCCAGAGCTCGTGAAGTGTGGTCTGATTTGCTAGCATGTACAGACGCCGAGCGAACGGGATGCTTCGCCTTCAGCCCACCCATGCATAGCAGTTCTCAGCAAGACCCTCCCAGGTTAAAGGTGTGCCTTCTATGATGGTATTCTACGGGGTGCGGCTTGTTTTGTTCGGCGTCCTTGTGGGCATGTTTCGGTAGGTATCCCGTGCATAGGCTCGATAGCATCATAGGCGGCCGGTGCTTGGGCTTCTATGAGCTGCATATCGGTATACACTTGATTGGGAAGGCGGGTGGTGGAGGAACAATTGGAGAGAAAGAAATACGAGGATCCGGATCCATTGACCAGCGACAACTCAGTATTCAGAGCCCCCGAAAGCGTAACCTCAAGCTCCTCAGAGCTATCCGGAAGCTCCTCAGAGCTGTCCGGAATTGTAACCTCGATGAACAAGTCACCGCCGTTAACAATTGTTACGATCTGATCCACATTGAAATGGGACGAATCCGGTAGGAACTTCTTATACGGCTCTAGAGCCGGCGAGTCGGCAGTATGCCAGACACGCATGTGGACCGTGGTCCAAGAGTCGCTCCTCCTTCGCTCCGTCGGCTTCTGAGCCGTGTGATTGCGTCCATTGTAGCTTTAGGTATTATCTCAGATAACTGACCTGTCGCACAAAGTCATTAGCGCTGTTACTTCAGACCGATTCTTTCCAACAGACTTCCCTAACATCATCATCTTCAGTATCGCTAAGCTTAGCAAACAGCTCTACAACCACATGCTGCCTACCTACCTCTTCCAGTCGCTTGCTTCTCCTGGCTACTAGCTACTGGTTCAACTGGAACGCGCACCTTTTCCCATGCGCGCTGAGAAAGTGACCGCTGAGCCTGCCGAGGATGCGTCCACTGAACCTTCCACGGGCACGCCCACCGAACCTGTCAAGAGCACATTGCTCAACCTACCGAGAGCGCGGCTGCCGAGAGCGCGCCCACCGAACCAGGCAAGAACGCGTCCACTGAGCCTCCCATGAGCGCGCCCACCAAGTCTGCTGCTGAGGACGCGTCAACCGAGTCTGTCAAGAGCGCGCCCACTGTGCCTTGTAGACATCTTTGACTAGTGATCAGTCCGATATTGGATATTGTTGTCTTCATCACTGTCGTCGTCAGGAGCATATTCAGCCGTAGACGTAAGAAGAGCTGCGAATTTTGATGACTCTGTCGGTGCGTGCTATTTTCGGAGGAAAAGTGATCTTGTTGTTCTCCATTATGGTTTCCGTGATTTCTATCGACTTGATCTTTGTCGAGTGTACTGCAATGCTCTACATCTGCCATTCCCACGATGCTTCAGGAGTTCCAGCCGCACTAACCTAATCGACTGATGTTCTGCTGCCGCGCTGGCGCTAACCAGAATCACGCTAGTGTGTTTCACTGAGCGGTCGGTTATCCGAGATAATACGGTAGGCGGTTTGCTGGTGGTTTCGTTCTCGCTACCTCCTGAGGTGGGAATGTTTGACATGTCGGGGGCTGTTGTAATGCTAGGTACTGCAGCGGCAACTTGTCGTTTGTAGGAATCCGTGATGAGCTCTGCTGTTCGCTCCTCCACTGCCTACCAAATCAAAAAAAAAACCATGACCGCACTCTGTGCAAGTCGTCTCGCCCCACGGACACAGTCCGCACACACAGAACCCCGCCGGGGCACGTCTGACCACCTCTAGGGACCTCGCTCCCGTCCCCAGCTTCCTCTCGTCGGTATTTTCTTCCCCACCCCACCACCGCCGGGGCAGCACTGCCCCGCCAATAGCTCAGCAACGGATGCCCGTAGGCACTTCCATAGGCGGCCTGGATCGAATCTCTCTCGAGTGATCCGGACAATGTTCCACCCGCGGATTTCCCTCCTTCGATTCGCCACCGTGGATCTCCCACTCAGGGTGGGATAGGGATGCTGAAAGCGGGATCCTTCGTTGTCCGCATCTGTTGCGTTATATATGGAAATCATTCCATGCCACGGTGGTCGAGTTCTGGCTCTGGTTCTTCCCAGGGGTTCTTGTTCTTCTTGTTCTTCTTCTTCTTGCTCTTCTAAGCTGGGCTCTTCTGTGGCTCGCTCAGCCCCGGCCCCGAGCGTTGGTTTCATCATCCGTCGCTTCGTGTTCCGGGCATCCCCGGATATCGATAGGGATGGGGAATGTGATCCGTTCGGTGACTTCAATATTAAGCCACGCGAACCGCGAGTGAACGTGGAGCCTCAGCTCGATGGCAGGTTAATCCACCCACCAGAGGCCATAGCCCCCGGTAGATCACCTGTCATCATCTTCTTCTTCTTCTTCTTCTTGGTCCAGTTTTCTGGACAGCCTCCGCCGCCGCTTCCGCCGCACCCCGTCGAACACTGAAAGTGTTTCTGACGGGGACAAATTTTTGTCGGCTGGCTTCACGCCACTTTGTTGAATCAATCAGCACGGCTTCTAAGGAAGGACTAACACTGACAGACGTCGCGAACCAGTGCAGTGGATGGAATAGAACTTACCGTACGAGCCCTTAATGGGGCGAACCTGGTTACCACAACCGAATCTAGCTTCGGCGTAAACTTTATCGGCACTGAGCCGAGCCGATGCCGATTGCCCCGAGGGCCGAGGGCGGAATGTTGATGGTTCCAAGTAGATCGGTTGGTGTAAGCCCTCAACTGTTGTGGAGTGAAGTGGAAAGAAAGGTGGCACGTTCATCGAAACTGTCGACTGTTGTGGGGCGAAAAGAAAGAAAGAAAGAGAGAAGATGTCTTTCGGAGATGGTTGCGGTTGTGGTTTTGTGGTGGAAAACCGGCGAAAATGTGCGCTACCGTGCCCCAACGCCGAACCCTAAGAGCAGCCGCTCAGACACAGCCCTACGCAAATTCAATTATGTATAGCCCTATGTAACCGAATTGCAGTGAGTGAGCAGTAGTGCTATGTACACGGATATTTGATATCGGATACATCGCAGCAAGGCGGGCAGCGGCGCCACATCGTGCCATCATGACAGCAATCCGCGCCCAAAAACGCCCACGCCTCTCCCTCCAGCCTCACCAGCAGATTCAAGTGCCAGGGCAAATGCCCCGGCGCATCTAGGTAGTTACCACCCATGTACAGTGCGCCATCGCCGCGTAGATCCAGCGCGTGCGGGTAGCTGCATGCAGATATCTTGTCGTAGGCCGAGGTCGAAGAGCACGTACACTTCTGGGGACTGCGAGGAGGGCAGCGAGAGGTAGTCGGTTGGGAATGGAGTCACGGTGAAGAACCGCCTGGAAGTGCGTGCGTGCGGGGAGGGGGGGCATGGTGGGACCGTTGCCGCGGGGGTACCTACCTAGGTATGGCCCTCGAGGGGGGGCGAGTATGCCGACTTATTTGTAGTGATAATGATGGACTGGAGGGGATGAGGCCGAGGTCCTACGGCTTCTACTGGTCTGGCCACGGTTGGGGGTTAATATAAGTACCACACCTATGTCAATCGAAGATCTTCACCCCACCCCATGGCCGGTAAGTCTAATCCTTGGATCGAGGATGACATCTGATACATACCTGTGACCAGCAGTCCGAGCTTGTATCCCTACTCTGGGTGTATCAGTTCCATCTGTCCTGAAGATTTGTTACATCCAGAAATCAGAATCGAACTGCATCATCCGCAGTCGAGTGATTTATCATGTCACTTGACCGGGAATCTCATCTCCCCCACCAGGTAATCACCCCCAGCATAAGGCCACCACTACGATCATCATCACAATACTGAATGCAGACAGCTGCAGGATTCCTGGCCAAATCATCTTCCGTACTAGGTAATCCCCCGACTCTACCTAGATATTCGAGTTCAAGTTGAGTGTTGATCGAGTGATTCCTCATGTAAAGTTATCAACACTGTGTTTGAACTTTGAAGACCGATGTTTCGTGCATACCGCAGCGATCAGGGAGTTTAGGTACGTATTGGAGTGAGAAAGACGGTGATGGTGATGGTGAAATGAGTTCAATGATCATGAGTACCTACTTCGTACCACGGGTGGTGGTTTCTCATCCATCCGTAATTAATCATTAGCCAACTAAGTAAGCAAACGCTTATTCCTCCTGTCCTGAATCCCGAATCCTCCAAACATAGGTAACGTTACAGACGACGTCTATGGCATCCAATGTCCATTCCATCCCCCAGCATTTCATGCGTCCCTTTACTCCACCGCCCCTCCTTATCCTTATCCATATCCCTATCCGGAACACATCCCCAAGTTCCAACAAAGCCGCTCCCAAACCGCGGGTATAAAAACCAAGCCAAACCAAACCAAACCACAAGCCACGCCTCACGCCTCACGCCCCGCAGAACCCAAAACAAAAAACAAAAAGCAAAACGCAACCGGCCCCAGCCTGCCACCGCGTACGAGTGAGTAGGTAGTCAGGCATTTCAAGCCATCCGTATGTAGGTATTCCAATAAAACAAACAAAAAAAAATCCCACCCAGCCCCCATTCCCCCCCCGTCTATACAGTGTTCTCGATCCCGCCCAAAACCGCAGACCTATGCATGCCCATCTTTATGCCTACATTTGGCATATAGGTAGTGGGCTTCGTGGGGCTTCTATTCGCGCGCTCCCTCTTGAGGGCATCCAGCTCGCGTCTCAGCGCCTCATTCTCTCGCTGCAGCTGGTCGAGTTTACTTCTGCCTGTGTCACCCGTGGCGTCCTCGTCCTCGTAGACACTCAGCTCGTCCTCCATTCCCCTGCGGAGAATGTCTAATTTCTCATCAACGAACTCATCGCGCCACTCAGCGTCCTGCACGCGCGCCTCCATCGCCGCGCGCCGCGCGTCCTCCAGCCGCGCCTCCATCTCGTCTGCCATCTCCTCGCGCACGCTCTGCTCGATCATCAGGCAGCGGTCTTCGGCGTCGCGCCAGCGGCTCTCAGTCTCCTCCAGCTGGGCGACGAGACGGCGGATTAGCGCGTCTTTGCTGAGCGTGTTGGGCCCGCCACCGCCAACGCCGCCGCCAACGCCGCTGCCGCCGGGGCCCTCGGTGTCCGAGAGGAGCTCGGTGCTGCCTGAGACGGTGCGGATACTGCGTGGTGGGGGCGGGTGCGACACGATCGCTTCTTTGGCGAGCGCGGAGTATTTCAGGACTTGTAGCGTCGGGTTGTAGTCGCCCATGGGGTCCGCGGTGACGAGGATCACGGCTTTTTGCTTGGATATGCCAGTGAAGGTGTTGGAGAAGAGGACTTCGGTGAGTTTGCTGCTTCGGTAGGGCGGTTGGCTTGCGCTCCCCGGCTGCTGCGACGCGAGGCATTGACCGAGCATCATCAACGACTTGTTGATGCTCCCCGCTTCGACGAGTTGGCTGCCCGCGGTCTGTGCGTTCCGTGCACGCTCCGAGCCCGCTAGGTCAACGATGTGCAGTGAACTACTGTCCTTCTCCACCCCGCGGGAACTGAAGCGCTTGATCTCGATCTGCAGGAACGCATGGGATCGGGACGAGGACATGTTCAAGTTCGTCGCGGAGACCTTCCTGCACGTCTGCGCGTGCTCGACCACCTGCAGCGCCTCGTCGTAGTTGCTAACGCACACCTTCCGCAGGCCCGCAACGACCTTCTTCTGCTCGCGCGATGTCTCCCAGGGGGACTGTGTGCTCGGCTTCTTGAACAGCAGGGCCTTCCGCCGCGCAGCGGGGTTGACCAACGGCGATTCGTCCAGCAGATCGAAAATCCGCTCGTTGTAGAGTTCATACATCGAGATGAGCACGGCATAGCCGCTCTTTGGGTCGCCATCCACCAACACCTCCTCCTCTCCCTCCAGCATTGGTTCCACCGGCGTGGTCGCCGCGATACTAACGCGCTTCGACGTGCCGGCGGCATGCATGACCTCCATCGCGGCCGCGACGCGGGCAAAGAACGTTGGAGCATCGATCACGACCGCATCGGAGTTATCGAACGAGGGCATATCCAGTCGCTCGTAGTCGACCATTTTCCCGCGCAGCGCAGAGAACACCACGTCGAGTGACAGCTGGATCATCCCCCGCTGCTCGCTGTTCCCGAGAATGGTGTGCGTCTTCCCGCTCCCCGTCACCCCCAGCGTCGCCATCATCCCGTCCTTCCCCCGGATCGCATCGTGCACCAGCGGCAGAACAGTGCTCCGGAACACCTCCAGCTGCGGCGACGCCTCCGAGAACACTCGCGTGAACGAGTATTTCTCGGCGGTGCGGGTGCGCGCGCGGTCCGGCGGCGTGAGCAGGATCGAGGTGCCTTCCGGACCCGCGGTGATGAAGCGCGAGGAAGCAATGGAGTGGCTTGAGGTTGGCCGGAGTCGTAGGTATACTTGGAAGTATTGTGCGGGGGTGTGGTGGCGGTCGAACGGCGTGTTGGGACGCTCACGGTCGATGCCGGGGGTTTTGGCGCGGCTTGGGCCGGGGGTTTTGGGGCGGTCCATTGCGTGTATGTGTAGATCTTTTCTCGTGGGTATATGGTATGCGTAGCGGAGGGAAAGCGGGATGTGTTTGTGGATGCCCGTAGTGGAGGAAAAGAAGACAGAAGTTGGCAGGACAAGCTCCAGGGTGAGTACTACTAAACACGTCAACAAGGGCCGTTGTCAAGGACAACGAAGCTAGCTACTTATCGAAGTGCAAATGCATCACAACATCGCATGCAGTGGCACCCCTTGCCAGGCAGCAGAGGATTCGTAACCGTCCAGTGTCCACCGCATCTCCGTCCGGGCTTCCTCTCTCGAGTCGCAAGCCCGGCAAACAAAGGCAGGTCCAAAAGTAAACATTGCTGCCTCCAGGCTCCGCCCCTTCACTTGCAGGAGTGGAGCGTAGTGAAATAGGCAAGTCCTCTTGTAACAGGTAACTCTAGTTACTGCGCGCCCAATTCCCGGCAACGCTCTCCGTCGTGTCCAGTCTACCGCGTTCAGTCTGTCCTGTGCTGTGCTGTCTGCCCAGTCCTGCCCAGTCCTCCAGTCCTCGTGGCCGAGGGAGAGAACGTCCGGAAAAAGAGCCCGCCTTGTGTAACGCCAACCCCAACCCTCGCTCATTCCCATTCCCATCTCCCTTCCTCCCTCCGTCGTCGCACCCACTCTCCTCTCCCTCCTCCACTCCCCTCTCACCCACCTCACACCTCACGCATCCACATCTCGCACACACACACCTCTCCCACACCCAATTCCATAACAAACCCGACAAAAAAGCAAGCGCAACATGTCCAAACGTACGCGCGCCGCCCGCGACAGCGAGGAAGAGCTTGTGGCCCTGCCCAGCGACGAGGAGGATGTCGAGAGTGAAGACGAGTTTGCGCCCCCCCTTCTCCCCTCCCCCCCCCCGCGCGCGCTGCCCCAATCTGCTCAATTACAAATTCACTTGCTTACCGCGCGGCGTGTAAAAAAAGGTACCAGGAAACAGCCTCGGAAGCCTCGGTCTCCGAATCCGAAGAGGAGAAGACTGCCGCCGCGACGCGGCCGAAGCGGCGGCGCGTGGAGAAGCCGGTAGCTGCTGATAGTGAGGAGGAGGAGGATGAGGACCAGGACGAAAAAGACGAGGGGGAGGAGGAAGTGGAAGAGGAGGGGGAGGATGCGGGGAGCGACGTTGAGGAGGGGGATGATGGCATGTTTTTCTCCCCGGTCTTGAACGAACCAACCCAGTGAGAGGTGTGTGTGAGTGTTGACGACGGACGATATACAGATCCGGATCTTCCTGAGGAGTCCGCCAAGGTCTCGAAGGCGCAGGATGCCAAGAAGTCCAAAGCTGCTGCTGCTGCTGCTGCCAGCGATGACGAGGAGGACGAGGAGGAGGAAGATGACGACGAAGCTGCTGCGCCCGCGGCTGCTGCCGTCAAGAAATAGGTACGACCACTGTTTGTGAGCCGTTACGCGGCCAATTCGCTGACAATCACTAGATTTGTTTCGTCAGAAGTGAATCTATGTCGATGTTCTGGATCTGGATCTGGAGATATGCGTGTATGTAGCGCAATTGGATTTTGTCAGAAAGCCATAATGTACCGGTACTCTACTAGTATTTTGATTGACGTTGAAGTTGATGATGCGATCCATCGCTAGCTCGAGCTGTGGAGTAGATATGAACTAGCTTCTAGCGTGAATCCTCTATGCACCTCACCATCATCATCATAGTACAAGCGAAGCGAAGAGGAGGGAGGATCAGATCTCATCTTAAGGTCCATGCACCAATGCGTGACCACAGAGAAAGCACACATCCATCCATCTCGGCACAACTCCGCGTACCGTACGTACTTACTTACAAAAGCAACACATCAACAAAGTCTTTAAAGAGCACACATTTACCAACCCCCTCCCCCGCAAAAGCACGCTATTTACATATTATGCTGTGCAATTGCTTGCCTGCTTGCTGTCTTCTTCTTCTTCTTCTTCTTCTTTCAAAGTCCAAATACACAAGTTGTAGTAGTAGAAACATTATTTTGCATCCTCCGTGTGCCGCCCACACCCCACCAACCAGCCACCCTTCGAGTACATATATCCACAGCTAGGCTAGCTAGCCGTCGCTACCGCTGCTACGGAATGCCATACATAACTGCGCGTAGTGATGGGTCAAGTCCAGCACGCTCTGCGGGAAGTTGGTTGACTGCACGATGCTGCGGACCTTGACGGCGCCCTCTTCGGCGATCAACTTGCGTATCGACAGCAGCAGCGAGGGGGAGAACTGTATTGTATCGTCATGTCAGCCAACACAATTCGAGCTGTAGACGTGGGGGAGGGAAAAAAACTCACCTCGGAATACCGGCGGTATTGCCAGGCCGTCAGCTTGATGATTCCGTCCAGCGCATTACGACTGTCGCGTCGTTTCTCCTGGTCTTTGAGGAGTCCTTTCAGCGCCTTGGGCGAGAAGCGGATCTTGAGGGTGGCGTTGAACGCCTCGAGTGATTCCTCATGGTGGTGGAGTCGCTGTGCGAGCTCGCCGAGGATCTCCCACTCGGTCGCGTTCTTCTTATAGGGCAGCGCTTGGGACTTGTATTGTGCGTACTCCGACCGCCAGATCGTGTACACGCGGAGATCCTACATAGTGAATGGAATGGGTTAGCCAATGGTTCCTTCCTTCCTTCCGCTTCAGTCGTCACGGGGGGAGGGGGTTCTTACCTCATAGAGCACCATGAAAAGGTTGTCGAGCCACCTCTCGCAGAGACGCTTGTTCTGGAAGTGCGTGTACTTCTCGGCGAGCGATCTCTCGTCGTCGGGGGGTGTACCATCATCGCTTCCCTTGGGTTCGGCCGGAACCGCACTCTCGGGCTTCTCGATGCTAGCGGCACCAATATCCGTCTCATCCTCCGACTTCTCGTCACCATTTGTCTCCGATTTCTCATCGGTACCGTTGGATGACACACGGTCCTCGCTCTGCCGTGGCGTCCCGCGTAATGTAGCCACACTGGAATTCTTCTTCTCCTCCCGATACTCTTCCTCCATGACAAATACCGAACTACGGCACTTGAGCAGGGTGTCCCAGCCAATTTGGCTGGTGATCTCGGTGAGGATCTTGTACGCCTTGGCGAAGGTTCCCTTGAGGTTGGCGGCGGGGAGCTTCAGGAGCATCGGGTCGACATGATCCTGTTTGGGATCGAAGTGGTCCTCGTTCATCTCCTCCAACATCGCCTCCTGCAGGATCGGGAGATGCATCTTGTTCGGCGGCGGCATCTTGGGGATGTCGCGATCCTGGTAGGTGAACATGGGGCAGGAGTTCAGCGTTAAAAGAGCCTGCACATGATCGTTATACTATGTAAGTAGTTATACCGGAGAGAGATGTGGATGAGTCGGTAGGTACCAGTTCGTATTGCTCCAGTTTCAGATATACCTGCGCTAGTCGTTCCCACGTCGTGAATTCGCTGGGAGCGCTGTTGACCGCACGTTTGGCACATTCGAGAGCGAGGTCATATCTCCCCTTGCTCATGCAGAACTCTGCCTGGACATCGAGAAGACTGTTGTCCATTGGCAAGATTTTTACGGTGTCGTACAGAAGCTGGACTGCCTTGACCTCCTCGTCGGCATCGATCAACACCCGTGCCAGTAACGATGCCACCTCCGGCTCCTTAGACCGAAGCTTCTCGAACAGATTCACACCCGAGGCGAAGCGACCAGTCGTGTGGATGTACGTCAACAGGCCGGAGGTGAGGTGATTCGACACGACGTTAGGAACCTGGACTTCGGGATCGGATCCGAGCTGGTAGCCCTTGAAGAACAGCCGTTCCGCGGCATCCAGGAACTTGTGTTCGACCTCCGTGCTCGTGATAGGATTAAACTTGCGACAACCGACGATTATCGTCGCACCCTCCTCGGCGTAGCTGAATGCTCGCAGGACACTGCAGAGGTAGGTCTCGAGCCAGAGCGCATCGGTCGCCTTGCGCTTCTCTCCACGCTCGTCGACGGCGTAGGCGTCCACGGTTCCGGGTATCGTCACGTTGACGCGCATGTCCAATCGAGAGAAGGCATTGTAGCAACTGGACACATCGCCAAAGCTAAATAAGAGCCCATCGGCATCGCGGGGTATGAGGGGTCAGGGTAGTACCAGTAAGTGCCCGTGGTGATGCGCCACGCCTGCGGTCTGCCGAACCAGAGCTGGTTCTCACCGATCGAGTATGTCAGGGTATTGATGTAGGCAGCGAGCGACGCCGACGACGAAGCATCTACACCGGTGACGTGATGATAGGTGCCGATCTGCACGGAGAAGAGAAATGATAAGTGTCAATTCGGCGGGGGCTTCGTGGCGTACACAGCTAGTTCGTCTAACCTCTTTCACAGCTGCTTTCGGCTGCGTCTTGATCAGGTGGACCAGGTCCGGAGGTCCCAGCTCTCGGAGTGCCTGGAGCGATTCTGTGCGCGCGTTTATCGACTCGTGTATCTCATTCTCGACGATCCTGTAAGCGGCGCCCGCGATGGTGTTGTTAACTTCGATTTCTTCAGGCGCTGGTAAGATAGGGTGGATTGGGGTATAGCACATACTCCGGCACGGCTGGCTGGACGACTACCATCTCGGAGTCGACAGAATCGCAGCCCCGTATGTTCTGTGATACGATTGGAAGAGAAGCTGTGCCTCCGGCTAAGCTCTGGGGTCGATGGGAGTCGATATCTCGTGGTCCGGGGCGGGGTTGTGGGTTATGTACGTTGGATGTTTGGGAGTCTCACCAGTTAGTTGTCTTGATTCCCATGCACGCACCAAACGTGGTTTAGTCTGAGGAGAATGTTGAGTAATCTTGGCGCGAGTGCTTCACTGTGTCGGATAATTCAATCCTGTGCCACGAAAGCAAGAAGAAGGTGTAACTTGAAAGCTTGTGGCACAGTGGAAGCCTGTGTCTCTTGGAGTAGTTGAGGGATACGGACAGTCTGAGCGGTGTATCAATGTCTGCTGCGGGACATGCCTTCAAATAGGTAGTTCTTCGTCAGCTTGTTCCTGACCGTTCTGCGATACCTGAAGCACGCAAAAATTCTGGTGTCAAAGTATGCGGAGTAGGACCCCTTAACAAGCATTCCAAAAGTATGTGCGAGCTTGATGACCGGCTTTCTTGCTTTGAGAAGCTGCAGACAACCACTTGTGATCAATGAGCCTGCAGTTCACTGAGGGGTACATTGTAAATATTTAACTCGGCCCTTTGTCTTCTACGATAATGCGTGATATGCTTTCGCTGCTTCAGTTCAATCCAGACCCTTCCAAAGACACTGTCTTCGATCGGCAAATGGGGCAACAGTTCGGCTAGTTCCAGATTCCCGCCATAGCTGTCACTTTGATAGCTGCTAGCAACTCTATGTACTTGCACCAGCCAGAATTCAACCCTAACCGTCCCCGCGCTGGATCCAACCATACCTAGACTCACTTAGCCGCTAGTCGCATCACTGCTACATAGTAGTACCAGTTGTAGAGTAACACAGAGCTGCCGCCAGCGGAGTGAGCTTCTCGCGTTTTTCCACGAAAAGACGCGCACAACATTAAACATACATACCACCACCAACATTCCTCATACCCAACAGCAACAAACACATACTCCGCATAGTCCCGCCACTGATCGGATTGGAGCCAGTTCATTGCGTCTCGAGGAGGGGCAGCCTCAAGAGAATTGGAGACCGCCGAGATATCCCAATCATGGTACCACGCACCGGCCTCGCTGTTTCCCGCCCCTCATCCGTAACTAATGGCGCATACTCTACGTGTAGGCTACGTTCAAATCCATCAACGTACTTCCAGACTCGGACAGCGAGGATGAGAATGATAACACCCAAGAAATCCAAATCGAAGAGGCATTGAAGCTCTACCAGCAAGCATTGCGTCACCACACAGATCGCCAGTGGGATGAAGCGCAGAAGGCCTACGGGGAGCTTTTCCAATCGGAGATATTCCAGATTGATGTTGAAGAGCAGGTATGTACCTATCCCATTGTCGCGGGAAAGAGGGCAGAAGACGAACAGGGGTGGGCGCGGTTGAAGTAAACTAATACACGTTTGGTTTCGCCAGGTCCACGGCCGCACCAATAATGTTTCGTCGTCGCTACCACTCGTCCAATATCTGTCGTTCAAGAATCAGGGCGCCTTCAAACTCGACCGCCTGAAAGCGACAATCTCCACCCAGAGCGAAGACGAAGTTCGATCCGAAATCACGCAGGCGCTGCAGTGGTTTGCTACGGCGTTGGATCGGGACACCGGCGATTCTGCGCTGTGGCGGCAATCTGCACAGCTGGCGCTCGTTCTTTCGTCGGCCCGCTTGGCTCGGTTTGCACTAGAATCGGTTCTCGATCATGAAACGATTGGTACGGACGCCTCGAAGGACGCGTTATCACTCGTCATCGGCGGAAATCAGAATCCAGAAGAACACCTCGCCGTGCTACAACTACGCAAGATCCTGGAAGGCCTCGGCGATACACTGAGCCTGTCCGACGAGCGCTTCAAGGGTCTCAAGGGCAGGAGGTTGAAGAAAAGTTTCGTCAAGTTTCTGAATCCGTTGCCATGGTTACAAGCACCTCTGCCCGGTTGTGTGAAAACACTGGCGACCATGACCGATGAGTTCTCGAAGAGACGCAGGGTGGTTAATGTGCCATTCAGGACATGGGCTGCCGTGGGGAAGGCCATCCTCGATTCGCTGCTGGAAGAACCTGAGGACGACGAGGTTGTTGTTGTTCCTGCGCATTCGAATATCCTTCAGATCGTCTTGCCGCACTATGAAAGCGAAGAAGAGTCTCGACATACCACTCCGGATGAGCCAAGTCCCCCGGACTCTACCTCAAAGTCGGAAAATGCTGTCGCCGATGACAATGACGACCTCGCCATGACCGATGCGGCATCGAACCTGGCTACAGCCGCAGTGAACGACCGCCGGCGCAGTGCGTCCGCCAACAGAAAACGAAAATCCACGTCTATGGGCGGTGATGGTGCGGATTCGGGAAGGTCGCGGCTGAGCAAGAGGCAACGTGACAAAAAGGCAGCAGATGCGGCAGCAGCAGAGGCCGCAATGACCCCCGAGAGCAGGGCGAAAGTCCGGCAAGATGCTCAAGATGAGAAGCTATTCAATACTGCCGACGATTGCTTCTCTCCCTTTGGCCTGTCCCTGGGAAACGCTCGCGCACTGAAGTTTAGCCCCCCTGATGTTTCCACGGAAAATAATGACCATCCCAAAACCGATGAACTGTGCTTGGAAGACTTCAAGGCCATTCTGCGGACATGGGATGACGATAAGGGTAACGTGATACTCTACGGTGACGGGATCCAGTCTCCTGCTGAAGCCGCCCAGGGTATGAGCTTTCTGGACCTCGAAGCCAACACCCCGAGTCGTCCACTGCTTGCGGGCGATGAAGGGCTGCGGAAATGGGTCAAGAGCATCAACTCGAGAGGGTTAGGTGCAGAACAGGCCGCGTTTGAATGGCTGAAGGCTCTCTGCCGGAAAGACCTGGACTCTCGGAATAAGAAATCGCGAGGTTCGTCTGTCTCCAGTGGACAGAGCAGTTGGGTCAAATACAACTGGCCCGACTTCCTAAAAATCACCGTACTCAGTGCCGTCGACAACTGTGAAGAGTCCTGTTATCAGCACCTCAAGAACGTGGACGTAAGGCTGAGCGAGCGCTCGAAAGATGACCAATCGAATCAATTTACGCCAGAAGATTACGCGGATGTCGAGTTTGCGGAGACCATACTGGAACTATACATTGATGATCTCGCGGCCGCCGAGCGGGACAAGAGCGGCAGCGATGTCAGCGAGGATGTCGAGCTCGAGATCAAACGAGAGCGAGCGGTCAGATGGAAATACCTTGTCGGGGACCTTATGCATCACCGTCCCCGAGACGCAGACGGGCAACTGGAGGAAGATCAACTGACACTTCGCTACATCTGGGCGACAGCCGTGATGTCTGGATTCACAGAGTATTCGTCGCGCGAGTTCCGGTTGGAATGTTTCGAAGATCTCAAGGTCTTGCTCGCTGAACGGGAAGCTCCGCCGATCGATCTCCCGAACAGCAGCGTGATGCCAGAGATATCGGCTGTAAGAGCGGAACGCGAGCTTAGTAAGCTCAAAACCGTGGATTTCTTCAGCACGATCTTTGCGGCAACATCGGATACGAATGAGAAGGCTCCGGAAGAAGTGATTGAGATACTGGAAGCGGTTCTGGATCCCGGTGCGATATTGCCTTACGATGAGGAAGAGGAACGAGTTCTGCACGAGATTGGAAGGTTCCTCGAAGGCTCAAGCGCAATGTTCAAGCTCCATCTGTGGGAAAAGCTGAAAGCTGCTTACGAAAAGGTCAAGCATCCTCCCAAGGTACTCTTGTGCACATACAAGTGTATTCAAGTCATCATGAGCGAATTGAAGAGTCGCAGCTATATCGATTCCTCGCAAGACCACCGACAATTCGTGCTCCTCCGATCAATGCGACTGATCAAGGGACTAATGGGCAATGCCTTGGTTCTGGCGATGGACAAGACGAACATGGCCGAACTTACAAATGCCGAATTGAAAGATGCGCTGGAATCTATCTTGGCTATGCTCAGGATATTGCATTGCTATACTTTCTGGGAAAACGCTGTGATGAAGTCCGAGGCCAAGGCTAGCGATTTGCACTCCTACAGACTCGTGATCATGAAATTTAAGGAGCTCCTTCTTCAAGGATGGATCATGTCTTACCTTTTATACGCAACGATGCTGGAGCGGGGAATGGGCTCAGACAAGGAGGGGGGTTGGACGGAAGTAGAGAAGGAAGAGAAACTTGCCGGCCTACTCCGAGATCTCCATGAAGAACTAGGGGGCCGTCATTACTGCAAGTTGTCGAATCGTGAGTTCTCTGACGGATGAGGCTTGATGACGAATACCTAACCTAGCGATGTGCCAGATCTCTTCCTCAAGTTGATGTTTGATGAGTTGCTCAGATTCAACAATCGAGAATACGACAGCGAAATGCTGCAGGTGATCCATTGCAGGTTTCACCTGACTCTGTGCTCGGATCAGTGGTATTTCTGCGAGCATAAGACGATCGCCGAAGTCCTTGACAGGGACACGGCGTTGAAACTGCTGGACTTCATCATGTTTCACGCGTCGAAGAAGAAGATTGCCCAACTACAGAAATCAGACCTGAAAATGGGTCTGGATAAGCTGGTTGAGGTCTTCGGCATTCCGCGAGCGGGAGATAGATCGGCAAGAATTTCCCACAATCTTGCCGTCATGGACAACTACCTAAAGTCGTCGATAAATCCCCTCCAAATGTTCAGTTGCTTAAGGGGCGATCTAAACATTTCCACGGTCGAAATCTTTGGCGAACGGAAGGCGATCGCTGCGAAGGGCTTGTTCTTCCTCCAGGGAAAAATCGCGCTCTACCAGTTGAAAAACAACAAGAAGATTGGTTCTCTGAAGACGGACGAACTAGAGGCAGCAGTCAAGTACCTTAGGCATGACTTGGCTTGCAATCCAGACTCGTGGGAAACATGGTACCGTATGGGCCAGACGTTCGAGGTGCAAATGGAGGATGCACAGACCTGGAACTCAGAATATATGAACGTAAAGCGGGCAGAGCTTGTGGCGCTGGAACGGGTATGTTTAATGCTACTTCCCCACCTTCGAAGCTTTCCTTAGCTGATTAATTATAGCGGACAATCCTGTGCTACATGATGGCCGTGTCTCATTCCATCCAGAATGCCGACGACGAACCGGAAACCAACAAGATCATAGCTGAATTATATACGGACTTTGGCTACCGTATCTATTCCGCCAGTCGACCACCAATGCTGATGCAAAGCTTCTGGACTGATGGATTCCTACGGCAGTTTTCCGGCCAGAACGGACAAGGCTTGTACACCAGTCGCCCTCACAGTGAGCTCAATCATCACACCGCACTGCGCTATGCTCTTACCCTGTTCTCGAGAGCAGCGGATGAATGCGAAGACAACTGGAAGAACCATTACATGATGGGAAAATGTATGGCCAAGCTTCTCGAATGGCGCGACTATGATGTCGAAGACATTCTCCAGCATTACATCAATGCTATCAAGCTGTGCCCCGAGAAAGGCGATGTCATCTTCGAGCCCCATCACAAGCTCGTCTCGGCGGCTACAAAATTCGTACTCGCGGAGAGGTTACAGCCAAAGCGTGCATGCGAAATCCTTGAGGCAAGTCGATTCTCGAAGGGGATAGACCACGTCGAGGACCGCGCCGGCTTCATCCTTTATGTCCTCGAGGTCTTCAAGAAGATGAAAGCCGCCGACAAGCAGAAATGGCACCACCGGATGACGAACCGCATTGCCAGACTGCGATACGTGGAACTCAAGGACCCCGCAGGTGCGCGCACCGAAATCTCGTCGCTTTTCACGAAATCGGCGCAACTGGCCATCTGGAGACCGGAACATGAGCGCTCTGGGCGTCACTTCGTGTACGCGTCACAGTACACTATGTTTCACGTTGAGCTCCTGGCGAATGTCGGGGACCGGGCGACCATGGAGACGGTTGCGAAGCGAGTGAGGAGATTGCCACACGGGCTATACAGACATCCAGATGTGTGGAACTTCGTTTTCGAGAAATACATCGTTGTTCTCCGCCGCTCGATTCCATACCGTATCGAGGACGAAGTGTTCAAAGACGTGTCATTCGACGACTTCACCAATTACTCGCAAAAACTAGACACTCACTGCAACAGTCTCAAGGACACCCAATGTCCCGTCCTCGACACCGTCCGCGAAGTCTTCGAGCTCCGCCGGCTCAACGGCGGCCTGGCAAAGCATTCATCCATCGACGACCTGCTCGCCGATTCCTACGCCATGCTCTGGCAAGAGCTAGTACCCGCCATCATGGAAGCCGAAAAGTCTCAACACAACCCCATGAGTCTCAAGAACATGATGTTCGACGCCGCCCCACCGCCAGTACTACCGCAATCACCGCAGCAACCCGCCAATCCCGCCGCAGCAACAGACCCGGCAGGAGCACCACCGGGCGGGGCAAAACTGGACCTGGACCTCCCCCTGCGTGCAAAAATGACACGTGTAACCCGCCGCGAACTGATCAGCAAAGCTACCAATCTCTGCAAAGAGATCGCGCAAGCCTCCACCTCCAGCAGCACCGCAGCCGCAAAGAGCGGAAGCACCGGGCCCAGTGTTTGTGACCCCCTCCCCTGTCTTCTGTCTTCTTCACCGGTCACTGAAAAACTCCAGAGTCCGAAGGGTAGGCCTGCGGAAATGGCAACGAGCGATGATGGCATGCAGCGAGATGAAGACGCTGATTTGTCGGCGTTACCGCCGCCGCTTCCACTGGATATGTCGATGTCGATGGGAAATTAGTGTAGTGTGACGTGGACTTGAGTTGTGATGGTTGCTTCTTGTTTTCACCTTTGTACTAGGAGTTGTCGGGTGTCTGCCTTTACCTATCTTTTTGCTGAATCTGATGCTTGCTGCTGGGAATCTTTCGCCCGACGTGAACCATACTTCTTATATCAACAGCTTCTGGTAATAGAGACAGTTCTCGTAGGTAGATGAGCCTATGCATCTGTTGCCGAGCAAAAAGGTGTGAGCAAAATCTACCTACCAAGGGTCCAAAATACGAGTGAGATGCAGTGAACAAATTGCACAAATTTGAATTGCGATGTTTCGAGAGAGAGATCTGCAGTTTATTTCGCATGTAGCCTATGTATCTAAACTATGGCGAACTGTCGCACTCCATTCCTGCCCACTCTGGTCGGTGGGGGGTTAAGACCCCAATACCAGCCAGCACAATGTGGTGCTGCTGCCAGCCTTGCAATGTATTGAATGTCTGTCTACTAGTAGCACTACTACTGCTCACTCAGTACAATTTGGTTATCCAGGGCTTTAATTGAATTGAAGTAGGGCTGTATCTGAGCGGGGCTTAGTTAGGGCACGGTAGCGTTGGAGCACGGTAGCGCACATTTTCGCCGGTTTTCCACCACAAAACCACCACCACAACCACGTCCGAAAGACATCTTCTCTCTTTCTTTCATTCTTTTCACTCCACAACAGTTGACAGTTTCGATGAACGTGCCACCTTCCTTTCCACTCCACAACAGTCGAGGGCTTACACCAACCGGTCTACTTGGAACCATCAACATTCAACCATCAACATTCCGCCCTTGGGGGCAATCGGCACTTATAAGCAGTGCAGATTCGACAAAGTGGGCGTGACTCATCACATCCACCCCCCATCGATATCCGGTGATGTCCGAAACACGACGGGACGGAGAAATTTGATGAAACCAACGCCTGGGGCCCGGGGCCTGGGCTAAACAAGCCATAGAAGAGACCAGCTTAGAAGAAGAAGAACAAGAAGAGCAAGAACCCCCCTTGGAAGAACCAGAACCAGAACTCGACCACCGTCGCATGGAATGATTTCCATATGTACCGCAAAATATGCGGACGACGAAGGATCCCGCTTTTGGCATCCCTATCACACCTTGAGTGGGAGATCCGCGGTGGCGAATCGAAGGAAGAAAGTCCGCGGCTGAGACATCGCCCGGATCACTCTCTCGAGAGATTCAATCCAAGCCGCCTTGGGAAGTGCCTACGGGCAAAGAAGACCCGAAGAGCCTCAGGAAGAGCTACGGGAAAACCGTGGCTGAGCTCTTCGCCAGAGAGCGTTGTCGGACTGTTGGCTGGGGCAGCACTGCTCCGGAGGGGGTGGGGTGGGAAGAAAATACCGACAAGAGAGGAAGCTGTGGGGACAGGGGCGAGGCCCCTGGAGGTGGGCATACGTGCCCCGACAGGGTTCTGTGTGTGCGGACTGTGTCCGTGGGGCGAGACGACTTGCACAGAGTGCGGTCATGGGGGGTTTTTTTTTGCAGCGGAGGAGCGAACACCAGAGCGCATCACGGATACCTACAAACGACAAGTTGCCGCTGCAGTACTACCTAGCATTACAACAGCCCCCGACATGTCAGACATTCCCACCTCAGGAGGTAGCGAGAACGAAACTATCAGCGAACCGCCTATCTACAACGGTGGTAAAGCTACAATGGACGCACACAAAACCATTTTGGCACCAACGCCACAGCTCACCGACGACTCGACGACTGAGACATGGAATTCGCTCGCATCCGATGCTGCAACACATCATTTGTGACGGAGGAACGACTCATGGACCACGGTCCGTTTGTGACGAAAGAACGTCTCTTGGACCACGGTCCACATGCGGGTCTGGCATACCGCCGACTCGCCGGCTCTAGAGCCATAAGAAGTTCCTACCGGATTCGATCCATTTCAATGTGGATCAGATCGTAACAATTGTTAACGGCGGTGACTTGTTCATCGAGGTTACGGTTCCGGACAGCTCTGAAGAGCTTCCGGATAGCTCTGAGGAGCTTGAGGTGGCGCTTTCGGAGGCTCTGAGGGACGGTGGAGACTTGTTCATCGAGGTTACGGTTTCGGACAGCTCTGAGATTCAAGGCGGTCACGGGCTCTCCAAATCGGTCAGGTTCAGAGTTTTCTCTCTATCGCCGAGGAGCTTGCTAGCCATGTTGGGTTGGTGGTCGCTATAGGTAGTCTAATAAGGCCGTATGCGACAATAATTGATTTTTTCCTCTCTTTCCTATGCCCGTGCTCTCAGCTTTCAAGATGCCTTTGAATCGTGATGTTTAACGTCTGCTCTTGAGAATGAGGTTCCAATTTTGTTTCGAGGCGAGTTGGCAGCATGGATCTCGCTGCCATTCGGGACGGATCAGGCGGATTTTCCGGAGGACTCGGCCGGTGGTCTGTTACATACCTAGTTCGATTCTGATCTCTGAATGTATCAAACTTCCAGGCCAGACGTAACCATTGCGCCCAGAGTAGAGATACAGACTCGGACAGTTGTCGACAGGCGCCAGATGTCAGATCCCATCCAAGGATTAGACCTACCGGCCGTGGGGCGGGGTGAAGATCTTCGATTGCTATATGGTACCCATTAATCCCCACCCGTGGCCAGTGTAAGCCGTAGGACCTCGGCCTCACCCCCTACAGCCCATCATTACTCCTACTACTACAAATAAGCCCCCATACTCTCCTCCTCGGGGCCCATGCATTCCGCTCCGCGGCAACGGTCCATCACAAATTCACAATGCCCTCCCTCCCCGCACGCACTTCAGGCGGTCCTTCACCGTGACTCCATTCCTAACCGACTACCTCTCACTGCCCTCTTACCTTCATCTCTCCGGCGGACCCTGTTCCTCCCCAGCCGTACCCGGCGTACAGCTGCCTACCTGCTAACCACACACTCACCTAACGTCGAGTACGTCCTCTTCGACCTCGGCCTACGACAGGACGTGCGCAGGTACCCACCCTCCGTGCAGCGCTGTCTAGCGAGCACAATACTCCCGACCATTACGCGCACGCACGCTGGATCTACGAGGCAACGGCTCTGTGGGTAGTCGATGCACTGGGGCATTTGCCCGGGCATCTGAATTTGCTGGTCAGGCTGGTGAGGCTGTAGGGAGAGCGGTGTGCGTTTCTGGGCGCGGATTAATATTGCTGTCACGATGGGAGGGTTCTTACGGGGGACAGGAGGGTTGCGAGATATATGGATGAAGACACGGGGATGGAGAGGTGTGCGCATGTTGATAGACTTGATAGGGAGGCGGCGGAGACGCATTTGCGGAGGGTGGGGGAACTGACGAATATGGGCGTGGAGGTGCTTGGTCGCATGTTCATCCGGAAGGTTATGGGGGGAACGGTGTCTAGGGACCACGGTAATAGCTACTTGTGGCTGATTACCGTCTTGTTCATTCTGCTTCTCGTAACCACCAGTGAGATGTATGAAATTGGTGGGATAGAGCGGATTCGGTGATTTGTATGTACCATTGATCCATGATCCATCACGCCGTCATCCCCGCGGCGGCGGCCAATTTCGCCGCCTCCCTACCAGCCTTGCGTCCCCACACCGTGCCAGCCGTCAACCCACTCCCACCTATTCCAACGCAGGCAGTCAGTCAGGGTATGAATCCGCCCAGCAATTTCGTGGTCACACTATGTACTCACCTGGATAATTCCCCCAGAACAGTCCTCCGACCATTTCGCCACAACAAAACAGCCCTGGAACCGGGTCATCGGTATGTTTCGAGATGACAGCCGCAGTGTCTGGATCGATCTTGAGCCCTCCAAACGTGAACGTGATTCCGCACGTAACCTTGACCGCCACGAACGGCGCCTTGTCGATCGTCAGCGCCCAGTTCGATTTTGGCAGGGCTAGTCGCCTGGTTGACGACTGGGTCGACAAGCTGTCCTTGACCGCGGGGTCCCACTTCCGCTCTGGGAATTCCGTGCGGTTTGCCTGCACAGCTTGGTTGTATTCGTCCAGCGTGGCGAGAAAGGCCTGCTGGTCCGAGTAGGCGGCGAACATCTTTCCTACAAGCTCCTCCAGTGTGGCCGCCGTGATCTTCTGCTTCGCGACATCGTCCGCATACTCCTCGCTCCTGAGCCAGCCGATCGTCTTGTCGTCCCACAGCTGCCACGCCACGCCACCGGGCTGCTTCAAGATCTCGCGGCCGAACTTGGCATACGTAAAGTTCCTGAAGTCGACACCTTCGTCGACGAAGCGTTTCCCCTCCGCATTCACCACGATTCCGAGGGGGTACCCGGACTTGGTGTATGCATTCGTAAGAACCGGGTCACCGAAGTCCTTTGGCGCTGCCGCGTCCCAGGCAGTGGAATGGCACCCGCTCCAGTTACCGACAGTTTGGGCCAGGTTCTCGGTCATCGCGAAGCCGTCGCCGTTGTTGTACGGTGTGCCCCGGACGTAGGCCAAGTCCCATCCCGGCCCGAGACACTGTGCGCGCATTCGGGAGTTGGATTCGAAGCCGCCGCATGCGAGGGTTACCGATGGCGAGAGTAGTCTCGTTGGCACACCGGAGTGGAGGACCTCTATGCCGATTACCGCGCCGCTGGCGGAGGTGATAAGCGAGAGCGCGGGCGTGTCAAACCAGATTGTAACCCCGGCCGCCGCTGCTGCTGTCTGATGGTCGTGGACGAGGCCCTTGCCGCCGTCTTTCACACTGAGGACCTATATGTACGGTGTACCTCTCAGCCATCGCACCACTCCCACCGCGGGCCGGGATCGCAGAGTCCATACCATCCCGCCCCAGAACTTCTGGCGCCCATCGACGACATACGCCTGGCGATTAAACGACAGCGTAAACTGCACACCGACACTTTTCAGCCACCCCACGGCGTCTCTCGACTCGCGCACCAACGTCCGCGCCAACACCGGGTCCGTTCTTCCCTCCGTCATGCGGTTCAGATCCGCCATGAAGTCTTGCTCCGTATACGCCTCCATATCGATCTTCTCGGCCTCTTCCGGAGCCACATTGCACACCAGGGGGAGAACGTCAGCCAGGCCAGCAAAGACGGTGCGATAGGCACCGGCGGTGAAATAGGTGTTTCCCCCGGTGCCCACGGGGCCTTTCTCGATCAGCAGGACGTTTCTGACGCCGGCCTGGGCGGCCGTCGTGGCAGCGCTGTAGCCGGCGTTGCCGCCGCCGACTATGATCGCTCCGAACGACGGATCGGACGGCATTGTCGTCACTGCCATCGTAGCGACAGGATGATACCGACAACAACCTCGGAAATGGCAGTTTGGAAAGAAAGAAACTACCTATCCAACAAGCAAACGTGATTGAGGGACGGTGGGATTGTGCGCGTGGGGGATATTGGGATAGGCGAGAGATGGTACGACGACGGCGGCGGGCATGGACGTACGGCGTTTGAGGTCCCGTTCCCCGCACGCACCCGAGGCTTGCGTTCGCTTGGTGACGATCATGATCCAGGTTCCGCGACCTCGGTAACGGAGACATGTTTGGTATGCATGTCGCAGGCGAAATGGCATGTATTGTACAACGTGATGATGTCGGGAGTTGGGATACCACCGGAACGAGGATGGAATGAGAGCTCACGGGCTTCCACAATAGTTTAACTATCGTCTTGATTGATTGCAATTATGCACTGGCCTAGCCTGGCCGAAGAGGAGTAGAGATCTCATGCGGCCGAGACCCCTTCGTCATTTCGAAAACGAAATAGCACCGAAGCAATAGTTACTACGTACCCATTCCACGACCACGATATCAACAGCAGTTACAGCACTTCGGTAACGCATCGCGCCCGCAAAAAGAACCCCCGACAATGGGCAAATTGGAGAGAAATATTGCACTAGTAACGGGAGCTGGCAGTGGCTTCGGTGCCGCCATCGCAGAGAAATTCGCTGCGGAGGGTGCCGTCGTGCTGGTAGGCGACATCAACCAGACCAGCGGGGAAGCCGTCGCAGTAAAGCTCCATGGTGCTACCTTTGTAAAGCTTGGTGAGTAACTACTCTAGTGTGGTGATCGCTGGCAAGCTGGGGGAGGGTGCTGATCCTCAAGCCAGATGTCACATCACATGCCGACTGGAAGGCTGCGCTCCCGCTCGCCGTGGACTCGCACGGCTCACTCGACATCGTGGTGAACAATGCGGGCACCATGCCCCAAGAAACCCTCCGTAGACGTAACGGATGACGAATTCGACACGCTGCTGAACGTCAACATCAAGAGCGTGTACCTCTCCGTCTCCGAGATCATGCCGTACTTCGTAGGGCGGGGCTCGGGCGCCTCCGTTAACACCTCGTCAGTGGCCGGTACCAGAGTCCGCGAAGGCCAGGTGTGGTACGGTGGAACAAAAGCATAGGTATATGGACCGCATCACGCAAGGCCTTGCATCTGAGTATGACACTAAGGGCGTGCGGATCAACCCCGTGTGCCCACTGCGTGCACCCACCGGTTTGCTGGAGAAGTTCAGTGGTGTGCTAGATACGCCGGAGAAACGAGAGCGGTTCGGGAAGAGCGTGCCGCTTGGGTCAGTCCAGACCCTCCTCCTGTCTGCGCTGTTTGTGCTGAGTCCGTGTTCAGGAGAATGACCGAACCCATGGACGTTGCAAAGGTGGTTGCATTCCCGGCTTCTGACGAAAAATCAGGATTTATCACGGGCGTCTGGTAGGTTCCACTGGGTTCCATTCATGGCTTGTCGTCCGCTGGTTTAGAGCTCCGCATAGTGTTGCAGTATGTAGACGGAGTGAGGTTGTGCATGTAAGAAGCAACACTTTGTGCTGGCGAGATCTGTGAGTGCGCAATACCAGTATGGAGTTGAGGGCGTTGTGCGTGTTTTGGTAGCCCAAGCCACTAGGCCCTTATAAATTAGTTGTCGACGTGGAGTCTCCAGATCGTAGTGCCGGAGAAGCATGCAGTCGAATATGCAGAGCGATGTTAAAACTTGACTAAGAATGGCGGTCAATCCGTGAATGGTGGAATGGAGGGCTGCGATTTTGTTCAACCGTCTCCGCATTCGACCTCAGTAGATTGTGGCTGTTACACATGCGGTTCCTCCAGGAGGGCTGCGATTGTGCAATTGGGAAAAGATCCCGGGAGATGCCGAGCAAGCCCTAAATATCAACTCGAGTACCGCAAGGTGGACAGAGATCGTTTCACGAAACAGCCCCTAACACTTTCCAGAGTCCAATGTGGTCCAGATTTCAGGTGTCCCAGTCCCCACCGCCAAAGTACCGCTGTTGGAATTTGGAAAAGAACTTGACTTGATTGATGTATTGGTACGAAAAAGAAGAGAAAGAAGACTACTTACTTATAAGAGAAACAAGCTCGTGTAGACAGGGAGAAGGTCGGGCCTCAGACAGAGGATGCAACGATACTCGTCGCCGCATACTCGCCGCCGCATACTCGCTGCTGGTGGCTTAAAGACTTTCAGCTGACAAGGCTGATTCTAATGAGAATCCATGGACAATGCTAAGCAGCCAGGAATGAGATGAGGGCAGTATGCAAAGGACAGTGGAAATTAGAAATGACAGTGGAAAGTAGCAGTGACTCCGGCACAGGTAATAAGACGCATAATATCAACAACCGTGTCCGAACAGAGATCGAGTGAAAGCCCTGTCCGTCCTGCTGGCGCCAAGCTTTATAGCAGCGAGACGGAGTCACGACGATCCAACAATCATGACAGGTAATGACCAGATTCAATAGTTCGCGAGATCACATGGCTAGAACTTCTATCCGCCTCTGCGGAGTGGACGTGGAGGTTCCGTCAATTACATAACTAAGTCTTCTATCATATGCACGAGTGCAAACGATCAAGCAGGCATGTCATGATGTTGCTTGACGACTGTACATTGTCCATAAAGATCTTGTTGACCGGAATGGTCTTCAAAAGACGTATGATACATCATACAAAACGGCCAAATCACTCGAACGGTCCATTTCTGTGGTGGAGCCAATTGCGGAGTCCATGTGCCGAACTATAACGCGGACTCTGAAGAGAACTGGGAGCTTCCTGGCCTATTCTAGGTGCTGGTAGTAGAAGGTTGGAGTTGCCGGCCAAAAGAATGACCATGTAGAAACGGTAGTGCGTCTCTTCTGCTGCTTCACTTTCAAAACTCTCCTGTCTGAGGGAGTCATGGACCCCTCCACGACGAAAATTTCATTTGCAGCCATCCAGCTGATCCCAAACCTCGCTCGCCGGCCCCATTCCCGCAAATATATCGCAGGATACTCTAGGTAAAGGCTTGTCGTCGTGTTAGGGTTGGCGACTGGTGCGAGGTTTTGGCGTGTTTTAGCCTCCTCCCCCAGACTCCCGTCTCTAGCCTAGCTCGACGACGTCAACCGCGCCCAGCCTTCGTTACGGATCTAATCGCGACGGTTGAATTGCGTGGGCCGGCGGCTAAGGCTCCCGCTCGCTGCTGGACAACGGACGGGCCGATGATCCCCAGCAACATCCTGGTAGCTAACACTGTGTGGAAGACCGTTAGCTAAAATCCTACGGGCCCTCGTTAAGCCACCCACCATACGATGACGACACACCGCTACGGGAGTATCGCGTTGATGACAACGGCCTGCGTGGGTACATAGTACCAATGTGGCATCGAAGTATTCGATGGGCGTACCTGCTCGTGTAGAGTACCTAGCTGGCCGGCCGCATTCTGGTGGCGGGAGGAGGGGGGTGCTGACAATCCCGATATGCACTTGGCCTCTCTCGCGAATCAGAACGTCCTCCGGAATCGCGACTTCCCAACGTCCAGTCAGGTGGCAACGCCCATAGCTGTTTCTATGGATTTCTGTCCGCATACGAGACCCACTACGGTAAATGGACCGCACAAGCGGCTCTCCGGTCTGGGGACTCCGGCCATATATTCTAATGGTAACCCCTCCCCCGGATTCAATATCCCCCCACCGTTTGTGCCTCGGTGGACTTACTTATATAGACAGACATCCCGGATACATTGCATTCATCTATCTACTCCGTTTCTTCAAGTCGGAGCTCTTGGCCCTTGTCCACGCGCCCCTCGCAGTGATATTCCATTTATATCATACAAAGGATATATCACCATTGAACATCGTGCGCAAGCAACGGCAATCATAAACCTACGCTCCCCCTGTTCGAGATAAAGGAGTGAGGATCCTTGGAGCTGTTTTCAGGAGGACATCAGATAGTATACGGCAACAGCTTGCCCATACATTCAATTCCGAAGCCTCACTGCCAGCCCGTCTTGCAGGGAGGGCCGTTTCTTCTACCAATTGCAGCCTTCACCATCCGTTTTCAGTACACGATATCGACGGTATCGTCAATATTCCACCAGAACTATGACCAGTATGACAGTGAGTCTTCATATTTCTAGCTAAACTACATTGCCACCTCCAAATTTGTACCGTCATAGCATTGTTACTGACCGATTGTTCCGATGCCTCCATAGACGAACACACCGGTCACCACGATCCTGCTTATTTCGAACCTACACTGCCCGTCGTGCAGCCGCACGATATCCGAGCTTTTATGGCGGCTCACGCCCTCGCCACTGAGCGTTTCTACTTCCGTGTTGAGCCGGATCGTCACCGTCATCCACCGGCCCGACCTGCTTCCCCGCGACATCGTGTGGGCCCTGATGGAAGCCGAGTTTGAGGTTGATAGTATAGACCTACGTAACGACGCCCAGGCCGTGGACCCGGACTTTGTTTTCGGCGGAGCAGCGGCCGCAGACCTACTGCCCGTTGAGGCGAGGGGTTGGCTGGAGGAGGCCCGCAAGGTCATGAAGGATGTGGTCCGGAGGAGTGTCCAGCGGAGGGGGTATCAACACCTCTTCAATTGTGAGCTTTGTCAGCAACAGGCCGCTGAATCACCGGCGCGGCCAAAATCGGCCCTGTTATCAACGAGAAATTCAAGGAGATTCAGCTCTTCCGTGGATATCGAGAAGTCGTTGGGAAGTGCGAACAGAGAAGAGTTTGAACTCGCGGAATCGCGAAAACTAAAGAGACCAATGGCCAAAAATCTTCCGCCAACTCGCAACATTTACGAAGCTTTGATATCCATCGGTGGCATGACATGTAGTGTCTGCACCGGAAAAGTGGCCGAGAGTCTTGAGGCCTTCGAGTTCGTCAAGGAAGTCAACATCAACCTCATGAACAACAGCGGACTGGTGCAGTTCGAGGCCTTTGGGGATGGCAAAGAGGAGGCAGCAAAGCTGGTGGAAGAGGTGGAAGACATTGGATACGACGGGGCCCTGGACCGGCTGACTAACTTGACCCCTCAGACGACCGACGGTGACGATGCATGGAGCAGAGAGAGACAAGTCGCCTTACTGGTCCGAGGGATGTTCTGCGAAGCATGTACGGGAAAGATTCTGGAGGCGTTGGAGACCGCCTTCCCAGACATTTTGGAGATCGAAGCGCAGCCAACAGTTCGCGCGCCAATACTACGCATCTCCTACATACCTCAATCACCGACAATCACCATCCGTAGGATAATCGAAGTCATTTCATGCATCGACCCGGTCCTCGAAGTCTCCGTGTACCACCCGCCAACCATCGAGGAGCGCTCGCGGGAAATCCAACTCCGAGAACGCAACAACTACCTCCTACGGCTATGTTTCTGCGTGATCTGTGCCATCCCGACGTTTCTCATCGGCGTGGTGTGGATGGCCCTAGTGTCGCGCGACGATCCCATGAGAATCTACATGGAGGCTGCCATGTGGGCCGGAAATGTCTCGCGGATCGAATGGGCCCTGTTGATCATCAGCACGCCGGTCATGTTCTATGCTGCCAATCCGTTCCATTTGAGGGCTGCGCGCGAGATCATGGCGCTTTGGCGGCCGGGAAGCCCAGTTCCCGTCTTTCGACGGTTCTATCGCTTCGGCTCGATGAACTTGTTGATTTCCTTGGGTGTTTCCATCTCGTACTTTTCGAGCGTTGCGATGCTTGTTCTCGCCGCCCATCGTAATCCGCATCATCCCGGGATGGCAAAGGGACATACAACGACGTATTTCGACTCGACGGTTTTCCTGACCATGTTTCTCTTGATGGGTAAGTGCTCTGATCCTCTTGACCTGGCTTCCGGTGCTAATCAAAACCCAAAGGTCGCTACCTGGAGGCGTACAGCAAGGCAAAGACCGCAGACGGCGTTAATCTCCTGGCCAACCTGCGTCCGAAGGAGGCCGTGTTGGTAGAGCCGACTGACGCAAAAACACCAGTGGACATCGAAAAGTCCGTCAAAAATTCACCATCGCAAGAAATCACCGAGATAGTCCCCGACTACTCCGACGCCCGCCCGGTCACCACCAAGCGAATCACCGCCGACCTCCTGGAGGTAGGCGACATCGTGACGATAGCACAAGGCTCCTCGCCACCGGCCGACGGCGTCGTCATCTCGGGCATCTCCACATTCGACGAGACATCACTGACCGGCGAAGCCCGCCCCGTCCCCAAAGCCGACGGCGACATGGTGTACGCGGGGACCATCAACATCGGCCAAGTGATCAACGCGCGCATCGTCAAGATCAGCGGCGAAACGCTTCTGGACGAGATCGTGAACGTCGTGCGCGAGGGCCAGAACCGGCATGCGCCCATCGAACGCATCGCAGACAGGGTGACCGCATATTTCGTCCCCGTTATCTGTTTCCTGGCTGTCACTACGTGGGTGGTGTGGCTTGTCCTGGGGACCTCCGGCTCGCTGCCGGAGGATTACCTCGACATCAACGAGGGTGGCTGGTATCTGTGGTCGCTCAGCTTCGCCATCGCCGTCTTCGTCGTTGCCTGTCCCTGCGGAATCGGCCTGGCCGCGCCGTGTGCGCTGCACGTGGGCACCGGGCTTGCAGCCCGCCACGCGATCCTGGCCAAGGGAGGTGGCGAGGCGTTTCAGGAGGCGTCGACTCTGGACTGCGTCGTTTTTGATAAAACTGGCACTCTCACACACGGAGTTGAGCCGGTCGTTACGGACGAGGAAATTCTTTTCCAGGACAATAAAGCTATCGTGGTCATCAATCTGGCTGTCCGGCTGCTCGAGGAGGGATCAAATCATCCGCTCGCTCGTGCAATGGTCAATTACTTCCGCGATAAGCCGTCTGCTAACGGCCGCATCGTGACTACGGAGGAAATTGCTGGTAAGGGCTCGAAAGGCACCATCGACGTCAGCGGCGCCCACTTCGAAGCACTGATCGGCAACCAGAGGCTAATGGCGGAGCACAACATTGACGTACCATGGAATTACTCTGAGCAGCTGGCCTCATGGCAGACAACCGGAAAGAGTGTTATACTTTTCGCCATCCGATCCGACTCGAGCCCACTATTCCGACCCGAGTTTTCGCTGGCGGCGATGTTTGCGACTACCGACCCGATCCGTGAAGAAGCGCCGTTCGTCATCAAAGGACTGGCGAAAAGTGGCATCGACGTGTGGATGATAACCGGTGATAACCCGCTCACCGCCTCGGCCGTTGCAAAGCAAGTCGGCATTCCCCACAACCGAGTGATCGCCGGAGTACTGCCCACGGAAAAGGTCCACCCCCCTCATTCTCCCACTTAGGTACTATTACCATACTAACATCCCGCAGGCCGAAAAAGTCCGCTCCCTGCAAAGCCTTGCGACCACCCGACCACCGTCCACCCCTCGCCGGCTCCTCACGCTCTTCCAGCGCGCCGCGCCCCCACGGCGCGCCATCGTGGCCATGGTGGGCGACGGGATCAACGACGCGCCGGCATTATCCACCGCGGACGTGGGGATCGCGATCGGCTCTGGCTCGGACATAGCGATGCAGACGTCGAAGTTCATTCTGGTGTCGTCGGACCTCACCTGCCTCCTGATCCTGACAGACCTCTCGCGTGCAGTCGTCCGCAGGGTCAAGTTCAACTTTTTGTGGGCTTGCGTGTTCAATGTTGTCGCTATCCCGCTGGCGGCGGGGCTGCTGTTTCCGGTTACTCCTGGCAGGGTGAGATTGGAGCCCGTGTGGGCTGCCCTGGCTATGGCGTTGTCGTAAGTTCCCCCCCGCCCCCGCCTGCTTCTCTACCGCGTTCTCAACTAATGTGAGTTCAGTTCCGTATCCGTCATATGCTGCTCGCTGCTCCTGAAGTCGCGGCTGTGGGGCGTAGGTTTTCGCCCGCGGGTCCGCAAGCAGGGTAGTGCGATATAGTAGGTTGGTTTACATATTCATTTCTTGCGAGGGTTCATTTTGTTTCTTATGTATGGTTGTAAGGTTCATAGAGTTTGTACTTTTACTTGTAGGGTATTTAGGCGGGTGCGTGTGGGAGGGTTGGAGGATCTGGTACCATCATATCATGCTTTCAGTAACAAGTATGGGACACTGTATTAGGTACTTAGCGACGACCACGGAATTGAATGACATTCCCACGGACGATGATGATACGAGCAGATTGTTGCTGGTATGTAGAGCGGATAATCGATGACATTGGCCTTGACCCTCGCCCCGCCTCACCTGCACTCGAGAACCGGAACTGCATCACTCCATATCACTCACCACACACTCACAGGATCTCACTCTTACTCCACATGCCACTCAAAAGATCAAAATAGCATTCCACTTTCGTCCACTGGAGCCTCTGCGCATAGGCACGAAAGCCCTATCTCAGACTCCCAGACTCTCAGCACGAAAGAAAGGGCCAGACATGAGATGGCATGCTCGTAATGTTCCTGGGAGATAGTCTTAGCTGACAGATGGTATATTCTACATATAGGACGGAAACTATTTTCGCAGTTTCAAGTTCGCCTTGCACGAGTAAGCTTCTTCAGTGGCCTTCCTTCCATCGCATAGGCCAGCCTGCAGCCCGCAGCCCGCTTGCTGGCAGTGCGAAGAGAGCCATAGGTTTCCCCGTGGTTGTGGTTGGCCATGGGCACCCCAAGACCTAATACGTGTAGAACGAAGAAGCAAGAAGTAATAAGAACGCCTATATAACACCTATCCCGCTCCACTCATAATACTCATAATATCCCCATCATATCCCACCGCACCTCCACCTCCACCTTGCCCCCTCATCTCACTCTAGTATCCAGCGCCAACCTCTCCACAACCTCGAGTTCACACACGCCCTTCAGACTCTCCTTCAGCGCGCGCAGCTCCGCCACGCCAACGTTGATATTCTCCACGTCGGTATTACTCGCGACCCTGACCGCCGCCTGCAGCACCCATCCCCCGCTGAGGTCCACCATGCTCAGCGCCTCGCGCGGGAACGGACTGCCAAAGAGCTCGTCTTCCGCTGGCTCGCCGCCGCCGCCAGAAGGATGCGGTGCAGGAGGAGGAGCAGGAGGAGTATAGGTCCGCGTCAGTGTGATGACCACGTTGTTGTGGATGAACCGGTCGTTCTCGGTGAAGTAGGGGGTTTGCAGGCTGCCATTTCATTTCCCTGTCAGCCAGCCAGCCAGCGGACGGACGGATGAGGTGGATGTGAGTGGGCGGGGGGTGTTACGTATACCCCAGCTCCTCCGCAAACTCGATGACATCGCCCATGCCCGTGTTAGCGCTATAGACCGCTCTCGCGACGACCGGCTTCCTCGTGACCTCCGGGAAATCGTCTAGTCGCATAGTCCAGCGCTGTTCGCGGGGCTTGTACGTGTCTTCTCGCGCCTTGGGATCCTCGGCGACGCGGCACACGAGCTGGATGTAGAACATGTCGGCGGCGACGGGCGAGATCTTTGGCAGCTTCGGCTTGAACACGAGGTGGTGGTTGAAGAAGCTCTCCGGCGCCATGCCGGTGATGCCGGAGAGGATCTTGAGCAGCTGCGGTTGCCGCGGGAGTGAGATGTAGGCGTGCAGCGAGAGCTCGTGGTGCGAGGTCGGGAAAAAGGCGGCTTGGTAGTGAGACATGGCGGATATGGTGGGGGGATGCGCAGAGATGGGAGGTGGGCGTGAAGGGGTCGTGACTTAACGCGCGTGTGGAAAACGCGTTGTACCTGTGAGCCTGAATAGAGTGATAAGGTTCCCGAATCCGGAGGCGAGACATTTAGCGCAGCCTGCGCATGACGTTTAACTCCACCAGGCGATGCATACCCCGCCGCATCCACATTCACCACCAGCACTCCCACCACCACCACCACCACCGGGTGCCTTAACAATCACAATGCCGCTCCTCAACCTCGCCTCGGTATCCGCGCACACCGACCGAGTGTGGCAATGCGCGCCGCACCCGACTCTGCCCCTCGTGGCGACCGCCAGCGGCGATAAAAGCTCTCAAATAATCTCGCTACTAAAATACACGACGCTGTCGACGATCGACGGCGGACACAAGCGATCGGTGCGCTCTGTGGCGTGGAAGCCCAACACGCGGGGCGAGTCCGTTCTCGCGACCGGATCGTTCGATGCCACCGCGGGGATCTGGCGACGCTACGAAGACGACGCCGGCGCGACGACGGGCGGCGAATACGACGACGAGGAAGACGAGGAGTGGCGGTTCGCCGTAGTCCTGGACGGCCACGAGAGCGAGATCAAATCTGTGGCGTGGAGCGCCGGCGGCACATTCCTCGCTACCTGCTCGAGGGATAAGAGCGTCTGGGTCTGGGAGGAGATGGATGATGACAATTTCGAAACTGTCGCGGTACTCCAGGAACATACACAGGATGTTAAGTGTGTTACTTGGCACCCGGAGGAGGCACTGTTGGCGAGTGCGAGCTACGACGACACCGTCCGGCTGTACCGTGAGGACCTTGACGACTGGGTGTGCTGCACCCTCCTCAATGGGCACCAGAGCACTGTTTGGTGCGTGGTGTTCGAGCCATTGTCGGCGCCGAATTATGAGGCAGGCAGGAACGCAAGGCTGGCGAGTTGCTCAGACGACAAGACGATACGGATCTGGTCGAGGATTGGTCAGAGTGGGGTGGCGTCGGGGAAGAGCTCCGATGCGCTGCCGAGTATTCTGAGGGGTGCTCCGGTGGAGGAGGACTGGAAATGCACGGCGGTGCTCCCTAACGCTCACGAGAGGAGTATTTACTCGATATCGTGGAGCCCAAGAACGGGGAGGATCGTGAGCTGCGGTGGGGATGGGAAGATCGTGGTGTATGAAGAGGACAAGGAAGCCGCTGCTACCACAACGGAGGAGGATGGAAAGGATGAGGGTACAGAGGGTGGGAAAGCATGGAAGGTCATTGCTGAGTTTGTAGGGGCTCACGGCGTGTATGAGATCAACAGCGTCACTTGGAGCAAAAGATACGACAAGGACAAGAGAGGCGAGGACGATGAGATCGTCATCAGTGCGGGCGACGACGGGGAGGTCAAGTTCTGGGCATTGGTGGACTAGTTGGACTTTGTATTTTACTAGAACGGCGCGGGAGCGGAATGCGATATAGAGAGAGAGAAGTTCGGTTTGTTGTCGTATACGGCTTTTTACAGACTATGGCGACCACGGAATACGATATAGAATCTGAACCATAAATCTACTCTCATCTATTCATGCGAGTGAGACACAATGTCCTCAAGTAATCTTCATGTGCGCCCCAACCTCCAGGTCCACTACCACTACTATACGCCCCTCCCCTCCCTAACACGGTAATACTCCGGCGCGCCCTCCAGCAGCCACTTCTTCTCGACACTGGTGATATCTCTAATGAACGTTTTCTTCCCAGTCTCGACGACCTCATGAAACACGACCCAGTCCACCTTACGATTGAACATGACACTAGTAGGATGAGCCCAAAGCACCTCACCATCTTCCTGCCCCGCGATCCTGAACGTCCCATCGGGCCGCATCCTTGCTGCATGCGCAAAGTACCCCGTTACCAGACACTTCCGAATCTCGACTTCTGTCGCGGCATCGCAGTTTCGCGACGCGAGGTCTGGATAGAACCGGAGGAGATAACGGTATAGTTGTCCGCGCACCGACACTGCACGGGTGAGGGCTTTGAAGTTGAGGTAGTGCTCGTGGCACCACTTGGCGGCTTTCTGCCCGCGAGTGGTGAATGCGGTGTAGACGTTTAACAGAGTGAGGTGGTCGCCCTCCTCGACGGCGAAGAGACGCTTTTTGCTTTCCGACACGTTTTTACTATTACTGTCGGAGTTGTGCGCGATGAAGACGTTTTGCACCGTCGTCATGGCGGCGATGCTCAGGATCTGCGCGAAACAGCCCATTTCGACGGAGGCCAGGAGGATACGCGAGAGCATGGGGTCCACGGGGAGCTCGGCCATGCGGACACCGAGGGGCTTGGTGAGACGTGCATAGTCGTCCAAGGCGCCGAGGGAGTATAGGAGCTCCAAAGCGCGGACCATTAGTTCGGCGGGGGGTGGGGTGACGAAGCCAAAGCTAGCGACATTATCGATGCCCAGAGCTTTGAGCTGGAGAATAGTCGGCGCGAGGTTGCTACGTTGTACCTCAGGGATGCTAGCATCCGGGAGGACGATGTTGTGCACTTTTTCTGTGTAGAGGCGGAAGCACTTTCCGGGACGGGTACGGCCTGCACGGCCCGCGCGTTGTGTTGCGGAGGCTTTCGAGATGGGTACGGCGGTGAGTGTCTCGATGCCGGTGTGGGGATTGTAGGCGCGTAGCTTGACGAAGCCGCTATCTACTACGAAGGCAATACCATCGATAGTCACGGATGCTTCGGCGATGTTTGTGCTAACGATCACTTTGCGGTAGTTCTCGGGGGCGGCGTCAAAGACCGCCAGCTGTGCATCGTTGGAGAGACCGGCGAATAGTGGGAGTGGGAGGAGCTGTGGCGCGCGTGGATGTAGTTCCGAGGAGCGCTCGGCGATGGTACGGACTGTCCGTTCGATTTCTTCTCGGCCCGTAAGGAATACCAAAATATCTCCCTCGCCTTCCTAAGACCGCATTAGCCCTACAATCCCACCACACGTACCCCATCATCGATCATCTATACCTTGAGATGTATATCAAAAACCGTCTGTACCGACTTCTCCACATAATCCTCCGTCGGTTCCTCCAGGTACAAACAATCGACCGGATAGCACCTTCCCTCAATCCCCACAATCGTCGCAACCTCACTCTCCCCCTCTCCATCCGTAAAAAACCTCAAAAACTCCTCCGCCTGTAGCGTCGCCGACGAAATGACCAATCTAAGATCCTTCCTCCTCCTCCGGACCTTCTTCAGCACGCCCAGCAGCACATCTGTCGCCAGCGAGCGCTCATGCGCCTCGTCCACCATAACAACCGAGTACCGACTCAGCAGCGGATCGACCAGGGCCTCGCGCAGGAGCATGCCGTCGGTCATGTACTTGATCTTCGTGGTAGGGCCCGTCATGTCTTCAAAGCGAATCGAATAGCCCACCTACATCCGCACATGCACATCCGCGTCAGCCAATCAGCCCCACTCCAAACAAGCGGAGAACTCACACCTCACCTCATCTCCAACCTTGACGCCCATCTCCTCGGCCACCCGGACGGCGACAGAAGTGGCAGCCACCCGCCGCGGCTGCGTACACGCCACTATCTTCCCGTCCTTCGTGAACCCGCCCAAACTGTGTAGGAACTGCGGCAGCTGTGTGGTCTTGCCCGAGCCCGTCTCGCCAATCAGGATCGTGACCGGGTACGTGGTGATCGCGTAGATGAGCGCGCGCTTGTGGGCGGTTATGGGGAGCGTGGTGGACGGTCGGTAGAAACCCGGAGCGGCGGTGGGAACATAGCCTTCGGCTTCGGTGGCGCGGTCGAGGGAGGCCATTCCGCAGAGGTGTGGTGACCGGGAGTGAAGCTGTAGGAAAACTACGCGTGGTGACACCGTGTGCTGCGCTAACGACGGGATGTACCGCTTCCCCACGCCACCCTGGGGCAGGGGCCATGAAGCTCTGGGCAGCGAGAAGTCCGCAGAACGTAGCGTACGGCATGAAAGATGTCTAAGAGCCTGTTCGGTACCGCACCGTATCTGGTAGCTACCACACAAATTTGAGCTTACGTCGGTTCAAAGATACGCTGAGCGTTCGGCGCAACGTCTTTTAGAAAATACGATCGTTAAAACTCAGCCACGTCGTATTTCTTGCGTATTTCTCTGAGCCTCCACCAAAAAATAGACGACGCTGGCATTCGTCACCAAATCCCCTGAATCCGTACAACATCCACCATGTCCGCCGGCAACCGACGCGGTATATGTCAGTAAAAGAGCAGCTTGCGATATTTCTCAAAACCGTAGGCGAGAACGCGTCCAACCGTATGGCATAAGAGTCATTTCAACGAAGCGGCAACACGATCAGCCGTACCTTTAATAACGTTCTCGACGCGATGGTAGAGCTTTACACTGTAATTGAGTAGGCGAACACACTGTGGACCGGGCATTGCTGTGGGCTGTAGAATAGCTACTCTAATCAAAAGCTGCCCACTGCCTGCCATCTTCCCCCATTGTCTATCTCCCATTTCCAACCCCCTATCTCCTCCTATTGCTATCCCTTAATGTCCGTCACCTGTACGGTATCTCTGTCTCTGCTTCAACATTTTCACCCACCAGGACGCGATGCAGTAGAGAGGACAGACTTGGGAAGAGGAGAAGGACCCGAGAAAGTAGTTGAGTAGAGGCGGTGGTGTAGTTCTGTCATGTCGTCGCGTCGTCGTGTCGCTGTGTTGCTCTGTCGCCGCGTCGCTGTGTCTGTCTATCCATGTTTCCATGTTGCGCGCCCTCATACTAGATAATTGTTTCAACTTTCATCTTGGCTGGAAGTAGTATGGTACAGTGTGGCGTAGAGAGGCTGGCGAGTGTAAAATACGGAGAAAGTGGTGTTGCCGAACAGATATTTGGGATATTTGGGCGCCAAGTCTTTTACGCACTAGTGGACCGTATTTCTGAGCTTACGTCGGTTCACAGATACGGTCCGCACCGAACGGCTCCAAAGCGCCGATGGATGCTACAATCCTACAGCAACCCGTGAGGATGTCAATGGCAAACGTACTTCCATAGCTCCATGATTTCAGTCCGCAATATCTGCAAATAGCACACTCCCGGTATCGCATAACGCCGTATAAATCCCCACACACCCGCAAGCCACATCTACAAATCCCGCGGGCCCTCTACACATCAGTATAGAGCCCCCTCTCCCGCACATACTCGGCGACCTCTTTAGTCAGCAGCCTCTCCAGCGCGTTAACATCCCCGCTCTTCACCGCCTCCCTAACTTTAGTCGAAGAAACGCCCCTCCCCTCCTCCCTCCCCTCAACCAGCGTAATCCTCTGCGCCCACTCCCTCCTACACCCCTCCTTCTCCCTCTCGCCCCTCTTCACACTCTCCAAGAACTCCCTCTGCCCTTGCTCCCCCCAGGCACCCTCCCTCATGGTACAGACCACCTGGTTCCTTTTAAAAAACTTCGCCAGCTCCCCCATGCCCGTGGGATAGTATTTCCCATCTAGCAGGCGAATGAGCGTATCGTAGCCGATGAGGTACACCTGCTCGGCGCCGGGATACGCATCCGCCAAGTCGCGCGCCTTGTCCAGGAACCGCGCGTGCTTCGTGAGCGCTATGTCCACGGGCACGGAGATGGCCGGGGACCGCGACAGGAGCGCCATCATCGCTAGCCGGTCCTCGAAGGGCGCGGGCGACGTGGGCTTGTCCACGTTTTGCGTCGCGAGGAGGAGCAGGAGCCGTGTGTTGCTAGGGTTTGTGGGTGTGGGGTGGGGGTGGGCGGAGAGTGACGAGAGTGAGGACAAAGCGAGCGAGAGGTGCGCCAGCGTCGGCGGGTTGAACGAGGAGTCGAGGACGTGCACGTGTGTGCATGCTGATGATGCTGATGGCGGCAAGGGCGGGAGATGGAGGAAGGTTTGCGGTGACACGGCGAAGGTTTTGAGCGCGCTGCGGAAGGCGGACAGCATTTCTTCGCGTTCGAGGGCCATGCTGGGAATGCGAGGAATGCGGGGTGGCACTGGGTAATGCAAATTAGGTTACGGTACTCTTTCAGTTGTCGGTAAGGCAAGAAGCGAGCGCCCTCGCTTAGCAGGAGCCAAATTCCTCACCTCCATCTCTCCCACATCAACCGCCGTCATAGGTATCTACGCGAAAAATATCGCCGGCAATATGGACAACCTGCAGCTGCACCTCGAAACCGCCCTTTCGGCCCTCCACACAGCCCGCGCTTTTCTCAGCGACAATGGCATCGCGCCGCTCACCCTCAAGAACTGGCACATTCTCCTTTCGTGCTGGAAATACTTCCCCTTGGTGAGCCCCCGATGCACCCGACGCGTATGCGTCGCATCCCTGACGTTCCTCCCAGGTCCTGCCCCTCCAGCTGCTGCTGGACTGGTACCCGATGGGCAAAACCAGCTCCGTTTCCCTCCTCAACGTTCGGGGCAAACCTGCGTGGGTATTAATGGAGCTTCTCTCACCCTCGACACTGCTGTACAGCATCTACAGCAACCCGACGCGTCCGCTCGCGCTGCCACGATCGCACGTGTGGCTGACAACGCTGTACCTGATGCACTACTTCCACCGGGCGCTGCTGTCGCCGCTGCGCAACCCCGCAATGGCAGATATGCACATCGTCATCGCCGTCGCAATGGGCGCGTTCAATCTGCTCAATGGCACCGCAATCGGCGCGTGGCTTGGGGGGTATGGAAGCGCCGAGGAGACGCCGAGCTGGATGATCGCCCTGGGAAGTGCTATGTTCCTGGCCGGCTTGTGGGGAAATGTTTACCACGAGGAGGTGCTAAGGGATATTCGTCGGGAGACGGCGGGGAGCGAGAAGAAGGTGGACGACGGAGAGACGGTGGTCAGCGAGGAGGGGCGGGTCTATAAGATCCCCCACGGAGGCCTGTTTGCGTACTGTTGGCACCCACACGTATTCCCCCCACCCCACCTCACCCCACCCCCATCCCTCCATCCCCGATACTGACAACAACAACACCAGTACTTCTCAGAGTGGATCGAATGGACAGGCTTCATGATTGCGGGCGGCGGGCCGGCCAACTTCGTGCCTGCGGCGATCTTCCTAGTGAACGAGATTGCGACTATGGGGCCCCGGGCACTGCAGGGGAGACGGTGGTATTTGAAAAAGTTTGGAGATAAGGCGCCCGTGAGGAAGGCGGTTGTTCCTGGGCTTTTGTAGATGATGGTAGCGATACTGGGATTATGGAATGGGATTGGTTGCGTGTACTATCACTCGACGACGATCGCAGTTTACTACTGAAAGAATCTTGTTCTCGGGTAAGCCCTCGACAGCTCACCTCCGTCACCCTCGATAGCCCACTCCCCGCCACCTTCTCCACCTTTCAGTCGAGTCGAGCACCTCCATCCCCAGCACCTCCATCCCGCGCACCTCCATCCCAAGCACCTCCATCCCAAGCTGAGAAGCAAGCCTCATGCACACATAGCACCCACACCCGCGATCGAGTGACACGACCTACACGACCTAGGTACCTACCCAGGTACTTACCTAGGTACGGTGATGCCTGGAAGTTGGAAAACCATCGCTGCCTCGGAGACTCGAAGACTCGGAGTCTACGAAAGTACCTAGACTGCGAGCATCAGATCGGGCTGGTAGGTAAGTAAGTTAGAGTACCTCCAGCTCCGTAGAGTAATTACAGTGGCACTGGCAGAAAGTGAAGTGAAGTGAAGTGAAATCGCTACCAGGCTCCCAGAAGATACAGCAATATATTGTCATGCCTCCTACACCCCACCCGCCGATACCGACTCATCACAGACTTTCAACACGGCGGCGGCACCACTCCCGCCGCCCAGTAGGTACCTATCGTTTTCACCCATTCATGTTACTGTACTATATGCAATTACATATCCACGCCCACAGCCCATAGCCCACAGCCTGCGGTCATTCGTCATTCGTTATTCGCCCGTCAGTCCGTCCGTCGAGACAATAAAAGAGAAAAGAGAAAAGGATTCTAATTGTCCTATATATCATATACCCTACGCCACATCCACCACCACCATCACCACTACATCTAATGCAATCCAGCGCAATCCAGTCCACACAACCATTTTCACCCATCACCATCATTTTCCATCCATTTTTAACCGATAAGCGATAACCATTTTGTCCATTACCAATAGCATCAATAGCATCAGAAAGAAAGCAAAGAAAAAAGGCATGCATCACAAAAAGGAAAATCGAAACATAAAAACGTAAGGAAAAATTCAAGACGCCAACAAAAGGATAGGTACACGTAGCCCAGCCAGCCGTCTCAGAAAAGTGAAAGTGAAAGTGAAAGAAAAGCAAAAGCAAAAGCGTGATACAGATCCAGGCACCACACCACACCAGACCGCCACTATTTATTGTATGCAGGCGTCCGTCGGATCGAAGCGACCCATCAATGAGTCCGTGCCAGGTTGCTTGTACCACCCCTCAATCAATCAATCGAGATGTTTGTGTCGCTTTTCTTCAATGTCGGCTTCACCGGTTCAGCAGTGGCAGTGGCAGTGGCAGTAGTGGGGCTGGTGGTCGCGACGACAGCAGGCGGGCTCTTTGAGTTGGGCGAAGGCAAGTCCTGTAATTCGTCCTCGTCCGATGAGTTGTCGTCCGACGCCGCCAACGAGCCAGATCTACTAGCACGATTCCGCATCTGGAGAAAAAAGCACATGCCGAGTTAGCCCACTGCTTTGGTGCAGATGTACATAGATACATAGAGGAGAACCTCGGGTGGATGCGCGAGGAAGCGGGGATATATAGCGTTAGGGTGTAATTGCTAGCTTACCCAAGATCGAACCCCACCAATCAGACCCAGCGAGTAACCGTTGGCAAACTCGGTGTGCGGGCTCTGCGGTCGCGATAGCGGTTCGAGATGGCTCCACTGCGGGGCCAGCCTTCCGTTATCTGGAGAGGCGAGCGTCTCCCGGGAAGCCGTGGTGCCAAACTGATAAGGACTTGAAGGCCGCGGTGAAGGTGCCCAGTAGTTCTTGAATTCGTCGCGAAGTTCCCGGCCCGTTGTCGACCAATTGTTCTTGATCGTCTCTCGGAGCTCGGAAACATGACGCTTGATATCCATCTCGTTCTTTTTGAGCCAGCTGAGATTCAGCTCCTGCCTGCTCGCACCGCGCTTGAGCTGGCGGGTGATGTATTTCTCGTAATCACGGACAATCCTGCGGTAAGGTAATCAGCTTCCGTCACCCGTCCGGCGGCGGTGATGGCGGTACGTACTTTGTGATGATGTAAGTGGTGGAAATTCCCTCCGTTCTTTGCGTGACCATGAATTTCCCGGCCTCCTTGCAGGGCTTGTAGATGTCATCGCACTCGGCAGAGACGTAGGGCTCATCGTCGTGGGCGACATAATCGATCGAGTGGTCGTCCAGGAACTCGGGCGTGACGATCCAAGGAGCATCCTCAATGACCTCGTCCACCCACTTGCAGTGCCGTAAGGACTCGGCGCGCTCTTTATCGGTGAGCACCGTAAGACCCTTCCGCTTGTGTGTCTCGGTATCGTTGGGTATACCGACGAGCAGGTACGTGCTCGGGAAAGCTTTTTTGGCCTGTTCGAGCTGCCGCATATGTCTGTGGGCCGCGGTTAGCACGATTGGCCCTTCCCCTCGCTTATCACGTCCCGTGGGGAGGGGGGGGCGGGACCGTGACGAAAAACCGCAAAACTCACCCAAGATGGAACAGATCAAACACGCCGTCGGCATAGACCCTGACCGGGCGGTCAGTAGGCGGGGGGTTCATCGAGAAGCCGACCGGACACAGGGCAGCCAGCTCCTCCGGCGGCAGGATCGCGCCGGTCTCGACCGGCTGGCTCCTCAGGCTCGCCTCGGACTCCGACTTGGTCCTTTCCCGGCTGTCTCGCTCAATGTCGGAACTCTCTGCCTCCTCCTCCGCCTCCCCATCCGCCTCCTCATCAGGCTGCTGATGCTGTTGCCGCGATTGCCGCTTGGCACGCTTTGCGGGGTGCATGGCACCGGTGGTCATGACGGTGGCCTCGGGAATGGTGGCGGCCGAGGAGTCGTAGGAGAGCTCGGCGTCGGCTTCTTCGCCCGACGTGGGGTGCGCGTTGCTCATAACGGCGTCCGTGGTGCTGCTGCTGCTTTCGCCAGAGGTGCGCGAGCTGCGTTTACGCTTCGTTGCGGTGTCGGAGGAAATCGACGACATCTCGTGTTCTTGGCTCTTTTTTTTCTTCTCCTTCTTCGACGCCGTCGGGATGCTACGGACGAGTTGCAATTGTCGTTATCTTTGGTGTTTTGGTGGTGGTGGTGGTGGGTTTTAGGGGGGTGGAGGGGGGGAGTGGCTGTATCTAGTGTGTTGGAATCTTTTTCAAAATCGGATGGGATGTATGAAGAGTATGTGGTTGGGGTGGTTGAGTAGAAGCAGAAACAATCCTGCTTTGATTTTGAAGAAGAGAGGCAGGCAGCAAGAGTTGGGAAGGTGAGTGGCTGGCGAATAGAAGGAGCACGGCGGAAGCGACGTCACGGCAACGGAGGGAGCGAGGGAGGAGGCAGGGAGGCAGGCGGAGGAGGAGGAGCAGCGAGTTGGGTGGGTGGTACGGGACCGTGCTCTCGCTGCGTTCTTTCTGTGGGCAACGTATGCTCTAATGAAGCCTGCCTGCCTGCCGTAGGCGATTACCTAGATAACTTTACTCTACCTAGGTCCTAGGTAAGTCTCACTTTCTTACATTCTTCATCCAGACTCACGCAGGGTACATATCTAGGTTTTTGCCGCGTCGTCTTAAACTTCAACCGAGCCAACATAGAGTAGAGTAGGTATCAGTCTGGCCAGTGGCCATCAAGAGGGATTCTCGAGATTCTCGGGTACATATTTTGCATACTAGTATAACTACGTGCCCATCTCCGTCACCGCCCGCTGACTCGCGCGCGACTCCATCCTTCGCGGGGGAGTCGCGAAGGAGTCGCGAAAGATACCAAAACGTCGCTTCCGCGCCGATCTCTGAACACCTATCATCTTTGGTGAAATTACATCATCCGCATGTGCGGGTGTTTCACCCGTGCTACATACATGGAGTAGAACTGAACTGGAAGAAGAAAACATACATACCGTACTTCCTACCCACCTGCACTGCTGCGCTGCATACGATACGCGGTCCGGACGAAACAAAAGCACACATACATCTTTGTTGCGGGGCCTGCGCTTTTGAAGGGCCATCTTTTTGCGGTTCTATTTTCAGGCCAGCTGGCAGCCAGCAGCAGCAGATATGAATGATGGGGAGTGAAAAAGGCTGAGGTTATGTATAGTATGTACCTCCCCCCAACCTTAGATTCCTGGTCCGATGTTGATGTGAAGATCTTTGACAAGAGGAAACACAGGGTTTTGTATCCATGGAAATCAAGCTCCAGTGCACCAAACTCTCACGACTCACGAGTGGCGACCAATCTTCACTCTATGTACAATACATAGACCGTAGGCACCATACATACCTTATCTGCTAGGTATACTTTGGAGAGGTAACACAGCTTGTGATACGCGTATGTAGGTCTTCAAGGTGCGAATGGGGGGGGATCGTAAGCAGCGCTGCTGAAGGAGACTGGTCGTCGACGCCGGACGGCGAGGCACCTGGGTGAGACACCGTACAGAATAGCATCTCACCTCACCTCGCCACTCCGATAGGTGCTCCCCGTATGTACTCCGCATACTCCGCGTACTCCCCGACGCCCGTACTCTCCGACGCACGTACTCCCCGTTGCGAACTTGCGCTCCGGCTCGCCGGTAGAGTAGGTAGAGTATGTGGAGTACTCTAGATTACTTTGTGGTTGCACGCATGATTGGACCAGCCACAAGAGCCCTTCGCTCCCCGATACTCTACATACTCTAGATAACCGGAGGTGTCTCGGCATTCATTCTGTGGTGATACATAGGGGGCCAATCACAATCACTCACCCACGCACGATGGGCATAACTGACGATCGACAGGTGTGTAGGTAGGCATTTCACTCACATCCTCACAACCTCGTATGATATGTACTCCACATATGGTGAAAATCCCGACATCTCATGATCGGCAAACCTACAGACTTATAGCTACGAACCTGGCCTGGCTATATATACAACGTCCTTGTCCTTCTTCTCATTCCCAGCCTTCCCTCCCGTTCATCAAAAAGGTCCTTCCCAAGTTCCCATCCTCCTCCTCCTCCTCCTTCTCCTCATCATCACACTAGGTAAGTACCCAAGTACTCCTTTCCTTTCTACCGACCCCAGACCCGGACTACCGCATACTCACAAAGGCTGCATTCTCGCCCATTCTCGCCCATCATCACCCACCCATCACCCACCATCCATCCATCAAACTCGCATAATCCCAATCCAATCCAATCCAATCACAAGATATCGCTGGCAAGCACACCCCCAAACTCCAGTACCTATCAATCAATCAATCGAACACGCAGGGACGCACGCAGAGACGCAAGCATGCACAAACAAACAACAAACTGATGAGTGAAACCAAAAATCCAAAAATCCAAAAATCAAAGAACCAAAAATCAAACCTCCATTCCCGTTCCCATTCCCCATCCTCAACCACTTCCAACAATATCTCTACTCGCCACGGTGAGGATGATGCCGCAGCCTGTACAGACCATAGCAAACGTCGTCCACACGGCGACTCTATGCTGCCAGCTGGCCCTTGATCCACCGGCAAGGAAGATAGTGAGTCCGATCATGCCCGAAGCTATGCACACCAGGACGCCCACGAACACGCTCAAGTCGACGACAATGTGTTTTCCAATATTCTTTCTGCGGCGTTTGTGGCCGGAGAGGGACTCGCCGATAGCGAGGGCGCCAGTTACGAGCAGCATCAAGGTGGACAGGAGCAGGAGGCCCAGGTGCCCGGCCTTGTAGGCGGCCCGGCTTCCCGTGCTGGGGTGGTGCGTCTTGAACGTCGAGTACCCGTGGAAGTCATTGAGCCCGCCGCCGCCGCCGCCCATCTCCGTCTCGCTGTCGGTTTCGCTGTCTGGGCCTACCGGCTCCCGGAGGAGTGGTGAGTGTTCGCGCGGCACGTGGCTCTTCTTCCGCCCAAAGTGCTTGAACCGCGAGACGGCTTTCAGAACCGGATGCGCAATGTACGCGGAAAGCGTGTCGGTGTCGTCGTCCTCCATCGAGCTGGAAGATGAAGGGCGCACAAGAATGGTGTAGGGCGTCTCGCGCTCCTCGTCGTCAAACTCGCTCCAGTACCGATTGACGGCCGCGGGCTTGTCGTAGGGCCTGCTAGTCCTTCTCTTCTTCTTCTTCCGGGATTCCCGTGACAGTGCGCCGGCATCCGACGTTGCCGGTGTCGACATTTGGTATTGCAGTCCCGAGTCGCCCGTGACAACGGACGAGTTTTTGGATGAAGAGTTGGAAAAGACCACGCGCGAGGAATTCCTGCGACTATGCATCGGCCTGGTGGTGGTCGGCGTCTTGCGAATGTCCTTGCTTAGCGCTGGTAGCTTCGGGGTCGTTAGTTGGCGGCCCCAGTAGATACATGTAAGACGGAACCATGATAACTCACCCAGAATGGCGGCAACATATGCTTCGGCTCGTAGAGAGCCGCGATCGCATGGACATCTAGAGAGAACCCTGGGACACTCTCAACCTGGACAGACACGAATCATCATGAGCAAACTCGCATTCCGGATCTGGTTCGAGCAAATTTTTACATACAATATGGCTTTGCATGAGCTCGGCGACAAACGCGGGCGTTTGTTTGCTATCCCACAAGATCTCAACGACCGCGTGCGGGAATTCCACGAGCTTGCCTGCGCCCGCTTCGTCCGATGCCACCCAACCGGGCTCGCCAGCGTTCGCACTCATCACGATATCCCGGTCAAGGGAAGCCCACGCCTCTCCATCGGCCATCGAGCCGCTGAATCGCGTTTTGCGAGACATAATCTTCGCGAGCGGCGTCACGTCGGGGTGCTTATTGAACCACCCGCGCATCCTGTCGATACTTTGCTTTATCTGCATACACTGGCCATCTTTGAGACTGGTCGTCTCGGCCTTGGGATTGAGCAGGGCTTCGACGTTTTTTCTTCTGGTCGTCACTGCCAACACTTCGCTACTTGGCAAGTCCTCGGTGTTCAGGATGGCACCAGAGTAATCAGACACAACCACGGACGCATCCAAGTCACGCGAGCACCATCGCACTTGGCCGGCAGTTCTCATGACGGCCCTGGAAACCTGGTCGATGGTAACGGTGTTTTGAATATCCGAAAAGCTACCGAGATCGTCAAGAACCACGTGACCGACTTGATCTCCATACCCCGAGAGGCCCGCGTCCGAGTTTCTCCTAGAAGCCAGCGGGGTAGCGGGAATGCTACATGCCGGTGTCCACGCCTGGAGCGTGAGATGCTTCAGTAGGAATACCTGCAACTCGATCACACTGCCGAAAGTTAGCTTTCCGTCTCACTGCGTCAGGAACGGGTAGGGGTGGTGAGGTTACTGGTCATTGTGAACCCAAAAGACCGCCCTACCGCCGCCATTAGCGATACGCGAGGCCCCAAAAGCAGCATCCCACTCCAATCGGGACTTTGGGTTAGGTGCAGGCGCATAAAGCTGTAGGACGGTCTCTTCAGACGAAAAGCCATCGTTGGTCGAAGGTTTTCCCTGCTGGGGCGGCGCCGACACGGCCTCGTGGTTATCGTCGGAGAGGTTGCTGATTCTGTCCCTAACCGTAGCCAAAAGTTCCGAAACTACCAGGACGCTCCGGTCGAAATCGTATCGGTGGAAGGCGGTCGGCGATTCCAGCAGGATGAGAAAACGGTCGGGAAGGCGGCTGGAGCCGGTCCATTTCCGGTACTTTTTCAGGAGCTTGTGGAAGCCAGTGCGCTGTACGTTGACAAAACGGGCGAGCGATTGAACATCGTGACCAGCTCTGTTTTCCCGCGATCCTTCATCAGCACAGGGCTGCATGGGATGGGGGCAACCACCACCACCAGCAACATACCGCTCGATCTCCTGCTCGATCTTCAAATACCGTGCAGCAATTTTCGTCGAGCTTTTTGCGGAGGGCGCGCGCCGCTGCAACTCTAATATTTGCCTTTCGCAACTTGCTGCGGGCTGTCAACACGTGCTCCGACGATTGGTCAGGACTCAAGGGACAACGGTAGCTGCTCACCTATGCGTCGATCGATTTCGCCGGCTTTGCTTTTCACGAAAAGATCGATCTAAGATTTTCGCATGTCAAATCTAATTCCAGCCAAACAGAAGACGGCTCGCGCCCATCTCTTTTGTGCCACCACGCCCATGACTACCACGCCCCCGGGGATGCATATGTACCCTTCCCAATTGATCCAGGAAAACTTCAAAGAGCTCGTCCTCGCACGGAGTGGGATCGCCGTTGGCGACTGGACTTTTCTTTGTCGTATAGTGTTTGATCAGCTGCTTGATTTCGTTGTAGTCAAGGTTATCTGTGTGGGCCGGCCCCGGTCAGAAAGGAAACTCAGTGGGGGTGGCTCGTCGGGGGCTGAAGCAGTCGGGGGCTGAGGCAGTGAGCGGTACGCGGGACTCACAAGGAAGCCATTCTTGAACCGAACGCAATGGTAGAGCTTCGCCGTACTTCATCGGGGGGGTTCGCGGTGATCGACTGGCGGTGGTGGAGGTGCGGCGGATTTTCGGACTACGAGCGGGTCGCTGGTGGTAATGTTGTTGGAGATGTTGAGGGGGTAGACGATGAGAGGGTTGCGGTCGTGCAGAACCGTGAGGCTATTAGAGTGACGCAAACAGCACAGTGTTGGGAGGCGAGGGCGAGAGGCGAGGAGCGAGAGGCGTCGAGCGCGAAATTAGAGTAGCGAAAGCCGAAGAAGGGTGTCGAGATGAACGGAATGCCGCCGAGACACGGGCAGATAGAGCTACTTAAAGAGCGCACCTGCCTCGATAAGAGATGAAAGGGTTTGGGGAGATGATAAGAATTGGAGAGGACGAGTGGCAGCGCGAATGAATGGAGAGCGAGCGCAGACGGTCGCGTGGGATGGCAAAGAGGTGCTCTATGTATAGCGGCATGAGCGGGAGATGTAGAAGGCGAGATAACTTGGTATTTGGTCGTATGCGCGCTCATCGCATGTACCACCTGTATGGAGTTCACCCAGGTATGCGTAAAGGTAATTGGCACGCCTAACGGAACGTACTTTAGGGCGCCGAGAGCAATCATCATGGCAGCAGGGGTGAGTGATGCAGAGCAGGAATCTAGTGGCCGACGAGAAGGCCGGCTTCTGACGGGGCCAGGTCCTCGTGAAGCGGTGAACGGCGGCGATGGCTGGCCGTTTCGCTGCAATTGAGCCCGTGAGGCCCGAGACCTCCGCGGAGAGCGTGGATGGAGTACCAAAGTACCTACTCGACCCGTACATATAGGTGGTATCGGTATCCGACGTACGCGGTGTCACCCCAATCACCGCACGGTAGTTGACGGACGGCGAAGGGACTCCGGCTGGTACATATCATATCGAAATACCTCCTATTACCTATTCTTCAGTTCAATTTCAAGCGAGCTGAACCACATCCTGCGCTGCTCACTCTGCTTATGACTTTGGAACGAGAGTCCATGCCGGGCTTCGGGGATGTCGGCCCTGCGTGTGAAAAATTTTGATCTGTTGCGGCACATGGGCCCTCGCCGTTTGATTGAAACATCAGGCTGTAGGAGGTTATCGATAACGGAAGTTCTCTTTCATCCAGACTGAGTGCCCGCATAGGAAGGGTGCAACCCATCCACACCTGTCCACTTTCAGCGATACTGTGGAATAGGTGCTATACGGGACCAAGTGGATCTTCGACGACTACGGTACTCGAGTCTCGAGTAGGATAGGATGGGTACATATGATACCCGGTACATCTTGAAGAAGTTCGAGCTCTTGCTCTCTCGGATGGTGCCGAACCGTGCGAGTGGAGTGCATTAGGTAAGACTCTAGGCTCGGCTAGAGTAGCTTCGTGGCCGGCGGAGTCTTGGGCCGATGCGTCCGTAGCGGCCGCTCGGGTTGTGGCGGATGTGTGCTTAGGCGGACAACCTTCTGGATCAAAATAGGCCCGAACAGAGAAGGCTGATTCGATTGTCACATAGGGATGGGACTACATAACCTATCGCAACCGCAAAGCATGTGAGAAGCTCTGCATCTTCTTTGGCGTCGTGCGCGTCAACGGGCTCAAACACGAGAGGGCGCAGGGTCTGGGAGAAAAAATGATTGGACGATGCCGGCAGATGTTTTACAGCGAGACATATGTAATCATCACCACAGCAAGGTTCCCCAGATAATCCCTCTTCGATACCGGACCCGTGTAGAGTGGGGCGCGCACGACATTGATGGGGATATGTAGCAATCTGCGAGTGAGGATCAGCAGCTATCGATATCCATGCGAATTCGAAGCGCGGAGCACTGCCCGGAGTATCACTTGCGTTTGCGGCGCGACGGTCATGGAAGTCAGAGGATGAAGATACCACCTTTGAAATTCATTGGACGCAGAGTTCATAGCAGCTGTCAGCTATCTTCTCCTGTATGCGGTTGGTTGTCGTGTGTGTGTATGAGAGAGAGACATCAATCTATTGTCGCATATGGGTACGACCTGTCAGGTTGCTGTTGTGCAGGCCAATTTGCAATGAGAAATTTCACGTGAGCGAGTGACATCCTCTGGACTTCAGATCAGATAAGATAAACATCATGCGGCTCAATTTCGTCTGCGTTGAAAATTAAGAGTGGCACCCACTTTTGTGACTGCTTTTTCACTAGGGCACACTAAAACCAAGCCCTCGTAGCACAGCTCCGACAAGTTCGCCCCACGCCAAAACGTCGCATCAAGAGCAGCCATCCACAACCCGCCCGACGACGATACTCTCCGAACCCTCATCAACTAACGAAATCAGCCAAGATGGGAAAGTGCGTACCACCCGCAATCCTCATGTTCCCGAATTCCGGGGGAACAAAACAACACAAAATACTGACAATTTCGCAGAGGAAAGCCAAGAGGTCTCAACGCCGCGCGCAAGCTCCGCAATCACCGCCGTGATAAGTACGACTCTCCCATCGCGACCGTCGCACTCCGCCAAAATCGACTCGAGACAGTAAACTGACCAGCTGTGTAGTCGCTGGGCCGATCTTTCCTTCAAGAAGAGACTTCTCGGAACCGCCTTCAAGTCGTCCCCCTTCGGAGGATCCTCGCACGCCAAGGGAATCGTCCTTGAGAAAGTCGGTGTTGAGGCCAAGCAGCCCAACTCCGCTATCCGAAAGTGTGTCAGGGTTCAGCTCATCAAGAACGGAAAGAAGGTCACTGCTTTCGGTATGCTTCTCTCCCGAATCTCGAATTGCGGTGGAAAGCTGGGTGGCGGGAGTGGATGCAAGCGGGCGACGAGCTTGGGGTTGAGGCGGAGGAGGAGGAGGGCATTCGACGATTGACGACAGAGCAACGACTAACATGCCCCTCTCGTTTAGTTCCCAATGACGGTTGTCTGAACTTTGTCGACGAGAACGACGAGGTTCTCCTCGCCGGTTTCGGTCGTAAGGGAAAGGCGAAGGGAGATATTCCCGGAGTCCGTTTCAAGGTCGTCAAGGTTTCCGGTGTCGGACTTCACGCGTAAGTTTACACAGCCACCGCCGCCGCTACCGCTCACATACTGACATGCTGGGATACAGTCTGTGGTCCGAGAAGAAGGAGAAGCCTAGATCGTAAACGGTTGATGGTCTGGGAATAAAAATCTCTTTTACGAACTGGAGTTCTGCGACTTTTTGCATCTGTATTCCCATCGAGGTTAAACTGGTATACGGCGATGTGGGGTCATTTCTTTCTCGGGTACCGGGCACTGCAGCCATCCATTCAAACGGTTGAAATTGAATCAACGATGGGAATACAAAGTCCCGGTCCGTGATGGGTCGCAATGCTGTTTCCCTGTGATGTTTGCTACCTAGTTGATAATTTAATCGCCGCGCTGGCGAAGCTCCAACTCTCCACCAGCCCTATCTACCTATACCAGTCTACCATGCCTAACTAACTTGTCATCAACGTCATCGAACCGTTCTAAGCATGCTCCAACCCCAGATTTTCAAGCCACAAATCAACTGCATGTCCTAGCGCCCTGGCCCTCGTGGGTCAATTTGGGCACCTCGCGGTTCTTTGTCGGATGCTACCCCTCCCTCGCCATGAACACCCGTCACTCATCCTCTCCAGCCCCTAACGATCCATCCCCTTAACCTCACTCAACCCATCATCACCCCATCACTCGCCCCCCCCCCTTCAAAGTTCATCGGGGCCCAGACCCAACCCCGGTAACATGCCGTCTACAAATAGGACATGGCCAGAAAGGGCGTGTACTCAGCGGCGTGGCGGCGTGGCACTCCCGGTGCACGCTCGCGCCGGGGCAGGCGCATGGGAGAGGCATCAACGACTTCAGCGCTGCGTGCTGGATTCGCCGGCGGCATATGAGGCAGATGGGCATTGCTGGATGGGACTCGTGGATGAGGGGAAGGGGGGGATGCGTAGGGGGTGGGACTCGTGGGTAGGCACGGGGATAGGGATGGGACTTGTGGATGCGTAGGGGTGGATGGGATGGATGGGAAGAGCGGATGAGGGGCGGGTGAGTCGGTGGTCGGTGGGCGATGGCTTTATGCCGAGGAGGGAGGGGGAAGACGGGAGGGCCGAGTTGAATGGCGGAGGAGGTGGGAGCTTCAATTGGGGTGGGCTTCTATGCTACTTGATGCTTCTGCTTCTGCTTCTGCTTCTGCTTGATGCTTCAATTAGGGTGGATGGCTTCTACTTGATGCTCCTGCCTCTGCTTCTGCCTTACTTGCCGAGTCGGTTCGTATCTTGTGGTTGACCGCCGCCTGGGCTTAGTTTTTGGTGCATATCTCGGCGGTGAAGTTCGAGTTGGAGTTCGAGTTGAGTGATGAAGTACCTATCTGGATGCGGGTCCGGGTTGACGGTTTGGCGGTTTGGTGGCCGTGCTATACCAACGACATCCGTCCGTTCTGCTTGTGTTTCCCATCTACTGGCATAGGTATGTTCGAGTCACTTCTCGCAAGCTGGCTGGCTGTTTCAGCTGTAGCTGTAGCTGTAGGACTAGATCTACTAGTAGACGAGTCGTCCTCCGGGTCACTATTACTCCAGGCCGAGTGACAGGTATCATACCAGCCAACGGCGTATCTCGTCTCTATTGCAGCAGTAGGTATCGGGGGGCAGAACACCATAGGTAGTATAATCCAATCCATCCATCGTCATAGCAAACATGTATCCCAAACGCACCCGGCCAAAAAAGTTAAAGAAACAGAAAAAACTCCGCATTCATAACCTCCATCATCACGTCTCGTCCCTTCCCGTGCGTCCGTGCAATCCGTCCATAAGGTAATCGAAATATGATACACCCCCCTCCCCCCTCCCCCCTCCCTGCCTCCCCACATTCACGCCTTCTTCTTCTCCGCCTGCATCCCCACCCCCATCGCCGGCACCGCCTTTTTCCTCCTCAACGCGACCACCTGCGCCCACGCCCAGACCAATACCAGCATGATCACGGTAACGACCTGTCCCACGGCAAAGCTCCACACCTGAATACTGACGCTGCCCCTTGGCGCGCGGGGGAACGAGAGGCCACGCTCGACCACGCCGGGCACCCAACCTTGCGGCAGCCAGAACATCGGCGACTTCGAGTACCAGAACTGCAGGAACAGGCGCAGGCCCGTCGTCAGCAGCCAGCGCGCGCTGCGCGCGCGCGAGTCGAACGTTGCGCGGTAAGTTGCGATTGAGGCGTCTGTAGACAGACCGGGGTTAGTGACGGGAGGAAGAGGGGGGAGGGCGGGCGGGGGCAACTACTGATGCTCTCGAGCTCGACGACCTTTTTGTCGTGTGTGCGGCGCACCTTTGCCCACCGCGCGAACTCGTCCTGGCTGCTCGTGGCGGCAAGCTCGGTCTTGAGTTTTAGCACTTCTTGCCGCACGGCGGCGGCTTTGGGGATCGCGGCGGCGACGGGAGACGTGCGGTGCAAAGCTGTGTACAATTTCCATAGCTGTGCGGCGGTGTGTTAGAGATGATGGGATGGGATGATGGCCACGGGGATAGGGAGGGTTGGGGGATGGGGGAGGATGCGTACGACGGCGTTGATCGCGGGTGCCCCGATCGTGCTTAACAGGTTGGTAGCGACGGTGAGGACGACGACGACGAGGAGGAGCGACATGATCGCGGCGGCCGGGGTGGTTGTGGTGGAGTTTGTGGATTGCGTGCGGGCGGAGGCGAAGGGTTGTTTGTTATAAGTAGAGTAAGGACTGGCTCGCATGGGACACGGTGACACCAGAGGCCAGCGCGGAAACTTTGTTGAGGGTGGTCGGGTTATTCCGTTGCTGCTGGCTGGGGTCGGTTGATGACATCCTGGCACGGGATTGTATCTAGCGGGTTCTATCATTCATAAGTCTCACCCTCCCACGGGCTCATATAGTCTCACTCACTCAACTTCGTCATCGCCTGGAAAGGTTGTAGGCGAAATATCTCTCTCTTTTTCTCTATCTCGCAACCTAAAAAGAGCTCCCGACCTCTTCGAGAACCAAACCTACTACACGGACAGGTTCGCTTTGGCGACCGACACTAGGGAGTCTCCGGACGGGCAGCCGACAGCTCACAATCAACATCACACCCATACCTATCACCTCCAAAACCCCACTACACTCACCGCTCGACCAAACACTCCAACACGACACTCGCCCACAACAAAAATGGGCTCCACTCTGCGCTCCAACCAGCCTATCCGACAGCCCGCCAACCTGATACTCTCGAGGGCGAGGATACTGGCGGAAATACAACTGCTCGTGGCGCAGATTGCCGAGTTGAGGCGCAGGGTGGAGGCGTTGAATGAGGTGCGTACTCTCATCTGTCATTGGACAAGCTGTATGGTGTCACTGATGGGGGTTTGTAGATGGTCAAGATGCACGGGGCTTTGCTGAATGGCATTGTTGGCGGTAACCAGGACGGTGGTGATGTGGTGATTGATGGGAATTAGAGTAGTTGTGGGAAGGTCACACACGGCGATGATGCCCCAGTGCTGGGTCAAAGTTCTTTGTTCATCATAAGCCCCCAGGCCGTCTATACACACACGCATCTACTTCAAAGTGACCAGCTCCTCCGCTGAAGTCGGGTGGATAGCGACGCACGAATCAAAGTCCCTATCAAACACGACCCCATTAGCATCATCACCCGTTTGCTCGGATTGCAGCGACTTACTTCTTGGTAGCACCCATCTTGATCGCCACGCCGAAGCCCTGCAGCATCTCTGCGGAGCCCTGGCCAATAATGTGGAGACCCACCACCTTCTCCTCGGGGCCGACACAGACAAGTTTGTACGAGGTCGGGCCCTTGTGCTCGAGCAGGGCGTAGTACATTCCGACGAACGACGTCTTGTAGACCTTGACGTTCTCGTCGCCGTACTGTTCTCGCGCCTGGGGCTCGTTGAGGCCGATGGTTCCGATCTCGGGGTGGGCGAAGACCACAGAGGGGATGTTGGTGTAGTCGAGCTTTGCCTCCTTCTGGCCGCCAAAGAGACGGTCTGCGAGGCGGCGGCCGGCGGCGATGGCAACGGGCGTCAGCTCGACGTGGCCAGAGACATCACCCAAGGAGTAAACGCCGGGAATGTTAGTGTTCTGGTATTCATCCACAACGATAGTGTTGTGCTTGGGGTCCTGCTTCACACCCACAGCAGGGAGGTTAAGGTCTCCAACCTCGGGCTTCCGTCCGATAGCCCAAAGCAGACAATCGACGTCTTCGAGCACAGCGGGACCATTGATGTCCTCGTAGTAAACGGTAAGCTTTCCGGTCGCCTCATTCTTCTCGACCTTGGTTTGCTTCGACCGGCGATGGATGTTCATGCCCATTCCCTCTTCGTAGTGCTTCGTCATCACCTCCTGAATCATGGGGTCGAACGAGCGGAGGAACGTGTCGCCACGGATCATCAGATGCGTCTCAGTTCCGAGCGCTTGGAAGATTCCCGCAAACTCGACGCTGATGTAGCCCGCGCCCACGAGGACCGCCTTCTTGGGCTGTTCGGTGATGTCGAAGAAGCCATCGGACGTGATTCCGTACTCGCCGCCGGGGATGTCGGTGGGCACGACGGGGTATCCACCGGTAGCGATCAAAACGTGATCAGCGGTGTAGACCGTCTTGCTGTTCAGCTTTTCACCCTCGGGCGTTTGCTCGTCGACTTCGACCTCGGTGGGACTGAGGAGCTTTGCGCGCCCGGGGAGGTACGTGACAGAGTCGTTGTTGAGGTTCCGCGAATAGATGCCGTTGAGGCGCTTCACGTAGGCGTCACGCTTCGCAGTGAAGTACTTCCAGTCGAAGTTCTTGACCTCCACGTCGAAGCCGTAGTCTTTCGCCTCGGCCATGGTCTCGGCCATTGTCGCGGCGTTCCAGGTGACTTTCTTTGGTACACATCTGGGGAACATCAATATCCAGTCTGATTCTCTCAACCTCGACTTCGACCTCGACCTCCACCTCCACCTCCTCCTCCACCTTCACCTCCACCCTCGTCATCACACCCGGGAAATGGAGAGCATACCCAACATTCACACAAGTCCCACCAAGCCTTCCGCTCTCCACAATCGCCACCTTCTTATTATACATCCCCGCCGCCCTACGGGCACTCGCCAGGCCTCCACTACCACCGCCGATGACGAGGTAGTCGAAATGTTGCTTTATCGGAGCCATCGCTGCTTTTGATGTGGAGAATTGGCGGTTCAACGAAGCCAAACGCGCAGCGGGAAGGGATTTAAATAGTAGGGACGACAGTTTGACTGCAGTGGAGAGGAGCAGGAGGAGGGGGAGGGGCGGTGAGATAGGTATGAGTGGGGGGCAAACGTGGTCCGTGAGTGAGCGTGTGTGTGTGTGTGTGGGTGGGTGCGTCGGATGATTACAATGTATGATGGCGGGGTATTTTCTTCACACATCATCCGTCACCGCCGACGTGTACTAGGTGGCATTTGTCATGACTGCGCGCACATTATTTCCCGAGCGCTACAGGCTTTGTGCAACTGAGATTACAAACAGGAACGCGCGGAGGACAAGCATGGGAGCTCCGAGTCCGAACCGGAGAATCTGCCGACGCCGACGGCGCATTACTCAGGTATTCTCCGGTGCCGAAATACCGGTACATACAATGTGATGCTTGATTCGTTGAGTGCCGCGAACGGGTGCCGACATGCAGGCGGAGATACCCATCTAGAGTGGATAGTACCTGGCTAGGTAGCTGGGGTGCATGAAGATGTAGGGATGCATCTTGAACGTGCTGTGGATTGGCTCGGGGAAGCCACCACTCACTGGCTGTGAGTGGCCGGCCAGCAAGAGACATCTCAGACCGAGGGCTTCCATGGGAGAAACCCGAGTCCGAGTGTTTCCAACTCACGGAGATCCCCGCACGCTAGCTACATAGCTAACATTTTTCCGACCTCGAATCCTTCCCCGCAGCTTCCTTCGCCTACAACCTCCCCGCACAACAATGTCCGTCTCCGCTCTTGGCCTGAGCACGCTCCGACTCCCCAGCCTCCGGCGGCTCTCCTGCCTGGTGGGTCTCAACATGTCTGGCGCGAAGCCGGCGCTCATCGACGCCCTCACGGCCGTGCACCCCACGCCGACCCCACCGACCCGCATCCTGAGCATCGACATGGGCATCCGCAACCTGGCCTACTGCGTTCTGGACCTAAACACGCTTCCGTTGCCGAAGCTGACTACCTGGACCCGCATCGTCCTCCCGCTCTCAGTCGACAGCTTGGGCGCCTCAATCAATCTCCCCGCCTTTGCGGCAGCAACGCATACACTGGCAACAGAGCTGCTGCGAGACCACGCCCCGTCGCATATCCTTATCGAGCGGCAGCGATGGCGCTCCCAGGGCGGGCCCGGAGTGCAGGAGTGGACGATCCGCGTCAATACCGTTGAGGCGATGCTGCACACCTCGCTGTTGGAACAGCGGCTGGCCGGGAACTGGGATGGGCACGTGGAGAGTGTGGACCCAGGGAGGGTGGCGAGACTGTGGGTGCCCCAGAAGGAGAGGACGACTGCGGCGGCTGTCAAGACGCTCAAGAAGGAGGTTGTTAAGGAGTGGTTGAGAAAGGAAGACGTGGTGATGATGGGGGATAACGGGCCGGAGATGACGGCGGAGCTGCTGCTGCTGGCGGGAACGAGGCGTCCCGAGAAGTTGAGTGGGGAGAGGGTTACAGCCGCGGAGAAGAAGGTGGATGATTTGGCGGATTGTCTACTGCAGGCGGTTGCGTGGCTTAGATGGCAGGAAGGGAGGAGACGGTTGCAGGAGGGGAAGATGCCGTTGGAGTTGGAGGTGCTACCAACGCTGCCGACACCGGCAGTGCCATTGGAGTTGGGATTGGAGTTGGGATCGGAGTTGGACCACACGATGGACCTCCGCTGAATCACCATTAGGTCTGCTGTGGTTAATAGAAGCGTGCAACAGCGGCTGTAAAAGCGTCTCCACGACATATTAGGTCTAAAAGCCGCAACTCAGAATCAGCAAGACTGGAGAAGCACTAGCGAATGAGGACACTGTAGCGCATGGCACGGCGGGATATCATGGCAAATAGACGGCGACATGGGCCATAAAATCATAGAGTTAAGGGGTGGTGAGCATTATCATATAGGCAATACCTGCCGATTCTACTCTTGGTGTCTATCAGTCTATTACGCCGTGACGCCATCCAATCCATCCAAACCAAATATACACTATCTCTACTGCTGGTGAGGTTTTCCCTGTGCCTGTTCTCTCTGCCGCGCCAAGTTGGACATGAGACTCACCCAGTTCCGGCTCGCCCCCTCCGCCTCTTCCCGGAGTGAATCTAGATTTACCCTATTCGGCAACCTCTCCTTCCTGACCTCCATCACCTCCTCATCTCGCATCAGCTCCTTACCCCCGGAATCCTCCTTGATCCACCACTCCACAGACTTCCCTCTCAACTCCGGATCCCTCATGACCGTCTGCTTCAGCAGCCCGCCGACTTGCATAAGGGTAGCCGCATTCTGAATTTTCTTCAGCGCCTCGTCGACCCTTTCCTCAGCTATGACGCCCTCCCAGCCCAGCATCCACCTTCTTGTCGCACTCAACCACAATACTAGCCCCAGCAGCGCATCTATCGCCGCAAAGCCGACCAAGCGCACGGTCCTCATACTCCAGTAATGCCAAACAGTCGTCCAATTAGTCTGCCAACCCCAAACAGCGATATTATCCTGATACTTTTGTAGTCGCCAGAGCTCGTAGGCAGGCAGGGCCAGCATGGGGACAGAAGCGTAGAAGCGCCAATACGGGCCGAAGCGGCCGAAGCGGCCATTCGTCAGCACGCCGATAAACGCCGCGTGGAGGAGATGCGGCAGCAGGATCCGCGGCGCGGCGTAGATCAGGAAGGACTGTGGCGCGGAAAAGCTGCACCAGCTGCAGTGCAGTAATGGCGTCGGCCCCACCCACGCGTAGATCAGGCGGCCTTCCGCCGCGCTGAGGAGCGTGCGCAGTGTCGTGTCCACGGAAGTCAGGTTGCGGTACGTGGATAGCGCGGTGAATACATCCGACGCGTGCGTGGATAGGTCCGTCTTCGTCGCGAGGTACACGTTCTCGGGCGCGAAGTAGGGCGTGCTGAGCGCGAGGAAGAGGATGGAGCTCAGGAAGAGGATGTCGAGCAGGCGTTTGGTCGTTGCCGGCAGTGGGATCGTCGATGCTTGCCCGCGGTACAGGAATTGCGCTTTTTGGTAGAGGACGGGGACGAAGAAGACGAGGAGTCTGCAAGGTGTTAGTCCCGTCTGTGCAGGGGAGTGGAAGGGAGGTCCTACCCCACGTAGAGGTTCATGGCGAGGAGCGTGTGTAATGGTTGTGCTTAGGTGGAAGGTGCCGGGGTGAGCTCCTGTGCAAGTAGGGCCCCTGCCAAGACATCTACCACCGATATGCGACGGTAGCCAAAAGAATGAATACAAAAGAATAGACAAATCAAAGTGAATGACAACGAGATCTGCATGGCCATTCGACTTGTGTCTCCACGAGTGAGCTTGACCCGACCCCCAGAAAACCGCATTCCCTCCCTGCCTCCGAGTGATGCCGTGTGCAAAGCCACACCCCGCCGTCCCATCCTTGGCGTTAGATGGCGCTAGTCACTAGCCAAAAGCCCGCAGGTCGCGAAAAAAAAAAACCTAACTTATCTTCACGCCCGAACAGTCCCCAACCCATCAACCTCTCCCTCTCCTCCACAACTTCCTCCTCCACACACACCCACACGCACACATACAAAATGGGCCCCGAATTACGGAAACGCAAGGGTATGCACAACCTTCACAGCACCACGGATGAGAGGAATTGAATTGGATTGACGGAGTATGTGCTGACAATGATAATATAGCTGCGCCAGCCTCCTCCCCCCAGGCGAAGAAGTCGAAGAAGGATACTGCCGCCGCTGCGAAGAAGGGGAAGGTCGAGAAGGTCGTCGCTCCTCCTCCCGCAAAGAAGGAGAAGGCCGTCGCTGCCGCTGCAGAGAAGGAGAAGGCTGTCACTGCTCCTGCAAACGACGTCGCTGCTGCCCCCGCAAAGAAGGAGAAGGTTGCCGCTGCCCCTGCCGCTGCAAAGAAGGAGAAGGCTGTCGCTGTTCCTGCAAAGGACGTCGCTGCTGCCCCCGCAAAGAAGGAGAAGGCCGTCGCTGCCCCTGCAAAGAAGGCCGCCCCCGCAAAGAAAGAGAAGGCCGTCGCTACTCCCGCAAAGGAAGTCGCTGCTGCTCCCGCAAAGAAGCATGATGCCGCTGCCGCACCTACAACTAAGGCCCCGGCGGTGAAGAAGGCGAGCGCAAAGAAGCCTGCGAAAAAAGAGGTGAAGAAAGCCAAGGCTGCATCACCGATACCAGAGCCAGAACCTGTTGTGGAGGAGAAAGACGCCGAGGAGGAGGAGCAGGATGACAATGAGATTTCGTTGAACGATGACGGCCCCAACACCGAGTCCGAGGCTGAGTCCGAGGCGGGTGATCAGACCACAAGGCTGCTACAGGGCTTTGAGAGCAGTGACGATGAGGATGAGGATGCCGCCAATGGGGAGAGCATTGATGCGAAGAAGTTGGCGAAGGCGGGGATGCCGGATGAGAAAAAGGTCAAGAAGAAGTTGGAGAGTTTGAAGGGGAGGGAAAGGGTACGTTCTCTCCAATCCGCGCTTTTGGTTCTTCACCGTCTTCCACGATTCCCTCTTCACCGGACGCATACAATGATGAGTCAAGAAAATTCGATTAGTCTTTAAGACATCTACATGGTTTCACATTTATTTTCTCTGATACCCCGCGTTCCGAATTGCTCCTTCCTTCGTTCATGCATTCCCTTACCAGCAGTTGGCTAACGGAGTTCATGCGCGCAGTCAACGCCCGGCATAATCTATCTCGGTCGTGTCCCCCACGGTTTCTATGAGCATGAGATGCGCTCCTACTTCTCTCAATTTGGCACAGTAACACGTCTGCGCCTTTCCCGCAACAAGAAGACGGGACACTCAAAACATTACGCATTCATCGAGTTTTCCGATGACGAGGTAGCACAGATCGTGGCCGACACCATGAACAACTACCTGTTATTCGGCCACATCCTCAAGTGCAAAACCGTGCCGCGCGACAACATCGAGTACGTCGAGCAGCTGTTCAAGGGTGCAAACAAGCGCTTCAAGGCGAGGCCCACAGCAAAGATTGCGAAGGCGCTTATGGAGAAGAAGAAGCCTGAGGAGGCATGGGTAAAGAAAGTTGATGCTGAGAACCGGAAACGGAAGAGGATCAATTCGAGACTCCAGGCGAAGGGCATTGAGTACGAGTTTGAGGCGCCGGCTGCAAAGAAGGCGGATAGAGTCGAGGCCGAAGTCGTCGTATAGGGTGGCGAGCTGTGAAACTTCAGTTGAAGGGAGATATCCGGGTACATATAATTCAAATGCGCCGCCTGGTTTTGCAATAAAGATGCAGCTTCGTGACTTACACTGATGTTCGAATGATCTGTGCCCATAAATGCCTACCTAAAGTACTTGATATCTCCGAGTTCAACGGCATTATTCAATTCTAGCCACAAGTGATCTCGACACAACCCCACGTGATCATGTAATGTAAAGAAGCTGTCGAGGGACAATTGCTCTTGACAAGTTGCAGTGGCCATTGGCGGCGGCGGTGGGCTGCAAAAACCCGTGCTCGACCACGAGTCACAGGTTGTGTCACTCAAACGCGGGTGTTATGTACATGCGAGGCTGTCTTCTCGGATCGGAGTTCTCAATCGTGCTCGGGATGGAGATGCTTGACTGACAAGTGACGGGGGTGGGTTGCCGAGGTGGGCTGTCGAGGGTGACGAAGATAGGCTGACGAGAGCGACGGAGGTGGGCTGTCGAAGGCCATTGCACTGGCAGGTTGCAGACTTGCAGCGGCGGCGGTGACCTAACACCGTCGATCGCGGGTGTTATGTACGAGGCTTGCTTCTTGGAATTGTCAATCATGCTCGGGATGGAGGTGCTCGACTGGAGGAGGTGGGCTGTCGAGGGCTGTCGAGGGTCAATTGCACCTGGCAGGTTGCAGACTTGCAGTGGCGGCGGTGACCTAACACACTCGATCGCGGGTTTTATGCACGGAGCTGTCTTGTTGGAGTTGTCAATCATGCTCGGGATAGAGGGTGCTCGACTGACAGGTGACGGAGGTGGGCTATCGAGGGCTGTCGAGGTCAATTGCGCCTGGCAGGTTGCAGACTTGCAGTGCCTTTGTTTTTTTTGTGTATTCATTGATTGCATGCGACCTGTGGCAATGGTTGCAGTCCCAGCGGTGACCTGCCAAAAATTGTGCTCGACCACGAGTCATAGGTTATGTCACTCGAATGTGGGTTTTGTGCACGAGGCTTGCTTCTCGGACTTATCAACCGGGCTCGGGATGGAGGTGCTCAACTGACAGGTGCTCGATTCATGGGTGGCGGAGGTGAGCTGACGAGGGTGGGCTGTCAAGGAGGCGGGCTGTCGAGGGCGGACTGTCAAGGGTCAATTGCACTCGCCAGGTTGCAGACTTGCAGTGGCCGCGGTGACCTGTCAAATACCGTTCTCGATCACTACACAGGAGGCTGGTGTTGGGAATCGGGTGATGAGCTTGCCATTCACGCTCTCGATCACTACGTAGGGGCCCTGGTGGTCGGGGATCGGGTGTTGAGTTTGCTTGCCATTCACGCTCGGGCGGAGGAGGGGAGCGGTGCCTCTGGAGCCGTACAGGAGTATCCGGCAGGGTAGGTGTTGCCTGTGCTGGGTGTGGACAATGAGCGTGACCATGTTTTCCTTTGTAAAACTGGTTGGGAGGCAGCGGCACAGCAACGGGCCGTAGCGGGCAGTGGGGCTTGCTCTCTACCCTCGCCGAGCTTGGAGGAGCTTGCAGGAGAGGGCAGGAAAGGTCGGGTTGTGGTCGGCATAGGTAGGCAGTCTAATAAGGCCGTGTGTAACAGTAAATAGACGTTCGCTGCGTCCCATTCATACGCGGAGGAGCTAGGCAAATAGAGAAATCCGGCTCACCCGGAGCTGAGGATACGGCTTGTGCGCGGTTACTATCTCACTCAGTAGTCGAGTGACGTCGTGTTATCGGTAGTCCGATGGCTGGACAAGATGAATGCGGCGCCAGACAAAGTGGTAGTAGGGCGACCCGCGGTACACCTCCACAAAAAGAAAATTCAAAGCCGTCTTCCTAAAGCTCTACCAGATCTCGGTGACAGTTTTGCCGACTGATTACTACCGCCTGTACATTCGGAATCGAGAATGGATGGTTGTCGGTCCGGGGGTGCCTACGTCAACAAGCCCGCGATGACGAGGCCGCACTGATCGGCCACTCCGGCTGGTGCGAACCCTCTCCCTCTTTCCCGAAGGTGAATTAGTGCCCTTCCGATAGTAAATGCCAATTTCCAGCCAGCCACAGCCGCACAGGATGGGGCTGTAACACCATCCGAGTGATCTCATGTGATTGGCCTATTTGGGCCTGTAATTGCATCATTGCTATCGGCCAGGGGTCCTTCGCTGTCTTCCGCGTGCAGCTTGCACACATACGACCGAGGCTGTCTACGAGGTCTACGAGGTCATGAACAGGAGAATGTATCGGGACCAGAAGCCAGAGTCGAAAATGGGATTATTGAGACCTGGGACGCGTTTTTTTATTTGTTTATTTATTTTGGCATTGTCCTGTTGACCTGATGATGTTCTCTACGTTATTCGCTGCTCTCGCTCTTTGCGACTGCTTTTCTGCCGTGCTGCGGCTATGCCCTTTCGACGGAGCTGCAGCCCACAATGGCTACTTAAACCCCCCCTCCCCCCTTCTCTCGCTCCTTCTCTTCCTTCTTCCTCCCTCATACTCATCTCTCATTCTTCTCTCCTCATGATCACTCCTCACAATCACTTCTCACAGTCACTCCTTATGATCACTCCTCACGATCACTCCTCACGATCACTTCATCTCTCTTCTTCAATCCTATCGCCGACCATCGTCAACCATCCCAGAGCATCGGTGGCACGAGATCATTCACCTTCTTGGCATACCTTTACCTTGACTTGGTACCTACTCGTATTTCGTACTGTATCTACCTCGTCGGCTACTCCTCGGCCATTTGGCCTTACCGGGACAGACAACACACGCCTTCATTGCGTGTCGTTTCCTCGTTCTATTCTATTATATCCTTTAGTTCTTCCTTCTCTCCGAAATCTTAATTTCGTATGCACCTATGCGTTTGTGATGAGAAATTTATTTCTTCGCCTTCTCCTTCTTCATATCCTTTTTCCTTTTCCTTTGATTTTCTCTCTCTTCTCTCTTGACTGTGTCCTCTACCCATCCATCAATCTTCATCGTCGGTTCTCCTATCTCAGAGTCGTATCCAAATTGTTCTGGATCGAACTTCTAAATTCTTCAAGTATCCCTCAATCTTCATCATCGGTCCTCCTATCACTCGGGGTCGTATCTAAGCTCTTCTGGATAAAACATACTTGCTCTTGTCTCCCTACCTATCCCTCAATCTTCATCTGCGGTATCCCTATCACCCAAAGCAATCTCAAAATTGTTCTGGATAGAGCATACTTTACGGTACACGACGACTACGGCTTTGACGGGGACACTAGTCCAAACATCCAATAATTTCGGCTCCCCCAACACCAAACGTGGGGACGCAGTCAGAATAATTTACGCCTGGCGGTGGCGTGGAGGATTGGTCGGCATCAGGAACGATCACAACGACTACATGTGTGATCTATGGAGATTGCGGCTTACCCTCCACCTACTGCCAGAAGAAGTCGGCAGTAATATAAGGTATGTACTTCGCTTCAGTTGAGTGCGATGCATGGCGTAATGAGTGGTTGGCTGACAGACAGACAGAGAACACATGTCAGACCCCCCGCGCTATCGTCGTACGCCGATCGCTTTGACGACCTAAGCCGACCTTCGGCTTCCATTGGGACGATACCCGCTACAGTTCATGGGGTTTTCGTTGACTGTCTCGGTCCAACATTGCGTCTCGTTATGTCTCGGTGTACGATTGCGTCTGGTTATCGCTCCGTCCACATTGCCGATCAATATGGATCCGTCCATCATTGTTTTTCGTTGTGGCTCGGTCCACAATTGCCGATCACTATGGATCACTCCATCATTGTTTTTTGTTTTGGCTCGGTCTAGTTTTGCTGTATTTGAACCATCGTCTCACGTTTCCAAATTTATTGTATACTGCGGGCATTGAGAAAGATATTATTTTCCATTTTCCCTCTGCTGACGAAGACGTGAGAGCTGATGAGTTTGATACTAGTTAATGCCGGTAGAGCCGGAACCGAATTGGCGAGAATGCGAGATGAAGTCCCTCCAGACAACCGGCCGTGACGACATCGCCATCCGAGTAATTCAAGGATTCTTTTCCTCACCCGTGAGGTCCATGGAAGAACAGCTAGCCGGACATCCTAATGGGCATTGATTACCTTTGCCCGGGTACTCTAATCAGCACACCTGGGAAAACATCCTTCAACTATGCGAGGGTCCTTCTACCCGGACACGACGAAGGATATCGCCGAGCTTTGCCCAGGTACTCCAATCAGCACACCTGGGAAGACATTCTCCAGCTTTGTCCAAATACTCCTACCATTGCGCCTCGGAAGACATCCTCATTACGGTTTGTAACAAGCATTCCTTCATAGCAAAGCACACTGCACTGACCTCTCTCCTAGTGGACGGCATTCGCGCCAACGCGCCTCACGATGAAGAGGCAGGGGGAGATGGAGTGTTAGGAGGACCTTTATTTCGCAGCTTTCTTTCCTTGGTGCGCACTATCTCGATCCTTATCATCGGGACGCTCGACGAAAGTAGGGTTGGACAGTGGCGTGGAAACGGTCGGAGCAGAGTGGGGAGGAAACGGGCGGGGCAGAGTGGGGAGGAACCGGTTATAACTTATGTACACAACTACCATGATCTACTAAGGTCGAATTCAATGATGATTATTATTCAAAAACAAAAAGAAGTTGGTAACAGAGGTTTTTTCTTCCTCATCCAATGGCCCCCACGCAAAAGCTCCGCGAGTGACCACTCATGTTCAAGAGCTACCCCAGCTCGGTACTTACCTCTTACCTACCAACTATTCTGCACCATCCCACCCAACCCTCACCGCACCTCACCTACCTCACCCCACCGCACCACACCTCCAACAACACCAACAACCAAAACCACCATGCCCCCCACCCGCCGCACGACCAACCCGCGCCTCCTCCTGCCGCTGCCACCCCCATCCACGCCGTCGACCTCAACCTCAACACCCACCGCGACCGTAACACCAACGCCCACGCTCCCCTCGCCCAGCAGCACGCGCACACCCTCACACACGCACACCCACGCCTCGCCATCTCCACCGCGGCCCGCACCCACTACAGACCCGCTGTGGCACACGATGCAGTCCACGCTCTCCACGCTCCCGGGACACTCCGGCGGCAGCGGCAGCAATGTATTCTTCACCGCAGCGCACACGCGCGCGCTCGATGAGCTACGCATCGCGCAGATGGCGCTGGCGCAGGCGTGGATGAGTGATGCTACTTCTTCCCCTAGCGGTGGGGAGGTGGGTGCGGGCGGGGCAGGGGGAGTGGGTGGTGCGGGCGGTCAGGGTGCGGGCGGCGCGGCGGCTTGGGAGAAGAAGCGATTGGCTAGTGATGCGCATTTTGGAAGGGTTGCCAGCGGTGTGCGGGACGTCGCTGCGAAGCTCGATAGGGTCGTAGACGCGATGGGGGATGTCGAGGTCGAGAGTAGGGGCATTTGGGGGGGGTGAGGGTGGGTTGGCGTAGGGGATGGGGATAGGGAGGGGAGGAGGAAGGGAGGGGGGATGGCATGGTTGGAGTTTGGGAGTTTGCTTTACTTTACTTTGCTTGATTTGATATAACTACTGGTACTGGTAGTAGTACCTACTACACACGAGCGTTGATAATGGGATGGGATGGTTGGGAACATCACTACTGCCAGACGCGCTGCTGCCGGACGTGTGAGTGAGTGAGTGAGATCCCAGACGCGTTATCACGAGTACCGACTGTGCTAGGTAGTACCTATCCTACACGTGCCAAATACGAACGCGTATGGTACTGGTACAATCAGTCAAGTCCAGTCCACACAGACTAAACCGCGCTTGCCCCCACTCAATGGCAAATGGCATCACATGATATCACGTCGACACACGCCGACCCACGTCGGACGTTATGTAGCAGAAGGCCGTTCGTCCGGCCGTGTGTATGTAACACCGCAGCTCGCCAGTATGTACTCAGTACATATACCTGGTAGTAAAGAAATGAAGCAAACGAAACAAAACGAATAGGTAATCTTACGAGTCACAAGATGGGCTGATGGGCATGTGGATGGGCTGATGGATGAGCATGTGGGCATGTGATTATTGTGCCAAATCGAGGATCATGTCCCGACCACATCTGATACCTACCGTATGATCCCACCCCGTGGGCCGTCAGAGGGAGTGGGTCGAGGAATCACATCAATCCGCTGCGTGTTTCTAAGTACATACCTACATACTAATTACCGGCGCCGTACTCGGTCAAATGGAGGGTTTGAACTTTGCGGTGCTATGACTGGCCGGTCGAAAACCGACCGAGATTACGGTCCGAGGCGGGCCAGCGGAGACGCTCGTGATACGAGGTAGATACCACGTTTTTCATTCGGCTCTCTGGAGCTTAGAGGAAGCGTGGATTTGGAAATTTGGAGAGGAGCATAAGCTCCTTCACCCTGAGGGTCATTCTGTGTTGGTTATGGTTATACATCAACCTGAGTAAATAGTTCCAAGACCGGGTGGCAGTCAATGACACGCCCAGCTCCTTCTCCTCCAAGTAGGTAGCAAGTATGTAGCCTGGGAGGGGCTATTCATGCACCCATCGCTGCCCTCCAAACGGCCATTCAACCGACTTCGAAAAGTTACCTACCTCTATTCACACTCCCATGCGAGTGATACGGCGCGTAAATCCCCTCACAAGCTATTCTCCCTACCTTGTCTACGTCATAACCCCGGGAGCGTAGTGCATAGCGCTTCCCCGCCACACCCACCCAGGTACATTCCCACGCACGATGTCCCCGCCACCCTCCTCCTCCTCCTCCTCCCCCTCCTCCTCCTCCCCCTCCTCCGAAGACGCCTACACGCTCCTAAGCACATACCTCCTCTCACCCACGCCACTGGAGATATCTCTCCTGCCCTCCATCACCCCCTCAATCCTCTTCACCCCACCCCACCTCGGTATTCCAAAGCGCCAACTCCTCGACGCCTTCGCGCACGCACACGCGCTATTCTTCCCCGCCTCCCCCGCAGCCGCCCCACCCGCCGCCCACGATGTAGTCAGGCAGCAAGCGAGCCTCCTCCTCCTCCTCGCAAGCAGCGAGCACGTCACAGCGATTAACGCGCGGAAGCGCCTTCTGCTCTCCGCCACTGATGCCCCCATTACCACACCGCCCGCACCGCCCGCAATAACGCCGCAGCTAGAACTATCACTAACGCACAGCCTTCTCACCAGCGCGCTGATGCGGCACAATAAGAGCCCCGCGATATGGGCGTACCGAAGGTGGTTGCTTATTACGTTCCGCACTACTCTTCTTCCCGCCGCAGTGGATAGAGAGCTCGGTGAGAAGCTAGGTAGGGAGCTCGCCATAGTCAGGGCCTCGGCGGAACAGCACGCGAAGAACTACTACGCGTGGGAGCATGCACGGTGGGCGGTGGGGTTTTTTGGCTCTGGCACTACCCACGGCGCCGACACACCCGCCGCCGACACCGCAGACATGAGCGCAGACACCGCAGACACGAGCGCAGACATGAGCGCAGACATGATTGCGCAACAGCTGCGCTGGTGCCGACAACACGTCTCGGATGTTAGCGGCTGGACGTTCCTGGCGTGGGTACTTGAGCGCTCCGCTGCCGGTGTCGGGGCGGGTGCGGGTGCGAGGGAGGGTGTGCTCGCCGAGGTGCTGAAGTTTGCGGTTGTGGCGCCCGGTCATGAGGCGCTGTGGGCGTTTGTTAGGATTGTTGCTGTGGGATTGGAGCGCGAGGCGTGGGAGAGGGTTTTGGTCAAGGGGGTGGGCGAGCGGGAGGGGGAGGGGGGTGGCGAGGGGGGGGGTGAAGAGAGGGAAAGGGATAGAGTACTGAGGGAAAAGGCGGTTGCGTGGGTTGCCAAATGGGGCGGTGGACGGACTAAAGCGGCAGAGCACGGAGGACATAACCATAGCTGATGAAATTCTAGATTGTGATTCTCGATGATTGGCTGCGCGCGACTACTTAGGTGTGTACAATGACTACGGCGCAACCTTCCTCGCCACCCAGAACTGCGCCAGATACGCGTTGCGGGTGAGCATGTTCGGGTCCCAGCTGTAGCCGGCAAGCTTTCCGCGCACCTTGCCCCTCCACCCCTCATCCGTCGCGAACGTGTCCTCGCCCCACTTTTCGTCTGCGGGTAAGAACTCGAATCCCAACTTCGCGGCCACCGTCAACACCTCATCGAGGCTCAACTCGACCAGTGGCGCGGTGCCGTACAGCAGCGGGCCAAGATTGATCCACACGCCGCCGGGCTTGAGTACCTTGGCGATGGTCTCGAGATAGTCCACCAGGTTCCGGGCCGTGTCGATGAAGAACAGCGTTGCGACGACATCGAACGCGCCGTGCTCGTGCGGCAGGAACCGGGTCACAAAGTCCCCTTCGACCAGCTTCAGCCGGGTGAGAACCTGCGCATCGGGCACGATGTCGGGGAACTGCACCGCGCGCAGCAGCGACTCGGTACTGCGGTGGTGGCTCCACCACTCCAGGTTGGGATGGAACGTCAGGCTGTTGGGCTTCACGCTCTTGAGCGAGAGCATGTAGCGCTGGGCCAGGACCATGTACGGCGAGAATTCATTCGCGACGACGTCGAAGCCGGCGGCGGCCAGGTCGTAGCTCAGCCTCCCCAGCCCAGCCCCGGGGACCAGCACTCTCACACCGCTCCTCGGCGCGGGAAACATATCGACCAGCGTCTCGAGGATCTGGGGGAAGATTGCGTCGCGCTCGTGACGGCCGACGGTGGACCAGTCGCGCACAAAGTGCTTCAGCGCCTGCGCGACCTGCGAGTGGTCGCCGACGTTGCGGTGGATCTTGGCGTAGCTCTGCAGCTCGAACGGCGAGATGCCGTAGTACCGCAGACCGTGCTCGAGGACTGCCTGGGCCGTGACGTCGTTCATCGCCGCTGCGTTTGCGACCGCTGAGATCTTCGAGACGTAATTTATCGTCGAGCCAAGCAGCTGCTTTTGCAGTTAAATCCAACATCGTGGCGGTTGGATGGGTGGGGGTGCGCAAAGGGGAGGAGAAAGGGGGAAGGGGGTGCACGAACTAGCTTCTGCGATGCCGGGAGCTTGTTGTATTCTGCTCGCTTCTTCTTCCACGTCACCGAGGTCTTCGCTCTGTAGCGAGACATGCCAGCGAGCGCGGCGAGGAGCTTGCCGCGATCGATGCCCCCCGAGCTGCTGTCGGCAATCGCGGCGGTCGACGAGGAAACGGTGGCCTGGCTGAGGCGTTGGAAGTACGAGACGAGCATTGGATACTGCAGGGCGGCGACGACGACCAAGCAGGCGAGCAGCAATGAGATACGGGTGCTAGTGGAGGATCCGTGGGGCTGGGGCTGCTGCGGGAGCTGCACTAGCATCTCGGTCGGGGCTGCGGATGGTGGTGGTGGTGGTGGTAGTGGTGAAGACATCCCGTCGGTGCTGGTGGTGGTGGGTGTTCGCTGTTGAGTCTAGGCGGGAGCTATGGTCTCAGGTCTGGGAGCCAACAGGGTGTCTCTAAGATGGATCTCGATACGCGTGCGCGAGGCTTGGCGAAACACTACGCTCCGGGTCTAGCTCGCGAGTGATGGGAGAGTGATTGGTCACAATTGAATGCTCGAGAGTGATGGGAGAGTGATTGGCCACAATTGAATGCTCGAGAGTGAGCGGCGTGTTCCGAGTGCGGCCAATGATCTGGTGTCCAGCTCACGATGCGTTCGTCTGACTGTTCGGTAGGTAGGAGGGTGCTAGTATGTAGTAGTATCGCCAACCCGCGGCCACGGCAGAGTAAGCACACACACCCCACAGCACCCAGGCTACAGTACAGCACCCACAGCACAGATATGCACAGTACAGTACACCTACCAACTACCGTAGCGTAGTCCATACAGTGGATTGATTGATTGATTGATTGATTGATTGATTGATTGATTGATTGATTTGATTTGATTGATTGCGCGATTGCATGATTTGCCCGATGAGGAAGCGCTCCCATCCCCCAAACAGGCCTCCCGTTCCCTGTGCGACAACCGGCTTTGCAGGAGATCAGATGTCGCCGGTCGACGCGGTATGTAACCTAACGTAGCGCACACATCACAAATGATACAGAGCATGTACAGTACATACTCTGGGATGGCCGCAGACAGACAGACAGACAGACAAGAGCAAACGGGAGTCGGGACGAACGAACGCCTTGGACTTGGACGGAAGAGGACACGCGGTGGGTAGGTACGTAGGACCAATATCTCGGAAGTGGTGGGGTGGGGGGGACGGGCGATGGCGGCAGTGGGAGTGGGAGTGGGAGTGGGAGTGTGGGACGCACACATTTGCGGTCCGCCAGGGAGTTTTTTCCTGTCTGTCTCGTATGTAAGTGAATATGTGGAGAGAGAATGGAATGGGCTATGGGCCAGCCAGCGTTGGTGCAAACAAGGCGGCCAAACAAAATGCAACGAGGGAAAAAACAAAAATACAAGAAAAGAAAAGAAAAGAAAAAGAAAGAAAAAGGAAAAGGAAGAAAAAGAAAAAGAAAGAAAAAGGAAAAGGAAGAAAAAGAAAAAGAAAAGAAAAAGAAAAAGAAAAAGAAAAAGAAAAAGAAAAAGAAAAAGAAAAAGAAAAAGAAAAAGAAAAAGAAAAAGAAAAAGAAAAAGAAAAAGAAAAAGAAAAAGAAAAAGAAAAAGAAAAAGAAAAAGAAAAAGAAAAAGAAGTGAAGAACTGGAAGTGAAGAAGTGCAAACCCTTACTTCCTGTACTCTGCGATCGTCGAGTTCGCTCGTGGCTCGTGACGGGGAGTGGCCGGGGCATTCTTTTAGGGGGGGGCGGGTGGGAGTAAAGGACGACAACAAAAGAGAAGAGTCTGTCGATCCCACAGGCCACGGGCCACGACGAGACGAGACGAGACGAGACGGGAACCTCCTCCAAGCCACCGATGGCCACCGACCCAAGCTTGCTATGCTCCATCTTCGGCAATCAGGAATCAGGAGGGATGGATGGCAATGGATGGACGGATGGCAGTGGATGGCATAACTACATGGACCGGTAACCACTCGTTGCACGCATGCATATGACTCTGCTATGTGCAAATCTACATACGACCTCGGGCGAACACACTGCACATTGCACACTGCACACTGCACACTGCAAACAGCGGCCGTGGCAGACGGATCACCCCATGATCCCCGTATGTGCACCAAGCACCAAGCACCCCATCATACATAACCCCAGATAAAATCGCGGGAGCGAGGGAGTAAGGAGGGAGCGAACAAGACCAGTCACCAGTGCAAACGAACATCCGGACGGAACCCAACCCTGTTTTTTTTCTTGCTTGCTTTCATTCATTCCGCGTTATCGAGGCGAGTCTGGCGAGTCTGTCTGTCCGTCCGCAAGCGAAAACCGATTAAGGTTCGCGATCCCTCCCAGTTGCACCCACCACCGCCACCCCACTGCACTGCACTTCCTGCACTGCACGACATTTCTTGGTGTTCCGGGGGGGGGACATGGTACTGCTAGCAGCAAATATCACGGGGAAAAAGGAAAAAGGAAATAGGAAACCCCAGTCCTCCCCAAAAAAGAAAAAAGAAAACACCATCGAGCGTCGCCCGAATGTCCGATTACGTTTATCTAGGGTAGGGTACCGGTAGTTCAGACTCTGAGATGGGCTATGTATGTATGTACCTAGAGTACTTCTGGCTCGCAGTACATATCGGTACTTGTGTCGTGCTGTGTCGTGCTGTATCGTGCAGTGTCGTGCAGTGTCGTGCTGTGTCGTGCTGTGTATGTATGTACCTAGAGTACTTCTGGCTCGCAGTACATATCGGTACTTGTGTCGTGCTGTGTCGTGCTGTGTCGTGCTGTGTCGTGCTGTGTCGTGCTGTGTCGTGCTGTGTCGTGCTGTGTCGTGCTGTGTCGTGCTGTGTCGTGCTGTGCCGTGCTGTGTCGCATTGCGTTGTTGGGAAGGAAGGAAGGAAGGGAGATGTCGGTACTCGGCACTGCTGGGGCACTGGGGGGGTACTGGGGGTACTGGGGGCACAAACATCTTAGCTTATGTAGCTTATGTAGCCTCTATGTAGGACTATTGACGGATCCCTCTACCGAGATCTCTCGCAGCCGCAGGCCTCCACAGGCCTCCGCACTGCACTGCACTGCACGAATTCGCCGCAGCAGCGATGGAGGTACCTTAGGTACCTCCTAGCATAAATACCGTACCTAGTCCCATGCGGTGCGGGGATCGCGGATCGCGGACGGAAAAAATGTGGTTTGCATACCTACCTAGGTGGTTTGCATCAGTGGTTTGCATCTGCGCCCGCCCCCGCCAGCCAGCCCGCCCGCGCGCACGACGTTTGCTCGTGCCGGCCGTGGGGGGCGGCGTGGGGTGCTCGAGGCGCATCAAGCTGAGACCTTCGTACATATCGTGATTCGTGAGCTCGTGTCTGCCGGACGGACGGCAGTCGTGCCCTCCTCAACAATAATGGATCACCATCTATACACGTATGGCTGGCCGCTGGCGCACATGGACTGCGGCTCTGCGGATCGGATGCGGCTCTGCGGGTGCGCTTGACAGACGAGTCGCGACTACGACTGGTCCACGAGCCTGGCACGAGGGCTCGGAGAAGCTTAGCTGTCTAGGGGGCTTGGCAGCGGGCTAGGTATATCGAATAAAAATAGAAACAAAAAGAGTGGTGATCTTCCAGGCTTCCGTGAAAGTGATGGGTGGGCCACTGGGCGTGGGCGTGGGCGTGGGGCCGAAGGAGCTGTGTCGGCAGTGTGTATACCGTAATTACCTTATCGTACCGTGCCGTATCGTACCGTGCCGTATCGTCCGTTGTCGTCATCGTCGTCGTTTCAACCCGGAGCTGCGGACCTGGGACTGGGAGAGACCGATGGCCAAGAAGTTGTGAACGGACTGGGACTTGTTGAGACCAACTCGGCTGGGGGTGTGACTGAGGGCGGAGAGGGTTGTTTTCATTCGATTCGAGAGCGGGTTGAGGGCGGGTTCTGTCTGAGCTGGGAGCGGGCATGAGAGTTGAGGGATGCACGAGCGGGCAACTTTTGCCGACTTGGCTAGACCCGATACGGCGGGCCAAACGTTCGAAGGGCTCTTGTTTATTTTGTTGACCGGTTGTTTTGTTTTCTCATCATCTGCGCATGCATCTTCATCCTCATCTCGCCATTCAACTCGCGGGGTACTTGAGGTTCATCACCTGAAGAACACAGGTGGCTCTTTTCTTTCATTGTCGTTTCTCTCTCTAGTCGAATACAATCGGTTTTCTATCTTTAATCAAGGTTTTCTGAAGATCATCTCGTCCCGACTCCCCAGTGCTTCAGTATGTGTGTCTCCAAGCCCGTGTGTCTCCAAGCCCGTCTGCCTCAAAGCCGTCCCCAACCACAGCGCTACCACAGCCACCAAGGACCGAGGACCGTCCTCATCCCCGGCCCGCTACATATCCACCCAGTCGGTGTTTCTTACCCTCTGCGGTCGCCAGTCGGTATGTGCCGGTATGTATAGTACGGTACAGTGGCACCGCCGGTATCGCTACTTACCTCTGCATGCCTACCTTGTACCTACCAGCCCTACCACAACCGCAATCGCAACCACAACCGCAACCGCAATCCCACTCGCAACCGCAATCCCACTCGCAACCGTAATCCCACTTGCAACCGCAATCCCCCCGCAAGATACCGGCAGTTACGGCAATACACTACCCACGGTCCACGGTTTCGACGACGACGACGGAACACCGATCCGTGGCATACAGACGCAGAGCAACACGCGGCCCGAACATCCCATGCGTGCGTTGACCCAGGTGTCTCCGCGGGATTGCAGATGAGCGAAGATGAGCTCGGGGTAGATCCAGCACTCGAGCTGATCTACTTATCGATCTACTCATATACGTGCAGCCCAAGTAGCCCAGCTGCAGCCCGCTTCGAGTCTTCAGGTCTTCGAGTCTTTGATCCAATAGACGGCAGCGAATATCCACATCCACCTACCGTACCTACCTCGTCACCTACCTCGTCACCTACCGTACCCTGCCGTACCAGGTACCTACCCCACCACCGTGAATAGGTACGGACTCCCACCATCCCATCATCCCACACTCCCCACTCCCCACTCCTCACTCCCCATCATCGAGTACCGGTACAGGTACTCTATGTACTTGTGCCCGCCAAGTCACCGCGCACGCACTCTGGAAACATTTGTATCTATGCAGAGTACTCTACATCTCCCTGCCAGGTCCTCTGCCAGGTTCACCACCGCGCATTTCGTTCGTTCGTTTACCACCCTCCACCCCCCTCCCTCCCCGGCCCCCTTCCATCTCATGCAGGGTCCTAGTTAACCACTACCTAGCACATACATACCGTACATATCCCCCGGCCACCCAACGTGCCATCACACCCCCAGAACAAACCCTCTGCCTCTGCCTCTGCCTCTGCCTCTGCGACTGCCAGCACAACTTCTGTTTGCATGTACCATACTCTACACACTCTCTCTTTCGCGAGGGACGGACGGCCCCCAGTCACACAAAAGATTGCGGATCATCCCATCATGGTCCGCAGAGTACATGGGCCGTACATGGGCCGCGCGCGCCCGTTTGATTATTCGGTTCGGTTCCGAATTCGTTTGTCTGTCTGTCTGTCTGTCGCATCACCACCACCACCACCATCATCACAGGAAGTACGTCGAGTAGGTAGGTAAGGTAAGGTATTAGAGTAAAGTAAACGGGCTGACCACCGCTCTATTTACAACACAGTTCCGCGTCCGCGTCCATCCCTCCTCCCTCCCTCCCCCCGTCCCCGTCCCCATCATCGTCCTCCGCGCGCGCCCTCCCATTCTCCCGCTGTCCCGATCTCCAAGCAAGCAACCAAAGCCATGTGCATGTGCAGGTAGTATCCACCGAAATAAAAAAATAAACAAAGGAAAAAGGAAAAAAAACAGCAATGCAAACAAACACAAAAAAATAAACGAAAACGCAAATAAAGTAGACAAAACAAACACACACACACACACACACACACACGCACGGGTTGGGAATGGAATGAGGAACACACACACACACACACACACACGCACGGGTTGGGAATGGAATGAGGAACACAAACACAAAGAGGGAGCAACAACAACAAAAGCCAAAGTCAAAGATTAAAGATCAAAGATTCAAAGGTTCAAAGTACACCGAGAAGGCAAGGTAAGGTAAAGTAAAGTAGAGGTCAAAATAATGAAGGGCCGAGTGATGAATGGATGGCATTTTTAACCTTCCACGCCCCACGCCGCCGCCGATTCTCTCCCCAATGACCAACGAAAAAATGCAAAAAATAGTAAAAAAATAAATAAACCACAAAACCAAAACCACAAAATGAACTTTGAGAAGCACTTCCTGAAGAACAACAACTGCCTCTATGTAATGGACGCCCCCCAAAACAAAAACAAAACTTGGAAAAACCACAAAACAAAAAAAAAAACACAACGAAAAGCAAAAAAAAGGAAACAAAAAAAGGAAATACCAAAAATCCGGATATAATAAAACACAAAAAAAACCCGAAAAACAAACCCCACCCCTAAAGCAAGCAAGACGAGAGACCAAATTTACGATTCTAGGAAAACAAAAACAAAAACATAACACAACATGCAAACAGTGTGTGTGTGTGTGTGTGCGTGTGGTGTGTGTGTGTATGTTTGTGTGTGTGGTGTGCGTGTGGTGGTATACTTATGGCAATAGGTAGAGGCGGGTCCAATAAAAAACAAAAATAAAAACTGGTAGGGTGATAGCAAGATGACGTCCAGACCGCGCGCACATTATAGATGGAGGAGGTGGTGGAGGATGGTGGTGGTAGTGGTGGAGGGTGGAGTATGGTGGTGGTAGTGGTGGAGGGTGGAGGAGGCGTGGTAGTGGACGTGGTCCGGTCCGGATAGAAGAGTATCGAAAAGAAAGGAGGCAATCGACGCGAAATCTCACGAGCTGGCGGCATAGAGTTTGCCAAATATCCTCCAGTGCAGAAAGGCGATGTGAGCTATCCGCTGCGCGATCGAAGCCAGTTCCACAGACGAACCGGTAAGATCTGCCGCCTGCAATATCGGGGAGGTCGATAGCGACGACCAGCTCTTCATCACCTGCTGGACGAGTGTGGTGACGTCCTTGACGACGCCCACCTCTACGTGGACGTATATCGACGAATCGACGCGCAGGTGCTTCTGGAACCAGTTCTCGGCCATCTTGACTGTCGAGGCGTCGACGAGACCCGTGTTCCCGCTGAACTCGAAGGCAGCCTGTGCGAGGTGTAGTGCCACCGCGTTGCTGCCCTTCACCCAGCGATACGGTCCCTCCTCTTCGCTGAGGATGGCCAGCAGCTTCGCGCGCAGGTTGTCGACGGTTGCCGCGTCCATGTCGCGCTTGCAGTTGAACTGGTGCAGTAATTGCCGGAAAAACAGCAGCGCGAGCTTGAGACACGTCGCCTCACGGATGTCGTCCCTGATGGCATCTAACCGCTCAAAGTCGAATGTGAAGGTAGCCGGATAAGCCGAGTATTTCGATGGCGATAACATCTCGGTGGTAGCGCGGATGAACGAGTTGTACGGATCCGTGCTGTCCTTGATGGCGTTTTGGAACCATATCCTCGGCTCCCTCATATCCAGACGCCCCGACTCAATTCGCTCCTGAAAGTATCCTTGCTCAAAGTGAACGGCCGTGGAGACGAGATGTGGTCGCAGTGTTCGGATCTGGTGATTTGCGACGTCCTGGATGGAAGGTTAGCATAAACTAAGAAAGAAAAAAAGGGTACTCGGCAACCTTGTTGCGATAGAGTGGAGACTTACGAGCTTCATCGCCTCCAGGATACCAAACACCATCTTCAGCCCGTCGCGCAATGCCCACGTCTTGCCGTTGTCGACTCCGAATGCCACCTGGGCAACCATCTGTTCGACCCATTGGTCCCTCATCGGCGCGCAATGCGCCTTCAACACGCCCGCCAACCACTCCGACAGCTTCTTAAAGTCCAGCACACCGTACTCCAGCTGCTGCTTCAATAACCCCTCATCCAGCGCCGCCTCGACGTCGTCCCTGTCGCTCTTGGGCACCAATGTCGACAGTATCTCCTTCATGGTCTTGAACAGTGTGAGCAGCTTGACGGCCATCCCAGCCACCCTTGTCTGCCGGTTCCTCACGTTGGCAAAGAGCATGTCGCACTCGTGCAGCACCTGCTTCCAGTAGATGTCGGCCTGCTCCCGCTTCTTCCTCCCCCGACTGCCATCCAGATTCGGTCTGAAATGCAGCTGCGCGTCGAACACGACGTCGTGCCTCAACTTTGGATTCCGGTAGATCTCGCTCAGATCCAGCTCGCGTAACGTGTGCAGAGTGACGGGTGGCAGATGTTGCTGCACGCTGTCCTGCGCCCTCCTCCTCTTCCTTCCGAATGTAGGGGGTAGCGATCTCGACCGCCCGAGGGGCTTGGATGGGAGGTGACTCGACAATCGGTCCGCGACCGAATCGGACGGCGCCGACGACTCGGAGCCCGAAGATGGAGACAAAGGAGGTGTGTTATTGTTGCTGGCGGCAGTGATAGGGGGCGGCGTGGATTCGTCCACTCGCAGACGCTTGGGCTTGATGTCGGATGTGGGTTTCGAGTCGTTCGAGCGTTTTGTCGGCGCAGGACTTGGGACCGACGACTGATGGTATCCGTATCCAGGGGTTGAAGTGCCCGACGCAACACCACCAACATGCCCGGAATCAGGTATCTCGATGGTCTGGGGGGCTGTTGTGCTCGTGCTGGCCTCGTATTCACCGTCTGCTGGTGCCTGGAAGTGAATGGACGGCTGTCTCTCATGACCGGCGTGGCCGCGAGGATGGCTCGAATCTATGGGGTCCATTTGGGCCGGAATATGAAAGCCTATGGGGAAGGGGGGTTTCTTCTTCTTTTCTTTCCGAGTCGAAGTAAATAAGGGAGGGAACAGGTCACGTCCAACAAAGACCAGCCGAAGGAGGGATGAAAGAAGGTGGCGCTCCTTTTTGTCGAGAAGTTATTATTATTATGGTTGACTACTTTGGGCCGAGTTGGGAGGAGCTATTGTTATTGTTGTTGTTGTCGATGTTGTTCGCGTGGTGTACTGGATCGGCTTGGGAGGTGTCGAGCTTGCTGGAGCTAGGTAGGTTGTATATGTTCTTCCACGTTGGTTCGAAAGGGGCTCGAGATGTCGACGAGGTGGTGGTTGGGTATTGCTGGAGGATGACAATGGGCAATACAGCTGACAGGGAGGGTGTTGAGGTGAGATTGGGAAGAAGAATAAGGCGGACAAGAAGAGCAATCGTAAACGAAGGAGGTGGGGCGGGGATGATAAGTATTTATGAGAAGGGGCGAGGAAGTTGGGGCCAAGTGAGTGAGGTTTCTGGAGGCAATTTTTTATGGGGAGCGAACAGTTGGGGGAGAGCGGAAGAGGAACTTGTAGATGGATGGATGGGAACGCAACTAGAGTACTCTTACTAGCAGAGTTGCGTTCGTTCGGGAAGCGGGTCTGACAAGGGAGGGATTTACCTATATATTTTTTGTTTATTTGTTTTTTCTGCGTGTGGATGGCGAATTTAGCGGCGCAGGTAGCTGATTTGGTTGGGGTTTTGGGTTGGGGTTTGGGTTGGGGGGGATGGATGGGTGTGGGTTTGGGTTTGGGTTGGGGGAGGGGGGGGACGTATAGGCAGGTAAGCAATGGTACATAGAGTACCGTAGACGATTGCAGGAGAGCGGATGGAGAGTTTGTGTTTTGGAATTCCCTGTGGCGCGCGAATTGGGGGGGGAGGTTTGAGGGCGAAGTACTCTAGGTACTCTACCGTAGCAGAGTCAAAAGAGGAGGAGGACCGAGTAGCGGCAGGAGCTACTCTAGGAAGCAGAGCTAGGAGTCGGGAGCGGCCCATGGGAGAGGATGAGAGGGAGGGTGCGTCGAGTGGAGTGGCGGGGGGGACGGACGGTAGGAGGTCGATTCCGTTGCTAGGGAGCGGCGGAGGCGCGAACGGGGAGAGGCCTGGTGGTGAAGGAGTGGCCGAGGAAGCTGAGGAATCCAAAGAGGCGCGAACGGCGAGGCATGGAGTCGGTGGTGGTGGTGGTGATATTGGTGGTGATATTGGTGGTGATATTGGTGGTGGTGATATTGGTGAGTGAGACCGAGAAGCTGAAGAATCTCTAGAGGCGCGCTCGAACTCGGGTTCGTCTCTGAAGCTGAAGACTCCTCTCCCCTTCCTTCAGAAGCGCGCTGGAGCTCGAGCTCGAGCTCGTCTTTCTGCCCCCGTGTCCGTCGCATCACGTAAGTGAGGTCAGAGGTACGTTACGTAGGGTACGGTACACACGGAACATACGGAACATACGGTACATATCCGCAGTCCACGGCACGGCATGGTAGAATATACCTACTGTATCTACTGTAACCGTGAAACTTGCCGACTACATACGGTACGGTAGGTTCGGTACACAACCTACTCTCTGGCACACGGGCGTTACGCAGAATCGAGCGTTGGGAAAATCCGAAAATTCGTTGTGGGCACGCAATTCTTTCTTCACCTCGGTGCGCCAGCCAGGACCTTCTCCGTCCACGGCGGCCACCACTCGGCCACTAACCACGACGATAGCCTGGATAACCTACATGCGATACGATACGATACGACGGGGAGGGGACGGCTTTGCCGCTGCAAGTGGTGCAGAGTGACATTTATGTGTGGTACATACGATAGGTACCTATTACCTATAACTACCATACCATTACCATACAATTGCTAGAGTCACTAGAGTAATCACGGTATATCGCAGTTCAGTTCGCGTTCGCATATCCACGCGTCGTCGTTCGTTCGCTCGTTCGTTCGCTCGTTCCTAGTCGGCTATGTACCAAGCAAGCAAGCACTTTCCTGGTCACCCTTGACCGTTGCAGCCACACCCTCCCTCCCTCCATCCCTCTCTACATAGAGTACATACCAACACCGTAGAGCAGCGGCGTGCATTGTACCTACATCTGGGTATACCTACCCTACTACCGGTACGTATACTCTACACCTGGGTACCGGTATGTACACGGTTGAGTATACGGTAGTAGTGGACACTTTCCTTTTGCCTTTCCTTTGCTTTTGGCCCACGCTGGACTGCACTGGACTGCACTGGGCGATCGATGATACTCGCTCTACATACTACATACCGACATCGTACGTGCTCATCCAGCCAGACAGAAAAGACAATACAAGACAAGACAAGGGATTGCGTATGTGCTCATGTAGGCAGTTGGCACAGTTCAGTGCGAACGGAGGAAGCAAGCACGCAAGGCAAGGCATCGCATGGCCGTATGTATGAGTGCTGTCTGGCTGGCACGAGTCGGGAAGGGAAGAGACGATGGACATGAAGCTGAAGCTGAGGCAGAGGCAGAGGCAGAGGCAGAGGCAGAGGCAGAGGCAGAGGCAGAGGCAGGTGCAGAAGATGACGATGACGCAGGACGCAGGCAGAGCAGAGCAGGACAGAGCAGGACAGGACAGAAGGCATGGGATATATGGGCCGTTCGGTTCCGCCTCGAGCTTTCGGTATGTACATACGGACGGACAGCCAGGTCTCAGACTTTCAGTCCGACGGCGGCGACCGACAGCGGCAGACCGGTCGGGCGGTCAATCTCCAGCCGCAACCATGGCCACGTCCTTCCCTGGGTACTTCCTCGCAATCAGACAATGCACGGAAGCCTGAGGGGAAGCATGCAAGCAGGGAAGGGGCGCGGGAGGGACGGGAAGGTCGGAAGGAAGGATGGAAGGTAGAGGGAAGGAAGGATGGAAGGTAGAAGGAAGGGAGGACGAAGGAAGGAAGGAAGGACGGAAGAAGGCGTCTATGTTGTGGATACGCATCGGTACGTGATAAAGGCACCACTACTCTACTATACACGAGCACTTACCTGATACATGTGTGATGATGATGATGATCGTATGCTAGTATGCGCCAAAGTGCCTTCATTCATTCATGCTCGCCCCACCTGCCGAATCGTCTGGAACGGATAATTACCTACTCGAGTGAGCATGCATACGTACTTGCCAGTTTCCCCATGTACTACGTACATACTAATGTTTTGTGGATATATAAGGTAGATATCATCATCGTCGTCGTTCGAGTCCTATGTAGGTACCGTCCCAGCTTCACTTTGAAGTTCGTCCCATCTACGGGTCTACTCCCTTAGGTACCTTCCTACCATACTCTACCTGCTCCGTCAGAGATACGGATGCGTTCGCAACCGGACCAGTAGGCGGTCAGCCCACGGTCAGCAGCAGCTGCTGTTACTGCTGGTGGAAATGCAACGCCCCGGTCATTAACCTTCACCACGGCATAACGAGAGCAGTCGTGGACAGAATTATAGAGTAGTACCAGGTACTTGTTACTTGTTACCTAGTAGAGGATACCTGAGCGTGCACACACACACATGCTCACACACGCACCCACTCCGGGCGGAACTACTTGCCTAGCATATCTACCTGAGCACACACACACACTTTCTCTCTCTCTTTCTCTTCAGGCGGACGGACGGATGCGTACCTACTGGAGTTACGGTCGATATCATATCATGGCAAGGGTGCCTCATGGGGTACGGACGGCCATGGGCACATCACACACACGGGGGGCAAGGATGCAGTCTGTGGGTAGAGTTTGTATGTACCTAGCGGATGGGTCCCCACGGTTCGAGTTCCAGTGAGACGGACCAGGTGAGACATCGCCCATGCAAACCAGAGCAGATATGTTAAGCCCGAACCGCACCGCACCGTACCGCACCGCGCTGCACTGGACGCAGGCAACCTTGCGCTGCAGCCTGCAGACAGGCAGTGGTGGCATAGAATCGCATAGCATAGGCTCGCCCCTAGGTCGCGGGGCCGTCACTCGATTGCTATCCTCCTTCTCCTCCTCCTCGTCTTCCTCTTCCCTCGATGGGATCGATCTGCGCATTGCCTGCCTGCCCTGGCCCGCCGCCCCCGCCTACACGGGTTTTATGTGTGTGTGTGGTGTGTGGTGTGTGGTGTCTGCGTCTGCGTAAACGGCAACGGCAATCACAAGCCTACGGTAACCAAGCAGGTGGTGGTTGCTAGTAGAGTAGAGTACCGAAGTGATCTCAATTCGGTGCACAGAGTCGCACAGTCAGTCATGGACCAAACGCCCCGTCCGAAATCCCCTATTATTCGATCGTGATCCTGATCCTGATCCTGCCTATTATTATATCCCCCTCCCCACCCCCCCCCCACCCCCCACCCCCCACTGCTGCCCCCAGTCGTTCGTGCCATGCCTCGTCGGCAGTATTTGCGCCTCCAGCTTCCCTCCTGCCTCCTCCCCCCCAGCCCTTTCCCGCACCCATAGCTCTCTAGAGATCCAGATATCCTATCAATCGTCCGAACTCATCTTGGCCCCATCTCAGGCCTGCAACCTGCTACTCGCTACTCGCTACCTACTTGCTGCTTTGAGCCCGTTGGCGAACCATCCGCATAAAGATTCCCGGTCACCCACCACTACATCCACCACCTCCACCACCACCACCATTACCACCACCAACAACAACACCCCTCACCACCTCCTTCACCATCACCTCCACCACCATCACTACCAACACCTCCAACACAACCACCCCCCACCATCGCGGCCACCACCGCAGCAGTAACTCGCAGGAAAAAAAAGAAATTCCGACGTCTGCTGCTGCTGCCGATGTGCCCCATCGCAGCGGCGGCGGCGGTCCAGCCGTGCAGCAATCCGTATATCTCTTTTCCGTATCCCGGATAGAGTGGATGTGCGAATGAGCAATGTCGCGCCCTTTCATAAACAGCCAGATTTCAAGTATCCCCATCCCATCCAACCCCGTTGTCTCATTTCTTCGAGACCTGCGCCGGCCCGGTCTTCCCCCTCTGATTAACTTGCTCCCCCCTCCCCCCCTCCCCTCCATTTCTTTGATATTGTTTGTTTCCCACGGCTGTTCCATCGAGGCCACACATACACACATGCATACATACTTTAAGTACTTGCTCACTCTGACGAACGACAATATTGCAATCACGTTCGTTCGGTGCGTGAGCTTTCTCTGTCCTCCTTCCCGCACTCGTCAGCAGCGGCAGCAGCAAACGTTAACCTTCGCCATGTCTCTCAGTTCCCGCTTCCGGTTCCCGTGGAACGGACGGGAATCGTACGCTTGTTCGCCCGTCACAAAATCTCTCCTGCTTCTGAGCAAGGACAGGGCTGGTTAGGAAAGGATAAAAAATACCTACCCTGAAGGAAGAAGATTCACACAAAAAGAAAAGAAAAAAAAAAGGGAAAATTTCTTCACGCTTCATGATCAAACGTTACGATGACCGGCGGCGATTCAGGCTTTTCCGATCGTCCGTACGTTCGTTCGTTCGCTCTTTCGTTCGTTCGCTCTTTCGTTCGTTCGCTCTCAACTGCGCCCGCCGGCGCCGGGGTAGGCATCGTGCTTCCTTCTGCGTGGCAGTACGGGCGTGTACGAGTACATACATCTGCAGTAGAGTAGGTACTTTCTGCTCCTACTGGCTGTACCATATCTTGGCCACGCCGCCACGGCCATCATCACAACAACCCCGGTGGCGCAGGTCCTCTCCCGACGAATCTCCTGGCGGACTGGACTCGAGGCCTGACACCGGATAGGTATCGTCTTTTCACCCGTGGCCACACCAGCACCAGCAGCAACACCAGCAGCACCACTGCCACTGCCATCGGTCAGACTGGAGCATCCGAGCAAGCATGCTCGATATGTCTCGAGTTGCAGCGATGGCCGGTACGTGGGGCACAGCAGTTGGACAAGGTTGAGTGGACGTATGTATGTACAGCCACCACCACCACCACCACCGCCGACCGAGTTTCGCTGGTTGGATCACATGCACCGACAGCCCATCACATCCAGCGCTCAACGGCGGGTTCCCTGTCGATCCAGAAGGAGTGCGTTCCATGGTTCCGACCAAGCCGCAAATCATAAAGTATCGACAAGTCACCCAATTTCAGTGGCCCCGGTCGATTGGCTGGGAATTTTCCCAGTACTCTACCCTACGGTGGTTGTAGGGTAGTTGGAGCACATTCGGACCCGCTCTGTTTGAAGCAACGCACTTTGGCAGTACTGGCTTGCTGGCTGACTGGCTGGCTCGCTGACTGGCACCATGGCCGCAGGAAAAGATTCTAGTAGCTGGGCGTCGGCGGCGGCGAACACCGAGTCAACAACCATAACCCGCATGATTGCGCTGTGGCTTCTTCTCCTTCTCCTTCTTCTTCTTCTTCTTCTTCTTCTTCTTCTTCTGCTTCATCTGCAAAGATGAGTGTCATCGCTGCTAGGAGGAGGTGGCTAGGTATGTACCTATTGCGTGGTGCATCATGTAGGTGGGGTCTGCGTGGCTGGCTGGTTGATGACTGGCTGACTGACTGGCTGACTGACTGACTGAGTGGCTGGCTGGCTTGCTGGCTGGCCGGTACGTACACGCTCGTGCATCGGACTGATATGTACGAGTACACGGCAGCACCAGTAGCCTGCCTGGCTGTCCTATCGTTATGTGCAGCAGCTGCCGCCCGGTTGTCCGATCAGCGCGGCTTTCCGCACAGAGAAAGTCACGTATGTACTTACACAGGTACATGCCCGCGCAGAACGAAAAACAGAGTTTCCCGTAACACTGCAACTGCAACCGCAACCGTGCCACCGGGCGGAAGGTTATGCGCATGGCCCGGACCATGCTGCGAACTCTCTCTCTGTCTTTTTTTACTTTCTTTTTTTTCTTTTCGGCTGCCGCCCAGTGCCACCTACACCGACGGCATCCTTCCTCCCGATCCAACGTCACGTCGTCGTATGTCTCTCGGACGCTGATTCTCGCCCACCCGCGATAGCCCAAAGGCTAATAAAAGAGTGTACATACCTACCTCATACCCACATACATACGGCTGCCGCCTGCTTGCTGCTGCTGCTGCTGCTGCTGCTGCTGCTGCTCTTTGCCTCTACATATACACACGCAAGAAGGCTGGGCTGTCGGCAGTTGGAACCTTCTCCCCGGGTAGCTAGGGAGCGGCTTTGCTGGCAAGTTTGCAGCAGAAGCACCAGCAGCAGCAGGAACTATACTCGCCTACATACATCCTCACCACCCAGCACAACCCACAACCAGCAAAACTAGCACAACCAACACAACAATGCGCGCCGCTGGCTGGTGTGGTGCTGCTGCTGGTGGTGCTGGTGCTGGTGGTGCTGGTGTCTGCTCCCTCGCACTCCGTTGGGGCGGCCACTACATATAGCATACCGTAGTAAAAGCACGCTGTTTGCGCGCACATACGGTATGAGGGTGGACACCGGCCGGCCAATGTGCTCTGTCGCCCCCCATCCCCTTCCTCCCCGAGACCGACCGTTGGAGGACAGGGGAATGGAGGGAACGGGGGTGGGAACGGGGGATGTTCGAATCGTATCATTGGGTTCGTTAGCGGCTCCGATACGATGCGATAAAGTATCCGTAGTGTGCTTACATAGTTACCATAGCTAAGTTACCATAACATCCATAACATACTACCTATAGCTACATACGCTCTTGGTTACCTCCATGTTGGACACGTTATGAGCACGAGGTTGCGTTCAGCCACAGGCGTCACAGGCGTGCGCGGTGGGCTGGTTCATTCCATCCTTTCCATCCAGATTCCATTCCATCCATCCCAGCTGTCATTGGCTGCCCCATTCGAGCGCATGGTGCGTATGGTGCGGCGCGTCCGTCTGTGCTGGCGGAGAAAGCAGCGTGGAGTAAAGTCCCCCGGCGCACCAACTGCGTATGTGAGCATACATAGCCCGGCGTTCATTATTCATCCGCATCCCCTCGTGATTCGTGATTCGTGATTCATGATTCATGAAACTTATTCTCGTCCGTAGATAGAGACTCGAACTCTACTCTATCCGAAGCACTGCAGGCGGCCTGGGTAATCAATTATCAATTATCAATCAGTCAATCAATCAATCAGTCAATCGATGGATCAATTAATAGCCGTGGCACCGTCGTGTTGGAACTTGGAACAACCTTTTTATTTGGAGAGTCCGTCGTCGAAAAGAAAAAGAATAGATGAAGAAGAAAACAAAAGAAGAAGAAAAACATCGTCTAGCTCCCCCATCACGCCCGCTAACCAAGTAAGAAGCAAGTAATATCGTGATCCTCGATCCTCGTTCGCCTACACACGACCTCAACTTACGATACTAGTTAGCTAGAGTAGAGTAGAGTTAAGTAGAGTTGAGTAGAAGAGCGCGTGCAACCGCAACACCGCCGCAACACCACCACAACACCATCACCACAACGCCAACTCGATCGCCGACGCCGACGCCAGCGCCAACGCCAGCGCCAACGCCAAGAATCTGAGATTCAGATGCATCTGCATGCGTGCATGGGTGGGGGATCACGTTTATGTAGACTACCTATTTTACTATGTATGTTCCTAGATATGTCATAGAGTTTCTACTCCACCTACATATCGCGAGTAACATGAGCGAGAGCGAGAGCGATTACCTAGAGTTGAGTCGAGTGAACTTTGGAGTCGAGCAGAGTCGAGTCGAAGCTGTCCGTGGCCTATGGGCACTGGGAACTTCATTCGAACGCTCAATGCTCAATGCTCATGGCGACTCTTGAGCTGTGGTCGGCCCGGGGGGATGGGGATGGCGGTGGACTTGTGGCTTCCCGAGGGCGGAGATTGGTACCTTATGTGATGGTATGATGGTATACATATGATGGCATTCTCCCTCCCTCACTCTCTCCATCCCTCCTTCCTTCTCTCCCTCCACCGCAACAGAGGATGATCAATTACCTATGCTACCGCTCCGAACTCCGAACTTTGAAGATATCGAATCGGACTGACGGACTGACTGACAGACTGATGGACGGGACGGACTGACGGACTGACGGACGGGACGGCCGGCTGTTCCCCGCTGGTACGATTGGTGCGATTCGTACCCAAATACCCAAGTACCGGTATACACCCGGCTCTTCCGTGCCGAAAACCCAACCGTGACGATATCGGTATCATCGAAAGCTAGGTGGGTACTCTGGGTATGGTATGATACCGGTACTCTAGGTACTCTACTCCACCGTGCCAACTCTACTCCAGAACCAGCTCCAGATCCACCTCCAGCGCCGAAGCCGGTCAGTACCGTACACGGTATCGGTACTGGTACATATTGCGACATATCGATCGACAGATGGATCCTTCGAAGTTCTGGCTTCAGCCACCGAGTGTGGTGCCAGACCCCTAACTGGCCTGACGGGTTCCCCCCGTCGATCTTTCGTATGTACTCTACTATGTACCGTATGTACTGGTAGTATGTACCGCCAACGACCGTGCGGCATGCGACGTTCGGTGTACGGCGTGCGGTGTGCTTAAGGACTGGACTGCTGGACTTCTGGACTGCTGGCAGTGGTGCGGCGGTGTCAGCCTCTAGCCTCTAGGTGCTAGGTGGGAGTCGTGTCGTGTCGTGGTGATGCGCTTGTCCGTGGATCTACGGTCTACCTACCTTCTCGCTCGGGAGTCAGCCCGTGACGCTGCGAGGCTGTGAAACAACACAACACAACACCAGACCGTCGCGGCCTTTTTCCTGAGCAACCAGAAACATCCGGATTCCGCAGGCCCGTTTACTATACCTCCGTCTCTCTCTCATTCTGTCTCTTTCCGAAGCGAAGCGAAATTCATCATCATCGTCATAATCTACCACCCTCCCCCCGCCTCACGACTCAGTGCTCACGACCACATCCCGCCGCCTTGCCTTTCCATGCGTTGCGCTGTCATTGTCATCCTCGGATCCTCCCTTCTTTTGGGGGAAATTTGTCACGAACCTCACTCTCACACCCTCACACCCTACCTCCTCTACCTACCCTACTCTACCGTACTCCACTTCACAGCAGTGAGACAGAAAACGTGGCAAGCCTGCCCCAGTGCCCCAGTGCCCCCCTTCCCCCGTACCTAGATACAGCATGGGCAAGGGCAAGGGCGGAGCATGGGCATCGGCATGGAGCATGGAGCAAGGGTCTACTCTACGCGAATTCGATTCACTTCGGACACACTCCACGATTCAAGGGAGCGGTCGCGGTCATGGTCGCGTGGAGCGTTCCGCGTGGAGCCGGTGCGGGTGCGGATATATATCAGACTCGTGTTGCTGGCAGCCGTATGGAGTGCAGTGGAGTGGAGAGTGGTCGGCAAGGGAGTGGAGTGGGAGTGCAGTGGTCGGCAAGGGGAGTGGAGTGCCATAGACGCCGGCGCCGCGCGCGCACACGCACGTACTCTACGCACGCAAGCAAGCACTCATCCACTCTTCAGCGGCGACGGCGGCGGCGGCGAGGAGTTGCTATTGCTACCTATTGCAGATCCGGTGACGATGACGATGACGACATTTCGCCTTCTTTCGCCTTGTGTTTTTTTCTCTCCTCTTGCGTCTTTTTTTCTTCTTTTTTCCCCTCACTTCTCGCCCCTCGCCCCTCGTGGCCTCGCCACCTCCATCCCGGCTTTTCGTTCGGAAGGCCGTTGGCTGAACGGGGGGAGAAAATAAGGTATCCCCACAAATCGAATCGAATCGAATCGCCGTGGCGCTGGGTGATGGGTGAGCGCGACTGCGCGCGATTTCAGAAGAGCTACTAGAGTTAACCATGTAGGTGCTTGGATAGGTGCCTAACTTCTATGTGAGGTATCTATGGGATGTAATTGTATGGTACCTGAGTACCTACTAACCACACGGCGATAGATACTGCGTGATACCAGAATAGAAGAGGCAGAAGTCTAGAAGAGGCCCCCATCCTCCATAGGGCGTTCCTGGCGGCAGCGGGCGGGAGCGGCAATCGGATCGGGATGCCCACCCGTGCGTCCGTCTATCCGTCTAACTAGCGGGGGGGCGCACAGGTCCAGTCCCGTCCAGTCCCGGCCAGGCCAGAACTCGGCCGACAATGTCGAAATATCTACATAGCCTTCGATTTGCTAACGCAGCAGCAGCAGCAGCTTTTTCTTCTTTTTTCCTTGCTTTCTTTTTTTCGGGTTTCTTTTTTCGGGTTTCTTCTAGCAGGCGTGCACACATCAAAGCCTGGGTAGAGTACCAAGGTGCTTGAGCAGATCTTTTATGCTCCGCCCCCCGAGCCGTCATATAGCCTCGTAAGTAATCGCCGCTCGGCACAGGCGCGGCCGCGGGGTGGTCACTGGTGGTCTAGATTCCACATACATAGAAGCAGGCAAGCAAGCAAGCACGGCGATCAACACGCGTGCCGGCGATCACGGAGTGGGATGGAAGGTACATACATACACACAGCACTCTACATAGACAGGATAGGTAGGGTAGGAGCGGAAGGCACCCGTTATGCATGAGATGCTGGTGATGACGCTGGTGATGCTGCTGCTGGTGGCGATGGGATGTCGAATCTCGAATCTCGATACGCCACACACATCACACACGCACGGGTTTGCGAATCGTTTGGATCGTTTGGAGCCGGAATTGGAGCTGGAGGGAGGGACGCGGGGGGCTTTGGCCTGGCGTCAAAATCTAATCGGGCACATCGTCACATCGTCATATCGTCGCATCGAGGGCACACGCAGTGCTCACACACAGCTGTCAGGCGCATGCCAGACTCCAGTGCATAGTGCATAGTAGGCACGGCGTTTGATCTACGCCCCCCCCCCCCCCCCCCCCGCGAGTCGCGACAATCGGAGCGCTCGATTCCGCCCGACGTCGATGATCGGCAGCCGACGAGTTCCTACCGGGGACTGGATATACTCTACATACCCCACACTCGACGCCGACAACGAGGATGGGGTTGAGGTTGCCAACGACTTTGGCTGGCCTGCCTGCCTGTCTGCCGGGCTACTTATTCTGCCGCCGGCGGCGATGGTGCTGGCGGTGGTGGTCCTGGAAGGTTGCTACATACGTGGTGGACGGAGCATAGCGATACTCATTGTTTGGCTGTCGACCGCTACCTAGGCGACTGTAAATATGTCGGTCCCCGGTGCGAATGTTGCGTTGCGTTGAGGTGAACATTGAACAGGTGGCACTGGTGTGGGTGCGTGGTCGGCTCAGCCACAGCCACAGCACACTGCTGGAGAGAGCAGAGTGATCTGCAGCCTCTGGTTGGGTTGGGCTGGGCTGAGCTGCTTTGCTGCAAGGGCGGTGGGTCATCACCACCAGTCATCACCATCACCAGTGACCACCGCCGCAACCACCACCACCACCAGCATCACCAGTGACCACCACCACCACCACCACCACCACCACCACCACCACCGCAACCACAACCACAACCGCATCGGATCGCCCTGCCTCCGCGGAACGTCTTACCTCGCACTGGGCTCTCGGATGTTTGTCTGCCATATATGCTGTCTGATATGTATGCTGTCTGATATGCTGCATGCGAGTGTACTGTACATGGATTGGGCCGGAATGTGGCTTGCCCTACGCAAACATTATTTCGAATTTTGCATTTTGGCCCCAACATTTTCTTGCACTCTCGAGACTCCAGACAGACGCAGTGAAACATCCCAGTGTCGCGTCCCACAGCACTGGCACGCGCCCCCCTCCCTCCCCCACCCTCATCCTCATCCGAGTCTCCGAGTCTCCGAGTCTCCGACAGGACCGACCTTAAGTTAGGTTTTAACTAATCGCTGCATCGCTGCATCGCGGCATGCATGCATCGTTTATTTGCGTCCGTGCTCAATCCTCAATGCTCGTACACCTCCCTGTTACGGATCACCTACCTGTGTCACTGTGTAGAGTAGGTTTACGGTTTGTTTACGGTTTGTTTTGTTTTTGTTTCCCCCCGCCACCAGGACCCAGGTCGGAATCCGGATGGCTGCATGCGGACTCCGGAGAGAAGGTAAAAACTTTACTCTGCTCTACTCTGCACATTTCTGTGCCACGGGTCCACGATGATACGATGATGCGATTGAGGAAAAGCGAGAAAAAAAGAAAAACAAAAAACAAAAAACAAAAGACAAACAAAAGAAACAAAAAGCCAAAAAAAAAATAAGGCCCCGTTCCACGCACAATGCACATCCGCTCGTGAGCTGCGGCTGGTCTGTACCAGTACTAGTAGTTTTTCTTTTTCCCCGACGCCGACGCCGAATGATGACGCCGATGATGACAGCAGCAACAGAAGGCGGACGGCGGCGGCGGCGGGCGGCGAATACGGACCGCTTTCGGAAGTCCTCCGGAAGGAGTTACTACCGCTACCATGCTTCGCGGCTTCATCTCGCCTTCACCGGAGCCTGGACAACCCACCGGCGAACAACCCACCGGCGAACACCCACGGTCCACCACGGCCCACCAGCAGACGGTCCACCCCACCCCACCCCACCCCACCCCATCCCATCCCATCCCATCCCACCCCACCAGACCCCACTCAGTCCCACCTATATAGAGGGCGGTTTAAGGCTGCCGCTGCTCTCGAAGGTACCGGTACCAGGAACACCGCGTCATGGGCTCGGAACACTCGTCTGGGGAAGCCCTACTCTTCCCCCCTCCCCCCCCCCTCCACCAGGTACCCCCGTAGGCCGTACCCACTCCGTCGGTACGCAGTGCGCGGTACTACTATACGCGAGTGCTAGACCGTGAATAACCCAGTGGCCAGCCCCGGGCTTCGGGGTCCGGGGATCATGCTTGCCCAACCGCCTGCCGACTGGGCGAGGATGGAGGAGTGGGGAGGGGGCGAGGAGGGAGCGAGGATGAGCCGATAGACTGACTGAATGATTGACTGACTGACGGGTGCCGCATTGCCGGTTTCAGCCCCGTTTCGGAGTCGGGGAGATGGCCGGAGTGTATGTACTATAACAAGGCGGCTGGCCGGGGCAGCGGGATAATTGGCTCCGGGCGATGGGTGATGTCTCTAATCGAACTATATGTACCTAGGTAGAGTACCTAGGTAGAGTGGGTGGTTGGATTTCCGCATGTGAAATTTGAAGGAAGAAGCGAAATGATGGTTATCTGTCATGGTGGAGCACTCGGTCTGGCCTCTCTTGGTGGCGGTGGTGCTCCATCTATCCGCCAGGGTTCTAGATAGGCTGCATGCGAAATAAAACAGGAAGATCTCTCTCTCTATCCGCCAGGGTGGGCCGATTCTCGAGATTCTCGAGCCTCAAGACCTCTGACCGGTTATCACGAGCGTTTCCGCTGGGTCTCGGACCGTATCATATGCATGATCTCGGTCGGCCGGCTTTCGACCGGTCACTCATAACCAGCACCGCAAACCCTCCATTTGACCGAGTACGGCACCTCTGACGGGGTGGGAGCATTTATACGGTAGATCAGATGTGGTTGGGACATGGTCGTACATACTGTATAGTCAAGGGGGGGGGGGGGGGTAGAAAATACGCTTGTTTCCCACAGGACGCATATTGATATCGTATAAGGGCATAAAAAATACGTATTTAGACTGTACTGATACGATATCACTAGCATTTTCTTAAAGATACGTTAGCACTACAATTTGTTTTGCCCCCCTCCCCCCCTTGACTATACAGTAGGTACCGCGGGGTAAGCACTATGCTCCCCGGATTATGACGTGAAATACCCACCCAGGTAGTTTGGTGAGCGATTTTACTTGTCATATCACTCGCGCGGAGTTGGTGAATAGAGGTGGGTAATATTCGATGTCGGTTGAATGAGCGTTTAGAGGCAGCGGTGGATCCGTGTTTACTTAGATAGGGTGCGTGAATGGGTAGCCCAGGACAGAAACTTGCTGTTTTGAGGTGTCATTGACTGTCACGCGGTCTTGGAACTACTGAAAGAAATTGGATTGATGTTCTAGTATAACCATAACCGACACCGAATGGAGGGCGATGGAGCTTATGCCCTTCTCTCTAAATTCCCAAATCCACCCCTCAAATGTGGAATGAGATCCTCACGGCTGCCGGTAGCTTGGTACAAAGTGATCCTCGATGATTGACTAACAGGTAGCCCGGGACAGAAACTTGCTGCTTGGGGGAGAAGGAGCTGGGCGGGTCATGGACTGCCACCCGGTCTTGGAACTACCTTTTGAAAGAAATCGGGTTGATGTATAGGTGGCCATACCAAATAGAATTGAGGGTGAAGGAGCTTATGCTTCTCCAAATCTTAAGTCCACGCCTCCTCTAGAGAGCTGAATGAAAAATGTGGAACGAGAACGAGATCTTCACGGCTGCCAGTAGCTTAGTACAGAGTGATCCTCAATGATTGACTAACATAATTACAAGCAAACAAAACGCCCACTACCATTCGATTCCCAGTACAAGATTCCAGCTCACTATATAGGAGTAAAAACAACCATCCATCCACCCAATTACAACCATACATCGTCCTCGTCCTCCCCCTTGCCTTCACAAGCTCTACCCCCACGGCGCCGGCAAGCTCCCCGCATACCCGCCATAGGCGCCCACGCCGTCGCCCGCGGGAAACGCTCCAACACCACAGAAGCAAGCGCAGCTGCAGGCGCCGGCGTTCGGCTGATTATTCCATCCGGGGGCGATCATGGTGGCGGTAGGTTGGGCGATGAGGGCGACCGAGGTGGTGGACGCCGGTGGGGCATTGCCGTTGTCGACGGTCAGCGTTACTGGCACCGACGCTGGGGGCGGTGCAGTGGTCGCTGCGGCATCGGTGCCGTTTTGCGCGATCGCCTTGTCTTTGAACGCTACGAAACTCTTCTCGGCTGTCGGGTTGATCGCGAAGACCATGCCCTTGCCGCAGTGCGTGCCGGTGCGTTGTCGGCAGTACCACCCTGTTTTTTTTCCCGTCAGTCTCACACACTCCGGATCACTTTAGCAATGGGGTGGGTGGCTTACAGGTCGCATCCGTCGTGCCGACGGCATACTCGAACGTGGGCGCAGTTGCGGCATCGGACTCCGCATTTGGGATGAACCCGCTGTCGACTCCGCCCACCATCCGCACACACGGCGTGTCGAATGTGCTCTGCGTTACCGTGTGGTTCTTCATGAGCATGACGAACTTCACCACGTCGCCGACGGCGGCGGTGACTTCGGAAGGATCGTAGACCAGGCCTGCGGTGCCGCCGACTACAACCTGAGATCGGTGTTAGCGGGGTGAACAAATCCGGAAGGAGAGGGTTGAGGGTGGGGGGAAGTACGGTGTGTGTGGCCGCCGCTGCGACGGCGGCCTCGGCGGTTGTGGTGTGAACCATCGCCGCCGTGGTGGTCATAATGTTTTCCTCGGCGGACTCCATTGCCATGACGGTTGTCATGACGTGTGCGGCCGGAGCGGTGACGGTTACGACGGAGTGGACCATTGCTGGTGGGGTCACGACGGAGTGGACCATTACCGGCGGGGCCACGACTGACTCCGCCATCATCGGGTGCTCTGCCCATACTCCGGCGGCAGCGGAGAGGAGGAACGATATGGTTGTGAACTTCATTTTCTTTCTTTTCTCGTGGATGTGTATTAAAATGGGCACCGTTCAACGATGGAATTACGTCAAAGGACAGAGTAATAAGAAGAAAACAAGAAAATCGAAGTCGCTGACTCGATGTGAAAGAAGTGGAGTGAGGAATGCTGTGACTGAAGATGGAGAAAAAGGAAGCGAAGCAGGTGTTTATATTCCCCGTCCCAGGTGTACCGCAACACGTTCGGTTCCAGAACATGATCGCTGAGACATCTCTATCGCGGGGTTACTCGCTGGAAACAGCAAGTGGTGGTGGAATTATTCCGGGCCAGAGCGAAAGTCGTGTGCTTCGCTTGTATCAGGTTGCGTTTCTGGTGTTGTATCAGATCTTCGCGTTGGCGTTTGAGCCTGTAGCCAGTGGTGTAACGCGCCTAACGAGAGATATCTCGCCCATCGTTTATATCCTTTCCACCGCACCCACCCCCCGCAGACAACCCGCCAAACAACCGATGTCATCAGGAAGCGCACGCTGAAGAAGAGGAAGAAGACTGTGTTGTTTCGGGTACGCTACTTACCTCCCGAGCGGACAGTTTGATCTTCCCAGTACATTTCCATCCGTCAGCCACCATCGATGTCCATTTGTATTTCTAAACGGCATAAGCGCTCGCTCTCTACCGTCTTCAAATCAATTGCACAGCCCCCCCGGGAGAAGACGCGGAAACACGGACAGCCTCACCGTGATGGATGTTTCATTTGGCCTTCCAGTTCCATTATTGTTTTCTCAACCTCGACCTACCGAACTGGATACAAACCTCCCCTCGGAGTATCACGTCCCAGTAACCGCCTCTGCCTCCGCCTACCCTACCACTACTGCTGCGGTTGCTGGCCTTGCTGTCGGCCCTCGTGGAGCCCAGCATAATACCCAGCCCAATACCACGACATCATGAGGTTACGCATCACTTCGTCGTCTAGAACAGTTAGGACTTTATCTTACTCGTAGCACGGATGATGGACTCACTGCCGCCGATGGCGTAACCCGCGGCCGCGCCGGCGGGGTGCTGTACGGAGAACGGAAAAGGCGCTGCGGCTGAAGGAGGGGTCAAGGCTGCGGGCTCTTGTCCGGCCGGCGCAGCTTCGGTCTCCACTGCTACCGCTTCCGCCTTCACCGTCTCCGTCTCCGTCTCAGGTTCTTTGACAGCAGGCGGCGGCGATTCCTCAATAGTAATCTCCATCTGCGTCGGATCCTGATCCTCCGTCCTCGGCATCACCGGGCCAATAATTTTCGCCTCTCCACTACTACTGCTCGCAATCACAGCACCAGCAACAGCATCAGGAACAACAGGAACAGCGGCTCCCTTCTCCATGGTTTCGACGAGAATCTTCGGATCCTCTCCGGTCGCCGCGATACTGTGGTACTTCTGTGCCCAATTTATCAGCCACCGTTTCTCACAGAAGCTCCTCCAAGCTCGCCTTCCCCAGGAACATAGCTCACCTTGTACTCCCCCATAGCCTCATCCCACGCTTCCACTAGCATCGAGTCGTCCCATATCTCGGCTTGCGTGAGCTCGAGGACTATTTCGTCGGGGTTCTGGATTTTATTAGCGGCGGTTGACATTGTGGAGGTGAGGTTGATAGAGTTGGATTTCGTGGAGCTGGGAGACGCGACGTGACGTGACGTGATGGCGGACGCGTTGGGCTGGCGCGGTGTGGTGGATCGGCGAATAATTGAGTGCCAAGATAATTACGGTTTAAAACGCGAGAACTTTTTTCTTCTCACTTTCCCCCCCCACTTCATCACAACCACTACAACGTCAATTTCAACGACAACGCTCACCACATTAACAGTTCTCAGCGTATATAGAAACTCAATGCAACTCGATTATTCACCCCATCTCTGTCCTGCGATACCCCCAAGCCACAAACATCGGCACAACAAAGGAAATACTGGCACTTTCGAAGCTTTGTCGTACCTCTCCATGGTCGATGAAGTCAAAAAGTTTGTCATCTCTCGAAGATGCACATGTCAAGCCTATAAGAACACGTGAACTCTCAGTATCTGGCACCAAATTTACTGTGGTTGTTGCCTCGAGAGAGAGATACATCTCATCAAGTGAATTGTGAATTATGAATTGGGCTGATCCGTCCGGTATGCTACATATGACCCGCATCATAAACAGAACGCTGCCATGGCCATTTCAAACTTCAAAGCCCAAGATCCTGCCGATACCCTTTCGCCAACACGCTCGCATCCCTCGCCTCATCCTCATCCTCCCCCTGCGGAAATCTTCCGATGCCATAAGCACTAGAGCCGCTGCTCTGTCTTCTGATGTAATACGCTCTCTCCGGTATCTCCGGCATTTCCTCATGTCCCGCGTTGTCCCCACCGTCAGTCGGATATGGACTCGTGCTCTCCACCCCGACCACGGCAGCACCGCTCTCCTCGTGGCCCCGAACCCTCCGCCGCGCGCGGAAGCTGGTGATAGACCTGACCTCTCGCGTTGTAGGCGTGCGGAAGAGGATACCCTAAACATACACACACTGCATCAGCAATTAGGTACTCCATAAGCCCGGGGAGCAGACGTACGGCAATGATTCCTCCCGCGCCGGCGATCACAACCGTAATACCGGCAGCTAGGAGCACGGTATCAACCGTTGACATCCCCTGCTGCTGTCTCTTCGCTCCCTTTTTCTGCGCGGCCGCTGGGGTCCTGTAGGGTATTGACAATAACACTGCTCCGATAGCTACCTCCAACGCTCCCAGCCATACCAATCCCGCATCGCGCGCGAACAGCGGCCAGGAGTACTCGAAGTAATTGGGGAATAGCGAGATTTCGGAGAAGAAGAGGAACAGGAGGAGGGGGGTCGGGAAGAGGAGGAGGATGAAGGTGGAGAAATGGAACTAATGGGTGTAACCACGGTTAGCTAGGAAAAGGACGACAGTAGGAGGGGGGAGGGGATACTTTTCCGGTTGTGATGCTCAAGACTATGCTAGCAACACTTGTGGTGAGCGAAAGAAGGAGGGCGATAATGCTGAGGAGTCGCAGAGCATTCAGGATGTAGAAGGCGCGTGAGTTCGAAACCATGATGATGATAAGTTGGTACTGTGTCGTCGGTGTTACAGTGTACGGTGATGAAATGGGAAGAGCATATGTTTACAGTCCGACTGGTTTCCGGTAGTTGTCAGTTGTCGCCTTCTTGTAGTCATTGGTGGGTGGGTACGCCGTCATGTTGAATTCACCTCACCGGGCAGCGACTTCAATCTCAATGACTGCTTCCTTCTGTTACATCAAATTGCGCTCGACCCTATCCTACCACGGCGAGCCCCGCGCACCTGTTCCATCCTTTCCTAGTTTCTATCCCCAATTCACAGGAGCCCTGAGCCTTTTGGGGAGTGCCTATCGCAATGGCCGCTGCAAATCCCACCTCGTCGACAAGACTCGCCGAGTGAGCTCGTATGCACCTTGCCTTGGCGCACGAATCCAGATTCAGCCACTCTGGCCAAACGCCGAGCCACACCCTGGCTCCAGCCAGCGCTCAAATATCACTCTCTCCACCACCACCACCACCACCACCACCACCACCACCTTCTACCACGCACACCATCTTTTACCTCCATCCACATATCCACGTTCCCCACCCACCACCACCCCGACCAAGCACAGTCCCCACAGTCGTTCTCCCACCGTACCCGTTACCGTCCACCGACCGACAGAATGACCCGTGGCAACCAACGCGAGCGCGACCGCGCAAAGGCCCAGAAAGCGGCGCAGGGCCAGAAGAAATCTACAGGCGTACGGTCCCTCCACTCCCCTTCCCACCGCCCACCGCCCACCCCCCTCCTCCTCCCCTCGGCCATCAGGAAAGGGAAGGACAACAGAGACTGACGAGGAATGCGAATGTAGAAATCGGGTTCGGAAATGCTCCGCGACAAGGACAAGGTGGCCCAGATTATGCGGGAGAAACAACAAAAAGGTATTTCACCCACCACCACCGCCACCACTTATTTGAGGAGGATGGGAGAACGAGTGCGATGCTCGGCGAAGGCAGAGAACTGGAAACTGACTGTGACCAGCTGAGGAGAAGAGAAAAGCGGATGCCGCAGCGGGCGGTGGGGGCGGCGGCGGTGATGGCGAGACTCCGAAGTAACCTTACCACCTACAATGTCCGCCGCCGACCGATACATGCTACAGTACGAACGAACGAACGATATGCGGTTTACAACGAGTTATGGATCATACGGGTTTTTCGGTTTCGGTTTTTGCGGCTTTGCGATACCCTCGGGGGGGGGGAAGTCTTTTGCCAAAATACACTTTTGCTTGATCAAGTACTTTGTTTGACTTGGGACTTTTTTTTTGATTGGCGGTTGGTTTTCTCTGGCGTAGAATGCGGTGCGAATACATTTCTCTACTGCCGAGTTAACAGGCGTTGGATGATGGGTCAATTTTACAAGATGCCGGCTGTTGGTATTCTCTTTTGGGCCATTTTTGTTTTTTTTCCTCCTTCGCTTCTCGAGATGAGATGAGCAGAACAGATGAAATACTGTCCAATTTCACAAACAATCGTCGTGAATTGCTTTACTGGTTTGCGAGGAAAGACAAGCAGAGAACGACAGCTTACTAGTCCAAGTGAAAGAACGACTGCTCAAATAATCCCGAACAGCCTCATGATTGGTTCACCAAAGACCCACCATGCCGCTGTTCCGGCCGCAAACACTTTCATCGCCGTTTTCTTCTCCTCGCTGAGTTGCGGGCCCATATCATCCTCCCTCGGCGCAATCGTGCTTTCGCTCTCCGGCCCCTTCTCGCTCTCCACTCCGATCAGAACCTCATCCAGCACCCCCCCATCCCCGAACCCTCCCTGCATGCCCTCCACTGTATGACTGAGCGAGGATGTAGCAGCAATGCCACTCACATCCGCGTCCACCGTACTGACAGCCGGCCGATGTGGCGGCTGGACCTCCGGAACGAACTCCTTTCTGTGGTACTTTGAAAACTCGTTGTCAGGCAGAAACGGAACCCTGATCGCTGGTCTGCTGGCATCTTCAGAAGGCGCAAACTCCCAGGGCTTGGGAATTATGAGCGGTGTGAAGTCGGCGGTGGTGGCGTAGCCGCGTGTGGTGGGAGTGGTGGGAGTGGTTGGGACGCGCTGGAGACGGAACGCAGACGCTCTAGGCGCAAATGCGCTGCGCACCGGCGTGGTGGGCGCGGTGGGCGGTGGAGTTATGGGCGGGTAGGAGAGGTGGGCGCGGTAGAAGGCTGTCTGCATTATCTTTGTCGGCTCTACGGCCTCGGTGGTCTCGAGAAGCGCATTTTTCTCGAGCATTTCTCCAGCTATTCGCACACTGTCCGTAGAGTCAGCATCTTCTAGCTGTGAGTGACGTGCGTGGTGGAGCGAATACCGCTTCAGGGCTTTCATGCTGATCTTGTTCTTCATTATGCGTGGGGAGATACAGATGGTGGGTGACTTTTTGTTGATTCTGTCGTCGTGTTCGAGGCGGAGGATACACTGTTTGGACCCATCAGCCGCGTCTCTGCACCCTCGGGATGGCAATTGCGTACCACTAATTTCGTCCCTTTCGTCTGCAGCGCGCGATGATGCAGTTCCCTACGCAGTTCCTGTAGCGGAATGGAGGAGTAGTCAATGGCGGAGACGCGGGGCTGCTCGTGGACTGATGCTGGTGGTGGTGGGTAGGGCGAGGCGATGTGAAGGCCCCGCACTGTAATGAGGCGGCGAAGCGTAGAAGTAGGCATTGTACGGGGTGTGTGCGAAGTGCGGGGTAGGGGGTGTGGTGTGTGATGTCGAGCTGATGCGTGTGGTGATGATCTTATCGAGACGTGAGGAAGTGTGGGAACACGACAGATGCTGAGCTTGAGAGACACAAAAACGTGGACGGACCAATGTGCTACTTACTAAGCTATTATTGTGCAGAATAAGAAACGAATAGGTACAAAATACAGGCAACGAGATGGGTTACGAGTCTGATCTCAGCTGGGTCACACCTTCGCCGCCTTCCTTCCAAACCAAGGTCGTTTGCTACATTCATAATGCGCAGCTATGCTAGAGCACTTGATAGGTGCTTATTTGGAATAGTACCTAGAGTAGGCTAGTGTGTTCTGGAAGTTCCATCCCGATTCCCCACAACAACAACGACAATAACGACAACCACTCAACCTTTTCATACAATTCCACGATCTCAGCTCTCGGCAGCATGCTCTTTTATTCCCAACGACCCCCGTTTCCTAAGTAACGCTTGTGTCGTGTACTTACACACGACTCTAGCGCCCGCGCTGATCCATAAGCTCTCGCTCACTCGGACTTTATCCCATCACCAATAAACATCGGTGGTGGCTTGTGAATGAAAGACCCCACGGGATATCCCACTGAAAAAGACAATCCGAAATCATCCTCCATAGGAATTCGCCGTTTGCCACCATCACTTTTCTGGTAGTAGATGAGCTCGAGGATCTAACGAGTTTTAAAATAGGCTTCTCGAAGGGGGGAAAGCAGACTACCTTTCTACGGGCGTCTACTGCACTTGATGGAATAGAGGACGGTCTAAACATCCTGGGGATCTCGAGAACCGTAATCCAACGCCTTACAATCCCATGAACCATCCCAACATAGGAGAATAACTGTCGAAAACGTTGGCGGTGCAGAATCGATTTTTCAATGGGTGGACACCATTTGCTAAATTCAAATTTGAATTGTCCTGGAGGCAGAGATTATTCGTTACGCTCGTGAAGAACCTTTACGAAGGTCTGATTTGTTATTTGATGGGATGGCTCACACTTTGTGCTCGGTGGACCGATGACCTCATCCTCCCGTTGTCGAATGGATTTTACATGAATGTACTGGAGCCGTAACGGCACCCACCAGGCTCTCCTACGAAACTCATCGACTCGAGCATGTCCTCCCTAGAAAATGCCTGTATCGCTACCGTCATCATCGGGCTCCAATGGCTCTTGACTTCAATTAAAGCATGGCTCATGCTTACACTTGGGAACTGGAGCGAGTGGGAGCGCCGCTTTACCCAAAATACCACTGTGAATCGATGTTTAGATGCGGTTACGAGCCCATTCGGAACGTGATCGAGCTAGCGTGCGGACCAACGCTGCAGCTCAACAATTTTCTGGCATTGGTGATGGATTAACCTTCGCAGGCCAGTCACGGTCGCTATCCTCCGTACGATCACCTACAAACCCCCGACAGGCCCACACACATATAAGCTTCAATGTGTGCAAACATCGACCAAGATTTAGCTCCTAGACCTATTGATCTAGACCGTCTGCTGAATGGCCTGGGGTTCTCGCCAACTTCATCAATTAGTAGTCCCCCAGCGTCCGTGGTCCGGTCTTCGTCTCAGACTATGGCGGTGTCATCACCCTTTCTATTCCCCTGTCTGCAGTCCCGATAATGGACTCGATGAAAAAGTCGTTGCATCCCGAGAGCAAAACAAACGGATAGCCCCGAAGCGAGTGACATTCAATGATCACCTGACAGGCTTAAGCTAACCCCCTCGCCAAACTTAGAGCTAATCTTCTACCTTATAAAAACAGGGGTACGTCACGGCACAGGCTGCATCCCTTGCTTCTCGCTTCCCTCCCCCTTCCTCCCCTCCCCCAGCTACCCAGTACTTACACACCACCCAGTGTCCACAGCGCCAACATGCCACAAGAACGGAAACGCAAAGCGGAGGACATAATCGAAATCCCGTCGGACAGCGAGGACAGCGACGCATCGGTGCAGATCCTCGGTGTCCGCCGGACGGGCCAGCCGTCGTTCGATAGCCGAGCACGTCCCCACTCCAGCTCTTCCACGACTGGAGCCGATCGCGGTCCACCTCCGCCGATTCCTACATGGTCGAGACCCAATGGTACCCCCACGGCACCCGTGGTTCCGCCTCGAGTCAATGCCATACCCGCAGCACGGCGTCAGAATGGCGAGCACCACCGACCCCCAAGAGCACATCCATCCACCCCCCCGCGTCCCGCACATTCACCACACTCCCAGCAACCCTCAGGCCGGTGCCCTTTGCCCTCACGAGGACTTTTCGCGGGCCCCCCACCACCACCAATGCCACTACTTCCCGCCGCCCCGCTCGAACAGCGCCGTGCGCGCTTCATAACCCATCCCCCAGCCTACACCGTCGAACGCCTTTCCCGCGCCATGACGCAGCAAATGTACATCCTCCATCGCAGCGGGGTCACCGCACTCCGCGAGACCTTCACCGTTGCGGGGTCCACAGGAAACGTCTACACCGTCGTCATCGGCGCTGTCCCCAGCTGCGACTGTCCGGATGCAGTAGGTACGTGCAAGCACGTTCTCTACGTCATGATGCGGGTGTTAGGTGCGCGGCAGCAATTGTCGTATCAAGTGGCGTTGTTGGAGTCCGAGTTGAGGGAGATTTTTGAGGGTGCGCCGAGGGCGGCCGCCGTTGTCACGAGATTACCGGGTCAGCGCAGAGAAGAAAGGCCAAATGTGGCAAGGAAACCACTGGATGGGGAGTGTCCCATTTGTTTTTGCGACTTTGAGGACGAGGAGGAGGAGGGCGTCGTGTGGTGTAAAACCCAATGCGGGACGAACGTACACTCCGAGTGCTGGCAGAAGTGGAAGAATAGTGGGCCGGGCCCGGCCAAGTGTGTCATGTGTCGCCAGGTTTGGGAGGAGGACGGGGGTGTTAGAGGGATCGAGGGGGCCGAGGAGAACGAGATGGCGTATCTTAATGTAGCCCGACAGCTTTGGATCAGTGAGGATAGGGATGTTGGGATTTACAGGAGGAACAGGCGGAGAAGGTGGAATGATTACTGATGCCCGGTGGAGGCGAGCCCGTCGGATAGTGTTCTAGCTGAACTCCCGGCACGGTGAATGCCTGAACTTTCTTACGCGTTTCTCTGGCGGGACAACTGTTCATAGACACCCCCACAAAACAAGCATAGGTGGAAACGTTAATGATACTCATTATAGGTTCGGCTAATCTGTGGTGCGATCGAGGATACGATGAGCAACGGATAAGAAAAGAAAAACTCCTTCCTCCAGCCATTCATACTGGCGGTAAGAAGAGCTTCCCCGTTCTCAAGAACCCTTTATCGCCACACGAAGTCTTCCACTCAATACTGAGCTGACCAATATCATCCCCCTCCTTCTCCTTCTCCTCCCCCTCTCCCCCGCCAGGCTCGAGCAAGAACGCAACTTGCACAACGTCCCTACTCCTCAGCACCGGCACGCCTCCCTTCTTCCCATCCCAATTCAAAGACGTGGCCTTCCACCTCGTCTTCATACTCACATTACTCAGTGTGACCGGACCCTCACTAAGATTCTCCAGCTGGGCCTCCAGCACTGCGTTCCCGTCGCCCAGCGGTCCCGCCTTGGTGCGCACCATTATGCACTGTTGCGCCACAAACTGATACAGCTTCTTGAACGTCCTCACCCTGGTCTCGCCATCCTGCATAGCCTCGGTATAGCTCACGGTAACCGCAAGGGTATGTCCGCCCTCCTCCTTCAAGTCGTAGGAAACAATCTTCTGCAGCGACCCGCCCGGCTGTAGTTCAGCTCCCGCGGCGGCCTCTTCCTCGTCGGTCGAGAGCCGGATCGTCTGCGATGGCGTCTGCATCTGCGCGCTGATCTTGCCACCTGTCACCGAAACGCGCGATTCGTTGTTCGCCGAGAGGATGCAGCTAAAGGTCTCGCCGATGTAGACGCTGCCGAAGGAGGGCGGGAGCGTGAGCTGTGCGGGTCAGCGGGGTGGGGGACGGCGGCGGGTCGGCGGGAGCGTACCAGCGGGGTGAAGATGAACGTGTCATTGATATCGTGGCTGTGGTAGGCGTGCGAGTAGCGGGATGCTTCGAGGAGTGCAGGGTTTGGAGAGGAGGGGAGCGCCTGCTGTTCGCTGAGGGAGGGGCGGGATAGTCTGGTTCGCACGTCAGCGGGTGAGGCGGAAAAAGTGGGTGCGCGAGAGGATGCGGGGAGAGCAACCGGAGGACTTTGAGAGAGATTAGGTGCGGCTCCTTCACTTCGGAGAGGGCGCGTTCTCGTGGCATGCTGGGCGGTGGTGGTCGGATGTGGTTGGTGCGTGGGAGCTTCCCCAGGGTTGCAGCTCCCGCGTGTGCTAACTATACTACGAGAAGTCCGTAGTTGATCACCCCTAACCCTGGCCTTCACCCTGCCCCACCAAAGCAGGCAGAGCACGCGAAGTATCTTCAATTCGAGAATCACCACCGCTGCAGCTGCAACACGCCCAACATGATATCTCTACAGCGAATATCGACGCTCAATCTGGTCCTCGACACACCAAGAGGTTCGTCCTCTCCATCACCATGCGACATACCATAGTTACCGAACAACCACTCCACATCCGCCAATACTGACATCCTCGATTCCCACAGGCCGCGGAGTATTCGCCAGCGCGCCCATCGCAGCGGGCACGATAATTGACACGGCGCCGGTCCTGCTGCTAGGCGAGGCCGAGTTCGCCTCGCACATCACGCACACCTCACTCCTAAACTACAGCTAGTACCGCACCTTCCGCCTCACCTCCCCCCTCCCCCCTCTCCCCTCTATGTACACACACCGCATTAACGCTCCCGCCCCTCTCCTCGCCCACCAGTAACTGGCCGACCGCCGACCCCACCACGCCCGGGAAAACAGTGCTTCGACAGGCAATCGTCCTGGGCCTCGGGAGCATGTTCAACCACTCGTACCGCGCGCAGAATGTTGGCTGGAAGAGGGATCTCGAAAGGCAGGTCGTCGTTTACACCGCCCTGAGGGATATCGACTTGGGCATGGAGCTGCTTATCTCGTATGGTCCTCATCTGACTTTTGTCGATGTTGAGGAGATGGAGGTGAACGGCGAGGCAGAGGAGTCGGCGCTGGATGTGCTCGGACGGATCGAGGTGGATCTGTAGGCGGTGATGTGCCAGTCTCGGTTGTATGCTCAAATAGTTACCGTAGACGGTAGGCACGTGTATGATATTTGTGTATGTAGGACTGCATCGATAGCCTGTGGAGTAACCACTATATAGTACCAGTATGATAGCACGTAGGCGGTGCACCGGTAACTCGAGTCTCGAGTACTTACATCCATAGCTGCAAGGGCCCGTCCCGTGTCTACAGTCTGGCCGTGACATACGACACGACACGTGTGACGTGTGGGTTATGTGGTACTTACACAGTTACATGTAGAGTACGGGAGCGCGCTGTATCGCTCCCCGCTCCTCCCCCACATTTCCCACAGTGTTGCGGTTATTATTAGTACCGGTACATATTGTGTAGTACCCAAGCAGTTACTCAGGTACGCGAGTATATATCATAGCAGTATCGTGGATGGACACGAGTGCTCGATCGATGATTCGATGGACGCGTACACCACCGCAACATGGGGCGGTGGGGGAGGCGAAAGTCGGCAATAGTTACTACCTCCTAATGCCATGATCTGATCTGATCTGATCTGCTCTGATCTCATCTGATGTGATGGGACGACGTTGGGCGCGGTCCTTCTTCTTCTTCTTGTTTCCTCGCCGGCGGAGAGGAAATTGCGCTATACTACTATGGTGGACAGAAGGTATGCCTATATGTGGTAAACCTATAGCATATCTCCGGACGAGGCGAAGTTGACGAGAAGTTGACGCGCTGTGCCTGTGGGATCATCAATGATCATTGATCATTGGTTCGTCCGTGCGAATTGCGAATTGGGGGATTGATGATGGGCTGTGCAAGATATGTACAGGAACTTTACATTCCTGACGCAGGAGGGGGCTGTTTCCTTTCCTTTCCTTTCTTTTGTTACTCGAGCACGTGCACGAACCCGTCAGGCGTCAGGCGGCTCCGACTTACATATCTGCATATGTACATTCCTCTTCCTCTCCAGCACCCAGCTCGCTGCATGCACGCATGCAGGAACACGCTGAAACTCCGTTCCATATCCAAGTCCAGCTCCATGTCCGGGTCGGCTCGGGGTGCAGAGGTGCGCAGGTGCGGAACAGCGGGAACGGCGGAAGTTCAAACCTCAAACCACACTTCCGTAGGTACTCTAGTTACTCTCGAGCACTGTACTCTAGGTGCTCTAGGTGCTCTAGGTGCTCTAACTACCCGCGTGCGTGCGTGAGTGCGTGAGTGCGTGAGTGACGGCTAGTGAGGCTAACCGACCTACCAACCGACCGACCAACCGACCGGCCAACCGACCTGGGGCCAGTGAGAGCACTGCTCGGCGATAGATCTAGATTCGTGCTGTGCTGTGCTGTGCTGTGCTGTGCTGTGCTGTGCTGTGCTGTATCTGGTACTCTACTCTAGTACTATGCTCTACTCTACCCGCGCATTGCATGGGATCGGGTTGTGTTATGTACGGTATGCTGTGCGTCCGCCGTCCGCCGTCCGCCGTTCGGTCCGTCACCGTCATTGTCACCGTCACCGTCATTGTCACCGTCACCGTCATTGTCGTTACTCGGTATTATCGGCCGGTGCAACTGTATCGTAGGTACATTACTCCAGGTACAGACATAGAGTACCTGCGTGCGTGCGTGCGTGCGTATGGCAAACACTATCGCCCTTCGCATCTCTGATACCCGCTTTACTACCTGGTAGTATCGTCAACTCCGGGTTCTTGTACGCGTCCTGGGTGCGTTACACGCGCTTCCCCCCGTCCCCTGAGCTCCCCCGTCCCCTGAGCTCCCCCGTCCCCTGAGCTCCCCCGTCCCCTGAGCTTCCCCGTCCCCTGAGCTCCCCACACACATTAGTACTCGATCGTGCTCCTGCCAGACTGACAGACTAGAGCGACGTCGACTCTTGAGGGTTGGGGGGACTTGGTTCTGGTAGGGGGTGATATGTATACGGTTGTGTGGGACAGTGGGACACTGGGGCTGGGGGTAACTACCTGGGTGTAAGAGGGTACACAGATATGATATCTCAACGGCCTTTCGGCGCATGCGGCGGTGGGAAGGGGGGGACGTATACTAGTAGACGCATGAACGGTCTCGGGCCTGTAGAGTGGGTTCTCCTTTTCTACTATTTTATTACTATCATTACTATTATTATTATTTGGCGATGGATGAATGGATGAACCAATGGATGGGGCGCAGGGAGGTTGTTTGTTTGTTCGACTGCATTTACCAGCAGTCCGTACTTTCAACCTTGAAAAGCTGGGAAAAGTTGGGACGAGATGAGATGGAATGAGATGGGCTGGCCGATGAGATGTGACGGGCATTGGTAGGTCTCGGTGGTGTCGGTGGTGTCGGTGATCAGTGGTCGGTGGTGGTGGTCGGTGGTCGGCCGGTGGTCGGTGATCACTTGGTGGTGGTTAATGTTAATGATGTTATGGGGAAGGTGCCCACTGCCCACTGCCCCCCTTTTGGGAGATGAAGTCGGGGTATTATTAGACGCAGAGGGTGGGTGGGTGGGTGTGCACGCTGGGCAGTGAGTGTGGATGGTTGATTGCGGACTCTACATATGAGATGGACTCTGGACTCTGGAGCGCGCGGGGGGAAGCGAGGTGGAAAGTTGATTGCAGTGCGATGCGGTATTGGTAGAGCGGGTAGAGTACTGTAGATGCCCTGACGTTATTGATGCCCTTGACTCCCGTTGATGCCCTCAACCTCACATATCACCATCTTTGAAAAGTATGTACAAAATACCCGCGGGTAACTGACGGCGCTTTGGGTCTGGACCCCATCCCCCCGGGGAAAGCATCCCAAAGGCGGTCGATGACCATCCCAGCTACTCTACTCTACTCGACTCTACTCTGCTGTGCCTCTGGCAATTAATCATCTTCCAAGTGCGAATAGAGGCTGTATATCTATTGAAGCGGGGAAGGCGAATGTGGGGGGATCCGCTTTTGGTACCTTCGACACTTCGAGGAGTTGTATATAGTAGCTTAGCACCAGTCAGCGGTTTGGTATAGAGTATCACACATAGAGTATTCGGACACTTGTTGACGTTGTTTAATCTTTTCGAATCGATCCCGCAACTGTGCAGTGTGTGCAATGCGGCAGGCGGCTTGCTCGCTCACTTTCCTTCACTTTCAAAGTACCGTAACAGGTAACCAAGTAACTCGCATAGATACTCCAAGAGGCAATGATCTTTGCCTTACTGTGGGTACGGTGCTCTTTCTGGCAGCTGGTATGTAGAGTAGATATCCCACATCGGGAATCTTGGCTTGTGCTCTGGGGAAAACATTCAATCCTTATGCTCTCCCATTCACGGAGTCTCGCCTCACGACCGTCGACCACAACTCATCCAGCACGACACCCGCCGCACAACACACTTCAATCCGCGATACTGCATCCTTGAGTCCCTGGCTGCCCGTTTCTTCCCCGTCCCCCAGGAAATCGCCATCCCACATAACCGTGGCGCAAATCTGGCGATTCTGCGTAACTACGGTACTTGCCTGTTTAGTGCGCCTTCTTGGGTATGGCAATCCCGTGTTTTCTGGAGTCATCTAGAGCAGGTACGGTACTCTATGTACGGTACTTCTAGCAGATAGGGTTGGGCTGCAGGTGGACAGGGATGGCCGCTGCCAGGGATCGGGCGTCCCTGCGTCTTCTCGTCTTACCGTTATGTATGTGAGCATCAACGTTCGTACTTCATGCTGACGAACTTCATTGACGAACTTCGTCTCATGGGCTTTTGCTTTCTCGCTGGCGGCCGAGTCGCTGCGAATACTCTACTTTAACTACACTACCGATACCACCACCGAAGGACCACCACAATACATTACCGGTACCGGCACTTGTCACAGCATCATGGCAGCTTCCTGAATCCTCACCTCCGCTGTTGAATCCAATCCAATCCATTGGACCTGCAGTTCTCCTGGGCTTGCTATTGCCGCCATACCCCGCAACGAACCTGAAGACCAAAGAGGGTTCCGATGCCGAGCGTGGATGGACCGAAGTCCACCTGTACATCCATCCACCTATTCCGTGGGACAACAGGCTCTCGGAACGAATCGTCGGAACGCACACGGCTTATGACTTTCGGATGGATCCCTATCTCAGTGCAATGGAGGGCGCTATCCAGTCAGTAACTAACGGTTTGGTAGGCATTCGATCTGAGTGGGTTTCCTTCCTTGTTTCCTTTGCGTATCTATTTCCCGAGCAAATCAACTAATACCACACACAGCAGTGGCGGGGCTGTATATACACACCCCAAGGGACCGAGAGATGCCTCCACAGCACGCTGTGGGTTTCTACATAGCAACGGGGGTTTGGGATGACCGGAGTTCGCCCGACCACCGGTTGGAGCTCCGTCATGTTCTCGTCGGGGCCGTGTTGGTGGACGGGATTCGAGCGGCTATTCCAACTATATATTGCATTCCTCCGCTGACGGTAATTTCCACGGTCACGGGTTGCCTCGGCCATAGCGGTTATGGCGGGGTTCATGACGGCTGGAGTGGTTGGTGATGGGTTGGATTATCAGGGGAAAATAATATCGTCAAGCAGAGTGCAAGATGATTGTACAGTACCAGGACCAAAGTCTTCGTCCACCCGGCATTGGTTTCGGTAGGGAGGTCGATCAAGTACGGTCCGAATATCATGTCGCCGTCTTGTGGGCCCAACAAAGGTGGGGACAGCGGTCGGACCTCGTGTGGCTGGTGTGGCTGCTTTTGGACTAGTTTTGGCAAGTTCAGCCACACGAGGTCGACCGCTGTACCCACCTTTGTTGGACCAGCGAGTACATCTGGATTCGGAGCGGACGATCGCTCGGGAGTTCCGTGCGGTCGGTAGGGCGTCTGTCACTTCCGAAGCCGATCGACGGGTATTCCCCTGGTTAGTATTTCGGATCGAGTATTCCCCTGGTTGCGATTCCGGATCGTGAGTGTGGACGAGTCGGTGCCATTCGGCAGGGGGAACGAGCAGGCAGTCGGTAGTCGATATCCCGGAATGCACAATACGGTAGGGTCCCTTCGAGCCGGGACACTCGGACGCTACTACCTATACATACATGATCATACGGCAGTGCATTTCATCTCCTTTGTGCGAGTTAAAAATAAGTACATAGATCCTTTCTTATGTACCATCCGTGCAAAAACCTGGAGAAGAGCATCGAGCATCATTGCAGAGGTGTCGTTGCACAATCATGGCCCCCACCCTCAAAGGAAATCCGATGGAAGCGAAAATGGTCGGTGGACGGTGGTGGAAAGAGCAATGGTATTTCTTCATTGGCGGCGGCGGCGCTTTCCACATGCACACCTCTTTCGTCGAGCACCATGTAGGTACGCTTTACTTACCTTTGTATCTACAGCCTTCCCCAAGACTCATATTTTGCTCGAATAGGATCTACTCCCTTTCCACGTCGGACTCACACTTTTTCTTTTCTTCTTCCCTTTTTTTTTTTTTTTTTTTCCTCGGATGAGATCCGCTCCCTTTTCCATATCGCTGCCCCCTCCCCTCCCCGGGGGGTCCCCCCCTCGTACTGCAGATGGTGCACAGGACAAGACGGATGCTCAGAGCGAACTATAGTTACTCATATAGTACATACATGATGGTTACTGCTGTCTGCCCGTCAATCAAGCAAGAAATCAATCTATTACTGCACTCACCAGCTTTGTCTGCATGTAATCAATTCCAAAGTCCCTGTGTCAATCAATGTATGTATGGTTGTTACATGCCTCGCTGCGGTCGATGTCCGAGTACGGTAGCCCAGCCCAGCACTGGGCACTCACACGCAAATGTTGGTCTGGCGTCTGGTTGTCTAGATGTCTGTCTGTCTGGCAGTCCGTCAATCTGTTCGTCAATCTGTCCGGCTGTCCATATGTCTATTCGTCACATCGTCACAATCTATCCCCTCCTCTTCCTCATCTCTTCTCGTCGTCCCTTTCCTGGACGTCTCCATCTTCTTTTCTTGGACTGTCTTTCTCCCCCTGGCGCAGAGTGCTTCCTTCCTAGCTCCTCTGCCTGCAAAAGCTCACTAAGATCAAAGAAGCAACGCAGCGATGCACAGAGAGCGAGGGACGAGTAAACTAGATAGGTAGGTCTCCTTTAAGCCTGAACACCACCACCACCACCCAAACCACCGCCCAAACCGCTCCCTCCAAAAACTGCAACTACAACTGCAACTGCTGCAACTCCCAACTGCACAGCTGCAGCAATCCCTCCCCCCTCCCTCTTCTCTCTTCCACCACCACCACCACCACCACCACCACCCCAAAGGAGAAGCAGAATCCTCGACTACAAACCCCCCATCACGCATAACTAAAACACGGCCAGTAGAGGCAAGCGCTGTCTTGACTACAACCGCTACCACCACTACCACCACCACTAACTACCACCACCACTACTACCGCTACCACCACCACCACTGCCCTGACGCGAACCTCCCTGTCTCATCCGCACTCTCCTTCTTCTGGTTCTCCTTCTCTCTCATCCTTCTCCTCCTCCTCACCCTCACCCTCCTCCTCCTCATCGTTCAAACCTTCTCCCCTCCTTATACCCCCAGTCGCCACTACCATTACGCGAAGGCGCCCTCTCGTTATCACCCTTTCCCCAGAAATCGAAAGTCGCAGGCCCCACTCCATTACGCCACCCAGTCTCTACTGCCGAATGTCGTGAACGAATTCTACTCTGTTCAACAATCGTCGTTAAATTTCATACCGTAGTCAACAGTCCGGAGGTCTTGCGGATCACATCCATACACCCACCCACTCCCCACGTAACCCCCCTTCCCTAGCAATTGGATCGGCATCGTTGTCTTCGCCTCGCAAAGCTACCGATACATACTCACCCCCCCTCCCAACCCCAACCAATCCCTCGGTAGGGAGATATAGGAGAAGGAAAGAGAGTCTACAAGGAGGAGGAGGAGTGAGAGATAGATACCTGAGACACAACCGCCGAACCGCAGTAGCATCCACCCCCTAGCAGAACGCGGCAATGTCGACCGGTAATCTCGATCCGCCTTTGGCCGACTACTTCTGGATCGCAGGAATCGACTCGATCTCGTACGGCGAACACCTCTCGTCCCCCGAATCGAAACCGATCGTGCGAAAGAGCTTTACGGACCAGCTTTTGGTGGCGATTGAAGCGGAAGAGGAGGGCCACGGTTCGTCCTTGCTGGTCCCCAACGGCCACGGTTCCTCGAACGGCGGCACGTCGTCGCCTACCAATAGACTCTCGACTACCTCGATCAACGGCGATGTCGGCGGCGGCGCGTCGCCTACCACTCGTTCGCCTACATCCTCGTCGTCGACGCTCGTTCGGAACGGTTCCAACTCGAGCAACTCCACCATCACGGAGACGTCGGCTGTCACCACACCTCTCAACACCCCCCTCAATACCCCCCACAACACCCCCCACAACACCCCCCACAACACCCCCCACACCACCATGATCAATGGGGTGCGGCGCGATTTCGACTTCGATAAGGCGTTGCTGAAGTTTGCGGCTGAGCGGGATAGCTTCTTGGAGGATCTGTCGTTCAGCGCGGGGACGGTGGTGCCCAGCAAGCCGTTGGTGCACCCCAGAGCGCAAAAGGTTTTCAACGAGGACCCGCCAAAGCTCGAGAAGGCGAATTCACTGAGAAGGAGGATATCCCTTCGGGACCTCACATCCATGCGGCGGTCACCGTCAGTCATAAATAGGGCCTGTGAGTTTCACGCGCCATGCGGTGTTTTCGTGATTCTGAAACGCCCATGGGGCTAATAATGTCTTTTTGATAGCATCCATACGGACGGCTCGACGAATGTCCAACTACAATTCGGTGATACCAGTCCCGCAACCATTGAATACCTCCCCAAACATGCATCCCCTGAAACGAAAATTCGAACCCGTTCTGCTCGACCGCTACCCGCCTAAGCACTTGACCGAGGAGGCCAAGCGACGAGGGCCCTTCCCTGACTACGTGCCGATGTTTGCGTTCCCGAACGATGTGAACATTGTTTCAGCGGACGAGAGGCCACGGTCGACATGGCATGGATTCGTAAGTCTGGCCCTCCCTGTATTGTGTTACGTTGCCTTACATGTATGTGGTGCCTTGGTAGACAATGACTGGGGGTGACAATTCGAGGCTACATGGAATATGCGTCATCATATGGTTGCCATTGAATCCTACGGCAGCGGAGGATCTGGAGCGGAGATGCGAAGAATGGAGACGAGACAACATGACGGAAGAGGAGCGAGAGTTGGCGGCGAGCTTGGGAGAAAGGTAGGAGAATTCGCAGTGCGTATTCGCCCGGTGGAAGCTTATCTGACGTGGGATTACAGACTGGCTTTGGAACGGGCGAAACTTAGCAAGCTTTTGGCTCGGCTACCCGGAGTCGTCAACAACCAGGAGAAGAGGGAGGAGCTGGACGACGAGATTCTCGCCACCGAGGAGAAGATCGGACTGATGGCGGATCTTCTTCGGCCCGTTCGACATGGTGCGGCATCGAAGATTGAGGGCCTGACGGACGGAGAGACCGGCCTGTGGATTCCTAGGGCTTACGGTATCCTCGGAAAGGATGCCTCGCTGACGGGTTTCTGGAAGGAGTGGCTGAAAGCGGTCGTGGTACCGATGACCAACGGTGCCATCGCCCGTGTTCCACCATCTTCGCCGAGAGTCGGCACATGGCTGCCCCTCGAAAGGTAATCCATTCCCAGTGTTACTATTCTCGGTCAAAGTCTAACAGCAACCCTTTCCCCACACAGGTACGTTGTCAATCTTTGCGCAGAGGCACCAGCGCCATTGTCCTCTCAAACGCAGGTGGAAGTGAGCATCAGGGAGCTTCGTTTGTATGCCAGAAGGGAAGCTGCAAATGAGCTGCCAGAATCCAGAAATACAGATCTGTACAGTTTGTTCAGGGCGCTTGATATCCAGAACATAGTTGCTCTATTCGAATATGCACTGTCAGAATCTCGCATCATCCTGCTGTCTTCCCATACTTCAATGTTGCACCTCGTATCCCGAGCTTTGGTGAGCTTGATGTATCCTCTGAACTGGCTGGGAATCTACATTCCGGTCCTGCCAGCTCGTTTGATCGCAGCTCTCGAGGTACATAACACACACCCCCGCCAAATCTTTGTGGAAGGAGGAAACTGATTATATATAAAAAAACTACGCAGGCGCCGTGTCCATATATCGTCGGTATAGAACGCCGCTACGAGAAACTGGAACTTCCGGAGGATGACTTCATCTGCGTCGACCTTGACTCCAACGTCATGTTCAAATCCAACACGGAGCCGTCCCCACTCCCGAGACAGCAGCGTCGCAAGTTGGTATCCCTGCTCCAATTGGCCGCGCCTCACCACAACCGATGCGGCGTTCCGATAGGACCGCCTCAGTACGCGGTTGAGACATTTCCCCACGATTCGTTCATGTCGGAGTATCCGTCGGTGTTTGGCATGAGCCCGCCGCCGAGCATGCTCGCCAAATTGGTAAACCTGAATTCGACGGCTTTCGGCAATGCTGGCGGTTCCGATTTTGCTCCTAGGCCACCGATCATCAATGCTTTCTCGCAGGCCAGTGGCAACATCAACAACAAGTACGAGAGACCAGGCACCAGCGGCACCATCCGCGGCGGCTCGCCGCCGTCGCCTCATTCGCCGCAATCATCGGTACATAATCCGTCCGGGTCAAACGTGTCCAGGAACGATTCCGGATTCACATTGACGGCCACTCTGCGCGGGAAACGGTCGGGCAACTTTGATGCAGCATCACGACGGAGTTCATCTTTCGGCTTCGAACGGACCCCGACGCTGAGGCGGCCCAGTCTGCCTTTTGCCAGCCACTCCCCGTCACCTTCGACTTCGTCTCTCGGAGGCAACTCCCAGGATGGCAACTCGGCTTCTTACGGTTACGCACCATCGGTATTTGCACCTTCCACTCTAGCCGCATCCACCATCATGCCGAACGTTCTCATGCAGCCCGTACGGAACACTGAAACCACACAGTGGATCGAGGGGCATTGCATGATGTACAAGCCACATGACGTCGAGACGATCTGCTCGATATGTGAGGAGAAGCCCGAGGATGGAATGTTCACGTGCGGAAGCTGCCGCGTCGCAGTGCATCCCCGATGCGCGCACATGGTTGTGCTGCCGTGTTCGGCAGCATTCTACCCGGATCAGATCCGGGCAGCATTCGTCCGCTGCTTTGCCAGTCTGTTCTATACCTACCGGAAGTTCCTTGGACCTCCCACGGCCGACGGAAAGAAGGCGGGCAAGCTCTACCGGTTCAACATGGATGGATTCCTCAAGAGCATGCCACAGGAGAACGCCATGTACATCCAGATGCTGGAGCAGACGCAAGCGTTCAGCGAGTTCATCCATGACAGGGAGTCCAAGAAGGCCACCGATCCATCGGTCAAGCTCTTTGACGAGGTGATCCTTTCGAAGAAGAACCGCGGCAAGACGGGATTCTTCTCGCGATCCAGTATGTTGAACTCGGTGGGCGAGACGGCTTCCTGCATGTCTAACTTTGCGACAGAGCCTGCTTATCTCTCGGATACCTCGGAGCACGTCTGGCGGACCGTCAACGCAGTCACGACGTCTTCGAAGGGAAACGAAGCCAGAGTGTCCCCCAACAGAAGTATGGATCCTCCTCCCTCTTATCGTTTTCTGTATCCTCCCTATCCATCGTCTCCAAATCCTTCCTCCTCCTGCTCATCATCCTCCTTCCAGCGTCAATGTCGGTTAACCAATGAATCAGTACCGGCGAAGTTGGACCCTATTCTTCTTAGACCATCCAGGGCGCCCCAGCCAGCCCCAGCGGCCAATACGAAAGGATCTTCCAGAAAGAAACACACCAACCTACCGCAGGTCCAAATCAACGGGGGAGACGGGTTGTTCTAGGAGGCCATCCACCACCGCCACCACCACCGCCGCCGCCACCTTCTACCCCAACCACCACCATCGAGGGCGGGGATGAGGCCGGGAGTTTTGTACGATGATTGTGTTGTTGCTGTTGTGAATCCGAGCGTTGTCGTTTATTTTATTCAAACCGTAAAAAGTTGGGGACCTTTTTTTTTTCTTCTTTTTCTTTTCGTTTCCGTTTCGTTTCTCATCATCATCCTGCTTCTGCTTCTGCTGCATTACAGCGCGTTCTTCTGCTTGCGTATTACTGTGTTTCTGCTATTGCCACCGTCGCTGCTGTTCCTGCTCCTGTTCCTGTTCCTGTTCCTGTTATTCCGATTCCTTCGTTTCTCGTTGTAGTTTCAACTCCTCTTTTTTCTTTTCTTTTTCACTCACTGTCGTTCCGAACTGTCTTGCCTAATGCCGTTTTTCACTTTCGTTTTCGTTTTTGTGTTCGTTTTTCGCCAGTATAAGTTTATTTTCCGCATCTTTTTGTTACTGGTCAGGTTCGGTCGGCAGTGGTGGCGTGGGTGTGGGCAGGTGGGGTGGGGGTGGGGGGGGTATGTAATAACCTTGTTTCTGTTTTTTTTCGTTTCGTATTCTTTTCGTATTCTTTTTCACCGCTTTGTGTTGTACTTGAGTTTTTGCTGCTGCTATTGTGCTGCGTTTGTAGGAGTGTGAGGGAGTAATTTTGCTGTTACCGTTGCTGTTACCGCTTTGAACTTGACTTGACTTGATGTGATTTGAGTTGGCTTGATGAGACTTGACTTAGGTTGACTTTGACGTGGCTTGAGTTGAGTTGACGCGGCTTGATCTTGACTTGATGAGACTTGGCTTGACTTGACTTGAGCTGTTCACCCATACATACATCATACCTTATCTCCGTTTTTGGTGCGTTACGTTAAGTAGGAAGTAAGTTCGCTGTGCCTCGCTGTGTCTCGCTGTGGTGTTGGTAATTGGAAGTAGTTGGATAGAGGGTGAAGGGAGTGGGCGGGTGCATTAGGAATGGAGAAGCATTTAGTTACTTGGTTACTTGGTTACTGATGTTTCTAGTGCTGTACAGTGATGTGATGTTGAGTTGAAGTGAAGTGAAATTGAAATGAAGTTGGAGTGATAGGTACGTTGTGTGTGCGGTAGGATGCTGAGCCTGATTCTATGGAGTCTGGATGTGAGATTATTAGGAGGAATGCCTCCGAAGGCGAACGAGCGTGCCCAGCTAGGTTCTGTGTATGTGAACTGTGAACTGTGTGCGTAGGGGTAGAGGGAACGACGAAAGATGGAGGGCGACTACGGCCATGCTTCATTTCGCTTTCCCTTTCCCTTTCCCTCTCCGTTGAAGCTTGGAAGCTACAGCGCTACACTCCACCCAAGTATGAATGGCTAAGTAGTTACGAGCCTACCAACTAGAAGCCCAAGGATGAATGGATAGTTACGAGCACTATGGTAGCTGCACGACAAAACAGAACAGAACATCAGCCATGATTCGCTCATGCACCAGCACTCGCAACTCTTCAGCACTCGCGCCTCTTCTTTCGCGTGACTCTTCTTCTGTGTGACTCTTCTTCTGTGTGACTCTTCTTCTGCGTGCTTCTTCTTCTGTGTGGGATCCTCCAACTTCCAACTTCTAAGCCCTGTTCTATATCGTGATCAGTGGGTGCACAAGGAACCTCAATGGCCATTCGACTTGAGTGCCTAATTATGAGACGATATACCTAGTAGAGGTCAAGTCCGAGCAATCCAAGCAATCACAATTTTTCAGTAATACTATTCGCCTCCTCCCGGGCCGTTCTTCTAGGGAGCATCGGCATCGGCATCATACGGAAAATACAGCCATAGCCACAATCACCACCACCACCATCACAATCACCACTAGCACCACCGTCCTCAACAGACCATTAACCGCCAATCAAAGTAAATCCAGTGAGAAACAGCAAACATGAAACCAGAAAAGCACAAACATCATCGAGCACAACAACAGGTATTAAGGTGTATGTATGTATGGGTCAGCAAGACGTAAGACGCAAGTTAACAATATCGTATCCATCATCATCAATCATCATCAATCATCGCCATTACCATCGTCAGATTAGGATATAGTCAGCACGCAACAAAAGCAAGTATCGTAAGTATCGGTATCGGTATAACGCAAGCAAGCAAGCCATGTCAAAGCAAAAAAAAACAAGTATTGCCATCAGTATCGTCGTCATCCGTCCATCCGTCCACCAGTCCGTCAGCAAGCGTATGTAAATCATTCCCAGCAACCGAACCACATCAAATCAAAGCTAGAGTCCATCAAAGTCCAGTCAAGCCACTCCGTTTCGCGCCCAATACCAAGCCCCAGTTCATCCATCCATCCCTCTCACAGCATATCCGCATGCTAGTCCTCGCTGAAAACGAACATCTTGCGTGCCGCCTCCGTCTCCACCGGTGCCGCCCTCTTGACCCTCTTGCCGTAAACGTGGGAGGAAACGGCTTTGGCCGCAGTCTTCGTGGCGGCGGCGGCGGGGGAGGCGGTGTTGATGGTGACACTGGCGAGTTTCAGTGTTCTGTCCTTTTTCGCAACGGCCGGCTCGGGCATGGAAGTACTGGCGGAGGCACGGGTGGTGTCCTCTGGAGGAGCGATGGTGGATTCGCTCTCTGCATCCTCCTCCCCCTCCTCCTCCTCCTGCTGCTGCTCATTCTCCTCAAAAATCTCCACCCGCTTCCTCTTGCGAACCCCATCCCTCGGCGTAAACTGTGCAACTGGGCTCACGGAGAACATCGCATGCTTCTTTTGCTCCCGCTTCCCCTGCTTCCTCTGCATCCTCTGCTTCCCCTTCTCCACAACAGCACCCTTATCAGGCGCAGCCTGCGTGGCTACAGTATCCTCCCCATCGTAACTCACAACATAGCGTCCATCCGGCAACGTAAGTTCATCCGTATCTCGGCCCATGAGGCGAACAGGTAGAAGTCCCCGCCGAACGGGAGTGGACATAAAAGCGTCCTCATCTGCCGCATTGCCGCTGGGGACAGGTGGTGAGGAGGGGATGACAACCAGTGGGGTACGGCCCGCATCGATGACGGCGTCCACGTCTCCATCGGTGATGACCCGCTTCCTCGACGTGATGGAGACCTCCGCTGCTGTAGCAGGCGGGGAGATCGCCGGGTCCTCGTCGGCCGGGACTGCGGTTGCAGGGCGGGGTTTCTTCCCCCGAACATGTCTAGTCCTGACAGCGGGAGGTGGAGCGACGGGCGCAGAAGGTGCTAGAACGGGTGGAGACGATGGAAATACCTCCTCTTCTTCCTTGACAGCGGGTGCAGCAGCAGCTGCTGGACGAAACATCCTCCCGCGGACACGATCATCTTGCCGAGCCGGGCGTGGAATTGTAGGTGCTGGCGGTGCCACACCACCTACCTGCCGAGCCGGGTGTGGAATTGTAGGTGCTGGGGGTGGTACACCACCTGCCTGCCTCGCAGCAGACCGGCGAGGCGGCACGTTCGTCGTCTTCACGCCGAGGATCTTCTTCCTCTCCTTGAACGCGCGGGTATCGGTGAATGGATCATCTTTGTCCGGCTGCTTTGGCGGCGGGACGTTCTCGCCCGCTGGCTCGGGGTTGTAGGCTGTTCTGTCAGTCTTGGAACTCATTGACATATATGAAGGAAAGAGAAATGCGCATACTGGAACGAATGGCTGTGGCGCCGGAAGTTGGTTCATGGGCATCTGGGGAGCGGTACACTTGGAAACGACGCTTCTTGTGCTTCTGCCCGGGGTTGGCTGCGGGTTTGGAGGGCTGTTTCTCCAGGAGGGCGGTATGTTTGGGAGGCATTTCGGAGGAAGAAAGTAGACGAAGGTACAAATCAAAGATCCTGGTAGCAAAATAGGCACACAGAGTCCAACAGATAGCTAGACTAGCAAGATTGAGAAATGAAGAAGGGTTTAGGCCAAGGCGAAGAAGAGTTGAAGATCAAATGCAGAGTAGGAAATGAGGCAGTGCTGGAATGGAGAGATGTGGGTGCATTGGTACGATGGAGAGGATCGATGCTGCTGTTATGGGTAGTAAGAGAGAGAGAGAGAGAGAGAGAGAGAGAGAGCGGAAGAGAGAGAGTGGGATAGAGAGAGAGAGAGAGAGTGGAAGAGAGAGAGTGGGAGAGAGAGAGAGAACATCAATTGATTGTCCCATTCGGCCTTTCTCGCATATGATACTTAGTAAACAGCTCTGACGTTGTACACTCAATTCCCTGTACCGAGTGACCCGAAATGAACCATGCAAATTTGGGCATTGCTATTGACCTTTGTAATTGCTATCGGAAATCGGTATCTCTGCGTCAAAAAGTACATTCAATCATTATAAAGCAGTATTGGCCATTTGATTCCACCCCCCGTCAAGGCACAGATTAAACAAAATGCCCCGTCGTACGTACCGGCCATCACACAAGTCCCAACCTCTCGTTACACGATTCTAAGAGTGGATTTAGTATACTCGAGATGGGATTACCGGGCCGATCATCGCTCGCTGTAGTCATTAAGCGCCACACAAACGGCTCCGCGATGGTGTCCGTTGTACTGCCGGATGATCTGTTGGCTGTGTCCGGCATCGATCAGCATCTGTCTCACGAGAGGTGGGGTTGCCGTTGAGGCGACTCCGTACTTGCTCAGTTCCCAAAGCCTGGCAAAGTGGTCCGAGCAAGCAGTTACGAGGTAGGCGCTGTCCGCGCTGAATGCGCAGTCCCACACCCATCGCTGGTGCCCGTGTAGTGTGGTCTCGAGTGTGAACTTCTTCTCGTCCACGGACCAGATCTTGGCGGTGTGGTCCGCCGAACACGTCGCGAGGTGTCGCACATCGGGTGAAAGGAGGACCCGAGTGATGTACTTGGTGTGCGCTTGAAACTTGGTGACCGGCATGAGTTGTGTAACGTCGCGGTTCTGGATCATCCGCCACACGTAGCAGTTGCCCTGGAAAGTCATTCGTCAGGCCAACCGTGGAGCCAAGGGGAATTGTAGGAAGGCATGCTACTGACTAGGTTGTTTCCAGCTACAAGCATACTGCCATCTGTCGCCACGGTAACACTCCGCACCGGAACGTCGTCTTCTGGTATCAACTGGTGCGTGCACTTATTTTCACCCAAATCCCAGATCCTCACATTCCCCGCCTGGTCACACGATATCAACTCTCCCTGGTTCGGATGTATGACGACGTCGTTGACCGGCGATCCATGAGGATAGTCACGCTGGACGACACCGGACCTCGTATCCCAAATCTTGACCGTTCCGTCTTCCGAAGATGTGACCATCCATTTACCTTCGCAGTGGAAGCCGACTCCCGTAACGTTGTTGGTGTGGCCTTCGAACTGGAGGATAGGATTGGGGTTGGAAGACTTGATATCGTATAACCGGACGGTAGTGTGGCCCGCCGCTGCGAGGAACCGTTTGTCCGGGGATATGCAGAGTCGGTTTACTTGCGAGTCGGTGTGCTGGATTGTTCGTGAGCAGATCCCCGACAGAGCCTCCCAAAATCTTCGGACGCGCCTCCGGTTAGTATGAGTTCCGCCAGCAGCGCGTGATGGACATGGCAACATACCTGATCGTATGGTCGTAACCAGCAGTCGCTGTGTCGCATGTTAGCTTCGAGTCCTCTTCCGTTCAATGCGCCCGCTCCTTGAACACTGGCAATCCAATTGGCTCTACAGGTTCTATTCGCCGAACGTACCCATGATAACACTCATGTTGTCGTCTGTTGGTGACGCGCAATAGCCGTCGTGGCTGCCGTCGGTGAAGGAATCAGAGCTTCGGTTAGGGCGATGGATGACGCACAGTACAAGCTATCGGCAGAGTCTCGAGCCGGATGGTAGAAGCCTTTCCTCGTTGTTGTCGGGCGAAACGGAATTATATACGTATGTGTAGGTTGGTGGTGGTTGGTGGTGCGGAGATGGTATTTGGATCTTGAGCTCACACAGGTCACACAACGTTCCAGAAGCTCTCAAGGCGTCTGCCAAGCATTGCCTGTCAGTCGGTCATTAAAACGCTAGCGCCGACCCCACCATCCCCACCACAACCTACCGGCGAACCCGAATAGCCCAAGCACCTCTCGACTCACAGCACAATACCACCATCAATGGCCGACTCCCCTCAACCACCTGCGGTTCAGCCCGCTGTTTTACCGCATAAAGAAGTCGATGTTCCCGCTGCCGCCGCCGATGCGGCCGCTGCGACGAAAGGTCAAAACATTACGCCGTGGGACGTGCAGGGCGAGGTGCTTGAAGACGGAAAGGTCGCTGCGATCGACTATGACAAGCTCATCAACCAGTTTGGCACGAAGCGTATCTCTCCGGAGCTCCTGGAGCGCTTCGAGAAGGTCACCGGTCACCGTCCTCATGTCCTGCTTCGGCGGAGCATGTTTTTCTCCCACCGCGACTTCGAGAGGATCCTCGACCGCTACGAGGCGGGAAAGCCGTTCTTTCTCTACACCGGTCGCGGTCCCAGTAGTGACAGCATGCACCTTGGACACATGATTCCCTTCCAGTTTACCAAGTATGACTTACCTTGGACAGCGACGGAAGAGGGCTAATGAGACCGTTCCTGTCAGGTGGCTTCAAGACGTTTTCGACGTACCGCTCGTCATCATGCTTACGGACGACGAGAAGTTCCTTTTCAAGCAACAACTCACTATTCCGGACGTCAAGAAGTTTACGCGACAGAATGCAGCTGACATCATTGCTGTGGGTTTCGATGTTAAGAAGACCTTTATCTTCAGCGACTTCGACTTCATGGGCGGCGCTTTTTACGAGAACGTGGTCAAAGTCTCTCGTTGTATCACTACCAATCAGGCCAAGAGCACTTTTGGCTTTACGGATGCGTATGTTCCCTTTCCTTTTCAAAGTCATACGTTGTGCGATGAGGCCAATAAATATCCCTGTAACCCATCTCAGGCTCCAGTGTCTCTGCACACCCCGCACAACTCTCTATGACATATATCTCGTACCGAGTGATTGCCAGAGCAACAAGCAAGCTGACCCGTGACTACCGCGTAGTGACAACATTGGAAAGCTCCACTTCGCTTCAATCCAAGCCTCCACCTCCTTCGCTACGACCTTTCCCCATATCTTCGGTACCCACAGCAGTGTCCGCGACATTCCCGCTTTGATTCCCTGCGCCATCGACCAAGACCCTTACTTCCGCCTATGCCGTGATGTAGCACAGCGCCTGAAATACCAGAAGCCTTCTTTGATCCACTCGCAATTCTTCCCAGCGCTCGGAGGCCCAGGCTCCAAGATGTCGGCGTCAATTGATTCTTCCGCCATCTTCATGTCCGATACCGCCAACCAAATCAAGAAGAAAATCAACAGATACGCTTTCTCCGGTGGCCAGGAAACTGCCGAGGAACACAGGCGGCTGGGTGGAAATCCTGATGTCGATGTGCCGTTCCAATTCTTGTCGTTCTTTTTGGACGATGACGAAGAGTTGGAGACGTTGCGGACGACATACAAGAGCGGCGAGCTTTTGACTGGCGAAATGAAACAGCGCTGTATTGCTGTGCTGCAAGAGTACGTTGGTGGTTTCCAGGCTAGACGGAAACAGGTGACTCCTCAGATGATTGATGAGTTCATGGACTGCAAGCGTCCGCTGGTCTGGGTGCAGGGGAAAAAGGAGGAGAAGAAGGTGGAGGTCGAGGTAAGGAACTAGAAGGGCTTTAGCTGGTGAATACGGGGGAGTACTTTCTTTTTTCGGTGGCTAAAGCGAGTGAGAAGTTTTGAAGACTTAGTACGGTTTTCCTATATCCAGCTTAGCGTCCTAGACACACTTTACGATTCCGAGTGGTTATTTGTGAAGTGTACTCTCAGTCACGTGCGAGCTAGCCAAGCCTTAAGCTGCTGCGCGCCCGCGACCGACAAAACAATCACCGCTGCCTCACGTCTTCCTACCACCACAGCTCGCATCGATACACCACAATCACCATGTTCTCACCGCAACCACACTCTGGAGATATTCCACTCAACCCAGCCGCACGTAGCAGAAGACCGCGGCCGTCGCGTCCGACCTCTAGGGTACAGCAGCGTCATGAGAGATCAGCCAGTGGCCTGTCTGTTGCCGGCAGCACCAAGGAAGACTCGGTGATTCTACTACGGCAGGATTCGGAGAGCGTAACGAACGCCAGTGCAGACGTTTCTTTAATCCGAAAGCAATCTACTGGACTGGGCGGAAAAGAGCAGGATGGCAGTTCGACTGATTTGGTGTGTGCGCCTTGATCTGGCTTCGCGCGACGGATGTTTACTAAATGTGTAGACCAAAAACGAAAAATACCGGGTCTCCAAACTTCCTGGGCTGCCGAAGATTCTTAGTGAGAGTGCTTGTATGATTCTCTTTCCTGTGGTATGCGCACTGGGTCCGTTAGTTGACTTAGGGAACAGCAAACAACATACGCGTTACAGCTTCCACCGATTCCGCCCACCGCTATGCCCTCCTACTTTCCCACGATTGTGCCTACGTATGGGAATACACCGTACCCCACGCCTTACCACTCACCTTCTCGTTCCCCCTGCCGCGCGAAGGACCAGCAGACGCGAATGCTCCCTTCCCGCTCGGAGCGCTGGTTTCGCCCTCGGCCAACAGCCAAGAGCCCGGGCTTGTTGTGATCATGCCCATGACCGGTCGGATAGCCTACTGGGATGCCGTCGGTAGTGCGGTATCGGAGGGTCTGTTTGCGAAGAGACGAGGTGTCGAGGGCAAGGTGCCAACAATGTCCAACGAGATCATCACATCGGTGTGCAATGCGGAACCGGCAGGATTCATTATTTCTACGAGCTCTGGGAGACTTGCGCACTTGGCGCTGAGAGACGCTGCAGGACGACCCGGGGTGACGGTAACCATCATGAGGGGAACCACTGGTCTGGGCGGTTTGCTTGGTGCTTTGAGGGCTGGCAGCAATCGTCGGGATATTGCGGCTGTACGTTCTGGAAAATCCTTACGCATGGGCGAACGGGAGGTCCTTGTTTGCACGGAGCGCGGAATCTTCTCTCGGTGGCATATCAACCGGTCCGGAAATTACGCCAATACGACAGATGTGGACTTGCGGGTGCAGATCCAGACTGCCCTCTCAGGCGAGAAGGCTCTCCAAGGGAAGAACATAGACGGACTACATGTGATCGACTTTCAAGTTGCCAGTTACGTCGACAGCGGAATTCCGGGCCAGGAAGATGCTGTCCGCCTCCTAGTACTGACGGGTATGATGTCAACCAACAATCACTCCGCGACCTATGCTCTGGTCTCCTTGGATGTTCTGGCCAGTGGAAGTTCCATCGTGGGCAGTGTTCACGTCATCAAGTCGTACGCTACGGGCTGGGAGACTAGCACGTCGCCGAAGCTGTATTTCCCTTCACCGAAGAAGACCGTTTTTGTGGTGTTTGGCAAGGCAGTCGTGGTGATCTCTGGATTAACACGAGAGCGGGGGATGGATGGCGAAGATCAGGGTGCATTTGAAGATGTCATTGATTTCCGAAGTGACCTTCACATTGAAATTGTTGGAAGTGGTTCGGAGGGCGTGGGTGACGACTTGGTGGGTGGCGAGGCCTCGTTTACATCAGATCAGGGTCACATCAGGCGGATCAAGAATCCAGGAGTTGTGTTGGTTGCCAAGGGGGCTGGCATCCTCAGAGTGGAGGCTTTCGACATCGGACATGCCACGGTCACCGCCCCTGTTACAGTGAAGAGCAAGCTGGAGCAGGCCGTCTTCTTTGGAACAAAGCGTGATGTAAGAACCATTCAAATCTACCCGTCTGCAAAACTAATATCGTTTAGAATCCCCTCAACTTCTCTGGACGGCGCGAGGTCAAATTCCCGGTTGAGGAGCTGGAGGAAGCAGCGCTTGAGGTTAGCCGAGAGATCCTCTGCTCCAGGTCGCCATATATGCCGACGATGCTACCATCACTCGGAAGCCACCTTGAGATGAGATCGACACACTTGCGGAATCTCATGACACACCTGAAGACGGGAGCGTTCGGTCGCGTTTCAAAAGGAGTACGCTGGCGACTTCTCCAAGATGCCGAGAAGTGCGAAGCTGCAGGCGCTCTCTGGGATGTGCGAAACGAACGCCTACGGGAAGACCCCACCGAGGCGGATGGTGTGTTGGAGGCCGTCATCGCAGCAGAATTCCCTCCGGACGACACCGATGTAGCTGCTAGCAACGATCCTACTCGAGCGTGGTTCCAACGTGGGGTTCAGGATATCGGGCGGCTACTTCACAGCGTCAAGAAAGGCTATGCTAGCTTGCCCAACCAGGGGAAGCAGAACAGGCTGGCCTTCGCCATTGCCGATTGCGAGGCGAACGACTTGGTTCTTGGTGCACTTAAGAAGGCCTGGGAATTCCGAGCGGAGTCTGCAACCTCGTACGGCCTCGCGGGAGAGAATGGCGTCGGTAAGAATGGGTTTCTCCGGGTTTCCAAGGGATACATGGCACCATGGACTAGCGAGACGAGCCTCCTCGAGGCCTTGGCACAGCAATATCTTGTCAGCGAGGCTATATTGCGAACCTTCCTAGGACCATCCGATGATGTAAAGCGCAACGAAGTATTCCAAACCATGGTTTTACAGCTCGTCCTGCTGGCAGAAACCACCTGTAAGGCCTTCTTGGAACGAGCGACCTGGGGCGAGCAACAGATTGGGGTTGCGGGAGAGGAGTTTGTTGAAGAGGCGAAGTACGTGCGCGAGCGATATGAGGCCACCCGTGGTGAATGGATTAAGCCTCTGGTCACATACGGGGAGTTGGACTCAGCTTATCGCATCGCGGAAGATTACGAGGACTTTAAGACTCTGGTGGAGATTTGCTATGGCGAACTTAAGAAGAACGAAATTGCCATCAAGGAGGCGACAACGAAGCAGGAGGATTCGGAGCCATTCACGGAAGAAATAGAGGCAATAAGTGACAGACTGGAGAGCTATTTCCAGCGGTTTGGTGGGGATTTTGCCATGCCGCTGTACGAATACCTGGTCGAAAACAACATGCTGTACACTCTTCTCGGCGACTTTGACGGCTGGCGCGAGAGGTACTTGACGCCGTTCCTCCGCAAGGATCCCAAGTACGCAAAAGTTTCCTGGATTCACGACGTGGGTCTCGGCGACTACGAGACTGCTGCCAACACACTCTTGTCGGTAGCTGCACAGAAAGAGGGTCTGTTGCTTAATCAGCAAATCCAACTCTCCATTGGCAAGCTTGCGAAGTTGGCCGCTCTCGAAAACAGAGGTGCGACTGAGGACGACGTGGAAGAAGAGCTGGATCAATACGACACGAAATTGGAGTTGATCAAAATCCAGCAGAAACTGTATGCGATCGTTAAGGACATCACCCACAGCGCCATCGACGTTGACGCGGCCGTACAACTCGGCACCGACGAGTACGGCAGGAAGGTCAGGAAGAGCCCAGCCACGAAAGAGGTATTCCGTCATGCATTCAGGGAGCTGGTCTCGGGCAAGGTGCTCAAGGTTGAGGATCTGGTCGAGTTGCTCACGATCATGGAGCCGACTGATGGCCCTCTGATGGAGGGTGAGTCATTCGGTATGGCTCTCAATGCGCTTGGTTTGGCCGGCTTGCCGAAAGCTCAGAGACAGTTCGTCGAGGCGACGATCTGGCGAAGATGTTATCTACGCGATGAGTACGTGTGCCTCCTTTCACATCACTCACTCCCTCATACTAACTTGCATCGCTAGCTGGACCCACATAATATCCACCCGCGGCCGCACCGACGAAGATGTAACCGAGCTCTCCCGGCAAACCAGCGTCTTTACCACGCTGGTGTACTGCTACCAAAACGGCCTATTCGAATCTAGGTCTCCCTTCCAGCCTCTGAGTCCCGAAGCATGCCTCTGGTCCGAGAACACGGACGAGATCCGAGCCCGCTTCCCAGGCGCAACCGAAGAGGAGCTTCTTGCCTTCGCTCATGATCTCTCTGAGGAGAATAGACGCCTCAAGAGACACATGGCCAAGGGTGACATGCAGGCTTGGTTCCATGGTATGGACGCTCAGGCGCAGGAGGAGACGAGGCGGATGAATGACGAGGAGGACGAGGAGGAGGATGCGGATGGCGATGTTACCATGGAGTAGATTTAGATTTTGCTTTTAGTTGTGCAAGGAGTGCTAGGGGGGCATGGCGTGGGGGATTTGTATTGATAATGGATCGACCTACTTAGCGGATGATGTGCATGAGTGAGAGAGGATGTAAGAGATTGCGATGACTTTGGAATACCTTTTCACGTCTCGCCTGCAGGCTGCTGGGGCATCGTCGAACGTGAGTCGTGACGTCTATGTAGCAATGGACTTTCCATCCTAGAAATACCTAGGCCGACGCCAGAATTCATGCTGCAGGCTGTATTGCATCCTCTGCGCCTCGTTATGTTCATTCAGCCTACCTAGCACCTATCCACACCAAGTCTAAGGCATGGTCAAGATCTGTGCCAAATGACGGAGTGCACGTAAATCCCACAGCCTCAGCCTCAGCCCAAATACCTCCCTCTAGTTAACCTACGGACGAGGACAGCACCAAGCAGTTCACTAGTGAAAAACCCACGACATCGGGCTTCCCTCTTATTTCCAACCGCCATTTTACGTGTACCGGTGAGTCTCATTCATCCTACGAGACAAGATATGTCTGCCCGAACCTGAGGGTTTTCAATTTCAGGCAAGCAAGTAATGCAAATCAAAGCAATGCCCAACTCCGCTATTTCTCAAGTTCTCAACAGGCGTATCGACTCGCGAGATGATGCTTGGAACTTGAAAGTCGGATAGGTACATGGTACCTAGGTAGATCTGGATACCGATATTTTCGGATCCACGAGGGAAGCGAGTGCGATATCTGACATCTGAGGTAGTCGGGGAGTACTCGAGCACTCGACTATACTTATAGGTACATGTACATGTAAGAAAGTAGGTAGGTAGGTAGGTGCTGGTGATGTTTGAAGAAGTTTCATTCACCGCCTAGGTATCTCCATCTCGCCCACAGCTTAGACTACTATGCATCACAGCCCTTCCTTCGATGGCAGGCTATGGCTGAGCGGGACAGCAAAGTAGCAACATAAGCTTGGATTTCCGCAGTTACCTGCATCCTATGCGTATCTACTTAAATATGTGTAGTGTAGAGTAGTTGAAGCCGCGAAACCGAACCACTCTCGGCCGATTGGACGATAGTACTACCAACCCTAACCAAACAGCTAGCCACCAAATCAAGTCGCAAGAGGCCATTCAAGATCAAGATGGTCACTCTACTCTACTCTAGTCAGCACTGCGTCCAGCGAGCAGCGAGCAGTTATTTGTTTATACCATCATAGAACACATAACTATTGCAGACAATGTGCTGGCACGGGAAACGAACATGCTGTATAAGTAGCTATGCTACGGGATGGGATGGGTGAAAGTGCAATATGGCGGCGAAGCAGTGAGCAGTAAGCACCACTGGCGAGCCTCGAGCGTGGAGGGGGCCGTTGGACGTGAGGATTATAGGTACATTTTCGTTGTATAGCTCTAGCTACCAGTAGAGTACACCCGTAGGCCGTAGCTATAGTATATCCGATGAGACGGGGAGGGGATTGGCCCGATCGCACGCGTATTCAGCAGCCAATACTCCTACCCACCGTCTGTCCAATGGGACGGAGAGAGAGAGAGAGAGAGAGATTTTCCTGTTTTATATCGCATGCAGCCGAGGTATCTAGACTATGGCGAAACAATCGGACGGAGTGGAAGGTATATCGACGGGCATCCAGTCACTGATCGAGTGAAGTCGATGATCGAGTGATAGTGACCATGGGTGTCGCCTAGGACTCGAGAGGCACCTCGGAGTCGCCGCATCTTGCGCCTCACGAGCCTTGAGACCCCATTCCGTCTCGCTATTCCGCCCTCGCCACTTCACTGTGTAGGACGAGGAAAGTTCGACAAATATCTTGGACGACGGAGAAAACACTGGGTGGAGTGTGGATGTTCCCACACCCCACGCTTTGTATCACAGCCTCGATTCGACATTCAGACTTCAGACTTCATCGTCATAAACTTTTATTACCACCAGAGACAGACCACTAGACAGACCGACACAAGTTGCATGCAATGCGTAAGATAGAAAAGTTGAGTAAGTAGAACCAAGTAACACATTAAGACGCAGCCCGCGTCGACACGGACATCACATCTCATCCATCTACACTTCCTCTCCTCCTCCCCAACCCACCTCCACCACCCCTTCCCCTACCGCCCTGTTCCCATTCCCTCCACCTGCCCGTTCCCTTCCTATTCCCTCCACCTACCCGTTCCCTTTCCTTTCCTTCCCTTCCCATTCCCTTCCCCTCCACCTCCCAGTTCCCTTTCCCTTTCCTTCCCATTCCCTTCCTATCCCATCCCGTTCCTTCCATGCGTACCCCACCACCACTACCACTCCACCTTCCCACTTCCCCATCTTCCACCTTCCCACATCGCCATCGACTCGACTCGAACACATTCATTACTCACCCCCCGCCACACCCCTCCTCATCACCCCTCCCCAGTCACTCATGCTCACTCATGGCAAAGGGCAAAAACACATGCTTACCCCTCCTGAGTCACTCATGCAAAGGCAAAGGAAAAAAGAGAGATAATGATATCGAAATAATAAAAAAAAAATGCAACAGGAAAAAATAACAATATCAAGCGTAACAAAAAAAAACGAGTAAAAAAGTTTCGTATAAACACTCGGCACGCAACCACTGAAGAGAAGAGTAGCGAGTGTGAAAACAATTGAAGCCCCCACCCCCCCAACCCCATCCCCCCCCCCCCCAATCCCCCCCAATCCATCCATCCATCCATCCATCGCGGCCCAATCCTTTCCAGTCCATCCATACATCCGAGATTCATCCATCCATTTTCCCTCGGGGTACTATAGGCCACAACAGCAGGAAGAAAGTAATAAAAAAACAGCAAGAAAGAGAAAACACCAAGCGCAGACCAGTAGAGAGAGCCCCGTTGATTCCATCGCAGCAGCCTCGGCAAAGAACAAACAAAAGCAGCAGCACACGCAACAACACAAAAGCGCGTCTTTCCGGATATAAATTCACGCTATGCCAAACACAATAAAAAAAGGCGATTTAGCAACAACCAACCCCGTCAATTGATGTTAATCCATTCCCGTTGCAGATCATCGTCCTCTAATTGGTAGAATCAAGGAAAGTAAAGGAAAAGGAAAAAAAAAGTATGGAAAAAAGGTAGGGGAAAAACAAAGAAAAAAGAAAACAACCAAAACGGTTCAAAAGGTTGCTAGCCCCTTTCTTCCGCCTGTCCACGCGCGCCAAATGTGGTTTTCGGATTCGTGTCGTCGTCAACGTTGTGTAAGGATAGTCGAGAAGGAATCGCAAAAGAAAAAAAAGGGAAACGCAGCTGAAGACAGAGGGTAATATTAAACAGGTGACAAAGAGAAATGTAACGTGGGAATTGGGTTTGTAATTAGCAGGCCAACTCTCATTATTAGATCCATTGGGACAAGTTGTTGCGGACCGCCCCGTACACGAGCGAGCGGGAGCCACATGCCAATCACATTCCGCAGCAGAACACACCCTGTATCTTCTGCCAAGTTGTCTTCTTGGTCGAGCCATCTTCCGCGTTGCCTCGGCTCTGGTGACTTTGCTGATTCAACGCTTGAGGTGACTGTCCCCTAGCGGCTTGAGGCAGGTTGGTCGTTGACGGTTGGAACTGAGCCTGAGTGCTCGGGTTCGGCGTTCCCATCACCGGCTGTTGTAGGCCCCCCGCCGCGACGTTCGGTCGTTTGGTTTGGGGAGCGTTTTGAACGCTTCGCCCTTCGCCTCGCTTCATACCCATCTGTTTGCCTGGCGATGGGGGCGGGGGTTGCGGGGCGTTTAAACGGCCGGACGGGATGGCTGAGTTAGGTTGGCGGACCTGTGCGGGAGGAACGTGTCGAAGCTCCCCTGCCGTCGTGGCGTGGTTCGGGCTCTGGCCATGATGGTAGTGTGCGGAATGCTTCGAGATGGCTTCCCAACCCTTACCGTTGTTCAGCTTCATCCAATCGTACTCGCCATCCTCCACCTCCCCACTGTTCTTCAACGCCTGTGTGAAAAGATCACGCAAGAAGTCGTAGTCGGGCGTGTCCTCGAAACCGAGGTTGCGAACGTAGCTCAAGTACTGGTTGAACTCGTCTACGCCATGACATCAGCAACGGGATCGACACGATAGGTGGGAGGGGGATGGGATCGACCGAAACGTACCAGGGAACGACTCGCAAAGCTCCTTGATGGGAGTGGTCTGCTTCTTCTCTCCGATCTTCTCGTACTTCTGCTTGTTGGTAGCAGCCTTCAACCCCTGCCAAGGGAGTCCACCTCGCAGAAAGTACATGAAAACATGGCCCAACGCCTCCAAATCGTCTCGTCGCGACTGTTCGCGTCCCAGATGGGTGTTTATGCTCATGTAACGCGCGGTTCCGGACAAGCTCTTGCGTTCCCGATAAGGAATGTGCTGCTTCGTCTTGGGGTCTCGGTACTGCTTGGCCATACCAAAGTCGACGACGTGGATCACATTGGCAGCCTTCGAGCCTGGCCGTCCGATCAAGAAGTTGTCGGGCTTAATATCGCGGTAGATCAGGTTCTTCTCGTGTATGGTTTGTACTCGTGACAACTAGTGCGACGTCAATAATCACTCAATCATGCAGGTTGCCGGCGCGTCGGCTGGACGTACCATCTGTTTTGCCACCATCACGACGGTCTTGATCGAGAATCGCCTGTTGCAGTGGTCGAACAGGTCCTCCAAACTCGGTCCCAGCAGGTCAATAACCAATATGTTGTGTAGTCCCTCCTGGCCAAAGTAGTAGACATTTGGAATTCCCGCTGAAACAAGACGTGTAAGTAATCGAGCAACGGTGCACGAGCCAGGCAATCCAGCGAAAAGGTGGAGAGGGAGTTGGGGTTAACTAACGGCATCCCACGAGGATCTTGTATGTTCGGTACTCGTCTCTTAGTTGAGGCGCATCGCTCTTCCTCGGTTCCTGATCGAAAGAAAAAAAAGGGGGTGAATGTCAGCCAACCACCACGAGGAAGCAACGCCGGATCCGTAGAGAGGCAAACTTACAAACTTGATGGCCACCTGCTGGTTGTTCAAAAGGTTCGTGCCCTCGAAGATGACACCGAACGATCCCTCACCGATCTTCTTCCCTACGCGGTAGTGGACGCCCACAACATTCGATGATGAGGACGCCATCGTATGGTACTTGCTGCAGACAACCAGGCGATCGGATTACACTTCGACGATTTGTTTTTTTCGCTGGACTTTGGTCGCGGTGGATATCGAGGAAGTTGGCGACGTGTTGGGGAGGGGGGAGGGGTGGCGATGTTTGGTGAGAGGTGGTGTGAAGGGTAGGTAAAGACGGATGCCGAGAATTGGGGTTCTACCGACGGAGACTGTTGAAACGAAGGGGGGGTGAACGTCAGCAAGGGTAAGAGACGGAGAATGTCACGCGTAATATTGCGAGTTGAAAGAAAGAAAGGGAGAAGGGAGGGAGAGAGTGATCGAGGATCGAGTGGTATGTAGCTCTTGTGATTTTTTTCTCGCTCTCTCGCCCTCGTTACGAAAAAGCAACCTCACGGCTATCCCTTTCAGAGACGAGAGATGGCAACGCGAACCATGACAGGACCGGAACGACATACCAGGAGCTACTAGGGGCCAAGCCCAATGCTATGAACAGGAGTAGAAGAGGAAGCTAGGAGCAGCTAAGACGAAGCAGTATGTCTAGTACCTGTTGTGAATGACGGGGTTGGCGAGGCTGTAGGAGCAGACGGGGGGAGGAGAGGTGGATGGGGGCTGGGGAGAGTGGTGGTATTAGGTGGTGGTTGTGATGGTAGTTTGTAGTTTGTAGTTTGAAGTGGCCGTGGTATTGAAGGTGATGGGGGAGGGGGGTGTGTGCGGCAAGGGAAGCGAGAGACGAGAACGGCGGAAGGGATAAGTTTTTTGTTTTGGGGTGTGGGTGAGGTGAGGTGTGCGGGTGTGTGTGGCGGGAGAGAGCGGAAGGGGGAGGGAGGTGGACGTGGAGGTGGAGGGAGGAGGAAGAAGGAAGGAACGAAGGAACGAAGGGAAGGGGTGGAACTGTGGGAGCACAAGAGAGTCAGCAGCGCCAGCAAGCCGGCAAGCAGCGAGGACGGGATTAGAGAGTGAGAGTGAGAGGAAGGAGATGAGATTTCGGTAGTATGTAGAGTACTTGGGGGGGTTGTATGTGCTCGGAGGCGAGGTAGGGGGAAGAGACGCAGAGAAGACGGGAAGGGACGGGGTGGAAGGGGGAGTGAGGACGGGGGTGGGTTGGACGCTAGTCTGCAGAGGAAGTGGACGGCGGGAAAATCGGAAAATGGTCTTCTTGGGGGATGGGATGGCGGTGGGAGTCGTTTGCGGTAGACCTGGGGTGGAGGTGAAGGTGGTGGTGGAAGCGGTGGAGGTGGTGGTTGGTGGTGCTGTTGCTGGTGGTGGGCAGCGGTCAGCGGAGAAGCAGGGGGAAGAAGGCCATCCTCGCGGCGTGAACCACTTGCCATCCCGACCTAGACAGACATCTGGACGGTTTAGTTACTCTAGGAGTTAGCGCCGCCACCTCGCCGCGTTGCATCCACAAGAGCGTCCACAAGAGCATCGATCCATCCATCCACATCGTCCTCCTCCTCCTCTCCGCCATGCACGTTGCCGTCGCTGTCGCTGTCGCTGTCGCTGCTGCGTGTCCGTCTCCCTCCAGTCGCCACCCCGCCCGTCTCCGTCGCCACCCTCTCCGCCCTCCGCTCTTGTGGTTGTTCGCTCCGCAAACGCAAACCCAGCACCTTCAAAAAAACTAACTCTGGAGCCTGTCGCCTTTCTCCGTGCAGTCGCCGCCGACCGGTGGTGGCCCTTGCTCCCCTTATTTCACGGCTAACGTGGCACCCAGCACCCCAGCCAACTCTGATTAGATGGAATTGGGCCAATAATACCACGACTTTCCGCTTTCTGTCGACCTGGTGTCCCTGCTCTTCCTTCTCCGGCAGATGGACTAACATGAGTGCGGTATCTTGCAGAAGAAGATGAAGATGAACGAGAAGAAAAAGAGAAACTTAGAAATTAAAGAAGCAGAAAAAGATAGGACGAAGAAGCAGAAGGAGCAGAAGAAGTCACTATATGCACGCCGCAGTCCATCGCCATCGCTGCTGTTAAGCTGGCATGCCGGCTGTCTACATGTAGCTACAATAATTTCAATGTCGGAAGGAACATAACATGCACCCCCCTCCCCCCACATCTTCATCTTGACGGATGGATGCGCCTAGCATAAGCATCGAAGGAAAAACACCCTCCGCGCGGGCAATATCTCGATGTACTGATGCGAGCGAGCATCATCTTGCTATGTACATGTGATTTTCCGCGGCGGCATGACGTCTCGCATACACACACTCTCTTTCTTTCTTTCTTTCTCTCACTCTCTCACGCACCCACGCGTGCGCGTTCACTCGAGCGGCGAGCGGCGAAGATAAGCCCAACGACCCATCACTACCCACGGAGCGCTCCCCGGACAGATAGAATCCGGAAATAGGATGCGAACCCACAACATGTCGAGCTCGGGCTGCAGTTCAGTTCTGCTCGAGTCCCAGGGGAAGAAGAAACGTTTGGATTGCCAGCCGTGGAGGGAGGAGCAGCTCATTGGGGCGACGGGCGACCAACCAACAGCTGTGTGTTTCCCGGTGTTGTTTCCCGGTGTTGTTCCCTGGTACTCTACATATGGTAGTGCTAAAGATATGCATCGCCCCGAGTCCGAGCTCGAGCTCCTGTCCTGTCCTGTCTACCCACTTGGCACTAGGTATTCGGTGCTAGTACCTAGGGCCACCACCACCGCCACAATCCGCACGCCCCAAATCCTATCGCGCATCCGACCCGGCGCACCCAAACAACGCGAACATCCCCGACTCGACACGACTCGGCTCGAAATCTGCGAGTATGTGAAAACGATCTCACCTGTGCCCACTGCCGAGCCGAAATCGCACATTCCCTGAGGGGGAAATGGTAACATGGACATCGCAGCCGACAGCGACAGTACTAGATGGTTATACTATCCGCTACGGCGCGTGCGCGTATGTATGTAGAGTAGATACACATCCACCCACCTATCGTACTGCCGTTCACGGGTTAGTCAGAGTACCTAGCCCGCCGCTACATTAGACTCCTTCGACTCCCTCCCTCCCATGCATGAGCCTGAGGGACAACCGCGTCCGCAACTGGCCTTGCTATTTTCGGCCTGGTGCGGTGCGGTGCGGTGGTATCGATGGATGGATTCGATGCGATGGGATGTGTGGGATGTGTGGACTGCGGACACTGGATGAACCGAAACCACAACTTCAGCCCGGCCCGTGAACGCGAACCTGAGGTCGTGAACACGAATGACGGGCTCCGTGTCGTGATTGGTGATTGGTTTTGTTGCTCCGACCGAACGAAACGAAACGACACCGCCGCGCATGCAATGCAGCAAGGCGCAGTGAGCGCAGTGGAAGAGTGGAAGGAGTGCGGACTCTTCCCCGCTGTCGAGTCTCGACACCACCACCACCACCAGTGATAGGTTGAGTAGACTCTAAAGTACCTAGAGTAGTAGTACGACAGGTGCAGACGTAGAGTAACGGACGGCGATCGGCGCAAGCCCACATGATACATATCGATACGATACGATACATACCCGTGGGTAGTTTCGATACGGTAGGTAGGGTGCCCTACCTACACGCCTATCTACCTATTCTCCCGCTCGATGTCACTTTGAAGTGCAAACCCACAGCCGCCTGTGGGCTTCGAAGCCGTAACGGCCGCTGTATCGGGCATGGTTGGGATCACTTTGATGATTCCGATTCCGCGCGGTTGTGGCGTTGTTATGTACCGCTCACACTGCCTTACATACCGCCTCACATACCGGTACACCACCAAGGCCGCAGTTTGATATGCTTTCTCCTTTCTCAGCTGGCCTCGATGTAGAGTAAGAGTACTCGCATGCCCTGGCGCTTCCGTCGTGCTCATGCTCGTGCTGTGCGGGAAGGTAGAGAGGTATGAAGTGGGTGTGTAGACGCGTTCAGGCTTCGGCTGCCGGCACTGCAGCGCTTATGGGGGGTGGTTGTCCCCTCCTCCCACTGTACTGCCATAGATATCCAAAATTCTTGAAAGTTCAGGTTGAGCGTCCACTCACTCACTCACACATTCCTTCACCTCTGTACCTCAGAAAGTTCATTTTTAGTTCTCTTCCACCTGTTTGCACCACATCTTCCTCCTGTTGTCTGTTGTGACTTGTCCAACACGTCGAACATCGATGAAACCTCTCCAACTCTCTAACCGCCCACTGCTCACCGCCTATGTACCGCTCACCACCTACCACCTACCATCCACCGCTCACCGCCCATATGTAGAGTAGAGAATCTGGAGGTCTTAGCGACGACCCCAACCCCGCCCCCACGCCCGCCGCATGCAAGACCAAGATCCAGGTCGGAGCACGGCCTCCGAAACTCGAACTCGAACTCGAACCTGTTGAGCCCAGATTGGGTCGGGTAGGAAGATCCCGAGCGAGAGCCGGTGCCGGTGCCGGGATATATATATTTCTAGGAGAATGGGGGGATAAGCATGAAAGGGGGGGGGGAGTCAACAGTTTCTATGATAGGTAAAGTAGGTACATAGGAGGTATAAGATGCGAGCGTGAAGAAAAGAAGATTCGAACTCATCTCGTTGATGATGGGCCTGTCCTTGTACAGCTGTGTACATACGCGGATGGATTAAATCTTCTCGCAAAGCTCCCCTGCGACGATCATTACCGTGGTCCTGTGGTCCCCGCCGTGAAGTCGACGACGGAAAGGAAGAGGGATCCCTCGGGTTATGTTATCTTTCGGCATCCCATGGGCTTAGACACGAATGTAGGTAAGGCATGAGTGAGCATTCGTGCTGCAGTGCTGGACTCCGGAAGCGAAAATGAATGAATCGTTGCGAAGATGCATCGATAACTGCGAGATGAATGAACATATGCAATGTACGATACTACGATGTGCCGAGCCGAGCCGAGTAACTATCACGGGAAGCCCAGCCTCCAGGAAGGGAAGGCAGTGCCATAAGTACTGCCGCACCGTGTGGCCCTCAGAAAGGATCGGAGAGGAGATTGCGGCCGGCGATCGGGGCTGAGACGGGTGGGCTGGAAATGATCTGACTGGGGTCGGGGTGGAGGGTTTGATGCCCACATACACAGACACACAGACACACGAAACGTCGACACCGCCGAGAGGCCGAGTGCTCGAGTATGCGTTTGGATCGGCCGGCAGGAGACTGGAGACAATGCCGAGTGAGTTGCGAACTGAGATGAGAGATCGAACGGCGAGTCAAGACGTGGATACCTGGCTTATATAGTAGTAGGGGGTGAGGCACCGACCCTTCATGGACTATCACTGTGCAGACTTCTGTCGAGCGGACTGCTCCGTAACTACATCGGAGAATATGCGTTCACTAGACGTGCATAGTACGCTGGTAAATCACGAAGCGAAACAAAAAGACGTCGGCAAAGTACGAACGAACGTCCGTGGGTTTTTTCATTCATCATTCGATTTGGGGACTTAGGATGCGTGGGTATGGGACTGCTGGTGATGGCTCTTCAACAGCGCTCCAGCCCCCAGCTTCCGGCCTCCAGCGGCTGGTAACTGATACCTACTATACTATACTGCCGTCAGACTTGCCGTGTTTTCACCATCACACAACGACGTCGTTCTGAGTGTATATACTCATTAGGTCCAAGGCTGCGTGGCTTCCTCCAGAACCTACCAGTTCGTCGTGACCAGCCGTCGAGGCAGTTGTGAAGAAGTGGCTAAGCTATCTACTATAGAAGGCGGTCAGTGCCTACCTATCTCACAAAGGAAAATCAATCGGGCATCCGTGTAGGATTTTGTGTTCGAACTTGGATATCATATGTACGGATCGTTACGGCTATAAGAACATTCTCGTCACCACCTCCCCCCCCATTGATCTCCACTGACCTGCATCTAATGATTGAACTGCCCACCATCTGGTACGCACCAACCATCAGCTCTCGTCCTCGCCTCGCCCATTCATCACGGGAAGGCACTCACCTATCCTGACCGCCGCGCCAGTGACCGTATCCGCCTTCGCCAGGAACACAAACGCCTCAGCGCAATCCTCGACGGTGGCCAACTTCTTCAACCCGGCGTTCTCGGTGGCCATCTTAATCTTCTCCTCGCCGAACCCCATGCCCCACTCGGTGAGCAGGAGCCCTGGCTGAATGGCATTAACGCGGACCTTCGGGCCCTGGGTGGCAGCGAGACACTTCATGAGATGCAGTCCCGCGGCCTTCGAGACGGCGTAAGCCATACTACTTCCGGTAGTATTAGTCGCCGCGGCGGACGAGGTGACCAGCAGTGCGCCGCCCTCGGGGTTGGCATTGAACGTGGGCAGCGCCGCCTGCAGCAGGAACAGGTTCGCTTTCACGTTGATGGCGTAGCAGCGGTCCCAGTCCTCGCTCGAAACCCCGGAGACGTCAGAGAATACGCACTTCCTCGTCCACCCCGCGTTGGAGATTATCACGTCGAGCCCGCCGAGCGCAGCGAGGGTCGCTACAACAAGTCCATGACACTCCTTTTCAATCGCCATATCCCTACCCTCCGAGTCGCATCAGCCCACGCCCACACCCACCTATACACTCCCTTGAAGGTAGACGTACGCTTGAATCGCCACCGCCTTGACACCGTACTTCGCGGCCAGCTCGGCGGCTAGCGCCTCGGCCGCGGCAGAGGAGGAGACATAGTTTATCACGACGTTTGCGCCCTCGCGGGCGAAGCGCTCGGCCGTCACTGCGCCGAGCCCGCGCGAGCCGCCCGTGATCAGGATGTTGCGGGATTTGAGGTCGTACATGTTGCTGCTGCGGTGGAATTGAGGGGGATGTAGGATGTGGGGGTGTGGGGGATGGTGGAGTGTGGAGGGGAGTGTGGGGGATGGAGGCGGGAAGGCGGGAGGGCTGGATATAAGTATAGCCGGCGGGGGACAGTGGTGGTGGAGGTTGTGGAGGTGCTGGTGGGGGATATAACCAAGGTGACACCGATCTCGGATCGAGAGCTGTGCCTGCCTGCCGCCGCCCCGCATTTGTTTGCCAGGGTATGACGACTTCTATATCCGTTTCAACTCCGGAGTCTGCATATGCGATACCCAGGTACATATTGCCCGCCGGAGAGAAACGTTTAGCCAAAGGCAATGCATGCTGATAAGAAACGTGGAAGACAGATATCAACATCACAGATGCCCCCATACCCCATACCTGGTTTACAGCTTTCACATGAGAGATGTGAATGATGATATTAACCCGAGATCAGTACGTACTTCTTGCTCGACCTCGGCCAAGAATTTCAGCCTGAAGACCCCGGAGCGAGTGATATCGCGGGTAACTACTTAGGTAACCTCTCCAGAATTCATGGGCACATCGTCCTCTTGCTGGTACTATCAGTGCTCCACATATGTCACCCTTATCGAATCCCGGACTTGAGCCCCGAGGGTATACGGTATCACATAATTGCCATGCAACACCCGAGTTCCATGGGACGGGTTATCGTTCGGACGAGATTATCACCGCCGATTATTGTTGTTGTTGGAACACCTCAACCATGCCATTGACCATTCACCATTCACCATGCCTCATGCCCAAACACCCCACGCCCCACGCTCCCCTCTATCAAAGTACCAACACGAGAACATAGTAAAACCAGAGGAAGTCGCCATTATGCCCCAGCCCCAGCCCAAGCCCAATCCCAAGCCCTCCCTCCTAAAGCGCTCCCTCCTAAAGCGCCCCCAAGCGCCCCACTCCTACCACGAAATAGCAACAGTGCATTGTATCGTATCTTCGGCATATCCCAAAACCACATCGCATCCCATCCCATCCTATCCTCACGCACGCTCCCTTCCCCCACCCGCCCCCCAAAACAAGACAGCAAGCAAGCAAAACACCTATACGCCCGCCTCCGGAAAAAAAAAGAAAAAAAAACGTAAACTACAGCAGAGACAGAGTATGTGGAGTAAAGTAGAGTAAAACCAGCAAGAGAAGAGAAAACAGCAAAGAAAACCCCGCAAGAAGACCATCTACCCCACAATTAGCCAGTTAGGTGTGCCCATTGACCTTCTCCTTCTCCTTGCCCGCATCCTCTGCCACAGCCTCCGGTACCGTCTCCGCCGCCGCCACCTCTGTCGCAGCCTCCGACTCGCTATCCGATTCCTCATCATCGTCGTCCTCTTCGTCGTCGGACTCCTCCTCCTCAGACTCCGCCGCGTCCATCTTCTGCTTCAGCTCCCAAATATCTTTCCTCGCCTGCTCCTCGCGGGCAATGCGGAGCCTTTCGGCCTCCTCGACACCGCCGGTCTTGCGCAGCTTATTTTCCTCAACGAAAGCGCCCAGCTCCTTCTGGAAAGCGGGGACGCGGCCCTCGAGTTCCTTCTGGCGGGCCTTCTCTGCACGCTCGATGGCTTCGAGGCGGCTCTCGTGGTTCGGCTGGAGGGCGCGGACTTCGCTCAGGACGCTGACTTTCGCCTCCGTCGGGTTGAGCGGGTCGTCAAGGACACCCGGAAAGCCCCTGGGGCCCGCGTTGCGCGCGCCAGCGGCGTTCGCCTTGAGTTGCTGCTCCGAACACTGCTCGACTAGCACGAAGGTTTGCGACGCCTTCTCCAGGTCGTCCTCCAGATCATTAATCAGGTTCTCTTGCATGCTGAAGAATTCCTGTTCCTCACAGACGACTTCGAGTTCCCTTTCCCAGACCCGGCGGAAGAGTGGCTTTTCACGCTTAATGTAGTCGGCCATCTTCTTAAGTTCGGCCTTTGCCATTGCGAGCTCTTTCGATACGGCTTCGAGTTGGCGCGGCAGCGGACGAACGCCACGGAGAACGACGTCCTTACGGAGGTCCTCGACTGTGTCTTGGAGGTCATCGACGCGGGTGACGAGGTTGTCAGCGTCGCCGCCGAGAACGGCTTTGCCCTTTTCGACGTAGACGCGGCCCTCGTTGCCGCTGGTGACGGCTTTGGCGGCGACTTGCTTGACCGCGGTGGCCTTGGTCTTGACGGTGTTCATGGACGTGTTCATGTCGGCGACGAACGTGGAAAACACTTGACGTAGCACGGCCAAATCCCTCCGTATGTCCCTCACTTCATTGAGCTTTGTAGCTGCGTCTCCTGGCGAAAGAACGTTGTTGGCTGCAGCCGCAGGAGACTTCGAAGCGGCCGTGGCGGCGGCGGGAGTAGGAGCTGGTGGTGGCACTACTATTGGCGGCGCAACGGAAAGTTCCGCAATCTTTTTGGCGGCCTCCTCCTGCCTCTCCGCGACGCGAGTCATCTGTAGTCCCTGTTGTTCCACGGAACCGGCCAAGTTCACCACGATCTTCTTGAGTCCCTCGAGCCCATCGTCGATATGCCGCTTCACCTCGTCCAGAACCTCGACATTGAGACAGAGCACGGAGCGGTCCTTGACATCTTGTAGATCCTCAAGCTCGTAGCGCACGCCGGAAACCGGATCTTGCAGATAAATCTCCGGAAAATCATCTCCCGATGGCGGATTGTAGTTGAATTTCGAGATGAAGAGAAGTCGCAGAGATGTCAACGATAGCTCGTCCAGATTATCCGGCAGGGCAACCTTCTTGATCGATCGGCCCAACTGGAGGAACAGTGTGGTTTCCGAAGGCGTATTGCTCCGTTGCTCCGGCGAAGCGACGGCTGCCATCCCATTCATGACGGAGTCTCCGGTGGCGGATGACGGATACACAGCGACTGGCGAGTTGACATTGGTATCGATCTGGATATCCGGCCTCTCGGGTTTCCTAGCGAAAGCTGGGCCAACTGATTCGTCGGGAGTCTGTGCGACCGGCGACGGGGCTGCCTCGAAATCCTTTTCTTCGGATATCCGGCGGGGATTTGTCGCTGGCGACTGGTCCTTTTTCGATCTTATCGATCTGGCCCTGCCCGAGTGACGCTTCTGCACCGCATCCATCGACTCTCGGTTCCGAGGAATCACCGATGGATCCCGAGTTGGCAGCACCGGGACGTCGCTCGCCGACTTTCCCGACAGCTTGGCGATCTGGTAGGCCTCGTACCGGCGCGACGCTCTCCGCTCCAGCGAGGAATGCTGCTGAAGGGCTGCCAGCGCATCCTGGGTGGGCGGCGTGGGCGGTGGGGGCAGGATTGTGTAGACCGGGCTCGGCGGCTCCGGCTCCGCTATCTGGGGAGGATTGTCGGAAGTAGGATAAGGCGGTGTATTATCTTGCGCCGGCGGAGGAGGACCAACCGTAGACCCCTGAGAAGAGGAAACCGATGTGCTGTGCTGATGGGAGCTTCGCGAGCCAGTTGTCGACATTGAGCCACGCACCGATCCGGAAGGTGGCATTGCTGGTTGGGTGAGTGGTGAGTTTCGTTGGGTGTTCCCCCCTGGCAGCGATGAAGTTCTCGGCGGCGTCATCTCCTGCTGCTCAGCACTCGAACCACTAGCATCGCCGCCGCCCCCGCCGCTCGTTCGTGCCGAAGACGCAAGCGAGCTACTGGAACCTCTCGTGGCGCCCCCCGAGCTGCCCTCACCAATCTCCCTCGACTGCTTTTGACGTAGCTTCTGTTGCTTCCGCTTGAGACCGTGTAGTAGGTTGATGATAATCTCCCGTATGCGCGGGAGGTACACATCCAAACTCTGCGGACTCGCATCCTGGCTCAGGGTATTCTCCAATATCGAGCGAAGAGAATCCGGCACATTCCCTAGATCTGCGGTCTCGACACCGATGGCGGTAAAAGCCCTGCAAGCGATGTTGAACTCGGACCCGAGTCGCACGTACACATCCGACACCTCCGCTTCCGTTGCCTGCTGGCGGGACCACGCCGTGAGGGTTTCGAGGAGCTGCTTGGTAGCCACGAGCAGATGCGTAACGGATTTCTCTATTGTAGACAACTATCGGATGGAATGTTAGTGACAGGGCGAGAGAAGCGACGAAGTGAGGGAAGCGAAGCGACGGAAGCCACAGCGGGTATTGCCGTGCGAGGGACAGATGGAATGTTCAGTCACCACCCACATTGACCTGGTTCCTGTGCCTCGGGCTTCGACTGGCCGAGCCGGAAGAGTTTCTAGACGCTGCCGACATCGAAGGATTTGCGGAGGAAGAGGTGGACGCGGATGACGCGGAGGGAGCAATTCTTGAGGACGGGGGGCGATGGTATGAGGTGTGTTGCATAACTTGCAAGGTGGTTGGCTGTTGGGGTGGGTTTGAGTCGGACGGGTAGCTGTGTGGCACCGCCGAGTGAGGGGAGGGAGGAAGCGTGTGTGAGGAAGCCCAAGTTTGGGATGTTTACAGTGTCGCGTGGAGACCGAAGAATGCTCAGTATCCGCAGTCGCGGTAAGGCACCTTGGTTTACAGGAAGTAGTAACAGAGGTGGTGGTGGGGGCAGAGAGGAGAATATGATGGTGGTTGGTGATGAAGATGGACTGGGGAGGAGTGAGATCGGAGTGGGTTGCGCCCGCGGACGATTCAGCCGCTTGATGTTGTACGAGTTTGTTACTAGTAACTACTGGACCCCGGCCCCGCTCTCTTTTCCCCCACCCGCAACTTCAGCTGTTGCTTGTCGTGCACTACCCGTATATAGCGTAGTAGCGAGCAGTATCACGAGGCCCCAAAACCATACGACCTTTGAGAAGGAGTCGATCAATACGAGTAAAAGCCTAGAAGGGCTCTGGAAACATCATCGGATCAAAAGTTGGGATATGATTATGCACCGGTATGTACATACTTGGCAGTAATGTCATGGGGGAAAGTTGAGGGCCAAGAAAAGGGCAAAGTGAAGGGCAAAGGGCAAAGTTAAGGGCAAAGTTAGTTCAGAGCAAAGTTTAGCGCAGAAGGTCCCTTGTACCGCATGCAGACCTGTGGGCGATATCTAGGTAAACTTGAGCTGAGTCTGAAGATTATCTACGCTCTGCTTGCTCGCCCTGCACAGCACTGCAGAGCACTGTATACTGCATCTTGATATACAGCCAGGACAAAGAAGACAGCCCTCCTACAGACATGCGTAGCCCACCTCGAAAAGTCAGCCCCGGTTTGGCGTGCGCACTGAGCGGGAAGACAGAGGACATCTAGGTAATCTTGAGGCTGAGCACAACTGGCAGCAACCGTAATGTTGGACGATTGGTTTGTTCCGCTTGCTTGCTATCCCAGCAGGCTCGATAAGACCAGCTCTGCGGTTCTCGCCGGTCGACTTCGCATCGTATGTAGCATTTTACATAACTAAACCTCTGGCGGGGCCATTCAACGACAGAACCGCTTTACTCTCCTGTTACACTCCGGCCCCTCCAAGACGGAATCAGGCAGCTGGTGGCTGCTTAATGAGGATATATTCGGGCTTTGAGGCTTGCACTTCCAACGTCTGGCGTAAGTACTTGCCTGGATACCTTTGTACACAGGTATGTGAACTAGCCGGTCTTTAACGGGGCAGTACATGAGGAAGAGCATCTGGATATCGTGTGGCTACCTACATCGAGCTCGAATGTCCAGAACTCGGAGACCTGCTTCGAAGGGCAAGTAAGTACTTGGGTACGGTAGACAGCGAGGCGGATACTCCATCAGCAGGACCGCTTATCCCTCCATGTACATACCGTTTCCAAAACGTTTAAATAGGGCGGTTCGTTTGCCAATGGCCTGTTTGCTGGAAGTAAGTACAATACTTGTGTAGAAATCTTCAACGAATGAGAGGAGAGTGCGAATACCTGTACATTAGATGGGTACATACCTCTGGTGTCGGCTCCAATCAGCGTGGAGGAAGCCATCCCCCACCGACCGAGTTCTGCTCGGCCTTTCCCATGGTGACTTATGGGATTTTTAACCTCTGTATTCCTGCGGAAACCCAGAAGCCACCCAGTCCGGTCGCTGTTGGAAATGTGACGGCTGAATCCACGTTTCTCTCTTCCTCGCAGTCCGAACGAGTGTATGTGATTCGTAGGGCAAGGCAGCGTATGCGAAACTGCGAGACGTTATAGTGAGTTCATGCACACGCACGAGCAGCGCAAGCATGAGTGGCCGTCGCAGCCCCCACTACAAGCTGCTGCCGCACACAGCAGCCAGGAAGACTGCCAGCCAGCCAGCCAGAAAGAGAGCTGCTGTTGCTGCTGCTTGCGCTTGGAGGTTGCTGGGCTTGCCTGCTTTCTTTTTTCCCGACAATGCTACTTTCACTCTAGCGAGTTGCACTGGCGCCCTCCCGAACGACATCAAACCACTCCATCGTCCTTCCACCTCACGACGACGAACGCTTCCACTCCATCCCAATCGCCCCTCTCTAGCCGCCAACTCTTCCTCCTCCACCAAACCCTCGTCGAGTCCTCCTTCACGATCGCCTTCGCAACCTCTGCAACCTCTGCTTGCACCACCCCTCCGCAACCTCTCCCACCCACCCCCCCGCACACTCCTCCCTCCCCGCGCTCTCTCCAAAGACGACAATCCTGTCGGACTTGCGCCCGGTTGTTTGATCTCACCTCGACGTCCGCATACTCTCCTTTACCTCTTAGAACATGGCGACAGCTACCTCGGCGGTAGCGAGTCCCGCTGCGCCTGCAAATACAGCTTCGAATCCAGCTGGCCGACCGCAGCTGAAGGGCTCGATAGGCGGGAACGCTGGCAACAGTAACCACAACAACAACCGGAGATCGACCCAATCGCCCATCGACGGCGGTCAACAGAGGTGAGTCTGCTGGTGTGATGATTAAACTCTTGGATTTTTTTTTTGGTTATCGTTGCTGGGCGGTTGCTCTGGCTGGACTCGTGTCACTTTCTGCCCATCGTAACTTCTTTCTTTGTGGAGGAGAGAGAGAGAGACAGCCAGGTGCAGAGCAAAGCAAAAGCCCCAAAAGCTGTACTTGGTGTTGTGGCTGGCTCGCTTTATCTACTCTACCTACCACGCTGCCGCACGCTACAACGCTACGTTAAAGTTGTTACCGCAACTAGTATAGTAGATCTAACCTACACTACACACCACCACCCCCCCTCCAATCCGCTACCTCACCCTTCATTTCTTTCTCCCATCCCCGCCAATCGTAGCCTTCCTTCCCAAGGGCAATGCTTCAGCTTCATACACGCTGAACATTCCATCTTTACCAGCCTCTTCTCGGCCACAGTCGCTGACATGTACAGGCGTAACTCTTCTCACAAGGGCTGGCAGTCGAATGCTGGCCAGCAAAAGTACAACGGCTCCCCGGCCCCTACTGCTTCGTCCTCGCCTACACCCGGTCAAGCTATGAAATCACGGACAGCATCTTCCTCCGCTCACGGCGAGTCGGACACCCACGACAAGCATATGCATGACCGGACACTGTTCCTTCTCACCAGACTCCTCGTAAGCTTTCTCCCCCCACCAACCCGCCGTCTGCTCAATCTGCTGCTTCAATCCGGATCGATGGATAGACTCCAGGCCTGATGGACAGACTTCAATCAGCTGGTAGCTCGAATATCCTGACAGACGTGCGAACTCTAGGGCAAAGAAGTCACCGTTACCGTAAAATCCGGCGCTCAATACACGGGTATCTTGGTTGGTGCGGATCCTCGAAACCAGGATATCGGTGTTTCTCTCAAGTCGGTGAAGCTGCTCAAAGCTGCCCCCGGAGACCACGAAGAGAAAACCAAAGACGGCGAATACATCGGTGGAAGCAAGGAGAGGGCGATGGTCTTTGAACCGAAAGATGTGGTGGACATCGCGGCGCAAAAGGTTGTTTTCGAGGTGGAGGTACCGCACGCGCCGACGCTCCAGAATGGTATGGTTCACCCAAGTTCAGACTGAGCAGTAGCTCTCCTCGGAGCATCGTTTTCTAACGGTTATCCGATTCACAGGGGCCTCAGGTGGATTCAAGACGGATACCGATATTTCGGCGAGTACAGTACCCCGCGCTACAAAGGAACTGCACAGATGGCAGCCGGATGAAACTGTAGGAGGTGGGCTCAGTCTGGAGGAACCAAACGCCGAATCCGGTCAAGGCTGGAACCAGTTCGAGGCCAATGAGCGCCTTTTCGGCGTCAAGTCCAATTTCGATGAAGACATCTACACCACCCAGGTGGATCGGGATCATCCGGAATACCAACGTCGCGCTGCAGAGGCCGCTCGAATCGCAGCTGAGATTGAGGGAGCCGGTTCCCTGAATGCACACATTGCCGAAGAGAGAGGAATTGCTGCGGTTGACGACAGTGGAATGGACGAGGAGGATAAGTAAGTTCATGTTCTCATCCTCCCACTACCACCCCTTTCGATCAATCGATCGTGCTGACTGGTGGACCGCCCGAAACAGATACAGTGGTGTTCAGCGAACCGTTCCCGTCGCGAATAACAATCCCAACAAGTACACACCGCCTGCACGTCGAGCTCCCTCCGCGCAATCTACTGTTCCCGGTGGAGCTCTGCAAGATCCAGCCATCATCGCCGCACAGCTGGCACGCCCTGAAACGTCGCAACCGCAACAGAAGTCCCAATCAGCCCAGGCCACTCCTGCTGCCCAGCCCGGTCAACCAGCGAAGCCTTCGGAAGAGGGAGCTGCCAAATCAAGTGGAAGGCCTGGTTTGCCTGAGATTATCACGCCCAAGCGAAACCTACTCTCCGGCAGCCCCAGCCTCGGTAAACAAGGCGAGACGCCTGCGATAGAGAAGGCTCTGAACGAAAATTTCAAGAATTTCGTATTGGTGGAGAAAGGCAGAGTCAAGAAGAGGCAGGCTGACATGGCCCACCGTGATCGGGAATCAAAGCTTAGAGAGCTAAAGAAGTTCTCGGAGAATTTCACTCTGAAAACGGCTGTTCCTACCGACCTGGTCCCCATCCTGACGAAGGATAAGGCGAAACAGGCTGAGATCCTGGAGAAGACAAAAGCAGCTGCCGCCAAGGCTGCCACCGGTGGTGCCGGTACCCAGGCTGCTCCTTCGAGCGCTGGTACGCAGAGCACGACTTCTGGCCCCCAGGGCGCATCTGGGGCTGGGAAAGTCCCCCCGCCAAATAGCTTTGCTGCCAAGGATCCGGAGCGTTTTAGACGTGAGACATCAGCCCTTCTCCAGAATTTCCCGAAGTATACCCCAGCAGCTACAACCGGGTTAGCCCAGAATGTCCGTCGTGTGCAACAAGACAAGAACCTGCCGGTACGGCCTCCTATGCCTGTGGCGGAACAGCATCGTCAACACCAGCAATTCCCACCTACTGGACCTGCGGCATCGAACCAGGCGCAATCCGCGGCGACTGGCCAGCAGCAGCAGCATCAACAGCATCAACAGCATCAACAGCACCAGCAGCATCAGCAACACCCGAGCGCCGCAAAGCGACTGAATGTGAATGCTCGGCCGTTTGAGTTTAGACCGAACCCTAGTGCAGCGACCTTCACGCCTACGTTTGGCGGACAGTCCACCAATGCAACTCCTAGCCCTACGTCTTCGGCCAACCATGCGAATCCCAATCCCAACGTTGCATCCAGAGCTACAAGTCCCTCTCTTTTCTTTGGTAATAAAAGACTGAAGACCGACAAGGAGAGGCCTTCCATTAAGAATAACTTCAACCCATTCGAGAAGATGAAGAAGGCCAAGGCCAATACCCCTGCACCCAGCTACGTGGAGCCCGCTGGCAATGCGAACGATTACATTGATATGCCATGGTTCACGACGCCGACATGGCCTACGGCAGACGCAAACAAGGACAAGTCGTACAAAACCATGTTTGCCATCAAGGTTGAAATTGACCAGAGCGCCGTTCACTCGCCCCAGCCGCCGCACATGATGCCACCGCAGCCACACCATCCTCAGATGGCACATATGCCGCACATCAACCATCCGCCCCACGTGCCTCACCAACCACACCCTGGACAGATGCAGCAGCATCTTGGGATCCCCCAGCATTACGAACAGGACGCCCATCTCAGGCAAATAACATCACCTTCTGTGATACCCTCGCCGAGTCTCCACACTGTAGCGATGGTTCCTTACCAATCACCGGTACCCCCCCCGTCGCAAATGGCTATGTACCCTGGCCAGCAAGGTGCAATGGGACAGTATCCTGGCGCTCCCGGAGGTCCGCAATTTGGCGGATACTACAATAATGGTTTCAGAGGAGCCGCAGGCAACCCGATGATGATGCATGGTCCCCAACCGGTCCCGTATCCAGCTGGGCAGATGGGCGGTCAGTTCGCGCAACACCCGCCGATGTACGGCTCGCCCCAGCAGCCGCAGGCGTATATGAACGGGCCACCTCCGCCAACCTCCCAAGGATTCCCTAGCCCCGGAAGGCCGGCGCCGACGATGATGATGCATCAAGGCTCCTCTCAGGGAACGCCGGGAGGAGCCCAGATGATGCCCTACGGCATGCAGCCTGGACAAGGCGGACCGATGTACAACGCCCAAGGCCAACAGCCGCAGCAAAGTGAGTTACCCCCAACAGGCCCAGCTTGGTTGCCCCCGCGTTCTCAGTCCACTGTTCCCTACTCCATCTCCTCCCCCCGCGCACGCTACAGCCACATGTCTGGCCAGCCCTCTGTTCCTGCTGCTCCTGGTACTCCCTTGCTTTCTCCTGCTCTGGCCGCCTTCGCATCACCCACTTTGGCGCCTGTCCCTGGCTTTTCGTCGCAACCTCTCCAAAGGAGTCAGACAGCCAACAAGGCTCTGGATGAGAGTCGAGGGGTTGGCCGTGGAAGGGGCGGTAAGGGTTACCATGGTGGCTATAGCGGCAACGGAGGGGGCCGGGGAGGCCGGGGTGGAAACATGAACAACGCAGGTCCAATGCCTCACGTGCCCGGACGTCCGCAGGACAATACTTTGGTGGACACATATTCTAACGAGGGGTCAATGAATACAGTGGGAATGATGCGTGGCCAGCCACTACCGCCGCACCAGAACGGGCCACCGCCGCCTCAGTACTACCACGGTCCTCAAGGCCACTACCCCAACAACCGGGGTAACTACGGTGGACCGTCGAACGGACCTCCTCCCCAGCAACAGCAGCAGCAACAGATGGCGCCGCCGCCACAGCCACAGCCACAGCAGCAGCCACCCCAACAACAGCAGACTGTTGAAGCCGGCGAGGACGGTAAATAAGAGGGACAGCACAGGGCGGGTGGAGTGTCTTTCGGTGTGCACGACGGGGAGAAATAGGAAAGGGTAGGGGGAGGAGAGAAGGACTGGAAGAAAGAGGATGACAGATGGGACTCTGGTGGAGTAGGAGGCGTATGTGCGGGGGTCAATTCCATTTTTTTTTACTGTTCCTTCCCTTTCTCTGGTGTCTGTCTGAACTTTTTTTCTTCTTCTGTTTCTCTCCCACCGGACTTGGCTTTCTTCTTCTCTCTTATGTGTGCATACTCTGTGGGTGTGGGTGGGAGGGGAGGTTGGGGGCCGGGGCGTTGGTTTGTCTTGCTTCCGCTCGCTCATCTCTCTACTATTTTCCGTCGTTTCTAGGGTTCTGGTATTTTTCTACTGTGGATGGGATGGGATGGATGGGATGGATGATGAGTGTATGCGAATGTGACGGTCGACTGTGATGATTCCCGATGATCATGATGGGATGGGAAGGATATCATTGGAGAACAGGATTGGATTGATTGAATGAGTGATGTGATGATGGCATGGGATGGGATGTGATGATTGCATGGGATGTGATAGGATGTGATAGGTTGGTGAAATGCGATGGGTGATATACCTACTTACATACTCTAAGTGGTTGCTTTTTCACGGAAGTAGGAACGATTGAACCTCCCCCGGGTTTTGAAGTAAATGATGCGTTTAAGTAGACGATGCTGGGGCACCAGACCAGGACGGGCTGTTTGGGTACCTACGGTTTCGGGACGGGTAGTGTAATTGATGAAATCGAGAGAAGAGGCTGAGGGATCTACCTAGGCCGCTCCCACGTGTATAGTATAGTAGATGGGGCTCCCCCCAACGAACGCTGCGAAATCTAATGGTCAGTTCTACCATGTCGGACGATCGTGGCCTACTGGAGAATTACGCCCGTCGACTTGTCCCCAACTACCTCCGTCGTGGCTAGGAGTACGGAGTTTGATACAATGCCATGCCCCGAACATGCGCATGAGACTTCACTAGTATTTCACTTTACAGCCGAGACGACGACGAGTCTTGAGATTGAGATGAGTGATCCAATATGACTACATACTCCCGATCCGCTGCTCCCAGCCGTCGATTCACGCCCACGATCCCAGCACTTCCGAAACGCAATCCAAGAAAGAAAGTCAAGGCAAGTAGAGCAAAAAGCAAAGAAATTCGTCAGGGCACGAGAGGGTATGTTGTAGTACAATGGGTCCGACGTCGTCACCATCTAAACAAAGCCAAAGGGGTATAAACGAAATCTCCAACCCCACCTCCAACAGGTAGGTACACCATTCACCATTCATCGCCCAAAAACTAGACAAAACAGACAAACAAAAAAACAGAGAATAGACGAGAAACATCCGGCCAAAACTCCCCCACCAACAGCAAAACAACCAAAAGAGAGAGAAAATCAAGTCATAGCACTCTGCCGTCTCGCCCTGACATGTGTCCGTTCGTCGCCTGCGGCGCTCGCACGCCTAGCGCGAGCAGCATCGATTCGGCGACGTCTAGCCACCGCTTCGCTCTCATCTGGAGAAGCTGATCGCGAGCGGGATCTAGAGCGCGAACGGGATCGGGCGGACTGACGTCCTCGTTCAACTTCCGCTGGGTCGGGAAGGAGCGAGGTGACCAGTGCGGACGTTCGGCGCTTTCGAGCTGTGAGAAAACTCGGCTTTGCGTCGTCTTCGTCGGTGATGGAGGTGCTCGTGCGGGATTTCTTGCTGCGCTCAGGCTCCTCCGTGTCGCCGTCCGTGAGGGGCCGCGGCTTCTTGGTTGTTGTCTCGGGTTCCTGGAACGCTGGGAGGTCGTGCCAGTTTGCTTCTTCTGTATTAAAATCTGCGTCTTCGGGTTTGGTGATAGGTGTGGATGGAGTTGTGTGCTCCTTCTTGTTGGTCGATGTTCGTCGGACCTTTCCCTCACCCGTGACAGCGTCCACGAAGCCCTTCTCTTCGCGGCGGAGCTTAGTACCTAGTTTGGGCTCTGCGTAGTTGACAACCGCACGGGCCCTTCGCGAGCCGCGACCGGTGGCTGTGGAGACTACGGCGGCTGGATCGGAGTCGGGCGGTGGTGTGTCGCTGTCCCGAACGATCTTGCTGCGGTAGGTCCGAGTCGTGGTTGGTGGGGGCTTGTCGGAGATCCTCCCTTTGGCGGGGTAGTCGAACTTTTGAGGGAGGGCCTTCATAGGGGATTGGATGGGATCTGCATTTGTGCTCTCTGTGAAGTATTAGCATGCCGCTTGTCTGTGGAATAACTGGGAGGTTCTTACTGGGTCCCAAAGCTTTCCGGGCAGCTAGTGATGGTACCGCTCCACTGCTGCTGGACAACCGCTTGTGCTTGGTGGGCGCATTCTCGACATCTGTATCTGTAGCCACTTCTACATCCTCTTCCCTGGACTTTCGGATCTTCTTTGGCAGGTCGTTCTTAGTGTCGTGCTTCTCGTCCTTGTGCCGTTTCGGCTGCTCACTATCCGTCTTCCGCTTCGACACGTCCCTTTCATTGAGCTTCGAGAATTTAAAGTCAAGGCTGTCGAGCTCAGGCGAATCCAGCAAATGATCGGGATCCTTCTCGTCGAATTTCCGCTTCGGGGGTTTGCTGAGTAGCGAATTTGTAGGCTCAGGGGCAGCATCGGGGAGTACATCCGATTGTCGGATGAATTGACTGTCACGCCGCTTTCGCGATCGTGGCTCGACGTTGAACATTGGCGGTGGTGGGGCAGGGGCGTCTTGGAGTTCGGCGTCTTGGAGTTCGGCCTCCGGTTCAAGTTCGTAGTTTTCCAGCGCTGCTGTTGGGAGAAGCTCGATCTCCGCCAACCCGAAGCTGTGCCTCCTCGGTGGTTCCCTCATCAAACTGCCCCCGCGACCCAGACCCTGATCCTCCTCCTCAATGCACGGCATAGTCGGTTCCAACCCTTCACCCGCCAAATATGAGTTCCGCATCATTCTCGACTCGGAACATGGCGACCCCTCATCATCATCTCCGAACGACTCCCTGCTTCGCAATATCGGCGGATTGCTCAGCTTCTGCAACAGCACATTCATCTCCAACACCTTCGCCTGCAATTGCATCGCTGTCACTCTGTTGTCTTCGATGACCTGTATATCCTTCTCGCGGCGCTCGAGTGCGACTTCAAGGTGTAACACACGTTGCGATAGCGAGGCGTTTTCGGTCAACAGGCGAGTCTGTTCGCGTTGGAGGGCTTGGATCCGCAGGGCTTGCTCGGCGTTGGCACTATCGGACGAAGCATTAGACATGTGCATCAATAGATCTAAGAGGGAGCACGAACTTGGTGAACTCTTGATTTTGCCGTTTGAAGCGTTGCCTTACTACTGGCAGTGCTCGTCAGCAAACACTCGAATGGTGGACCATACACGTCATCGGAGACCCACAGGCATCGTAAGAATCGGAGGTGGTTGTGGGTTTTGCTCCCTCATTTAGTCGGGCCATCTCTTGGGGATCTCCTCCGCCGTCTCGCAGACGCGTATATGGTGTGGTTGGACAGCGTTTCGTCCGACGAGGTTGAGGTTTGTTGACGAGGGGGACAGCACAGCTGACGAGGGGACTTCCTCAGTGCTGACTCGCCCGGAGTGCTGCAATAACAAGCTGGAGTACTGCAGCCGTCGAGGAGAGATCGCCACCTGGGTTGCTGGGGAGGTATTGATGGTGGTTGGTGGTTGGTGGCAGGCGGTCGGTATTACTCCGTTTTGGTGTTGGGTTCCTGTACTTCTCTTTGTTTTCGAAGCGAGACGGACGAGAACCACAGAAGACGAAGGGTTTGTTGACCTTTCACCTAACACGGTTAAAGCGTTATTTTAGCAGCGCGGGACATCCGTCGTGACGGTAACGAGATAAAGAAAATCACGTGACTCGGCGAGCGCGAGAGCCACTCATCCCCGCCACAAACACAAGACACTGCATCCCACCATCATCACGATTGCCATCTCCAACACGACGATATGTCCGGCTTCCAGTCTTCACGCTACTCTATCGCTCCACATGGCCGGCAGTCCTCGCTATCGGGGTCCGGTTCATTGGGACTGGGCTCCACCGCACCACAGCCCGCCCTCGTCGCGCGCATCAACGAGAAGAAGCAAGAGCTAGAGAATCTCATTGCGCTCCGCGACCTCAGCGCAAACCTCGCGTCGCAGATGTCACAGATCGAGGAGAAGCTTTCCACGTTGACCGACGGAACAGAAGGTTAGCTACCTGCCACGCCATCCACACGAGGAACACCGTGCTGATCGCAAACACACAGCCGTCGCCGCAGTCCTCTCGAACTGGGGCGCCATCCTGCGCGCTATTTCCATGGCTTCCAGTATTTTCAGTTCCTGGCAAAGACGCTCGAGCTCTACTGATGCGTCCCTACAGCGGCGATTCCGAAACCGAAGGGCCCAGAAGACCCATTCACCGAGCGGCCCGAGACTGCCGATGACGGCTTTCCCAAGAACGAGGACGGCTTACCGATGCCTCAGACGCTCGTTAGGCTACCGATGCAAGATACAAAGGATTCGTAGTGGGAGGGTGCGGTTGGGGTACTCTATTTACTTGGGCTTGTGGGAGGCGTTTGTGGAGTTTTGGGTGTCTGGTTTCCATACATATTTTCTGCTCTGCTCTAGGAGTTTAGGTACTCTATTGTGGGGTGTAGATTATGGAGGAATTGAGTGTTTTGGGCTCACCGGCTCCGCCGAGCTGCACAGTGGCGATGGCGTGCGCGGGGCGGCAGTGTTGAATATGTGAGGTCTTTGCCAAGATGTGGGGTTATCGTTCCCGCACGGTCGGTGCTTGAAACGACCGCGTGAAACTTTGCAGCATGAAACGAGAACCTTTCTGGCACTGACATCATCCCGCAACTTACCAATCCGACCCGACACACACAACATCACGCCAACGCCAATACACAGGTAACTGGTCGGAAATGGCGCACAATCACTCCCACGGCCAGTCCTGCAATAGCGAGAGTCACGATCACGATCATGACCATAGTCATGGCGGCGAGCACACTCACGATGGTGTGTGAACGCATAACTCCCGCAAACACAGATCCTTGCGCTAATTTGGCTGTGCTCGCTCATCAGACGACTTGACGCCTGCCATCCAGTCCTCCCTCTACCAGCACATCGAGTTCGACAAGATCGTTACGTTCAACGAAGCAACGACGGGCTCCGGAAAAGCCGTCATCCAGAAGCCATGGGATCAGCGGTTGGATACTACCACAGTGCTGGAGAGTGACGCTGACGAGCAACTGTTGATTTATGTTCCGTAAGCATCCCCGCCCTCCATTGGCTGTTCACGGCTACGACCACTGACATCTCGGCCAGCTTCACCGGCGACGTCAAACTACACTCCATCCTGATTCGCGCCGACCCCTCCCCCGGCGCTCCTCGCACACTCAAACTCTTCATCAACCGCGACGACGTCGACTTCACCTCCGCCGCAGACTTGCGCGCGGTGCAGACGCTGGAGATACCGCTTCCACTCCCCGGACAGGACGTGCTCGAACTGCCGGTAAAGCGGGCGTTGTTCAATAATACGCACTCGCTCACGCTTTTCATCGAGGATAACCAGTCGGATGGCGAGGAGGATGTGACGAGCCTTAGCTTTCTCGGGTTCAAGGGCGATTTCACGCAGTTGAGAAAGGACGCCGTCGTTGCGTTCTACGAAGCTGCTGCGAATCCCGCCGATCACAAGAATCTTGTCCCCGGTGCCCAATACGGGGCCGTGGGACTCTGAAGAACAGTGGGATGGGCCGGATTGGTGTTTCTTTTTTCTCTTCCTTCTCTTCCTTTCGTTTCTTTTGTTTTCGGTGGTTTTTGATTTCGAATGGCGCGGGGCACAGTGGATGGCGTACTCTTGTTCTGCTGCTGGCACACATATCTCTGGATGGCCTACCGTACTCTTACTCTGCTGCTGGCACACAAATCTTCGGATTACATTTTCGATTGACTTTTTTTCTTTCCTTTCCTCCTAGGGAGGGGGGCGGGGCTGTTCATCCTCTGCTGGCATCGCATTGGACAGCTGCGTGTCTGCAGGACTACTCTAGTTATTCGGTTCGGTGGATCTAGTGCGTGTTCCTACCACCAGCCAGCCAACCAACAGCCATGATCATCGCCACCCGACGGTTTCGTCCAAATGTGCCTAAACCACCGAACAGCGTCACTTATCTTCACCACCACTCACATGCTCCATCCGCTGCTAGGATACTCCGTCAACCCACTCTCCGTGGGTCCGCCGAGAATAGCCCCAGTGAGCCCCCACCACCGGAAGCATCTCATTGGGAAACTCGTGCAGAACGCAACATCTGGCAGGAACGTTGTTCGTCGTGCCATGTCAGTGCGCATTCGAAGAGTCTTTTCCTCTCTCGCGGCGGCCAATCCGCCAGCAAGGCGTGGACATCGTCGATGGTGTTGCATGCGGGCGAGCGTCGGACACTGGGCATCTAGAGTGGAAAGGCAATATAAGAAGACACGCACTGTGCTCGTTCGTGTCGCCGTTATATTGCAAAACACACTTCCCAATTCACATCGATCCAATCCAATCCGATAACCCGTCTCCAGACCTGTGGCCAGACCTGGGTTTCTTTCTGCCTTATAACCTGAAGCGAGCATCATCATCACCTTCGATCTCCTCGATTGAGTAGCAAAACATCAACCCCGGATACTGCACCGCCGCCACGACCGTCTACATCTCCATTCCGTACTGCAATCGACGACTTCGAACACTCAGTCAATTCTCCCGTATGACCTCCTAATCCATTCCCCGTCAATCCGTGCCTGACACCTGCAGCATACACACATTCGCAATGGGTCACCGCACACCGCCACCCCTAGGAACCCCCATGTACCCCTACGTCTACCCGTCGGAGTATTACTCCCCCGCAATGTATCCTGGATCTCCCATCGTGATGCCCACGATGCCTCCTCTGGAGCCGCTCCCCAGCGGCGCCTACTTCTCACACCCCCACTACCGCCACGCCGCTCCCCCAAGTCCCGACAACTTCCCGCCCAGCCCGATCCTGCACAGCCAGCACGCACACTCACACCAGACACCGCCGTCGACGCCGCCGTCTTCGTCGGAGCGGTCGTCGGAGCGGTCGGAGCGCGCCGAGGTCAAGATCCTGCGACAGCTGTGCTCCGCCATCACCAAGATGCAGAGTACCATGAAAGACGT